TAATCGTCGTACTTCTTATAATCATCGTCGTCGTCTTTGTAGTCGACGTCCTTCTTGTAGTCGTCCTTGTAATCGCCGTACTCGGTTCTCCTGTACTTGGCCACCGTGTTCCCGGTGTCCCTGCGGTCGACCGTGGCAGCAGCAGCGGTCGTGACCACGGTGAGGGCCGCAAGCACTGACAGAACCTTCATGGTTGCGGTTTGTTTAGAAACGATCGAAGTGCTTTGGGTAAAGGGAGTAGAATAGGGGGCAAGAGGATCTCTGGGAAGAGCAGTGATGTGAAGACTGAGGATGAGGATCGGCTTGGGAGGAAGGAATTGTGTCTCCTTTTAGCGCGTAACGACACAGTCTTTATACTCGAGAGGCCAGGGGAAGGTGGACCGTCAAACTTCCAGTCGAGACGTCTTCCAAGTGTCATCATCGGTAGGATGTCCAGCCATCGGGGGCTCATGTACCAACTGACACGAGAACCACTGCGTCTCACGATGCCATGTCTTGCCTTCGCTAACTTCGTGTTGAGATAGAGATGCATCGGAACTGGCTTTCATTGGCCTTGTTCGTTGAAGCTGCATACACGATATAGTAACGCGCCGTCATATGCGAGTCAGCGGAGAGGGCAAGCGATAATAGACCTGAACTGTACCACTGCATCCCCGGGCTTCCAAGCCCCTTACGGTGGCCTGAGTTGCTGGTTGTCTCGAGGGGCGAGTATGTGTTCCCATATGAAAGTAGGGGGTACTATCTTGGAGGAGCACTTGGCAGTGAGGAACTTGCAAAACCTTCTTCATATCCGTTGTCCCAGCCTCTTGATCTTCTTCCAATCGATATATACCATACTCACATCATGGAGGTGCCATGTACTGGACATTCAGCCAAAAGAACACATCATATTGACCTCCTTGACCTGATGGGCAAGCAGTTTTCACCAAAGTCTCTTCACCGCGTGAACTTCTTCCATCGTGTGTACTCCCGCCACCTTTACGCGTTGAGTGACGTTGGGAAGTAGGATTGTGGGACATTGTGCTCTCCCAGAAACTTGGATGTCTGGAGCCGTAGTGCCATACGATGGGAGGTTGGGACATGGGACAAGGAGCACCACCCAGCCGTTAGCTGGGACTCGGGACCTGCCCGGTGTACCCGACATCCCCGGATGCTGACGTTCGGAAACATCGGCCGCCTTTAATCCAGCCCGACTTGCAGGTTTCGCGTGGCCTGCGTGGTACAGTAGGTGGTTGTCAGGGTTCGTAACTTTAGTTCGGTCTCCTAAGCTATGCAGCCCCCTAGATGTTCGGTAACGGTTGGGGCTAGAGTATGTTGTGTTGGGCGGTGCCTGCCACCAGGCAGCACCTGTGTATATCTAGTCTCCATAGCTGCCCTAGAGCAGGGGATATTCTTCCTTCTATATATACATATACGTATTGTTAGTTAAATCCGTGCCCGTTACGTAACCGTAAAAACTACGGTCTGTTCAACAATTCCCGCCTAAAAATGAGTTTTGGCGTACTCGAGTTGGGGCTAGAGGTTCAAGCAATATGGTTACATAATCTCGGTGTAATCGGTGTACCAGTTTTATCTTGCGGAATCTCTGGCCGCAGGAGAATACGAAGCGTGGTGTTTCCGTTGCTTCGGGACCAGTGCTGATCTGCTGTGTTGCGCCTGGTGGCACTGCAGTCTCGAACGACAATCGAATGTCACTCCAACCATAATTAAGGCAATGGAAAAACGTATGACCTCGTGTAGCTCCGGGACGGAGCTGAACTTGACTTCTTTGCAATAAGGCGGACGTATGGCCCAAACAATCTTCGTGATGATGGATGGCACAAGGTATGACTTGGGAAAGAGCCGCAGGGCTTTGTCGTTTGAAGAGAGAGCCATGAGAAATCTCCAAAGAGGGAGACACACCGTTTGAGTTGTTTTATGAGTGATCGATGCCACCACTGTTTCTTTGCTGCTCCCTAATACTTTGGTAGGTAAACAATTGTCCTTATACTATGACCCATCGACGAGAAATGACCAGTAGCTTATGCGGCGTGAGATACGCACAGCATACAGCCTTAATAACTGAGAGGGCCTACAATGCTTTGATGTGGCCACGTGTAGAGACCTACTGCCTATCATTTACTTGATAATCTGCGAGTTTCTCATGAACCATGCGTAGCGAGAACTCTCTCCGGGTGCACCTCTTGGATTCATCCGAATCCTTATGCATCTCTGGAAACCAGGGCAAAGCACCTCCGCGTAACTGACAGCCAGAGCTTGATACCAGAAGGTCTTTTGCTTTTGCTCGGTTAAGTTCCCCCTTGCCCATGCCCCCAAGTCTGCACATGTGGTCTTTGTCCTTCTCCTTCACGGAAAGCATTGCTTTGCGTGGGCTTGTCCTTAACACTCGAGTCATAAGTTCAGCATGGTTTTGACTTCAGATTCGAAAACAAAGCCGTCCATGATACATAGTCAGTGCTCATCAAATTCTGACACGTCTAACATACCTACAAATCCAAAATCAGGGGTTGCCATAGGCACAGAGCTTAGAGAGGTATGCCCTGTCTACCTGGGTATCCAAGTATTGGTTCCCTGCTTTTCATGAGTGTTGCTCTGTTCCTTTTACCCTTGCTTGGGGTGCAAATTATGGTCGTTATGTGCATCTAAGCTTGGGGGGGCTGGTTTGGCCCTCGTCGATGATCGAAACGACCTCTCATGAGCACTTCCTGAAACCAAGCAGAAACCTTGTACTGACGCTGGTGATGGACGTCCATTAGATCTCAGATGGACTATGGTTTTTCTGTACTCTGACCTGGGTAGGCCCTCCACCACTCCTTGGAGGTCAACATACTGCGACATCAACGATTTCGTTCCCGAAACATCTCCCTACAGTTCTGCACCTGTCCTATAGGGAGAATGTACACCCCGTATGCGACTGGGAATCCGAACCACGACTACTGTCCACTGTCCAGGTTTCGGAAACATCTTTGCCATTCTGCTGTGGTTCTACCCGCCAGGTCCATCAAGATACTCGCGTTCACCGGGGCCAGAAGTCAGAACACCATCTTGGAATGAGATGGAATGAGAGATAGTCAGATGGATTCCTTCCATCGACAGCTGAATTGCCGAGGTAGAATCGTGGCAGTGGTGCAAGACCCACGGGGGTATATTAGACCCTGAGAGCTGCCATCCGACGTTATCATGTTGAGTAAAGAATAGAAGAGAAAGCCCCGGCTGAATCGAGACTAGATGAAGAGAAATAGGGGGGAAAGAGGGGAAATATTAGAAACGAAGAATTGGAAACCAGACTACAGTGCGTGAGCAATAATTTCGGTATATTTTAAAGATCCAGTGATTTATTACTTGTGCAAGATAACATGGGTTTGCCCTGATAGAAAAGTGTTCCCTAAAAGCTTCGAAAGATTCTACTTTGGGTTATCCCGAAACTTTTGCTCACTTAGTGTAGGTGTGTTTGCCATGCCCGTGGGGAAAACCTGGGGCCCAGTTCTGCTGGCCGCTGTCACTGACTGGACAGTTCAGGTCATCGCAGATGGATTCAGGGGAACATTCATGCATGGCTTGAGTCGAGCAGACTGCTTGGTCGCCCAGGCAGGTGCAAGAGTCCCCGGGTAGGCCCGACTCCCGAGCCATGAACTTCGAGTCCCCATCGCTCCGCAAAGAGCCCCCGAACCGACGCCGGTGCCAGGGTTTCATTATGGAATCGACGAGCAGAGAGACCCCCTTCCTTGCACGTGTCTCGGGCCCAAGAGAAGGGATAGCCTAACCAGGTTCATCCCCTTGTCCCAGACGTACGCCCTCTAAGCGAGACAATCGCATGATGCACCTCGTCATTACCTCGGCGGTCGGGGGGGTGAAAACAGGGGTCAAGGCGCTTGCCATGGCTTCGGCGCCGAAATCACTACTGCATTCAGCACTGCACGGACGATGCTCATTCATATTCAAGCCGAGACCGTTGTGGCGATTCATGGTTTGTCAGTAGGACCCGATTCTTGTAAATGAGAGAGGAGGCTGACTCCGTTGCCAAGATGACGATGAGATATGGACTGTAGATCGGGATGACTAAGGTAAAAAGTGATTACTGGTTCTACTCGGTACCTACCTTAACTTCTTACTGGTACTCCGCACGCTGTACACAGTACGGGGAGTGGTGTTTCGAAGGCTGTGGTGGTGTTACGTTGCGGACGTCTACATGTTCGTACCTCTCAACCGTACGGAGCACCTTCTAATTCGACGTGCCCTTCTCCTGCATCCAGTGCGACCTCGGATTGATGGTGCTGATGTGAGGAGTGGCAGGGAGCGAGGACGGAGTAGATGGTAGTACAGGGGATATAACCCCTTCGTTCGGCCAATTGAGAGACCAACAGTGCAACCCCAAAGTCCTTCCCCAGTTCATCCTCGCAATGGAGAATGGCACGCGACCGGTGAGTGAGCTTATTTCGCAGAGGCCGTCCAAGATCTCCTCCCTCGATATGATTATTAGGCCTTGATGATGTGATTGTTTGAGTGGGCCGCGTTAGGCCATGCCTCCGAGAGGACCTTCGACAGATCTGAACTGATGATTTGTAATTAATTCGTAGTGGTCGTACAATGTTAGTCTTTTTACCTAGTCTTCGCGAGGTCCACAACGGACACGTCTCGGTTAATTTGGGGGCATCGCCAGCGACTATGGGGACTCCGAAAGCCTGCGGAGCTGTCTAGCGTCTCGAGTACGACCGAGTATTGGCCCATTGGACCCGGCCATGCATGATGGGGAGGGAGTTGAGATGCAGCGGCCGAGATGCGGCGGCGGGTAGATGAGACTCATGAGAGTCCCGCACGTATTTGTACAACGTAGTGTACAATAGGTACTGACGGCAAGTGAACGGCGGCAATCTCCGGCATTATTAACACAAATTCGATTTCTTCTTCTTCTTTTTTTGCGCCGACTTCCTTTTGGTTTGCTAGACTATTCGAAACTACAAAGATCGGAGAATAGAGGAGACGGTCCGTGCGTCCTACTAACGCCAAGTCGATGATACGTTGTATCTACCGGTCGTTGGTCGATCCTTATGTTAAACCGACGCAGACCATAATGATGAATGTCTTTTTAAGCTTCTCTACCGAATGTTTTCGCTTCATGCCCACAGAGAAAACGTGGTCTTCAGGAATGCAATAAGAGACATTGAACCTCAGGCGTCTCAGACTCACGTGGGTGGTCTCGGATGGACACGCGGCGGTGAAGAAAAGGGCTGCGTACCATGCGTCTACCGAGGCCCTTCGGATCCTTCAGATTGCTGAGATGTGAGCCCATCGCGGCGGCATGACTCGGGCATAGCCGCGCCGGTGACGAAAAACATCGTGGGTTCGTTGAACGGTGCAGGCAACGATGGGGCACAAAATACTACCTACCAGGTCGAACAAGGTCGTGTCGACGAGATCGAAACCGCCGAACCGTCTTTTGGAACTTTAAGTGCGGCCAAAGCGCTTCTTTGTGACTCGGCTGTATATCCGGCGCGAGTTCGGACTCGCCTACCCATACCATAAAAGGCAATATGATAGGCTCGAACCTACAATGCAAGGGGCATGGCGTTTTGTTGCCGTCCGAAAGTTCTACGGTACATACGATTACAATACCTATCATCATCAAAATTTCGCTCAATTGCGGCCTCTGGCGAGCGAGCGAGTTCGGCGGCGCTGCATGGCTTACATAATGGGACATGGCGGCCTAAATGTAGTGGGGAGTATGAGGCGCGAGTGTGGCCGTGGCAACGGGTCATATGTGAAGTTCCGAAAGGATACACGAAAAAAAGAAGACGGGGGAAAATCAGAGCTAAACCCCGGAGAAAGAAAGAAAGAAAAAGGCATGGGCATGTGATCGAGTCATCACCTGAATCTAGCCAGCACGATCAGGCTAGGAGATGACTGTCAATCAAAGATGAAGCAGTGTCAAGTTCTGGACGATGGGACAAAGGCCGCAGCCCAAACATCCACGATATGATGCCGCAGAGAAGGAAGTCGAAATTAAGTTACGAAGTGCGAAGTACCTTGTAGACTGGTGACCATCGGTCATCTCGGCCTTACTTCCAGATCTACAAAGTATTCTTCGTAGGTGCCCACGCCGCTCTTCGGGCGAAATGTGCCGCTGACACTAGACAAGGTTGTTAGCCACTGAGATTGCCGGGAGGGAGGTTCTCCTCCATAATGGGCCAGGATGCGGCGCGTGGCGTCGCCAAGCCATGGGAAGGAGCCACTGACGACTCGGCTTTTCGACTCGATTCGTACGTACCTATGGTACCTTTCTCGGTATTGTTCACATGAATAAGGTAGGGCCGGATTTGTCTGTAGAACATCCTCCTCGCTTTCTTACGAATATGTATCCATACATCCTCCGTATTATCACCAATTACCGTGTACTTTGTGCAAATACTGCTACCCTCTTAGTAGTATCTGATACGTATTGATCCTTTAATCCAGATGCACTGCAATCCTCCTCCTTCCTCCTGGGATTTCACAGTAACATAGATACTATGTTTTCCATCATCCTCAAGCCATCCAGTTAACCTGAGGCATGACCGGTCAGTAGAAGTCTTCTCTGGCTGCCGCTGTCAGTCGTTCGTTCCACTTCCGCGCTAGGTCCATTGTCTACCTTATGAAACCAAGCATCTGGAGATGTCACTTCGTCTCCGCAAAGGCCCTCGTGCTCTTCCGGCCACGACCCCAGATATCATGGCCTGATCCATCTGGCGTGCCGAGGCGCACCGACCGAGTCAGCCAAGTCGTTGACAAGTTAACACGTCCCCCACGCCGTAGAAGTCCGCGGTTATGCGTGTCCCACTCGCGGTTTAAGCTTCATGAAGGACTCGCCCCTCGAATCCGGGGCTCCGGACAATGTAAGACCCGGGAGTGAACAAGGCCGACTGCCCCTTGTATACAATGGAAGCGAGTGACCAAGATTCGCCGAACATCACGCCTACTTTATGTGTTTGCATGTAACAAACCACGTCTGGGACCATAACGAGAGAAGAACAAGCGAGGCGGTCGTGGTCACAGGGTCACAGGGTCACAGGGTCCAATTCTGGTAGCAGCCAAGACCGACAAACGGGAGCAGAAAACAGAACCGGGCGGGAGAATTCGCCGTTGTCTCGCCGTCGCGTGGCGTGTGGCGCCGAATGGGCGCTATGGTCTCATAATGGCTGGTGTAATCTTTTCTTCGTGTTATTTTTCGGTCCCAATTACTTCGTACTATGCAAAAAAGGGTGCAAGAGGAAAAAGGGAAGGACAAAAACCGACAACTAAAAAGGAAAAGGAAAGGAACAAATCAAGGCGTATGCTCGGCCTCACTAAGATGTGGAGGTGGCCCCTGCGGCCCTGGCGGTGGCATGGATCCTTCCCCGGCTTGTTGCGCCAGGCAGATTGGGGAAAAGGAGAGTGCCTTGGTCTACTTATCGGCCCGTTTTCAATTCTCTTCGTTTCGTGGCAGCACACTGTAATAAGGTAAGTTTCTGGAGCTACCCCAACGAACTCCAAACCAACCCGCAACTTTCAACCCGCAACCCGCATCGCCTCCACTCCGGCGGCGGTTGGATGGACCCGGGATCCTAATAAGCCGGGGTACAGTTTTAGCCCTGCAAAGTTCGAAGTACCGAGCAAGAAAGAAACTTAGTAGACGCGAGATGTGAGGCTTGAGCCATGAGACGCGAGAACAGGAAGAGGATAGGTATCCGTACATACAACGTACCTTAAGGTAGGGAGTCATGGTGTAATTTACATAACCCCTGGCCGATAAAAGGGCCGTTGCACCATTTGTGCCTTCCTGCATATCACGATCGTCGCTCTGACGTTTATTATACCCGTCCCCGTTTCCTTCTTCCCCCCTCTTGCCTTTTTTCTTCTTCTTTTCTCTCTTCGTCTTCGTCCCTTGGTTCTTGTCCACACCTCCTCTATCTCGGGTCTCTCACTCCTTACTCGACGACCTTGAACTAACGAAGGACTTTTTTCCTTTCCCTTCCACCTTCAGACCAATTCCCCCTCGGATAGCTCCTTGAAGGGAAGAAGAGAAGAACGAAAACAAGGCAAACATGTCTTTGACAGAGAAGGAGACGATCGCCGCCGAGGGCACCGAGCGCATCATCGCCCTCCAGGCTGCCCAGGATGTTGAGCGCATCGAAGCTCCCGTCACCTGGAAGGCCTACCTCATGTGCGCCTTCGCCGCCTTTGGAGGTATCTTCTTCGGCTACGACTCGGGTTACATCAACGGCGTGCTCGGTTCTCAGATCTTTATCCAGGCCGTCGAAGGTGCCGACGCGACTTCCATGAGCGACTCGAACCAGTCGCTCATCGTCTCCATGCTCTCTCTCGGTACTTTCATCGGTGCCATCATTGCCGGCGACGTCGCCGACTGGATCGGCCGCAAGTGGACCGTCATTCTGGGCTGCTTCATCTACATGGTCGGTGTGGTTATTCAGATGATCACCGACGGGGGCGCTTCCCTGGGCCTCATCACCTCCGGCCGTGCCATCGCCGGCCTTGGTGTTGGTTTCGAGTCGGCCATTGTCATTCTGTACATGTCGGAGATTGTACGTAATTGGCCCATTCTCCTCCCCTAATTCTTTCCTCCGGCCCCCCTTTCTCCCTTTTCCCCTTTGGGGGGGGCGGCCCTTCGACTGACCAGCCGACTAACTTTCGTCCTCTTTAGTGCCCGCGTAAGGTCCGTGGTGCCCTGGTCGCCGGTTACCAATTCTGCATCACCATCGGTCTCCTGCTGGCCTCTGTCGTCGTCTACGCCACCAGGGACAGGACCGACACCGGCGCGTACCGCATTCCCATCGCCATTCAGTTCCCCTGGGCTCTCATCCTCGGCGGTGGTCTCCTCCTCCTCCCGGATTCGCCTCGTTATTTCGTCAAGAAGGGCAGGGTCGCCAAGGCGGCTGAAGCGCTCTCCCGCGTTCGTGGCCAGCCCAAGGATTCGGAGTACATTCAAGCCGAGCTTGCCGAGATCGTCGCCAACGAGGAGTATGAGCGTGCTCTCGTGCCGTCCACCACCTGGGCTGGTAGCTGGATGAACTGCTTCCGCGGCAGCCTTTGGAAGTCCAACTCGAACCTCCGCAAGACCATCCTCGGTACCTCTCTGCAGATGATGCAGCAATGGTAAGTTGTCGGCCCGCCTAATCAACCCGTGCATCGCATTTTCTTCTCTCGATTTCGCAGTGGGCTGACTCTTAACCTCTCCCCCAGGACTGGTGTCAACTTCATCTTCTACTACTCGACTCCTTTCCTTCAGTCGACCGGCGCCATCGAGGACGAGTTCCTTACGTCCCTCATCTTCACCCTGGTCAACGTCTTGTCGACTCCCCTCTCGTTCTGGACTGTCGAGCGCTTCGGTCGCCGGACCATCCTGATTATCGGCGCATTCGGCATGTTGGTGTGCCAGTTCATCGTTGCCATCGTCGGTGTCACCGTCGGCTTCAACCACACCCACCCGGACCCCTCGTCGGATGACCCGAATGCCCGCATGGCCAACAACATTTCGGCCGTCAACGCGCAGATCGCCTTCATCGCCATCTTCATCTTCTTCTTCGCCTCCACCTGGGGTCCCGGCGCGTGGATCGTCATCGGCGAGATCTTCCCGCTGCCCATTCGTTCGCGTGGTGTCGCTCTCTCCACCGCGTCCAACTGGCTCTGGAACACCATCATCGCCCTCATCACCCCTTACATGGTCGGCACTAACCGTGGCAACATGAGGTCGTCCGTCTTCTTCGTCTGGGGCGGCCTGTGCACGTGCGCCTTCGTCTACTCGTACTTCCTCGTCCCGGAGACCAAGGGTCTGTCGCTAGAGCAGGTCGACAGGATGATGGAGGAGACTTCCCCTCGCACGTCGGCGAAGTGGAAGCCGCACACCACTTTCGCGGGCGAGAGGGCTCACGATGGTGTCTTGGAGCACAAGGTGGAGAATAACGGGGCCGCTGACTCTGCCGCCTAAGCCCAAGGCAATTGGAGTTTCGGAACCTTGGAAAGTGCCATTGGTGAGGAAGGAAATGAAGTTGGTATAGGCGGGCCATGTGATGACGATAGCGAAATAGGGACCGTCCGGTGGTCTCCTTATGGGCACAACGTTTGAACTTATACCCGACATCTATGTTTTCATGAAGCGGTTGGTACCTGTATAGGTTGGGGCTGTGGATTTTCTTTGATAGTAATCAGTATATAGAGCCATCGCTTCTTCCTTACCATTTCAATGGCTTGCGCTATTCATAGGCTGTTGTCGAACGCATGGGACCTGACGATGATTGTGACATCCTTTCGTACCGTGACGACACGCACGGAGATCACGAGACGAATAAAGAGAGAGATATGTAGACCCGGTCGTTGCCTTATTGGCCACCTAATGTTACCGGAGTTCACCCGAAGAGGTTGTTAATTAGTAAGCTTCAGGCTTGGTGCGGTGCAAGACCGGTCTGAGACGGACCAAAAATCCTGTTTCCGTCGAGACTTCTTTCCTTGGCGGTGCTCTCCCACCTCTTTCTCACTGACGACATGGCCGTTGCCTTGAAGCGGACGCAAATACGAGTATACCGTACCAACAGTATCCGTACACCTGAATATGACGGAGTATTTATTATTTATTAGTAAGGTCTTGGGTTGCGTCTGGGATATATGATGTGCCAGACCAACGCCCTCCCCCACCCCACCCACACCCTTTTCATTCTTCAGCGGAGAACCATCAAAATAAGTTGGCGCGCTCTTCGACCTGCGTACCTTGCTAACAGAATTGTCTCACAGGCTCATATTGCCACCTATTTGATGGGGGTTGTCCTTGTTAAAGAGCGAACACCAGATCGGCCAAGGTTAATACAAGGCAAGGCGACTGAGAGCCCCTACTTCGTACTCGGTAGTTTCCCATAGACACGTCCAATCCAGTCTCTCTCTACCTTACAAACGATGTCCTTTGGTTCGCAATCGACTTTAATTGGATGTCCCAAGTTCTTCAGTACCTTATTCTGGAGATCACATGGTGTCAATGCTGGCGAATCACGACCGGGTTTCGTCACCTCTCCACCCCAGATCTCGGGACGAGCCTCCGCGCCCTAACCGGCATTGATCACCCAGGGCCCCCTTCCCTGCACGCAGCATGTCAAAGAACAGGGAATATCTCGAATGCCGGGCCGGGCTCACCAGTACGAAGTAATAGCGCAAGTCGTGCAAGTCAAGACGAGTACAACGACACACATCAAGGGGAAAAAAGCGCAGAAGAAACGGTCTCTGGTATCTTTCTCGTGCAAAGTACTCGTTTCCACATGAGAAGTTGTATTGGCGTCTCTGGAAGTCCGAACTGCCAATTCCAGGAGTCAAGAACACTGGCGGGGTGCAGGTTTCAAATTTCATGAAAACCCGGGTCTGAAAGAGGGAGGGTGGGGGAGGGTGCCGCGATATGACGAAAGCATCAGCGTTCTCGCACTGGGCGACTGACCTTTCCTCTCTCCTAACTGGACCATCCATTCCCTCGGATTCCACCAGAAGGCCAAGCCGATGTCGACGGGACGGCTTTCCGCCTTGCATATACATGCCGTGGCAGAGTGGAACGACAAACGAGTACGGAGAGGGGGTGATGATGCCCAGTATGGAGAAAGAAGGTCCGAGTTGACCACCCGCTGACCACTGTTCATCGGATATTCTCCCCGGAGAAGATTCCTTTCTGACGCTGGGCATGACGAGGAGACAGAGAGGGTGGTCATGGGAGGATGAGGGCTATAGGCAAGTGTCAGTCAGATCCAAGACAAGGGTGTCCTGTGTGAACTATATATAGTCGTCTTGCCTCCCCAAGCTCCCCTGTCCCATGATCTACTTCCTCGAGCCTCATCACCGACATTGAGACGATCAATCCAGGGGTAAAGACGACGATCTCAGCTGTACAATCAAAAGACACCCACCACCAAGATGAAGTCCGCTCTCACCCTCCTGGCCTCTGCCAGCCTGGCCCTCGGCCACGCCACCTTCCAACAGCTCTGGGTTAACGGCGCCGACCACGGCACGACCTGCGCTCGTCTTCCTCGCAGCAACAGCCCCGTCGAGAACGTCAACTCGCAGGACCTGACCTGCAATGTCGGCGGCAGGACCGCTGGCCACTTTGGCCTCTGCCAGGTCCCAGGTACGCCATCTCTCTGACCTTCTCTTCCCAAGCCCCTGAACTCGCTCTTGGCTGATTCCCCTTTTTTTTCCCCCCCTCTCTCAGCCGGTGCGACCGTGACCGTGGAGATGCACGAGCAGCCCAACGACCGCGACTGCAACCGCCCGGCCATCGGCGGAAACCACTTCGGCCCCGTCATCGTGTACATGTCGGCCGTGAACGACGCCACCACCGCCGACGGCTCCAACCCCTGGTTCAAGGTTGCCGAGTTCGGCTACTCGCCCCAGCAGCAGCTCTGGGGTACCGACGTGCTGAACGAGAACTGCGGTCACTTCAACTTCGTCGTCCCCGCCGGCTTGCCGTCCGGCGACTACCTCGTCCGCGCCGAGGCCATCGCCCTGCACGTGGCTGGCTCGCCTGGCGGTGCTCAGTTCTACATGACCTGCTACGTGAGATTTCCTTCCTCTCGCCCTCCCTGTCCCCCGACACCTCCTTTCCCCCTCTCCCATCCCTCGACTTCTATCTCGGCTTCTGTCTCCTGTCTTGCCTTCCATTTTATTTCTCCTTCCCTACCCCGAATTGAATGGAAATCTCATGATGCTAACAAGCTTTTCTTCAGCAAATCACCGTCACCAACGGCGGCGGCTCTTCCGTCCCCTCCGGTGTCTCCATCCCGGGCGCCTACACCGCCAACCACCCCGGCATCCTCATCAACATCTGGACCGGCGACATCAACAACTACGTCATTCCCGGCCCTCCCGTCGTCTCTGTCTAAAGATGCCAACTCGGCCTTTTCGAGACTCCAAAGGGCTGGTTCCATCCTTGACGGGATTGACCCACCAGCCCAGATTGTACATAGCCTCCTCGTAGATAGCATGGTGCATTACGCATGAATGAGTTTATAACGACACAATATAGCGTTGGCATACAAAGTTACCCAACTGAAAAGCGTTGAGTGATGTCTCCGTATTGCTATCCTTGGGCCGTGACCGAATCCAACGTCAATACGCTAGAAAGATATCCTTGCACGATCATCTCGCCAGAGTTCGGAGTTCGTGTACGTAGGGCATCAGGCCGTGGTTGTCGATGTCGGGCCGCATTGCAACAATCTGGCTGAGGCCAAAGGCAGGTCGTGGGATTTCTTTCGAGTCAACTGTTGAAGCGGGTCACGGTCTCGCAACGTGGGGATAAGCGGTGATTGATTCCGAGGACAATGTTTCCAGTAACAACTTCCAAGTTGCCAGAAGACAGAGTTGGCGTGGACAGTCCAGTAGTGTAGAGCCAGAACCGTACGAAGGACGGAGTAAAATAGGGTCCGAATTTGGTAGGCGAAGTCTTGGAGTTCAAAGTCAGCAGAAACATCACGTGTTATTGTTAGTCATCATCGCTGGCAGAATTCTGCGCAGTTGCGCGATTGTGTTTCACTTTGTTCTCCCCATCGCTTCTTCCATTCAATGTCTTCTAATTCTAATAATACACCCTCAAAAACTCGACCAACGCCATCATGGCCATCGCCTGGCCATACGGCATGCTCGTCCTTGGTATATCCTTATAGTGCTGCAGGTCGCGGCCCATACCCGTCCCGAAAGACGTCTGGAGCAGCTCCCCCTCGGGGCTGACGTTGTCAATGACGGCCTGAATAGCCTTAGCGGCAGTGCCCTCGAACTCCTTGCCGATGTACCGCTTCCGCTGCGCCTTGAGGATGCCGTAGGCGAACCCGGCCGTGGCGCTCGACTCGAGGTACGACCCTTCCTCCTCGGGAACGTCCACCAGGGTGCGCCAGAGCCCGCTGCCGGCCTGCAGCGGCACCAGGGCGCGCACCTGGGCTTCGAGGACGTTGAGGAGGTGGTAGCGCAGCGGGTCGTCCGGCGCCAGGCCGACCAGCTCGACGAACTCGGGCAGCGCGATGGTCAGCCAGGCGTTGCCGCGGGCCCAGCGGGCGCGGGCGAAGTTGTGCCCGCCCGCGCGGCCGGAGGCGTCGGTGAACTCCCAGCCGTGGAAGAAGAGCCCCGTTTCCGGGTCGCTGAGGTACTGGATGTGCAGGAGGAACTGGCGCTTGGCCTCGGCGACGTAGTGGGGCCGGTTGAGGACGAGGCCGATCTTGGCCAGCGGCATGACGGTCATCATGAGGGTGTCGTCCCAGAGCTGCTCGTCGTTGGCCTCGAGGTAGGTGGTGTGCTGCATGCCGCCGAAGCGAGTGCGGCCGAGGTCGTGCATGGCCCACTCGGCCCAGCTGTCGAGCCAGGGGAGGTAGGTCTGGTTGCCCGTCTTCTCGTAGACGCAGGCCAGGGTCAGGAACACGGCCATGGTGTTGATGTTCTTGCCCTTGTGGCCCTCGGCGAAGCGGTCGCGGAACCAGGCCTCGATGATGGCCAGGCACTCCTCGTCGCCCGTCAGTTCGTAGTACTTCCATATGCCGTACAGCCCGATGCCGTGCGTCCACTCCCAATCGTTCCAACCCTTGGTGTCGATGATGCGGCCATCGTCGAGCTTGAGGAGGAACTCGCCCGTGGTGTCCTTGATGTTGACCAGCTCGTGGATTAGCTTCTTGACCTTGGCGTGGATGTCGGCCGACTGGAGGCCGTGGACCTCGAGGGGCATGTTGGGCTGACTGTCGAGGGAGGACGTGCTTCGGAGTCTCTTACTTTCCTGCGGCGAGCCCTATGGAGTAAATCTGCCAGACGTACGGTGTTTATGAGGGCACGGTTACTTCAAGGGACGTTAACCGACATTGGAATCGGGCAACTTATGCTGCAAGACGACAGCAAGGTCCCGTGGAGCAATGGGACGGACCACACGGGGTAGGTTTGCTTACAGACTGCATAGCTTAACAGTGCCTCAGATGCAAAGCCTAGCACGGAAAGGGCGGGGAGTAAAAGGTCCCACACGCTTCGGCCTTGCGGGGTTATGTGTGGTGGGAAATCCAAGTCCATGTTTTGTGTCCTAGGGGAGGGACTGGAGCAGGTCAACAGCTGGAGATGTTTCCAGGAGCACCAACGTCGAAATCTCGGCCCCTACCAGGCCGAACCACCGAGACTTGGGCATTATCTGTATACGGTACTCTCGCAGAGACACAAAGTACTTCCAAGTCGGGACAGGAAGCTTCAAGCATGGCCACCGGTTTAGTCCGTCATCAAAAGGTAGAATTGCAATACAGAATGCCCAGAAGCTCTCTCTTCACATAAGCTCTTGCCAAGTAGTCCTCTTCGGCAGAGAAGCCCACTTCCTGTCCATCGCATCGGCTGTGGCGGCGGCGTTGCTATTCAGTCTCAATGGAGCCTTGGCTGTACTCTGTGCAGATCAGCTCGCACAACAACACCAACAGACATAAAGATCACCCTAGGCACCAATATAACTGGCCAACCTCTGGCCCTGGAGGGTGGACACGCCGCCATTTCGGTCCAAAGATGTTCCAAACGTCCTAGTCGCCCCCCCCCCCCATTACCCCCATGGGTACCCTTTCCCCCACGGGGAAACCCCCCCTGGCTCGACCCCGGAGCCCCCAACATGAGAATCCTAAAGTTGTGTTTTCATCTTGCTCGTACTTATTGATTGTACCTAGTACGAAGGACGAAAGCGCTCCATATCACGTTGAACTGATAATGTACGTCCCAGTTTGAAGTTGCTTCGCGAGCTCTAAGCAAGGATGGGTTGGAGGGCGGCGGGGAAAACCATGGCGAGGGGGATGGGAGATGGGAGGTCGGAGATACTCGTCACGTCCCGACACTCATAAAGAAGCGCCCCCCTCTCTATCTCCCTCTCACCAGTTCCGAGGATCGCACAAGCTGAAGGAAAAGAGCCCTGCCTCCCTTTCTGCCCTCCTACCCTGCCGAATTGGAGGTCCTTCCTGCGGCTCCTGTCTCCTCAGCCTCGACCCCAAACATCATCTGTTCCCTTGTTTCCATCTTTGTCCATATTTGCTCACACTCTCCGGCCACCATGTCTTCCACCGAGGTTCCCAACCCCAACGCCGTCAACTCCCCTCCCAAGGGTTCTGCCCCAGACGTCCCCGAAGGCCGCGGCTCGGGCGACAAGAGGGACAACGATGAAATCATCCACTCCGAAGACCCCGAAGTCCAATCGATCGATATGGACAGCAAGAATCAACAGCGATACGGTAAAATCGACAAGGAGCTGGCCAAATATGTCGCCGAAGATCGCATCTACATCTCCCCCGAGCGCAACGACGAGCTCCGCCGAAAAGTCGACCGCCGCGTCCTTGTCGTCATGATCTTGACGTACTTCCTCCAGGCTATCGACAAGGGCACGATTTCCTTTGCCTCTATCATGGGTCTTCCCGAGGACACGGGTCTGGTTGATGCCAGCGGTGGCTTGAAGCAAGAAGTGCGGTTCCTCTCTCTCCTTCCCTTCCAATTCACAAAGGAAGAATGAGCGAGGCTAACAGCTATGGGGGTCTTGGGGGGGTGTGAGGGGAAACAGTTCTCCTGGCTCACCACGGTGATTTACCTCGCAACTCTCGTGGTCGAATACCCTCAGAACTGGCTGCTGGCTCGCGTGCCCATCGCAAAGTACCTCAGCGGTTGCATCATTGCGTGGGGAACGGTTCTAGCTTGCCACGCCGCCTGTCGAAACTTTACCGGTCTCGTCATCGTCCGTACCCTTCTCGGAACCTTCGAGTCCGTTTGCCAACCCGCCTTCGTCCTCCTTTCATCCATGTGGTACCGTCGTGAGGAACAAGCCGCGCGTGTGACATACTGGTGTGTAGTCGGTTGACCCTGACCTTGGCCCCCTTCTCTCCGGGCATCATTTACCATGCCTCGTACGCCTGCCCAGCAAAGCAAAATAGGAGAGCTAACGTACCCGCTTCTCATGATACAAGGTATATGATGAACGGTGCGCAGCAAATCGTGGGCGGCCTGCTCGCCTACTGCTTCAGCTTGATCACATCGGGGCCGCTCAAGTCGTGGCAGTGGCTGTTCCTATCATACGGCATCATCTCGGTCATCTACGGCTTCTGGGTCGGGTGGTGGATGCCCGACTCGCCCATGCGGGCCAAGTGCTTCACCGAGGAGGAGAAGCACGAGATGGTGGAGCGCGTGCGAGACAACCAGACGGGAATCCAGAACCGCGAGTTCAAGAAGAAGCAGTTCGTGGAAGGGCTCGCCGACCCTCAGGTCTGGGGCTACTGCATGATCTCCATCTGCACCACGCTGCCGACCTCGGGCCTCGGCGCCTTCGCCAACATCATCATCAATAGCTTCGGCTTCAGCGTCCTGGAGACCCAACTTCTCGCCATGGTGCTGGGCTTCTATATCATCATCGTCCTGATGAGCTCCAGCTGGCTGGTCAAGAAGACGAGCCAGAACCTGTGGATCATGCTCGTTTATTGTATTCCGTAAGTCTTTGACCCGTCTTACCTCTTTGAATTCAACAAGCAGGCTCGGTCTAGTTGGGGGGGTTTTTAGGTGACTAACCTTGACGGTGGGGGATTTTCAGGTCCTTCGTCGGTACCATCTTGCTCATGACGGTCCTCCCAGGAGACCGGTCGCGGAATATTGGGCTTCTAAGTATGTTGCTCCTTTGTCGATGTGGTCGTGTCCCTTCGCTGCCCCTGCGCCTCGTAGGAGGAGCAAATTCACTGGTGTCATGACTCATGAACGGACAAAACTGACACCCAATTGACAGTCAGCTACTACATCACCCTTTCTTTCTGGGCCGCCCAGACACTGGCGCTGTCGCTCATCTCGCGGAACATCGCCGGCCAGACCAAGAAGACGGTGGCCGTCGCCCTGAACTTCATCTGCTGGGCCGCCGGCAATGCAATCGGTGAATAGCGCCCCGTTTCTTTGCGTTCCCACCATTCGCATATACTAACCTGCCCTCCCCAACTCAGGCCCTCAAGTGTTCCTTTCCTGGGACGCCCCCCGGTACTACATCGCCTTTGCGACACACCTGGGATGCTACAGCGTCCTGGTACTGGTGATTATGGCGCTGCGGTTCTACCTCGTGCGGCAGAACAAGAAGCGGGACGCCCTGGCAGCCGCCGGCGTGCAGGAGGCAAGCAAGGATTACGTGGTGCACGCTTGGGAGGACTTGACGGACCGGGAGAATCTGACCTTCCGCTATGTGTTCTAAACAGAATTCGAGTCTTGCCGACAACGATCCGGTGGTGTTGTAAATGTCGAGATAGAGAGACAGCGAGATCGAACACCAATTTGGTCAATGCAGGCTGGAAAACACGCAGTAAGAAGCAAGCGGAAAGAGAAGTGCCGGGAAAGTCGTGAATGTTGTCGCCACGTCGTCCCCACGTCGTCAAGGACATTCTGCTTTGTGAATCATCCGAGTTCGATAGGTGTCTGGTGAGGTGGTGTCCAGATTGTGCCTCTTCAGAAACTCCCGCGGTAACTCCATCTCACAAAGTCCATCGCCAAAGTAGCGTTTTCAAAGCAAGAGGAATCCTTTTCGCTGCCAGTACAAGAAATCTGGCGTCGTCAGAGATCCTCCGAGGCACGACGTTTTTCCAAGCTCAACACAATGCGAGCCCCACATCGGCGATTGGCTGTACGAAGTATACTTCGTACATCTCTTCCTCGAAAACCTTGTTATACTGAGTAAGTGTTGGGCGTTGTCGAACGGCTGAAAGAGAAAAAGAGGCGGACGAGATGAGTCGAGACAATCGAGAAAACTGAATACGGAGATGACTGAAATACCTTAGGTATAAGGTTTATTTTTTTCAACGTCGTACCTAGGTAAAAGAACTTCACGTGTACAGGTATCGATGCTTGGCATGTACTTTGTACGGACATGTCGGTATGACGCACCTACGAGTTTTTAGCACTCGCTAAGCGAACCGGGAAGGAAACCTCCGGGATCTGCAAACCACCACACACAATCGCGTATGCGGATTGGGTAACTCGGTAGCTTCACAGGGCTGTCACTGTCAGGTGCCGCCGCAACACCACCACTGAGGTTGTTTAGAAAGGTAGGTACATGCGGGGTACGGGTATGGCGTACGGGTAAGGTACTTAGCTCGAGGTACCTACGTACTGGACCTTACCTAGGTATCCCCGCCGTCTGGCCCGTCTCTGACCATGACGCGCATTCGTTTTCTTTTTCTTCCCTCTTTTCCTTCTGACATCCTCGACCGAGTTCTCCTAGCTCCAAGAAGAAAAGGAAGGCTGGTCGATTTTTATTTTCATGAAAGTCCTTGCTCGATTTCGCCTCCGTCGACCCCAACTCAATCTACGTTTCCTTTGCTCATCTACGTCACTCCTTCGCAAGACCGACTCGAACCCTTCGCTGAGCCCCTCCGATCGACCTCGACCGCGACCAATTTTCTGTTGTTTTTTCTCCCAAACAAACGATAAACATCACCTCTATACACTCTTACACGGTCCCCTGTTGCCGTCGCCACTATCTGTATCGTCCTCGCCGATGCCCGGCACGAAGCTCTACCTTCCCTCCAACATAGCAAGAGACAACACAATATATACAAGCCATGAGACCTAGCGGTCGACCCAACCTGCGTCGCATAGCGGCTGGCTCCCGGGTTGGCTCTTTCCACGCCGGTGAGCCCATGCCGAGCTTCGAAGGCGGTCGTCACGCCCGTCCTATCATCAGTCGCGAATCCACATATCGATACCAGACCTTTCCGCTTCCTTCTCCCAAGACTCCCGGTGCGCGGTCCGCGAGGCTAGGGGATGAGGGCGTCTCCTCCGGCCGCCAGTCGCCCCACGAGGAGACCCCGCTACCTATCCGCCAGCTTGGTCTCCTCGCCATCCTCTCCCTCGCCGAGCAGACTGCCCTCAACTCCATCTCCCCGTACCTACCTCAGATGGTCGAGTCCTTCCCGGAGGTTGGAGAGAATGAAGCCGGCCTCTACGTCGGTATCCTCGCTTCCTCCTTCGCCCTCGCCCAGCTGTCCACCAACCTTCTCTGGGGCTACCTGTCCGACCTTGTCGGCCGGAAGCTCACCATGGTCCTCGGTACCTTCCTCCTCATGGGCTGTTTCATCGCCTTCGGCTTCTGCCGGTCCTACTGGCAGGTCGTCGTCGTTCACGTCGCCATGGGCCTGCTCAACGGCAACGCCGCCGTCGTCCCCACCGTCCTCGGCGAGGTCACCGACCGCTCCAACCAGAGCCGCGCCTTCACCTGGCTCCCCGTCATCTACTCCCTTGGCAGCATTACCGGCCCGGCCGTCGGCGGCCTGCTCGTCGGCAAATTCGACCATTCATACCCGTATCTCGCCCCCAACCTTGTCAGCGCCATGCTGCTCCTTTTCAGCGTCGTAGTCGTGACCCTCTTTTTCGAGGAAACCCTCGAGAGCTTCGACGGGCTGCATATAGAGACATGGGTTCCCCAATGGCTTCAGAGGGCGTGGGCTAAGACTTGGCGTCCCTCGGAGCCGCCCCGTCGGAACAGTTGGAGCTCTCGCTGGCCCCGCCGAGGCGTGCGTCCTGTGATCAGGTATGACGACTATGATGAGGAAGACGACTTCGATGAAGAGGAGGACCAAGACCAAGGGGAATCACATGAGTCTCGGGGACTTTTGCATCCCAACACGGCGAATGGAAACCCCGACGACGACAAGGATGACGAGCACACCACGTGGCGCCAACTGCTCGACCGCAACACCGTCCTCGTTCTCCTTACCTACCTCGTCTTCCAGTTGGCCAACATCTCCTTCAACGGCCTCTACCCCATCTTCGCCGACGCCAAACCTCCTACCGGCCGCAACCTGTCGCCCGGAATCATTGGCACCATTCTCAGCGTGGCTGGGGTGGCCACCATCGTGTTCCAGGCCTTCATCTTCCAGCACGTTAAGACGCATCTGGGGAACCTCGGGACCTACCGCATCGCTCTGTGCGGTCTTGCCGTCAGCATGACCCTCATGCCCTGGGTAGGCTACCGGGACGACGAACCACCTCTGGGCATCGGCACGGGACAGGGTTGGCTGTACGCCGAGCTCGTGTCTGTCCTGATCATCAAGAATATCTGCGCTGTGGGAGGGCTGTCGTCCGTAATGTTGCTGGTAAGTTTTCTTTCAACCAAACCACTCAAACCCATTTTCCTCTCCCCCTCCCTTGCCTTTTTTTTTTCGTCCCTCGAGTGTCTTAGTCCACTGACGAAAAAAAACGGTAGATCACCAACTGCGCTCCGAACAACGGCACGCTCGGCACGCTCAACGGAATGGCTCAGAGCTTGTCCGCTGCCGGTCGCAGCGTTGGTCCTTTCCTGTCCGGCGCCCTGTTCACGCTTTCCATGGATGTGCAACCGAAAGGGGAGGCTCTTGTCTGGGGCATCTTCGGCGGTGTTGCCTTTGTGGGCTGGCTCTGTTCCATGCTCATCAAGAACAGAGGGCTCGAAAGCGATGACTGGGTGGGGAACGAGGACGACGAGGACGACGACTCGATAGACGACGAAAGCCAGTTATAGGGTGCCCTTCGCGCACAGAAACCGACTGAGTTCCATTATTGGGATGTACTTTTATAAGGGAGGAATTGAAACGAGACGTGTCTCTGTACGCATTTGCTTTACACGGCGTTTGAACCGGGAAGGGTCAAGAAACAGGGCTTTGCAATACTGCCTCTGGATAGAAAGGCATGTGCAGTCGCAGGGGGTTATGGGTTCGAGGCCGGACAGCGATAAGGACACAGGAGTAAGTGATGGCGCTCGGTGTTGGACAGTATACAGGATATACAAGACCCCTTTTTTTTCTCTTTTTTCTTCTTCTCATATCTTTGTTTCCTCTTGTTTTTTTGCGTATTTTACTTTCGCATTTTCGTCTCCGTACACAGTACTCAGTAGGACCCTCAACCCTCAACAGCTACGACGCCGAGACCGCAGCAACCCAAGAAGCGTGAATGGTTTAGTGGTAAAATTCTCCGTTGCCATCGGGGAGCCCTGGGTTCGATTCCCAGTTCACGCAAGGGTTTTCAGCCACCATTTTCCGAACTGGTGTAACGGTTAACATTTGTCGCTCTCAAGCTTTGAGCTGTAGCGCCGACAGGCCCAGGGTTCGACTCCCTGGTTCGGAATCTTTTCTTTTTCTTTTTCGTCGTACTTCGGGGGCAGCATGCGTGTAACTTTTTTTTTTTAGTTGAGAAAAGAAAGTCGTTGTTTCCTCAACAACAACAAAAAAGAAGAAGAAAAAAAAGGAAAAAGGAAAAAGAAAAAAGACGCGACGCGACAACGGCCCGTCATGGCGGTTTCCGCAGCGCAAGTGGGGATTCTCGAACACTAGCCTCAAAGCTATACAAGATTACTCATTACGATTCGTGCCTCCTATAATAACCCATACGAAGTTCAATGGGTCCATCGTGTGAAATGCTTCGAAGCCTCAGACTATCGATTGTAGACCGGTTGAAGGTGAAGAAAAGGTCAAGTCAGTCTTCCATTGAAGTGGTTTGTAGGCGTCCCAACCGTACGAACCGACCCATGGGGATTTCACGCGTGGCGTACCTCTGTCCAATATGAATGACTGGTGTGTACCTACCTACCTCTCTATGATCTATCAAAGCTGTACCTCTATAAATATATCCGCCCATTCTCTCATGCCATGCACGTCCCGAGAAACAAAACCCCCCCCCCACTCAGTCCCATCCTTCGCTTCGGCGTTCCAACCCGAAGTGGCTTCTCCCCCATTCCATTCTCTGACAACTCCCGCCATATCGTTTCCCTTCCCCTTTAATACCAAGTCGGCGGGCTCGTCCAATGCCGCAGCATACGGTTCACGGCCCTTGTCCACTCGTCCTCGAATAGCATGCGTAGCTGCTGCGCCTCTTGCGGCGACGGGTCCCGCCCGCCCCACATCTCGGGCTTATTTGCTTCCAGAGCGGCGTACTCGGAAATCAAGTTCCTGTTCGGTGAGAGGGTCACCGGACCGAAGAGTTAGCGGGATGCGCCATTGTGTCGAATGTTTTTTTTTTTTCTTTTTTCTTCTCTCCCTTTTTTTCCGTTTTTTTTTTCGTTTCCTTCTCCACTGCGGTTATTCTGTCCGAATTGTTGGGAGACCCCTTTTCCCCACCATGGGAAGGAAACACAGAGTCCAGCAGAGACAGGACGACGGGAAAGGTGAACGCAAAAAGAGATGGGGGAAAAGGGGCAGAAAAGAGAATCACTGCTGACGTACTCTTCTTTGATTTTGGTCAAGATCAGCCAAGCAAGGTTCCAACTGCGATTCGAATCCGGATCACTGCGAACTTGCATGTGCGCATCGTGGACTATATCCCCGTGGAACGGGTACGCTCTCGTGAGGCCCTGCAGCTCCATCAGGAACTGGTTGCTGGTGACGTAGTAGTTCCACGCCAGCGTCATGGGCTCTTGGAATGCCTGGGTCTCTTCGGCCCTCTCGCAGGCGGCCGCAACCTTCTCTATGCGACAGAGTTCCGTGAGGGTATTGACGCGGTGGGTGAGGAGAGCGTCGATCAGTTCTTGAAGTGACCTCTGGACAGGAGAGTTAGCCTCGCTCTTTCTCGTTCATTGACCCGTGTTTACTCCTGCCCTTTTAGGTTTCTAGGGCGGGACGAGATGGTGTCTTCCACAAGTCTCATGTCGTATGCGCTTGGCAGTGACAGTTGGTTCACTTACCCGGAGATGCCTCGACCCGGAGCCCCCCGAGTAACTGCTACCAGAGCTCCGGTGGCTCGATCCGGTAGATGGGTGAGGCGACATGACGGAGGAGGAGGAGGAGATGCTTGGTGATAGTCCAAAAGTCCTGGAGGTTCGAAGTGGGCGTAAGGGTGAGGAGAGTGTCGAAGTCGGTGCCTATCTTGAGCTGGAGTGATCGGATGATATCTTTGCTCTTGCTTGCAACAAGGGATGCCCATGTTCAGGTGAGTTTCGACAGACTTTATATCATGATCTCCCTCCTTGATGTTAATCCAAGCACTATGCCTTTGTAAGAAGAGGCCTCCGTGGTTAGAGTTGAAGATGATGGCGATCTTCTTGCGATCGTGAGATGGTATAATTATGGAAGAGAGAGGTGATGGTGCGGAGACCGCCGGCGAAGAAAACCTGCCAAAAGGCGAAACCATCGCCGGGAGACGTTCCAACTTCCAGATGGGAGGCAGAAGGATCGAGGAACCCTTGCCTAGTGCGTTCGGCTATTCGAAGGGAACAAAACCGGGAAGCTGGCAGTGATCGGAGTCGTGAAGACAAGGTATGATGAAGATAGACGGAGGCGCTACAGGTACGGGTACGCCCGGACCGCCAGGGCCACAAGGGGCTAACGGGTCTCCGGGAACTGACATCCACCATTCTGGAAACCGCCGAAAATACAATGGGCAACCGACAAGGGATCCTCACGACCCGAGACATTCGGGGCGATAGAGGATATAACAGAGAGGCGGTTCGTGGTGGGGCGGACAGGGGTAGAGTGCCAAGGAGCAGGGTTAGTCGTGGTTGTCCAAATTGGGTACCCTACCTTATCGTGCAGCCCATGCGCTTCCCTGTCATGATGCACCAGTAATAGATAGGGCTGAACGATTGAGAGGCCCACGACGGGAGAGGTTTCAAGTCCAGATGGGGATGACTCCAGTGTACCGCACGTGGCCGTCTTCGCACCCTACAAAGATAGCTCGTTGACTATGCCCCAGCAAGATCAAGGGCCTGCTCTGATTTTGGACAGTAGGCATGCCTGCATCGTAGCATATGTTATTTCTCGGGAAAGTGCAGAGCTTGACTTTCGACACGAAGTCACTGAAGAGTGAAAATTACGGGCTGGCAAGTGGAATCTTCGAAGTTCGGAACTCCAATTGCTGGATGAGTGGACACGGCTCCAGGACTATCAGATAGTCTCGTTGTAAAAGAAAGGAATAATACTTCCCTGGCATTGTAGAGGGCATACCTATGGCACACAGCAAAGGAAGTTCGTCCTCCCAAGGACGGAAGGTACCTTTGGACACCGATCGTCTCTTCTGGCCGGGGAATATAGGAATCGGACTAATAGATCGAGTGCCAGACTGCTACGGAAAGAGGTCGCCAAGAAAACGTGGGGCAAGAGATCATATCGCGTGAGATTGCGGAGCCGCCGAAACAAAACACGATGAGAAACAAGAGATGTAGAAGTCAACAAGCTCAGAGGTGGCGGGGCAGCTCCTTCGAGTCTTCGACCCCATGTCCAACCTTAGCGTGGGGTAAGACCCCGGCAATTCTTGTAATATGATTGGATGACGCGCTTATAAGCGCGGCCGCGCTCCGTCCGCCACCGTTGGAGGCCTAATAAACGCCCGATAGACGTTGGTCTTGCCCTAGGCCAGGGGTTGGGAGACGTCGGCCGAAATCGTTCCGCGATGCACCTCATTGCAACCGTTTTGTGCACTTGTCCAAAACTCGGCACTCAAAACCCGGCTTTGCCTGTGGTGGGCGGGATGGGGTGTGAACCATGGTACGTACCCTCGAATGGTGACATCCCGGAAGAACTCCACTTAGAACCATATGAGCATCTTCACTCTACAGTGAGAATAGAGCGCCACATGGTTGGCATATATCGACACGTATATAGACGTGAAAAAGGCGTTCTCTTAGACAGCCCGTTGCATGATTGCATGATCTGCTTGACCCGAGTTCACGTTCTGGTCACGGGTCTAGCCCGTTTTCACCGCCTCCCATCGATCGTCTGGTCCGGGCCCAGCTGTGGCTCTGCCAATCCCAAACGCTCAAAATACCCCGCAACTTTAAAGCACAGGCCAGCCATCTATGGCTTAGTGTGTTCTTTTTTTAGCGCCCTGATGAATCAGCATGCCCCTTCTTTAAGCCTCATCAGTTCCAACATAATTACATCTCGCAACTCTCAAACATATCAACATCAAGGAAGAGCCCAGAAGCGCCTTGCTCCATTATCACATAAATCTGACAGATTCTATTTTTTCCCCTCAAAATATTTGTTTCACAATTTGATCCTTTGGTCAATGGTCCTGGGCTGCCTCCCAATGGAGCAGAATGGCAAATCGAAGGACGGTCCAAACGTCGAGAGATTGCTCCAGTAGCTTGGTTGGAGAAGCCTGGTGCCCTAAGGGCGAACAAATTTCGTGTCCAAGTTTGATTCTCTACTATGGTATTCAGATCTCTCCAGATGCTCTTATTTTGCCAAGACGTGGTTAGGCCCGTTTTCCCCATTCGTAGTCATTCGTAGTCCCAAGTACCTTTCCGAAAAGCTCGATACCCCCCCCAACCCCCCCCCCCCCCCCCCCCCCCCCCCCCCCCAAACCCCTTGAAGCAACTCAAATAAATGTCTTCATGCCCCCAATACACTTTTCTTCACTTATTTTATCACGGCGCAGGTCGCAGCCTACCACTTGGCAACAACGGGCAGATCCCTTGAACTCTGCCCGACGGCAAACGAGTACTGTCCAGAAGTAACCATGACCCAATTCTGCTGCACGACATCCCAGTAGCTGAGGTCCCTCCGCGTCAGGTCAAACGAAACGCTCTTCTTCTCGCCCTTCTCCAGGTTGAACTTCTCGAACCCGCGGAGGACGCGGACCGGGAAGTCAATCTCGGGCTCGGTGTCGGGGTACGACAGGTAAAGCTGGGGAACCACCTTCCCGGCCACGGGACCCGTGTTGGTAACGTCGACCGTCACGGTCACGTAGGTCTCCCACAGGTCGGGGTTGCCGCCCTGGTCGCCGCCCGCCTGGGAGAGGGCCTGAGCGACATCGTATCCCTCTGGGTACGGGTAAGGGTCCTGCTTGATGTCGTCGACGGAGTCGAGGTACGGATAGTTGTACCGCTCCAGCCGGCGGAGATCGGAGGGCCACAGGGCCTCCTCGGGATCGGGAATCGACTCGTCGAAGGTGGGCGGCTCGGCGCTCGCGGCGGGCCGGGGCGAAGGAAGCGGCGACTTGTCCTTGACAGACTTGACCTTGACATTCGAGAACTGAAACGTCGTGTACGACAGGCCGAACCCGAACTCGAAGCGGGGCTCGATATTGTACTTGTCGAAGTGGCGGTAGTCGATGTAGAGGCCCTCCTTGAAGTCTTGCTGGGGAACGACGCCGTTGGGCAGATACATAATCTGGCCCCCCTCGCCATAATCCTTGAGCGACTTGGCAATGGTGTACGGCAGCTTGCCGTTCGGGTTCATGTCGCCGAAGATGAGCTCCGCCAGCGCATCTCCGCTCTCTTGGCCGGGGAGGTTGGCGTACAGCACGGCCTTCACGCGGGGCAACTCAATCCAGCGCTCCATATCAACGGGGCCCACGGAGTGAATGACGACGACGGTGTCTCCGTTACCATTTCCACACTTCTCGACGACGTGTTCAATCAGGTCGTCCCCACCCTTCTGCAGCGAAAGGTCGTTGCGGTCGCCACCGACACTGCCCCAAGCGAGGAAGCCCTCGCCGCCGTCCGAGTTGGCAAAGACAAAGCAAATGTCCTGTTCCGCAAGAACAGATGGGTTTCTCTTGTAGTAGTCGAGCTTGTTGTCCAGATGCTCGGTGATGGTCACCTTGTCCTCGTCGAACTCCCTCTTCAGGGACTCAGCGGGCGTGATGAGGTAGGGAAACTCGGCGGACCCGCTGCCCCATCCCTCGGCCAGAGTACCCTGGTTGCAACCGCGGTCTTTGCAGTAGTTGGGACCTTTGCCGGGACCAGCGTCTTCTCCGAAAACACCGACCTTGAGCTTGCCATCGTGAAGCTTCTTCTGCTCGATGCCGACCAGCCCGTCCCTGCTGATAGGCAGAACACCCTCATTCTTCAAGAGGACGGTTCCTTCGGCAGCGACCTGACGAGCAAGGTCCTTATGAGGCAGCAGCACCTGGACGTATTGGTTGACCTCAGATTCCTCCTGCGGCGTCTTGCTACCCGGGGCGAGTACGCCCATCTTTTCATTGGTCCACGAGGAGAAGTTGGGCAGCTCCTCGGGGTAGAGTTCCTTGTTGTCCTGGCCGAGCTGATACCAGGCCGCAACGATACGGACGACCATGTCGTTCAACCTGTCGACGGGGACGGAACCGTTGAGAACGGCTCTCGACAGCTCGCCGCCCCAGAGGGACTTGCCATCTTCCCAAAAAAGACCGTCACCGGGCATGGTCATGTCCAGGCCGGCCAGGGCACTGCCGACACCAGAGCGTTGGGCCAGCCAATCGGACATGACGAAACCCTGGAAGCCCATCTCGTCCTTGAGAATGCCGTTCATGAGTTTGGAGTTGTCGCAGGCGTAGCTGTTGTTGACCATGTTGTACGAGCACATGACACTAAAAGTCCAAAGCGCGGTTAGCATGGGGTGTGCGTGATAAGCGAGAAAGGGGGGAAAAGCAGAGGGGGGGGGGGGGGGGGGGGGGGGGGGGGGAAGGAATGGGAGTGGATTGACTTGCCTGGCCACGCCGGCCCTGATCGAGTCAGCAAAGGGCCATGCGTAGAGCTCATGGAGGGTACGGTCATCGATGTTGGCGGAGAGGGCGTTGGGCAGGCCCCACTCCCAACTCTGGCGGAAATGCTCCTGTTCGTTGGCAACGAAATGCTTGATGGTGGCCATGACGCCCTGGTCCTGGACGCCCTTGATGGTCTCGGCGGCAGCAATGCCCTGGAGGTAGGGGTCGGAGCCAAAACCTTCCCAGTTGCGGCCTCCGGCTGGCATACGGCCGAGAGGGCCCACACACGGGCCGAGGAGGACGTGGATGCCCTTCTGCCGGGTTTCGAGGCCGTGACCCTTCCCACGCAGATAAAAGAGCTCCTTGTTGAAGGTGGCGCCGGTGGTAATACCGGCCGGCCAAGCGGTGGCGTTGTCGGCGAAGCGAATACCGAGAGGGCCGTCCTGAAGCTGCAGCTGAGGGAAGCCGACGTGCAGAGCCGGGCCGGTGGTGCCGACGGCCAGACCCATCCTCCAACCGGTGCCAGTGGTGATGTTCACTTTCTCGGGAAGAGTCATGCGGGAGACCATGTCGGCGGCCTTCTTGTAACTATCGGCCCAGGATTTGAGGGTGCCGCCCTTCGGAGCAGGGTACCAAGGGGGAGACTCCCCGGTGGGGGGTGCCTCCTTGTACTTGGTGTAGAAAACGGCACCCCCGGCGCTGAGGATGGCCCAGAGTCCGAGAAGGACGCAGGTGACGATGACACAGCATCTGGACCGGCCTTTGAAAGGTCTGCGGAGCGAGGAAAACGGACCGGGCCGCGGGCCGCCGAGGAAGGCAGGTTGTGTAGATGTCGCTGTAGACTTGGGCCTAAGGTGTTCGGTCACGTCAATGTCGGAGTCTGAATCCTGTGAGCGACGACGTCTGCTGCCGTCGTCGGACAGGAGTCGTTTGCTGCTCGGATCCATGGTCGAGACGAGTGGTGTCCAGGGGGACGACGGTGTGTCTCGGAGCAATTAGGTAGGAGACTTGGGACAGCAACTTCCGAGCTGACAGGCTTGGAAAAGTTCGATGAAGAGTACGTTGTAGCGAATCAACCGTATCGTTTTAGGAACATCGAGCCCGTTTCAAGATGATTTGACTGCCCTGCCGGTGGATTGACCTTCTCGTCGTCGTTGTGAGGTTTGTTCGAACGAAGAGACAGAACTGACCAGGCCCTGACCGCCAGATACCTTCCCAATTCGCTCGAAAAAAACTGAGGGGGTAAAGCAAAATAGAAGAGGCTGAGAACGGAAGGGATAAGTGGGAAAAGAAAATTATAAAAGGAGGAAATATTCTGGGTGGGAAGGGGTGGGTGGGGGAAGGAAGAGAGAAAAGACGAAGGGGTTGAGATGTGCTCAGCTTGCTGCCGAACAAACAGAAGGTCCAAGTGCTATTACTCCGTACGTTGTACTGTTTGTTGCTGCAGTGTCACAGTGGGGGGCGGGGAGCGGGGAGCTACAGTGGAGTGTCTCCTCCCACCTCCCCACGCTCACCGGCCCACCTGCTCTGCATCCCACCATCCGCACGGTGCAATGTCATCCCCTTCAGGGGACGCGACCCATGCCAGTCCCTAAGATACAACGTGCGAATTGCTATGTCTCTTCACCGAGTGCTAGACCGCCTAGTGACGTACATGACACGCTTGATTGGCGCGGAGTCCCGGTACTTCGGGCCTAGTGGGTTTGCAAAGGTCCCCTGAAACGTAATTATTGACACTGTGAAAGGAGACCCCCGATGCCCGGCTAAACCTCGTTGTCTTCGGGGCTGCACAGTGCAGAGTAGGGTCCGATTTCTTTCTTTTTTTCTCATTTCTTTTTCTTACTTCGTACTGTCCTTAAACAGGGTCGTTATTGACAAATGTGGAGATTGTAATTCCTGATGCTCCTTGAACCCCCTCGAAATATCTTGATAGAACAGATTGGACTGGTGTTGTTACTATTAAACGTCGAGAGGAAACTGGAGGTACGATCCAGAATTTATGGGCATTATATCTTCCCTTGCAGGCAGCGCGCTTGGTAGTGACGATCAGGTTTGGTCAGAAGTCTTGATCGAGGCTGATTTTGTCCGACTGCCTTGGCAGAGAAATATTAGTTCATAAGCCGCCTTGGGGTAGAGATCATCCATCAGATCCTTCCATCATGATATTTGCCTTTACCGGATGTCGTTCCGCAAGGGCAGAATCCTTTGCTTTCAATGGTGTTCAGAATTGTGTATATACTTGGTTGGTTATTTTCTTGTTGCTATGGCTATGGGCCCAATTGTCGGTCTAGGTCTGAGAAGGGCATACAGTCGGTTGAAGTATCCGTAGATTGCGGTTCATTGAAGGTTGTCATCGGACACTCACTCGAGAGAAGCTTACAGTGTCCGTTCCGTACTTCGGACTTTGAATTTTTGAATTTTGAACACCTTTGGCTGACAGACCAAGATTATTGGATTAATAAGCTCCCGGTGTCTGGCAGTGTTATCTGTTCGATAAGATAGAGAGTAAGATAAGATAAAGCGTCAGGCCAGAGAAAAAAAAAAGAGGAATGGGGGGAAAAGACGGAGGAGGACCCCTCGAAAAATTTCACATAGAGGACAGGATTGGATGGCGGGGTTCCATCCATAATATTTCCTATCTACCCAAGGCGCCGTTGGTTGTAAAGTCCCTCGCCGCTTTCTTCTCCCTCTCTCCCTCCCGTTTTTTTGTTCTCTTCTTCTCTTTGAACTCACTCGAGAAGACGAGACTCGACGACCGAGATCAACGTCAATCACGCAAACTAGAATCTTTAGTCTTCTGTTTATTTTCATCTGTGTGCACATTTCTCGCCTACCTTGATCGCTGCTCGCTTGACCACACCCATCTGGCTCGCGTTGCGACGCCTTCCCTTCCCCTTCCCCTTCCCCTTCTCCTTCCCCCTTCATCATTTCAGAGCATCTCGCCGGTGGCCACCATGACACTTCTGGCGGTATCCAAGGACGCGGCGCCTCCCCCATCGCAGGAGGACGTCTCCGCCTTCCTCCACACCATCTTTAACGCCCAGACTTCCAACGCCTCCATCGAAGCCGCATATGGCCTCTGCGACCTCCTCCTCAACTCGGTCGGCTGCCTGGGCTTTCACCAGTATGGCATCCTTGCCGAGATCCGCAAGGCAGCGACCGACAAGAAAAGCGGCCTCCGTCGCGAGAGCGCCCAGAACCTCCTCGGCGCCCTCTTCGAACGCTTCCCCGCCAAACAGCGCCTCAGCGAGGTCGTTTTCCTGATCCAGGACGGCGGCCTCGTCAGTCTCGCCCTCGATGCCCTCGCCGACAAGGGAGCCGTCGTCCGCGACGCCGCTCAGTATGGCCTCAATGCCCTCTTCGCCAACCTCTCCGCCGAGGCCCTTGTCGTCGGCCTCCTCCCCGCTCTCACCAGATACCTTTCCAAGAAGACGGGCAAGTGGCAAGGCACCGTCGGCGCCTTCAAACTGCTTCAAAAGATGGCAGACAAGGCAAAGCTCGTCGTCGGCTCCACCAAGGAGGAGGCCGCTGAGCAGGACGTCGTCCGCGACGCCATGGGTACCAAGCTCGCCGCCTTGATCCCCTTCGCCGAGGAAGGCATGCACGACATGAAGGCCGAAGTCGCCAAGCAGGCCGTTCAGACCATGACCTCCCTGACCGGGCTGCTGTCTAACGACGATGTCGGGCCCCGGATACCCCTCCTCATTGATACCATGGAGCAGCCTTCCACCGAGACGCTCCGCAAGGCCATTCATGCCCTCTCCCAGACCACTTTCGTCGCCGTCGTCACCTCCCCCGTCCTGGCCTTCCTGACTCCCTTGCTCGAACGATCCCTGAATACCCCGACCACATCCCAAGAGGTTCTGCGCCAGACCGTCGTCGTCGTCGAGAACCTCACCAAGCTCGTCCACGATCCCATCGAGGCCCGCACCTTCTTGCCCAAGCTGAAGCCCGGTGTCAAGGGCGTTTACGATCGAGCCTCCCTTCCCGAAGTCCGAGACCTGGCAAAGAGGGCTCTCGACGTCATCGACAAGGCCATGGGCAGCGACAAGGATGTTGTCGAGCGCGTTTCTTCCAGTGACGTCGACAAGCTTCTCGATCCCGAGATCAAGAAGAATGGTGGTCTCTCCGGCCCGCCCGAATTGATCAAACTTGCGCGGACATATGTGTGCGAAATGGTTGCTGAAGATGTGAACCACCGTTACGTCGGCAGGACCGCTGGCAAGATTGCGCCTTATCTGGAGTTGTTCACCCAGTCTCAGGATGCCATCGCCGACGCTGTCCAGAAACACTATGTCGACGAGGATAAACGGCGCCACGGTGTACCAGAGAAAGAGGACGACGGCGAGGTCGAGATTGTCAATGCCGACTTCTCCCTTGCCTACGGAGGCATGCTTCTGCTCTCGCACACAAACCTGAGGCTTCTCAAGGGCCACCGCTATGGCTTGTGCGGCAGGAACGGTGCCGGCAAGTCCACTCTGATGCGGAGCATTGCCAACGGAAAGCTCGAGGGTTTCCCTTCGCAGGACGTCCTCCGGACGTGCTACGTGGAGCACAACCAGGGCGAAGATGCCGACATCAGCATTCTCGAGTTTGTGTCAAAAGACCCCGAGATCGCAGAGCAAGGACGCGATAAGATCATCGAGGTCTTGGCAGAATTCGGCTTCACCTCTGGGCCTGAAGGCCGGCAATCCCACCAAGTGGGCTCGCTCTCCGGTGGATGGAAGATGAAGCTTGCCTTGGCACGCGCCATGTTGAAGAAGGCCGACGTGCTCCTCCTGGACGAACCGACGAATCACCTGGACGTGGCCAACATCGCCTGGCTCGAGAACTACCTCAAGACCCATCCCGACATCACCAGCTTGATCGTGTCCCACGACTCGACTTTCCTCGACAACGTGACCACCGATATCTATCACTACGAGCCCAACAAGAAACTTGGCCACTACAAGGGCAACCTGGCCAGATTCGTCGAGCTCAGGCCCGAGGCAAAGAGCTATTACACCCTCTCGGCCTCTAACGTCCAGTTCAAGTTCCCGCCCCCGGGCATCCTCAGCGGCGTCAAGTCGCTTACCCGCACCATCCTCCGCATGTCCAACGTCTCTTACACCTATCCCAACGCCACGAAGCCTTCTCTCTCAGACGTTACCTGCCAGCTCACTCTGTCCTCCCGCGTTGCCATCATCGGCCCGAACGGAGCCGGCAAGTCGACGCTGATCAAGCTCCTCACCGGCGAGACCATCCCCACCACGGGCAAGGTCGAGAAGCACCCTAACCTACGTATCGGCTATATCAAGCAGCACGCGCTCGAGCACGTCGAGATGCACTTGGAGAAGACCCCCAACCAATATCTGCAGTGGCGATATGCCAACGGCGACGACCGCGAAGTTTTCCTCAAGCAGACGCGCATTCTTTCGGCCAAGGACAGGGAGCAGATGGACAAGGTGATAGACCCCGGCGATGGCAAGGGGCCGCGCCAGGTAGAAGCCCTTGTTGGTCGCCAGAAGTGGAAGAAGACCTTCCAATACGAAGTGTAAGTTACTTTCCGTTCCCTCCTTCCCTCCTTCCCTCCTTCCCTCCTTTCCCCCCACCCCCCCCCTTCCCGCTGCCCGATGTCCTGTCAGGGCGTTTTCCAGAATAGCAGATAGCATGGATGCTGACTTGAGGCGAACAGAAAATGGCGCAACTGGCTCCCCAAGCACAACAGCCAGGTTTCGCGGGAGACGCTCGAAGACTGGGGCTTCTCCAAGCTCGTCCAGGAGTTCGACGACCACGAAGCCTCCCGCGAAGGCCTGGGCTACCGCGAACTGCAACCCAGCGTCATCTCGAAGCACTTCCTCGACCTGGGTCTCGACCCGGAGATCGCCAACCACAACGAGATCGGCTCGCTCTCGGGCGGGCAGAAGGTCAAGGTCGTGCTCGCGGGCGCCATGTGGAACAACCCGCACCTCCTCGTGCTGGACGAGCCCACCAACTTCCTCGACCGCGACTCCCTCGGCGGTCTCGCCGTCGCCATCCGCGACTTCAAGGGCGGCGTCATCCTCATCTCCCACAACGAGGAGTTCGTCGGCGCCCTGTGCTCCGAGCAGTGGCTCGTCAACGACGGCCGCGTCGCCCTCCGCACCACCTCCGCCATCCACCTCGACCGCTTCGAGGACTCCTGCCCCTCCCCGCTCAACGGAACCAGCCGCCCCGCCTCCGCCATCCCCAGCACCGTCAACTCCACCGCCCCCAGCACCGTCTCTAGTGCCGTCAACTCGGGCGCCGAGGACGCCGGCGAGCTCAAGTTCAAGGCCAAGAAGAAGCGCAAGAAGACCAAGAAGGATCTCAAGGAGCAGGAGGTCCGCCGGCGCCTGCGTCACATTGAGTGGCTGAACAGCCCCAAGGGCACGCCGCACCCCCCTGACACCGATGATGAGGACTAAAGAAGAAGAGAGAAGAAAGAGACAAAGTCACATGTTTCCTTTGTCCTAAAGGCTCGCCTTTTCTTCTTTTCCATTTCTCTTTACCCCTTCCTTTCTGAATGGGAAAGATACCTTGGGCCAAACATGGGCCAACCGAGGGCGGATCTTGTGATTTCATGCGGGATGGTCTTTTGTCGTTTTGCTCTTTCCTTCGGACAGTGAGATTTGACCCTGGAGAGTTGCCGCGTGTGATGATTTGAATGACGAGTTAGGGGAGGCATAATGTCATTTCCCTTGTTGGCCTTGGGTCTGAAGGGTCGCCTGGATGCATGAGCCTTGGGCGATGGTATAGACAGAGCTGTAGACAGAGACGACGAAGAAGAAGGCACAAGAAAAAGTCTGGTTATAGAGGCGTTTTAGCATAGACAGGTGGTTAGGAACACGCTTTTTTTCTTCTTTCTTTTCTTCCTTTCCTTGACTGGAGCCGTCCAGAATCACTTAACTCGAGTCAAACAGCTTTTCATACTCCTAAGATTGTAATGGCCGATCCTGTCCATCTCCTGGTGATGAGGCAAAAGAACGGAGTCAAACGGGCAAGCCTTTGACAGTCATGCTGACACGACATGCTGACCAAATAACACATGCGATTAATGCCAAGTATATGTGGAAGTACGTGCGATCTCTGTTGTCATTATGTTTCCTGCATTCTACCTTGCCTGCCAGTGAACAAAAAGACATTACAGCTGGCTGGGGTGAGGACCGAATTTCTCGAGTCCACCCTTGTTTGCCTCGGCAGCATAGCTCACAACCCCTATATCCTAGGCTATCAGCGGGCAAGTTATCCGTATTCTGAACCCCAAACCCCTTAACTCCAGCTCCCCCCGAGCTCCTCGTGGTAAAGGAAATCTTTAAATAGAGGCCCAATCCGCGTACTGTCATATATACGCCCGAACAGGTCGCGCAAATAGGTAGGCCGCACGACATTTCCGCTTCATGCCGTCATGCCTGCTCGCAAGGCCCAAGTCGGGAATCTTGGTGACCTCCGCAGACAAGCTCCTCGAATGTCCAAAGTCTATATATATCGTGCGGTTACACACATATCCGTGACGTGTAGGCGAAGATTCGCGCAAACGGCGAAAAAGAAAGGAAATTATGAAAGCTGATCAAAAAGAAGAGTATGACGGGACACTCGGTAAAAGAATGTAATGATAGCCGACGTTTACCACGAGAAGGTCATGAGGGCGGGATTAAGGGCGATGGGGAGCAGGAAGTGGCTGCCAGCGACCATGGACATGGGCAGGATAGCCACGAAATCCTGGATTCGCCAGGCATGGGGAACGAAAGGCGCAACAGCCAAAATGATCATGCCGACGATGAAGATGAGCGAAAACATCATGGAGAATTTGAACTAAGTTCAACGTTAGTGCTCTAGAATCACCAAATGCGAGCCCTGGGCCCGTCGGAACGCCGCCGGGGTCAAGGAGAGACTCACCTTCTTCAACACTTTGGGTACTTCGATGAAGAAATTCGAGAATTCGGCCTCTTTTGACGTCGCACCCCACGTCATGTTGATTTCGAACATATGCGCCAGCAGGGCCTGGCTGATATGCAGGCTGAGACCACCGAAGAAAATGGCTAGCATGAACATCCACATAAAGTTCTCGAAAAGGGACTTCAGCAGGCCCCTTTCGCCGATGCGATACCGCATGACGGCCAGGGAGACGTTGCCAAGACCGTTGAAGACGATGACAATGGAGAACCACACCCTCCACGAGTCGATGTAGTATTGGTCGAGATAACCGTTGAACCAGCCTATGAGGAAATAGTTGACGGACGTCATGATCCACGCAGCGCCGATAGCATAATATGTGCCGATATACGAGACGATGGTGATCTTCGAGGTGAAGCGGATGTTGCTGAAGAGGAACCTGCGGAACAACGGAGTGAAGGGCCCGCGCCAAAGCCAGGTGCGGATCGGGTTAAAGAGCAGTTCGTTGCATCCATATGCGTACTTCTCCCACCGAGCCAGTTCATCGTACACGGTAAGAGACACGCCTTCCTTGAAACCGTCGTTGGCCCATGCCGACAATCGGATGGTGTAGCCATTGCACTGAAGACGGAGGGACATGTCGAAATCCTCAGACACGTGCGATTCGGACCAGAACTTCTCGTACCCGTCGTGGTCGACGTAGCCGACCTGCTGGATGGCGCTCCATCGCAGGATGGCATTGTGGCCGACGAAAGGAGCGACGTCACCGTTGGCAACAGTGTAACGGATGGCCGTGTAGATGAGGTTGGTGAAGAAGGTGATTCCGTTTTCGAAATAGCTGTTGGTGACCTGCATAACGCCAGAAGAGAACTGCAAGATACCAACCTCCGGTGACTGCTCCATCTCGGATACAGCATCGAGGAGACAGTCGGCGGGAATCCGAGTGTCCGAGTCAATGATGAGGATGTAATCGCCTACGCGAATGTTGCCGTCAGCCCAAGCCTTGGGATTCTCCTTGAGGGCTTCCTTCAGAGCTTCCTCGTAGGCCAGCGCCTCGTCGTGTTGGGTCCACTCGGGGTGGCGCTCAATAACCTGCAGCTTTTCCTCCACGAGACAGGAGAGCATCAGAGCGTAGTTCATGTTCGAAGCCTTCTTGAATTTGCCACCTCGGATGAAACCATCCACGCCGTGTTTCGGCCGGGCAACCCAGCCGATGTTGTGGTCAGCGTAGAACTCAATGCGAGCGCGGCGGTCTTCCTCCGAGAGAAGCTGGAGACCGTCGTCGTTGACGAACATGTTGGCAGAGCCGCCCTGGAGCTCATAGGTCGACATGGCCTGCTTGATGGATTTCACGGTCGGAGCGATGACACCCTGGAGGCCCTCCTTGTAGACGGGGCATTGGACGGTGAGGTGTGGCAGCACGTCTCCTCGGAGCCGAGGAGGCGGGCGGGCCGAGAAGAATTTGGAGTTTATGGTCAATTGACGAATGGGGCCGAAGATCTGGGCCAGGCAACCGACGATGACCTGGGCGAAGAAGAGGGTGAAGAAGATCTGGAGCGGGAAGAGAGCAACCAGAGCCAAGCGGGTGAACTCGCCGTCGACGGTTGTCTGGAGAGCCAGTTGCCTCCAGGCGGCTCCGAGGGTGACGGTGACGAGGATGAGAGTGAAGGTGACAAGGATGGTATTCAAGAGATGAACGGGCCGGTTTTCGGGTTTAATCTCGCCGCTCTCCTCGTCGACCTCGTACTCGGCCACTGCGGGGCCTTTCTTCTCCTCGCCATCCTCCTCTTCGTTGCCCGAGTTCCACACGAGCTGCATGAGCTCAGACTCGATAGCTTTGGCGCGCGGGACCAGGTGAAGGGCATCGTCGTCCCAAACAATGAGGAGGCCTTCCGAGGCGACAAAGGCGGCAAACTGATGCTTCCTGGCACGGGCCAGATCTTCGATGGTAGGTAAAATCTGAACACGGAGACCATTCATCAAGGGGACGTCCACCGCGTCGGGCTGCCATTGCAGGAACGTCTTGATGACTCGGGAGTTGACGGTCATGGCGCACTAGGGAGGTCCGTTAGTCGCGAGGAGGCCACTACCTTATGCAAGCGGTTTGAAAGGGACGTACCTGGACGTTGAGAGCAGCAGCGGCGCGGCCAAAGGGGGAATTGGCAAGAGCCGGCGGGCAAGCCATGTAGGTGCCCCTCATTTTACGCAACAGAACACCCTCGACTTCGCCAGAGCCATCGCTGACCCAGAGGTGAGAGCATTGCTGCTGGTACAGGTAATTAACCATGACTTCGTGTTTAATGTCATCCAGAAACATGGAGCTGCCAAGGGATCTTGTTGAACGGCCGGAAAGGGACTGTCGGCGAGAGCTGTATCTTGGGGTAGGAGGTTGCAGCTCCATATCGTTCCGGCCCATGCGATCTGGGGGTTTTTCTGACATGGTCTTCGATTGGGATCCCGCCGGGGCTGCGGCCTCGGGTGAGGCTTTGAAATAGCTTTTGAAACCCATCTTGCCGAGTCTGTGTCGGGGAGGGTGTAGCCAGGCAGGCGCAAACGAAGCGGTTCGTTCCGCGTCGGACCTGTCAACGAGACAGAGGAAGAATATGTCCCAGATATCCTAGACTAATAATAAACGAGTGAACAGGGTGTCCCAAGACGCTAAGGTGTTTCGCTGCTGGATCAATGGGTCGGTGCCGAATCTTAATGTTGGCGAGGCTGGCGCGACTGGGGATCCGACGTTGAGATGAGCGGATGGGGGAGCGAACGTAAGCAGAGAATACTGGGAGAACGAGTGAAAGGGCGCCGATTACGTCCAACAGATGTGATTATATTAACGTGGGCGACTCTCTGATTGTCTGAATAGGCAGAGGAACCGAGTATCAGTCGTCGTGGCGCGAGGAAGGGGTCGAAGGCTTCCCAGTAGGAGTGCCTGTTACTGGAGCCCAATGTCAGTTTGCTCGTCCGTGGAATGAAGAGTCGAGGCCCGGTTAGGATAAGAAAATAATTAGAAAATAAAAACAAGAGCAAAAGCGAAAGAACTGGGTCAGATATTGAGCGAGTGAAGGGCTGGTAGCGGGGAAGAAAAGGGAAAGAAAAAACAAAACCGAAGGGCGAAATGGAACGCGTTGAAAAGGGCCACAGTAGTTGAGTGGGAGGCAGCGGATTCGAAGAAGAAGGGGGGGGGGGTGTGAGTGGCATCTTTGGCGACAGGCCCGCCAGCAAGGAAGCTAATAGAGCCGCCAAGCCAAAGCCAGACCGGCTAAGGTCTACAACGAAGATGATAACATCATGGCCGATGGGGAAGATGAAGCAGGGCTTACCCTGGCAGTGATAGTCCGCTGCAGACGACGGTTGGGCCCAAGCTGAAGTCCCCAGTAGGCTGGGTCGACGCTAAGTGGCGGAGTTCGCTCGATAAACGTTGTAATTAGTGCAAAACGGCTTCTGCTTCTGTTGTCCGGGTCTCGGCAGCGTTTTGCTATTCAGGATATGTCGATCGCAGTCGGCAAGTTGAGACAAAGGGCAGCGAGGTACGAAATAGATTTAAAGAAACAAAGCGAACGAGCGAATGATTTCCAGGAATAGTGAAGGCTTTTGTCAATTGTCTTGCAGCCGGCGAGGGCGACGACGATATCTTCTTTCTTGAGGCCTTGCCCATCAAGAAGAGCGATCAAAGGATAACGGAGGAGAGGGGACAGGGGGGACAGGGGGGAGGCAGAGGAGGAAAGAGGATCGACAGGAGTCCAGAGCACGAGCCGCCTTTCCGCTGCCCAGCTCCCAGCTCGGAAAACCATGCCGTACCGTACGTTGTACGTTGTACGTTGTACACGTGTAGACAGAGACCAAGCAATACAACGTACCTATACGAAGAGTCGATAACTGGCATGAACCAGGAAAGGTAAGGTACCGCTGACGAGTGTCCTTACAGGATACCGAATCTACCTTATCAGTCCTATTGTCTACTATGTATTACTTCGTCCGTTTTGGATGTGCCAGGTACGAAATATATTGCATAGTGTGAGCTGAGATACACTATTGGATTCGAAACGACGCGCTGCTTCCCTGAGCGAGGCAGGGCCTGGATACGATGGATGACAAGGGAAGGAGAGAAGGGGGGTTGTAGAGTGGATGCCGTTCAGGGGAACGGGGCGTGTGAAAAAGGGAGGAAGGGCGTGTGGTCAAGAGACCCAAAATAAAGTACAATGTATTCGTATTACGCAAGTCCATATATTGAAAAGAAAGCAACTAAACTTTCCTTATTCTTGGTCTCCCTTTTTGGTTTCTGTGTCTTTCTTTCTTTTCTAGGCACTTTTATCACTCCGTTTCTTTTCCGTCCGACTTGTCGCCCTCTGTGTACCTAGGTATCCGTTATGTATATCCCTGGTTCGAACGTGGTACCTGAACCCGCTATATGTAACTCCAATTGGCCTTTAACAGGGGTCTTCTATTTTCCGTATTCTCCCGCCTCGCCCTCTTCTTCGCCTAGAGAAATTAGTCTCTTGGCAATCGTTCCTGCCTGCCATGTCTGGCGAGGCCCTAGCCGAATAAGAAAAGACCCACATTGCAGGGGCCACTCAAAAACGGTTGCCCGTTCCTCACTTTGCCGTCCGAGTTCTCTATTTTAGAGTTGCCTTTGGACAACGCGGATGGATAGGTAGGCTACCTATGCATTTTACGAATATGTGAATGGCTTATTACTGCTCCAGCGTATCGAGGAACGGTTCCGCAGGCGGTCAATGAGAGCACAGGACCATAGGAGGCGCTGCAAGACTCTCTACGAACACGAATGGGGCGGTCCGCTCAACATCAACTCCGGTACCGAGGGATCAATCCAGTACCTTAGTGTGTATCATCGTATCCAGGAATCCTTGCAAAGTAGAACGTAATTACTTCATTCTTCGTGAACTCATAACCTTGCTGATCGTCTCTTGCGCTAATAGATTCATCGAATACTACCTACTAATGTTCGAGTCCTCACATCTCAGCCTTATGGGCCCTATGATCACAGCCCTGTTTGTCATAAAGACCGCGATTATGTTCCAAGACGCAATTCGGTATGTAGTACACCGATTCGATAACGATGTCCAAAGAAATCTAGGGAAGCCTCTCTCGCCGGGCGCAGTTTAGCTGTCTGGCTAGCTGGCTTTACTTTCGTATTATCATTCTCATGACACCTGGAAGATGTGAGCCAAAGGCGGAGAAATCCAGCTTCCGCTTCTCACTACACCTAAAAGGGGTACCGACAGTGTGCTTTAGAATCGAAGCCCGTTTGAGTTATTGGTGCGTTCAGAGCGAGGACCATGCCGAAACGGCTCAAGGGCTTTTAGCTCTCATGTCATTTCTTCAAATTAATTGCCTCAGCCATGCGGGATCTGGGCGGAGGCTGGGCATAAATAGGTAAGGTAGGTAGGTAGTGTAGTATTCACGCATCTCGTTATTCATGGGCCGAAAAAAAAGACCCAAGTAGTTCATGGCCCTTTATTAATCTGATAGTTAGTCGTGTGCCCTGCTCCGTGGATTTTTCATATGAATAAAAATGCCACATTACAAACCCAAGGGGAACGTCCAACACAGAACGGCGCAAAGTGAAACTCGGACATCTAAATTTTATCGAGGGAGCGGAAATCTCCCGTGGTTTCTCTCAAAAGAAAAACTAGTTCCACTACCTAGCCTGATACGCGTCAAGCCTTATGTCATGGTTCTCACCGGTTTATTTGAGACAACCGGACGTGATATCAAAAACACGGACTGAAGTAAAAACTGAAGATTGTCCCTGCGCAACGTGGGGGCCCTACCTTGTTACTTCGAGAAAGCGTACCAAGGTGCCTTTACGTTGTACACGTGTAGGTGGAACCGGGAGGCAGCCGGATCTGCAAGAACGGTAATTAGGTCATCTGTCCATCACCGCCAAGCCGTCCCAGATCATCGCCCTGCCTTCCATCCACCCGCTGTTGGCTGTCAAATAACGCCTCAGCATCTGAATTTCTCTCTTCATCTTACCGATCCCGGACAAGATCCAGCGTTATCATCTTGGTCGGGTCCCGACCCATCGAGTTATCCGGTGTCACGGACACACGGGCCTTCTGGTGACCTTCTACTTTGTACAACGTATATCATCAGGGTAGAAGTGTCTTTCGGCGATCAAAGAGAAGAATAAGGTAGCTATATTGCAAGGTAAGGTATATAAGTATACAATGTATATACCTTAGGTTCCGAGTACTCCGCCTTCGAACTTCGCGCTCTTCAGCCGCGCACCCCATCGGATGCTTGCCGCCAAGTATTAGGGCACAATCAGGTGAAGAAAACGAAGAAACCGGCCTGGAGCGTAAACCGCCCTAAAGGTTCTTTCTATTCGTACTTTATTTACCTCCGTAGCGTGACCCCAATCGCCCATGCTGCCAATGTCTCACTCCGCCGAAATAAATATGTATCAGCAACGGCGCGAGAATCTTAAAATTTACACGACGTATCGCCCACAAGCTTTTTGCCTCGCTGGAAAGCCAAAGCGCCATTTCCCGCACGTGCTTGGATATCACATATCCCACCCTCGAGGCGCAACAAGCCAATTCACTCCGTGCGTCTATCACAATCTCATCACAATATAACTCCAGCGGATAGATAATGCAGTCAACCGGTGACCGCATTTATATCGAACGGATACGATCCTTGGCCCTACGCTCGTGAAACTCTCCACTCCGTCTATCCGCGATGTGGCGTGTACTCCCAATGTCCGAGGTTCCTACCTCCCTCTGTAACATGTAGAATACGGAGTGCCTGTGTTTTTCTTTCGCCAATGGAGATAACCGTCTTTTAGGGAGAAATAGGTCAGAGAGGGTACAAAGTATTAAGCCCTTTCCCACTTCCACGTGGGCACACGCCACTCTGGTGGAAATACACAGGGCGCCTTAAGCTTAAGGTACCTAGCACGTTGTACGCATGTATCCTCATTTCGTACAATCCAGAAGCCGACCGCTGACGAACTACTCGGTACCCAAGGGAATGGCACGCGATATCTCCTCGGGTTTGTTTATTGGCCGGCTACCTTAGTTCCCCCGTTTACCGATAAGGCAATGATATCATCGCAAAAGTCTCCTGTTTGTCGTCTACCTACGTCGTAAAATGAGATGCGAGATGCGAATGCGAGAAGCAAACACAGATATGGATCCAGATACAACGTAATACACGCGCCCATATACCGATACCATACGCGTCTTCTCGGCTAACAGAACAGACCGTTTCTCAGTGGGCCGACTATACTGAATTGGGTCACCGCGAACCCCCGCTGTCAGCTTCGCCAAGCACATATTAATTTCCACTACGTTGTACACGGACACCTCGGTATACTCCGCGATACCGTGAGCCTGGTTAAGGGACACGCCTCCCCTTGGAGCCCTCCGCCTGCCATTACCACGACCCATGTGGTCTGAGTGGAAGTGGATGCCGCTCAGCCGCTCAATCATAACTGTCACACTCAAAAACGTACTACTACACCAAAAGAGAATTCTCTAATGTGTAGGTACTTCTTAAGGTATATAGTTCAACACAACACACCCCCCAGCCTGTATAAGGACGATCTTCGTGCTTAAAGGCTGACCGGAAACACACTTGCATCGACACGGCTTATTTTATATAAGCGGTCTTCTAGGGCACCAAAGCTCATTTAAGGCATCTCCTCGGCTAGGTTTCGAACGGGTGGTCTTAGCAGGGGAAGTTCCAGGAATACACTAGCGTATTCCTCCCGGGCTTATAACTATCACACTCAAAAACGTACTACTACACCAAAAGAGAATCAAACAACATCTGATTCAGGCGAGTCATTGCAGCCTAGCGCGTCCTGAGACGACGGTGACTTGACGGCGCCTAAGGTACCTTATGTACAGACAGGTACGATATACGAAGTAAGGTAAGAATAATGATTACTTAGCGATCTAGGGCAAACGGAAGGCTGGGATTCAAAACACGAACCTCCACCTGTTACACCCCTAGATGCCTAGTGATTCACTTCAGATAAAACCACGTTGCTTTTTTCTTCTGGTGTGTCTAGGTCTAAGATACCAGACCAAGAAAAGAGCAGCAATCCACATAAGATGGATTTATATACACAAAAAAAAATGAAAAAAAAAAAAAAAGGACAGAAAGAGGCCAAAACGCCAGACTAACTAACCCTTATCCATCCAATCAAAAGTCTCCAAGACATTCAATCTAGGTATTACATGGTAGTCGGCGCGAGAGGGAGACATGTCTATGCAACCCCACCCCCCTCTTGGGGACGTACTGATCACTTGGGTGACAAAGCTCTGCTCACAATTCCTCGAGCTCCTCGTCACCGTTACATTGCTGCCACATCATCACCTTGCTGACTTCCATCTCAGGCTGAGTCCAGGTGGGGATGAAGTCTTCCCGGTGCTCCCAAAAGTCCTTCTTCGCGTTGGGGGAGCCGTTCAACCAGGGCTTGTCAGACCTTCCGTCCTCGAACCAGCCGTTCGTACCGCCGACGGCCACATTGAGAATCAGATAGAAGGGGTGGTCAAAGGGAGTGTTGCTGCGGCCGGTCTGGGACCAAATGTTGTTCAGGCGTGTGCCGTTGGCATTGGCTTCGGGGAAGTTACCCCGTCTCCACATGGGTTCGTTGAAGTTGGTGTAGAGCACCTGGAGCAGTCGGCTGTTGATATACGTAAAGAGGTACTTCTGGGACCACTCGAGGCCGAAGGTGTTGAAGCCGGCCGAATAGGTCGTCTTGAGAGCCTGCCGCTTATTGTTGGTGCGCCACCAGGCGTCATTGCCGGGGTCAGGACCCCAGTGCAGTGCGGACGAGGCAATGTCGTTGCCGCCCTGGTCATATCGCCAGTCGTTGCCGCGAGATTCGAGGATATCGATCTCGCCAGACGCGGGCCAGGGACCATAGGTATCGCGCTCGGGAAGCATCCAAATAGCGGGCCAAAGCCAGTCACCCCGGGGCATCTTGGCGGTGACTTCAACACGGCCGTACTTGATCCGGGCGCCCTTCTTGGTGTGTATACGGCCAGACCTAGCGGGCTGGACAATGGTGGCATTACCGGAGGTCGTGTTGGTGGCCGTAACACAGTTGGAGACTATGTCGGACGTGCAGGTACCATCTTCGAGCAGGTCGATGACGGTATCGTGTTCGATCAGCGACGAGTCGGTTAGGGTGGCACGGATGTGGAGTTTCGAGTCCCTAACGAAGACATTCTCTTCGCTCGTTGTGGTCCATTCGAATTGGCCATTGCTGTGTCAGGCATCAAGTATTAGTGATCAAGACGACGCACACGACAAATGTGGGGGAGGGGATATCCATACCCAAAGCCACCGACTTCAACTTCCTTGGTCCAGATGTTGGAGTTGAGGCCGTTGGAGAAGTCGTCCTCGAGCACGAGACAGTACTTGTGCTTGACGACGCTGCGAACACCGTCCCACACGAGAAAGCCGGATATACCCAGACCGATCAGAATGCCAATGACAGGCAGAATCGTGACCCATTTCTCCTTGGGGTGGACTTTCTCCAGCCAGGGCTTCTGGATATCGTCCTTGCGAATGCGCCTGGATTGAAAGTACCGTTGAGGTCCCTCATCGAACCGGCTGGCGTCGCGGCCGCTGGAAGAACCGTAGCTCGACGCTGGGCGCGATGTTTCCGGGCTCACAAAGGGATTTGTCCCGCTGCTCGGAACGTCGGCATGGCCGGGTGGGTGGGAACTCCTGGACTCGACGCCATCGGCAAAAGGGTTGCGGCCAAGGGATTCGGAGGTGGGTGTCCCAGGTCGATACTGAGGGGTCGCGGTGGCAGTGGTTGCTGCTGATGGCGCAGGTCCTGTGACAGAGCGGCCGTACAAGCCTTGGGCGTCTTTAGGAAACTCCCCCGCCATAGCGGTGAACCTGATGTAGGCGTAGAGAGATGTGGCCGAAAGTCGATGGAATAGACGAAGCAATGGGCAGTCTTGTGTGTTGTGGCTTCTTTGGGAGCAAACAGATTAGAGATTAAGGTTAAAAGAGTAACTGAAAACCTGCCGTTTCTCGGGGTTCGACAAACGAGTCTAGGACACGTCGTACGGGAAGGGCGGGAGAAGTAATTCAAGCCCGCGAGTCGGGGTCTGTTTGCCCTTGACTTAAATAGAGAGTGCGAGAGAGAGAAGGTAGTGAAGTGAGTGAGCGAGGCAGCCCTGCGTCTCCCAAGAGAAGGATGGGAGATCAAGGAAGCTGAGGCACAACAAGGAATGATGAGGGCTGAAAAGGCGATATTAGGCCAGACCGTCAGTGAGGACCAGAAGGAAACGGGATCACCGTCAATGGCTGCAACGGCGATAAGGTAGCAAAGAAGAGGCGGGAGATCGAAGTTAAGCGAGTGACGTGAGTTCGAGACACCACTTCATCGAGAGATCAACTACGAATACATCGGTGAGGGGATGAAAAGGGGGGGGGAGGGGGGTGAAAGAAAGAAAGGGGAAGAAGGAAAAAAAAATCAAGGGAAGCTCAGACCCCTGTACGGATTGGGAAGACAACCTGCAAGAGGTAGGAGATTAGAACAGTACGCACTGTAGTGTATTATTCGACAGAACAAGGCCAAGACGCTAACTTGACGATAATTTTAGCGCTTGATGGCCTAAATTCGAGCAATATATTGGAAATCCCGGCGTGATAAGTATAGGGGTTTACACTGTGTGATGGAGCTGCATAGCAGATATATATATATATCGTATATGCAGATTCAGCTTCCTTATTACGGGCAGAGACGCGACCCTGGGTCGAGTACGCTCAAGGATCTAGCCCAGAGCGTATAGGGTGCATATATTGGCAACGGCGTATCTATCTTAGGCTCTCCAGACCAAATTTTCAGCGACAAGCAATATTAATATCTTACGGTACCACGCTCGAAGTCTTCCGCCAACACTTTCATTTGTCCTAATGGACTAAGGTAGAGGGAAGGCATGCCTTCCGGGTAAGTTCGGTACCTTAATTAGGTGTTACCTACCTAGGTAGTTCGTAAGTTGATCGTCGTGGGGAAAACCAAGATTCGAGACTCGGGAGAGGGGGATAAGAGATAGTAAGGAAGAGGGATGCTCGGTTGTCTCCTTTTGGTTAAATGGAAGAAGGAAGGAGGGAACGTGGTCGTTGTATTAGAGGGTGTACGGATATGACTAAAACAGCCGAAAAACGCCCTCCCCGCTTCTCCCCCACTCCCGCCTGTCGCGCGATTGGCCGCCACTGCCCCCTTCCCGCCAAAAACAGCAGGGTGTCTTGGCGGCTCAAGCCGATAGTGCCACACAAACGGTTTTGTTGGCGCACTAATTCCTTTCTTGCCCTCTCCTATGTACTTTGTACATACATAGGTACAGTATGTTCCTGCATTACGACGGCGCCGCAGAGCCAGGTGGAGCAATATGGCCTGTGGGCTCTGGGCGTACCGGAAGTGAAGTAGCCGTACTAGCCGAGAAGGTCGCCTGTTAAACCGCACCGTTCACACTAGCCAAATACGTTGTATGGTGGCCCAGATCTCCCGTCTCCGTCCCTCCACCGTTTAAACATCCGAGACTTCCAGCACATGGTGAATGTCTCGACTCTCGTCTATCTCTCCGGTCTTCCACTTCGGGAGCTCGGTCAGTCCATCAATTTAAGATAGGGACTCAATGGGGAGACCTCACGTTTTAATATCGAGACCTCAAACGGGATATTTTAGTGGGGCCATGAACCCGCCGCCAAGATATATATATACCGTACCTATTTTGTATGTATACTTTATGTAGAAAATTGCAGGCGATATCGTAAACCTTAACGTATCGCTTCCTACACCGTAACTCTGAATCTAACCGCGTAAAACAGTATAATAATAAGTCACGATATCCTACACAGAATAACCGTTTACCACTACGGCTCCGAGCTGAGTATTAAGATTTAAGTATTAGGATTAAGTGTTGAGATTGAGTTAGTTACTATATCACCTACGATTATTTATATAATATGTATATATAAAACAGGTGCGGTATATATGCATCTTGACGGTGGCGTTATGGCCCCACTAAAATGTCCCATTTAAGGTCTCGATATTGAAACGTGAGGTCTCCCTATTGAGTCCCTTAAGATACTTTGGTCGGATTTCCAGGGGTCTGAACGCGATAGCAATTTGGAACCACTTGGCCCTCACCCTTTTTCTCACCCTTTTTATTATTATTCTTTTTTCGGTCGTTGTCGTTCGGGGAAGAGGGGTGGGGGGGGGTGGTCTCCGTTATCTGCCCTGCTTCACAGATCACAGACATAGACCAATCGGGAGAAGCGACATTGCCTGCCCCCCTTCCCTTTCAAAGCCATCATATATTCCTGTCATCGACTTCTAGGTTACATCTCCACTAGGTAGGTAGATAATAAACAATCAAAATACGAATAGACAATTGACACTGCACATCAAATCGAACGATCTATTTGATCATAGCTGTCGCGGTCAATATAGATTGGCCCGACCTTTTCCATTGCGCAAGTCAGCCTGACATGGGCATCTGTGCCCGACGAGCAAACACATATCCCATCGGCAGTCCAGAATGCGAAAGACGGGTGGTGATGAAAGCAAGAAGAGAAAGCGAATTTAGTCTGCTAGTAACTGGGCTCCTTCGTGATACTATGCCGACGTCAGTTCCCTTCGAGATGTACTCCATATACCTATATTCATAACTCTTCGAGGGGAGTGGCGATCTTTTTCGGCTATCGTGAGGTCGATCTGCATGTTCTACCTTCCCGGGACTCCCCCCGACGAACTCTGATCGGCGTTGAGGTGATCGTTCATCGGAACGGGTGTTGGGGACAAGCGACTGTGACTGGCTTGAGCGTGCAGCTCAAGACCACGAATAGGCCGCCGCGATATCGTCACGGGTAGTCCGCCACCATAGTTCTACTGAGAGGAGAGCATGTTCGTGTACGCTCCTAGAAAAGGGTCTGCGCCACCTCGCCATGCAGGAACGGCAACGGGAAGCAGCACCATCGAAGATCCCGCTTCATTGCCTATCGAGCGATCTTCAGAACTCCCCCACCCTCGCGTGTGTGGTCCACAACGACAACCCCCAGGGACCGTGCATGAGAGTGAGAAACCTCGGACGAGGTCCCCCTCCGACGGAATTGATATTCGGCAACAGTCGATGTCCTAGAGTGATTGATTCTCTTAGGTGAAACAGCAGCTGTTTCCTCGGACGCTTGACTAGGGGTCGGGTGATGAGATCGCTCTGTTGGCGCGACGCTTCGCTAATGGATGTAATATGCACGCCAGCCTTTGTTCTCTTGGGATGCGACGAGGGGAGACAATTCCCTCCTCTGGGCTGCTGCCTCACCAGAGTCCTCCTCGTCGACTTCACCGTGGTTCAGCGTGGCTGATTCGGACCCGAACACCCTCGCATGGCAAAAGTGCGCCATGAAGCCTTGTCGCCTGGTGCTACTCCGTCGTGCTTCCCCGACCTAAAAGTCCTGCTCTATCTTTCTGGTCTCTTCGGGTATCGAGGCTTGGGAATACGATAGAGGCAAGATGGGTCTGGGGGATGATATCCCGCAGATTATGGAGTTTATCATGGCACGGACAGTTTCGAAGCTGTCAGCCTCGTGAAAGACATGCACGCCACTTTCTCTGATGCCACAACAGACCCTCTTAGCAAGTTATCAACCCTCCAGGGGGATAAGAGGATGTTGCTTCGTGAGCCCTCGATGTGAGAGCCCAATTTCGAACACCGGAGATAGCTTCTTCAGCCTTGCACCGTTAGGAGCAGATGAATCCAGCCAAGGCGTCATGTTCATCACGCCCCGTAGAGACGTCCAGAACTCGTGCTCAAGCTACCCAAGTGTGAAGGCTCACCAACGTAGAAGCATGCATTTAATGTTGTTATAGCACTTAAGAATGAGTGACAGAGTCCTGAACTCTTGCCGCATGCTATCATCCAAATTCTTCACAATTGACTATGACAGTATGGAGGCGACTCGGGAGAGCTGTACATGACAGTTGTCGTAAACGAGGAAGGCAGAGCAAGACATGCAGAAAATCAACAAACCAAGGAGAAGAAAAAAAGAAGAGGAAAAAGTCGAAGAATAGCTGCGGGCCATGGGTTTCCCCCCTAATGAACGAACGGCAAAAAGAACGAAAACAAGCCTAGCATCATGTCTCGCAGCGAATCCCAAGACACACCGGCTGTCACGCAAAGAACCCCCCGCGGCAATGTGAAAACGAGGAAGCAGGATCATGTTGACAATTCCCGACGTAATGCACCCTTTTCGAAAATCCCCGGTATCGGCAACGAGCGGCAGGCTCAGAGCTGTTCCCGAAGACTTTTCACAGTCGGTGTAATCGCCAGATAACCTGCAGCCGCAGTGCCAGTCTGCAGAACGGGATACCTAACCCAGTACGATAAGTGCATGTTAGCCCGTTGAGAACTGTGCATAGTATCAGGAAGGCAAGGTCTGCAGATATGAGGCACAGCACGTACCGTGGAGCGACGAAGAGGGGTTTCCAGTTTCCTTCTCTCTTCGCTTTCCTCCGCTTTCCTTGCTAAGACATGACATACCGTTGGGGGACGTGACAGGATGCAGTGTAACCCTATGTAGATCAGGTTCGTTGCTGCGAGTGACTCCAGCCTAAAGGAGGGCCCAGGAAAGCCCAGGAACGCCGCCTATCAAGCCGAAGAGATCAAGAGAAGGCGTGAAACGACCCGGGAGGCCGAGTCCAACAGATGGCCCTGGTCGCATAGGTTGGACTGCCCGGCGGACTGGGAACATCCGGGGGAGGGGGTGGCCTGGGGCCTGGGCGCGGGTGAGGAGGCGGAGTTGGTGGTGGTCTGGGCTGGGGGACCTCGTTGATTCGGCCGAGGCCGTAATCCGACATGCAGCCAGGCCCGTTAGAGAAGTGATCCGGCCCGGAAGTATGGTCGAGCTCGGGTGGCTGGTCGCACAAAGTGACCAGGCCAACTTCGGTGGCAGAGCAGACACCAGGCCCCAGTGGGGGCATTGAAGCTGTGCAAAACGGGCAAGGGGCGAGTCGCGTAGGGTCGGCAGATATGGGAAACAGGACGCAAAGGCAGTGGTTCCATGCTCTGTCGTATGTCATAGCATCCATCCCGTGGCATGAGAGTAGAGTCCTTGAAGGGGAATTATGAACTAAGCACGATGACCAGGGCAGAGCTACTGAGCCGAGAGGAAGAAAAGGAAAGGACCAGTGGTTCAAATATATGTTTGCGATGCCCAGACTGCTCGGGAGCACGAATGGTGGAACGACCAAGCCACTCCGGTCTCCTTGGACTTTCTGTTCTGAACGCCGCATCCCACACAGCTGGCCACACTGGTCCCTGGTCACTGGACAAGAAGCCACTGCCCTAGGACCTGACCGTCCCCGTGATCCTGATAGAGACAGCTTTGCCAAAGAAGTCACCTCTCGTCATATTGGGGCCGACCCCAACGGCAGAGGAGCGACGGCAGCAGAGGAGAGCTGAAGAAGCCGATAGACTACGGCACAGCCAAGGAAGTGACGTACCCGGCCGCTAGAGTAGAGACTAGGAGAGGCTGCGTTTGCCATGGTAGAAGCCCTCGGTCGGCCTGATTTGGTCATGTTATGTCTGCACCATAGCATGGCCCTGGGAGCGTAGGGCACGCCGGTGGCACATGCGAACTTCCATAGCAAGAATCAACCATCAGGAGCGCAGTCATGGCAGGAGGATTTCCAGGGCCCGGCGTACCATCTCTGCATATTATGTGCTTCTCCAAGTCTCGACCCTGGTATTTTGATGGTTAGCCAGGGTAGAAAAGAGGGTATGGTCTCGGTTCGACGCGGGTTGGCAGGATCCGTCTGCGTTGCCAGTGAAGCCTCGGCCTCCAACCCTCATTCGCTTGCGGCACGACGCCGCGTCTGTTCCTGCCGTCCCACGCCGCATATTCCCCACGATGCGGATACCGCGCTTAGCGATAGCCGCGATGGTAGACGAGGATCGAGAAGAGATATAAATGGCAACTGGACATCAGAGGCGGTCCTTGGGAGGGATTGTCCCGCCGTCAAAAGTCCCGGAAAATGCTAAGTATAGCCTAAGCATCGCAGTGGTCTATCCTTCGGGGGCAACACCAAGCATAGCGTTGACATGGGGTTTGCCGTCGATTAAGGTGCCCATCGAATTGGGTCAACTGACCCGAGGGGTCTTTGGACAGATGTTGCCAAGGACCCGATCGCTGCGTAAACAGCCTTCAACTGCATCACTTGCATCCCGGCTGTTCGCCTAGGAGCGCGCAATTCTACCGAGGCGAAGCCAGCACCCCACCAGAGGCGATATGGGAAGAAACTGGAAACCGGGGTCGAAACAGCAAGTTCGGTAACCTGCGCCAGTTCGACTGGATCCATCGATACGCACCATATTCCTTCGCCCCCACGGAGCGGAGCGCGAGCGCGATCAAGAGGGGTACAACGTAGGGAGCGCTCTGTGCTATTTGTTCTCCGGCGAGACAAGACGAGCCTCGTATCCAATAACAAGATGTGGATATCTTATCGTCTAGACCTCCATACTTCCTGGGAAGCGCAATCGGGAACATGAAAAACGTAACAAGTCCGTCCGCATAAAGCGGCGGAAGAGGCTCTTGGCACGCAGGAGGATTTTGGCGAAAAAGAGCTGCCGGAGCGGTAAAGCGACTTCCCCCCATTTCAAACGTTTTGACGTGTGACTGGGCCCAATGCTCCAGTCGGTGCCCCATGTGGATGAATATTCATTTTGATAAAGACGTCCGCATATGCCGACAATGGTATTTTCGCTGCCGTCGAAGGCAGTAGTTTACAGTGCCCTAATCATGGGGGGACTTCGGTGTCTTGGCTTGTGCCGAAAATGGCTTCAACAGTGAGCGGTAATTGGGCCAGCCCGCTTGTGCGTTTGTCATTGCCGCGCCAGAAGCGGGCGCCAGCAATAGCCGTGGAACTCCCTTTGTGAATGACAGGTCGACTCCTGAGAACGAATCCCTGTCAGAGGGAAAGTGAAGGAAAAACGCGAAGGGCCGATAGAATTCTTGGAAATAGAACGACCGACTCCAAGATGAAGATGGCGAGCGATACAATGTTTCCCCAAAAGACCACAACGCCGCTTGGATCGTACAGAATATCGGTAGAATCATTTTCGGTGCCTTAAGGTAGACGAAGCAAGGCGGCGGCGATGCGATGTAGGGGTAGAAAAAGAATAAGCTGCAACACCTCCTATCATGAAACGAGCACGCAGAGTTGAGAGGATGGGGTGAGACCGGGCACCTTGAAGCGAAACCCGGCAGTAGACGAGAGCGCAGATGATCTCTTTGTTTATTCGTCATAGTGTTCCGACGCTCGCCAGCGAGATAGCTGCAAGCCTACGTACCTCTTCCATCGAATTATGTATAGTTTTGGCCTCAGGAGGATGTGCGTAGATCTCGCTCGACGTTTCCAGGACCTACAAAATTAGTCGCCTGGTGATACAAAGTAGCGCGCACCTTACATGGAAATCTCAACATTTGTACCATCCCGCGGTTGGGTTTGGATACCGTTACGCTGCCCAAAGAAAATCCCCCCATCGTCTTTTCTTCTTTTTGCAATACAGTTGTCCGATCCGCCTTGACTTCTCAGTCGTAATTTCGACGGCGGCGACCTCGGCTCGAGTCCCTAGATCTGTCGTCATAACTATCATAGCTGCTTCGGCTAGGACTCCTACGCCGGCGATCAGGGCCACCCCCCGAGCGGCGGCTGCCGCGGCTGCCGCGGCCCCCTCTTCCACGTCGCGGAGGCGGAGTTCTAGATCTTGAACGTGAGTAAGAGCGAGAACGACTCCGGTAACGGCTACCGCCGCCTCTTGAGGGCGGCGCAGCGGGGGGGGAACGTGAGCGGGAGAGGGAGCGCGACGGCGAAGGTGAGCGAGAGGCTGATCGGGGGCGATACGTGTCTGAGCGAGGGCCGTATCGACTGGGGGGGGCACTAGGACCGCCACCTCCTCCACGGGGGCCACCCATTCTTCCAGGTCCTCTTGGATTTGGATGTGGAACCCGTGGGTCAATGCCTGCGCCGCGTCGAGCTATGGGTGGCGGAGGTGACATTTTGCGACGGGGCAAGACGATCGATACATTGATAATGGCGCCATCAACCTGTGCCTCGTGCATGTGAGCGATGGCGTCCTCAGCATCGGCCTCATGATCGTAGAGAATATAGGCTGTGCCCCTATTGACGCCGACTTGTGTGGCAGGGGATGTAATCGTCAGCACCGGCCAGTATGGGTAGGGAGAAGAAATGAAGCATGACAGAAGAGCTCCTTCGGCCACTCACGTCGGCTAATGGGAAGGTCTAGGTCCTTCACTGGACCAAATTGGCCGAATATTTCGTAGAGATGATCTTCGTTTATGTTCTTGGTCAACCTCTCCACAACAATCTGCACGGCACATCGGTTAGTTCGCAACAGAGACGTTGGTGATGCTTGTGCCTGTGCCTGCCCATCCCGGATGACTGACCTTGGTGCTTCGCGCAGGAGGAGGGGTCAGACTGCGACCTCTGCTGTCGGAGCGTGGGCTGGGGCTACGAGAATAGCTTCTGCGACGGCCATTTCGACGGTGTGGAGGGGTCGGGGAGCGGGATGGTGACAGTGAATCGCGACGCCGACGGTCACGGTCAGAGTAGTCGGATGCAGGCGTGGGGGATCTCGTGCGGGAGCGATGCCGCTCACGCGATACCGAGCGAGAAGACATGCTACCTCGAATGGTGACGATAGCTCGAAGGATGGGAAACCGATGTGTGACAGTGGAGAAAATGGACTAAAAAGAGAGCCGTGAATACGAAATATATACCTACGCACTGCAGTAAACGGTACAGATGGACGTGGTGATGTGGGAAGGTATGTGGGTTGTACGTACCTAGGTAGAGGAAGTTTGGCGTTGGCGACGTTTGTTGAAGGGACCTTAGGACCAAAAAAACGGGAAAGTTCGACGCGATCAAAGCTCCTTTCGAACGCGATGCGATATCACGTGACACATGTACTTCCGCCGGGATCTGTCGCTGCTATGCACAGACCAGCTGTCGCCTCTCTTGGTTGCTGGGGAAGCCCATCACCAAAAGTTTCATCGTGAGTATCTGGGTCGCATGTCGCGCGAGTCGAACTTGACTTTTTCTTTTTCCCTTTTTTTCTTCTTTTTTTTTTTTTCTCCCAAACAAGACTTCTCTCTTCTACCCTACTAATTCCCACCAATTTTGACACGACACGATATACTAAGGGACAACACGATGCGACAGCCTTAGACTGCATAACAAAGAAAAACACTTCGACAACGCTCTATCCCCTTCATTGGCAAACCTGCAGCATCCCGACCCAAGCAGCTGATTCGCTTGCCTTGCTGTTGCTTCGGGCTTCCACCACCCACCATGGCACCACTCATTCTGCATAATGTTCCAGACGATGAGCTCTACATAGGCGACGACGGCGTTAGGAGACCATACGCAATGGTTTTTCCACAGTACGGCGCCCCTCCCCGTTACCTTTTTACCGTTCTTCTTCCTCCATTATTCGTGATGCATGGCTAATTCAGATCTTGTTCTCAGTCAAGAAGGCCATTCGGGCAGCATTCGCGCCCGACGAGGCGTAACAGAGACGGGATCGTTTGGAAAATCCACCCGCCGCTCTCGTTCGCGAACCGGAACGCCAGCACGCCGTGAGAACCCGACCCTAGCAGCAGCAGACAAGATCTTCAGTGACTGGGTCGCCAACAAGGCCACCTCCCAATCCACCAACAACTCATCCTCGTCTCTGCAGCGCAAGGCAAGCGGAAATAACCTCCTCAGCCAGCAACAGCAAGATGAAGCCGCCCCGACGGCCAACTCCCAGCGCCTCCTCAAGTCCGAACCCACAGAAGTCATCCTCCGTGGCTACCGGGCCTCGGCTCAGCAGTATGCCGCCGTCAACCACTACGAAAACCTCGCCGGTCGGATCTGCGAAGACTACCCGCGGGAGCCTCCCCCCGACCAGCGCCGCTACAAGGGCGACCTGCGTGATCCTGCCTACACGCGCCGCCGTGCCCTAACGCCCGAGGAGAAGGTGAAGGTCAACCGTGCCGACGGTGGGGAGCATTGGGTCAAGGTCACCTTTGAGAGCGCCGAGGCAGCCGAGACGGCCATGTACGCGAGTCCTCAGTCCATCCTCGGCTGTCTTGTATACGCTGAGCCCTACCGCGGCTACCCGCCTGCCCAAGATGAGCCCATCTTCGACACCGACACCCTAGGCTCCGTCGGTCTCGACGACAACAACGCCAATAACGGCATTGGTTTCGGCACCTCACGCCGCCGTCGAGGTATTCCGTTCCCGACAAGTAGCACCTTGCAAAGCCAGCGTTCTTTCGGCGACGATACCCCTCCAGGCTCGCACGCTTCCTCACAGACCCTCGACACCGCCACCCTTTCCCAGACCAACACCGTCTCCTCGGCCACCATCACAGACGCCCGCTCTCTGCCCAACGGCTCTGTCTCTGCCTCTGGCGCCGACGGCCATACCCAGCCACCGCAGCAAGGCGACCCTGCCTTTTGTCGCAAGATCCCGACGGCCCGCCGCGCGACGCTCCGCTCGGCCGACGAGGCACACCTGCCCTCCCAGAGCTTCACGGCGAGGCTTCTCGCGGCGGTGCCGATTCTCATGTGGTTCATCGGCGGCTTCGGCGCCATGATCGGCAACGAGGTGCCGCGCAAGGAGAACGGCGAGTTCGATTACGACAAGGCGAGCCCGTACTGGAAGTTCATATGGTGGTTGGACGTGACCTTTCGTCTGTTCAAGGGGGAGATTGTGAATGCCGCCGATACCGACGACTAAAGAGGGGGAATGCTTCAATTTTTTTTTTCTTGGCTCGACGAACGGGAAGCCATCGATCGTCCTTGTTGATGTCAGACCGAGTCTATAGCGTATGCCTCTCGAACATAGCAACCTCCATTCGGGCTGTTGAATTACCCGGTAGTAACAATCCGCTGGGGTGGGCTCAGTATTGCATAGGGACTTCATTTGGGTTCGGAGCGGGCGTTTTATTCAACGGGAACACTGTAGGGGGAAACATCAATCTGTATTAACGCCCCGTCTGCTTATCCCTTCAATTGGGGGATAGTCTCTAACCCTTCCGTACGATACCTTACCCATGCCATGGAATGCCTCTAAATAGATAGGCAAAGGGGTATAAAGCTACCTAATAAACAACGCATAACCAAAAGCATAGGTAGTCACGCTACCTCTACCACCCCACATGTTAACACTAAAATTATCAAGCTGGACCGTCTTCAGACAGATCTCGTTCCCTCGACCGCCCTCTCTCCTCATCGTTCCCTTGCTTCGCTTGTTGGAGGGCTTCACCACTCGCGTTCCCTCTTGTTACATTCTCCCTAGCAGGCTCGTCCTCCTCATTTGTATCACTGTCTCTCAACTGACCCTTGCCTTCGTTTCTCCATGGCTGGTGTTCTAGATCGTCTTCCTCCCGCCCGTCGCCGTTTTGTTTCATCTTCAACTCTCCTGCATCCCCTAATACTTGCACCGCGTTGGTTGGCTCCTCCCTCTCCTCTCCTTCCCCACCCTCGTCTTCATCATCTGCCTTGATCTCCTGGTCTGCCGCTGCATCTGGTGTGACTGCAGGCTCGCCAAGGGTATCGTTAAACGGCACATCCGTGGGGTTCCGCCGGATAGGTTGCGGACTAAACGGCCTCGCTCCCCTGGGTCTGTTCTTACGACCAGAGTCCGAAGACACGCTCCTCGTCTCCGCGTCTTCGGCATCTCCTCCGGGTGACGGCCCGGACGCCACCGCGGCGCCCACGAGACTCTGGTACCGCTCCGCGTCGTCCACCAGCAAGCTATCGCTCCTCGTGTGCCCAAGCGGGCGGGACGCATCCGACCCGGCATCGGCGAGTATACTCCGCGGCGGCAGGATGCTGAACAGCTTGGACGACGACCCGTTCGAGGCCACCCCGCCGGCCGCCGCACTGACATAGTCGTCGGGCAAGTCGGTGGTGGCGAAGAGGTCCTGCCCCCGCTCGAGCAAGTCGTCCAGCCCGCCGCCGGTCCAGCCTTTCCGGGCGAGGGACTCGAAGATGTCGACCTCGGCGCGGACGAGGCTGCAGGTGGCGTCGACGATCTTGGCGCTGGTCTCCTGGGACTCGCGGAGGAGGGTGCGGGCGTGGTCGCCGTGGAGGGCGGTCAGGCCGTCGAGCTTGGTGGTGAGGTCGACGAGGTGGGCGCGGAAGCGGCCGACGTCGCGGCGGCGCTGGCGGTGCAGCTTGAGGCCTTCCTTCTCGAGGCGGCGGATCTCGCGGCTCTTGTCGCGGACGGTCTTGACGTAGCTCTCGTCCTCGTCCTCCATGGCCCGGCGCCACTTGTCGAGCTCGTCGAGCAGGGGCACCTCGAAGCTGCGGTAGACTGTCTCGGAGAGAATGTGGTGGTGGTTGGCCACGAGGTGGTGGACGCCTGAAGCCGAGAGCAGAGGGTCGGCCGAGCAAGGGGCGGCGGAGGCGTGGAAAGAACCGACGAGGGAGGCGGCGTTGGGGGAGGGGCCGATCGGTTCGGCGCGGGCTTCCTTGAGGCGGGCGCAGGCCTCGAGGGCCGAGCCGAAGGCAGAGGAGGCGGCGGAAAGGGCGGCGAGGGCGAGACGGTAGGACTTTGCAGTGGCTAACAGGTCGGCGTATGCCGTCTGCGAAGCTTCTAGATCGGTCTTGGAGAGGATAGCATGGGCCGGCCGCGGGGGTGGTGGTAGAGGGAGGTTGTAGGTTGATAGGCGGTTCGCAGTAGACGCGAAGGAATAGGTTGGCGAGCCCGGCACGGGAGGAAGTTGTGAGGGGCTCGGGGAAGCATCACGAGGTTGCACCGCGTCGACCATGGCGGGCGACGTAAAATAACGATAACGATGTTCGAGAGATGCGTTTGTGGTTAGATGGACCGTGAAAGATTGGTGTATATCTTTTCCTTTTTTTTTCTTCTCCTTTTTTTTCTCCTTTTATTATCTTATTGTTCCCGTGACGCGGATCGGCTGAGGCAGAGTTGACAAGTAATCTTGACTGCGCGTAAGTCTAGGAATATGCAAAGCTCATCGGCCAAGATTCGAACATCATGATTGATAAATAGGCAAATGTTTTAACGGTAAAGGTAGCAACGGTTTTCGTTTCGTGTTGCGGCGTGTTGCGGAATTGTTGCCTCGTAGGACGTGGCCGAGAGGTTCATACCTAGGTACGAAGTAAGGTGTTACGAAAGTATCCGTACCTTTTAGGTACGATGATGCAGAAGCTCAGCAAAGTCATCAGACCCTGCAAGTGGCGCCAATGGGAGACATGTAACAGTACATTTGTCTCCTACCCTAAATAAGGTACCTTGCCTTACGGAGTATAATTAACGGCGGGTCCAAGTGCAGTCCGTCCAACCAAGAATCCATGCCGAGGTACCTGTAAACATCTCGAGGTAGCATTGGGAGAGAGAGAGGCTTCTAAAGTAGGTACCTAACATTCCATTCCACACGGTGTAACGGATAGATAACTGCGTTGAAGAGACGCAGAATGAGAGAATAATCCCAAGGCAACCACTACTTGTCCATCTCGTCTTAAGAAATTCGTGGGCTACGGCTGCGTCTCCGGAGTAAAGATCGCGATAGGCCAACACGGTACGTCCTACGGTGGGAGTGATTTAGCCATAAGGTACCATATTTCAGTCTTATATAATCTTCGCCCCCGGTAAAGCGGGTGAAGCCGGTGAAGCCAGCGAACTCGGTCAAGCCAGCAGAGAAATTCCCCCCCTCTACCCATGGCTTCTAATCCTTTGTTAACCCTTTAACCCAGACCATAGACATTCAGACAAATCTCAAATTAGAGCTAACTAAACAAGGTATTCATTCCCTGATCCCTTCACTCAACGTCCCCTAATCCTCTATTCCCTTTACTCGTCATAATAAAGATCCCAGTCGATCGATTGCTTGCCTCTCCATTCATTCTACCCATGCACTTACTTACTTGACATTGAATTCCCGGCTGAAGCTAGGCAGCCCCTTGTGTCTCCTCTCCATCCTCTTTCTGGGGAGTTACTTCTATCTCACACGGCACATATCTCCGCTTCTGGGATCTCATCAAAGTGGACTCGATACCGTATCAGACAACCCCAAACCCGGTACTGAAGCCGACCTCGACCCTGAGCTCAACCAGCACGATTCATCCGCCATGGCCTCCATCTACCGCAAATCCAATCCTCTAGTCTTCCCCGCCGCTGGTCGGCACACGGCTACCGTCATTTTCGCCCATGGCCTCGGTGACACAGGTCATGGCTGGGCCAGCGCCGTCGAGAACTGGAGACGCCGTCAGCGCCTCGATGAGGTCAAATTCATCCTTCCCCATGCCCCCACTATTCCCATTACTGCGGTATGTCTATACGTCTTGAGTCTTGCCCTCCCCTTCTCCACTGTTCTACCCTCTGTTGTCCGTGTTGTCTACGCAGTATGAGAGGACATGGCCGTTTAAGCTAACTCCTGGGTAGAACTGGGGCGCCGTCATGCCCGGCTGGTTTGACATTGTAAGCATCCCATCATCCCCCCCCCAAATCTCCACCTAGGGTCACCAACTCTTCTCCTGGACCTCATCCTGTGTATTCCCCCCAACACGCCCCCCCAAAAGACCACCGTCTCATCCTTCTCCCCCCGTCTTCTCCGTCTTAGATCTCGAGGACCAAACCCGAGAACCACGCGCCGCTGAAACCCGCGCAGAAAGCCCTAGACGGCACCGTCGAAGCCATCCGCGCCAACGAAGACGAGCCCGGCGTGCGCCAGTCGGCCCAGTACTTCCACGAGCTCATCCAGGCCGAGATCGACGCCGGCATCCCCTCCGACCGCATCATCCTCGGCGGCTTCAGCCAGGGCGGCGCCATGTCCCTCTTCGCCGGCCTCACCTCCCCGCACCGCCTCGCCGGCGTCCTCGGCCTCAGCTGCTGGCTCGTCCTCAGCGGCCGCTTCGCCGACGAGATCAAGCTGCCCGGCAAGGATGCCAACGCCCGCACTCCCGTCCTCATGGCCCACGGCACCGCCGACCCCGTCGTGCCCATGGAGCTGGGCCGCATGAGCGCCGACATGCTTAAGGGGTTGGGCTACGATGTCGAGCTGAAACTTTACCCGTGAGTCTTCTCCATTCAAAAAATTTCATGAGGCAGACTGTGAAGGAGGGTGTGGGTTTCGAGGACGATGACCATGCCAGACAAGAAAAGGTGCACTAATATTGGATGTTTCTTACAATAGGGGCCTCCCTCATTCTGCTGCCTTGGAAGAGCTCGACGACATCGAGGCCTGGCTCACCAGGAGGCTTCCTAAGCAGGGTTCCCAGTAAAACTGACCTGCCTGGGCTTTGCGTGAGCTGATTTACGAGGCATTGCACCTTGTTTCTCACATGCATAAGGCAACTGTCATGTACCGACATGGGCGTGTTGGACCTCATTAGACTCTTTCTGCCACATCTAAAGATTCTCAACTATCATTCTCAAGCTAGTCAAAAAGAAGACGAAAAAAAAGAAAAGAACCCCCCCCCCCCCCCCAATCGCCCTACGAACTCCTGTTCCGGTAACCTTCCTACCAGAAACAGTTCCACAAGCTATCGAATTCCAATCCAGCTTCATATCGGGGCTCTAAACTCCCGCACGTTGCGATGCCACATCCTTGGGATAAAAGACCGCTGATGTTGTGCCCGTTGGTGGCATATAATGAATGATATTGGTATTCGTCTGTCTTCTTCAACTTCCAACTAACGCGTTCCCCGTCAGATAGACATATTATTACAGTGGGTTATACCTATCCTGCTTCATCGTGTTAAACCAACTCCATTTTGGCCCCAGGTCGCCAACGCAAAAAAAAAAAAAAGAAAGAAAGAAAGAAAGAATAGTCAACTGCGGCTCTCCAACAAACCACCCAGCATCCAACGTTACGTATTACGTTTCGAGTTGATGGTTCGTACCTGCTTAAACAAATGCTTCCACCTCGTCGCAGCCCTCAATCTGCTTCCGTCGGTTGCTTAAGAACAAATCCACCATCCGCTGGCCACCCGAGTTCTTCGCCTTGCTGGCGGCCGATCCAAGGCCCTTTGGCGTCTTCGACTCGTGCGAGTCTTCCTCCGTCGTCCATAGAGATAGACGGGGCCATGCTGCAGCCTGTTTACCCCGCGCGACAGGAGACCCCAACCCAGTAGCGTAGACGTGTTTACCAACAGGAGTGGTCCGAGCAGAGGCTGCCGCGTCTCCCACCACGTCTCGGGTCCTGTCCCGTCGAATGAGCTTGATAGGGGATGCACTCCGGGTTGACGCATAAGGCGCTCTATTCTCCTCCGAACCGGGCATCAAAGCCGACGTGGCATCCAGGCCGCCGGCACGTTTGTGGTTCGGCTGCATGCCTTCAGGCGACAGCGGAAACCCAGCCTCGGAGGGCCCCGGTCGTGACGAGTTTCTAGCCGGTACGCTCATCCCTCGCACGCGTTTACCTATGATCCGTGGTGATTCCCTGGTCTTGACGGACGGCCATCGTGATTCCGGAGAGGCAGGAGCTCTCATCTGCTGTCGTGGCGCCATGGATGAGTTGAATGATGTTTCCGGGAACGTGGTGTCGTCCTCCTCAATTTGGGCATGCTCCCGCACGTGGCCCAGGGGGTTGAACAAACTAGACATGTCATATTGAATCTCTGTCGTTTTAGAGTCTCCCTTCTTCGACACCCGAGAGGCAAGGTGGGCCTTCTATTCCACCGAGCTCCCCTCTGATGCGATTCGGTCCGCAAAAGCAGCTTGATCTGGCCCAGGTCGAGAAACTGCATCATTAGAAGCTCTATCTGAGAAGGCAAGAGGACTAGTGATGGTTGCCGGACTATATGTGATTGGGTTTCTAACGGCGCTACCCCTCGGTTCGTCGGCATGAACTGAGACGGGTTTGTCCTCGGAGTACACGCTTTCCGAATACACCGACCCGGTCCGCGGGGCACTCTCTGTGATGACGGATAAGCGCTGACAGGTTCTGTCGCTAGTGCCGACCGACACCCCTGAGCTAGCCCAGCTCGACACGCGGGATTTCTCTTCGGAGGGCTGTAGGCTCTCGCTGCCGATGCTCACGATGCTCCCCTGACGTGATTGAACAGCCCGGATGCAGTCGGCGCTATGAATAGAAGGCACCCGAGCTGGCACTTGGCCGATGGTGTACACTTCTCGCCTTGATGCCTCCATGCGCGGATAGTCCTCTTCGGGCTCCTCATCCGTGCCGAATTCGTTGCCCGGAGCGGGGGGTCGCTCGTTGTTTCGAGGCTCCTCAGCCACAGTGTCAACCTCTTCTTCGCTCTTTCCACGACGGAACAGGCTTTTCAGCTTCATCTTAAGTCTGCTGGAAACTTTGCGGGCTTTCTTCCGGAAGCCGTCTTCCCGGGGTGGTGCAGCCACTGCGTCAGGGGAGGCGAGGTCCAATGGGATACCGGTACTGACATTACTGGTATGTCGAAGAGACCTTCTCAACCCCATGGAAGTGTCCCTTCCCTTTCTCAAACTTCGCGAAATCATGGAGTGTCGGGAGCTCAGTTTCCCCTGCTCTTGAACTTGCTCACGGAGCCTCTCTTTGGCTATGTGTATGGCTAAGTCATTGCTCGCCCGATGTCCGCCAGCATTCGAAGGGCCGCTTTGGCTCAGACGTGGTTTAAGAAAGCTCATGGACTTGGGCGCCCTGAGAGCCTGGTGATTTTCTGACGTGACGGTGGGGGCCATGTTTTCTTTACAGTGCTCGAAGGAGAACCGGACAGGGACCCGTGGAGTGGGTTGATTAGGCTGCCGGTCGGAGTCCTCGCCGGCGAAGCTGTAGCCCGAAGTCGATGGGTACTGATGGGTAGACTCTCCGGCCTCGGGCCCGGCCAAGTCGTTCAGGTACTCCGCAGTGTAGCTGGAGACGGTCGGACGACGAGCTGCAAAGGACTCCCGGCTGGAAGCACGACTGGACGGTCGATTCTCGGTATTTCTCAATATATTGCGCCGATGAAGACTGCTACGGTCAAAGGAGAAACGCTCAGCAGCACGACCACTGGCCAACCGCCTGGGACCGGGGTTGTTGTTGACGAAGCGGATGCTCTGCTGGCGACTTAATCCAGAGTTAGAGGGATGTTCCTCGATGGGGTGGTAGATGACGGTGTCCTTGCTTGAGGAACTAAAAGTGTCCCACGACGGCGGCTCCATTTCAGTGCTGCGACGGTCGGGTTCGGGATGGTAACATCGATTTGCAGCGATCAAAGCGTTCCGCCGATCGATAGCACGGTCAATATCTTCGAACGGCGAGCCGGCTGAGCGAGAAGAAGGACGAGAAGAGGCGTTTGACCTCGTCCGGCGAAGACTAGACCTGCGTATAGCCTGTCTGCGTCGTAGCATGATCGACCAGGCAGAAAGCGTGGGTGACCGGTATTAGAAGACGAAGAGACGAAGATAGTATGACGGTTGAAGCAGGGTGGGAAGGAAGAGAGATAGTTGGCTAAGTGAAGCTATAAACGGCCCCCGAAGAAGATATCGAGGCTTCACTCTGAGGCGGTTTAAGTATCGGCAACTAAGCAAAGTCCAAATAGCAGATGGATGGATAGCGTGTTATCTGTCTAGCCCAAGGGGGGGGGGGGCAGACAATACAGTGTTGAATGATGGCGGGAAAAGAAGAGGATTTGCAATAGATGAGGATCACGGAAGAGAACCAGGTTGGAAGTTCAGTTAGATCGTCATGAGAAGTTTGTTTGAGTTCAAGAAGTTGGGGAGCCCATCAAAGGGGACTACTTTCCCGTGTTGTCGAAATATTGTCAGGGAAGAACTCTAGACTCATCTGGTGTGTCAGGGGCGCGCCTTCTTTCCAGTCTGTAACACTCCGGTACCTGCGTATCGTGGGCTTAGGCTAGGCACGTGGGCGTTGGTGGCAAGTACCTTATGGCAAGTAAGGTACGGAGTATGGCAAGTATCACAGGTTGCTCTGTTTGGCTTTGGCTTGTCAAGCCAGACCATCGCCATACGAAGGACGGAGTGCGCCGGAAGGAAATCACACATCCGCCGTGCTGCCAGTCATTCTTAGCCAGGTACAAGGTGCGCCTCCAATAACCAGACGAAACTTTCCCTCCCGTATTGAGATATCCATAAGGTAAGGCACCTTAGGTGGTGGTTGTTGGGAGAGTGGCGCACTTAAGGTTCCAAGCGAGTCTCCGGGGAGTTACGCAACCTTTCCTTCACGAGGTTCTTGAAACCCACTGAGACGCCTCTTCATAACTTTTCTTGTGGGCAGGAAGGGAGGCGTTGAAGCGAGACTTGGGCCTCGTCGTAACTCGTCAATCCATCCAGATGAAGCTTGGGGTGGAACGCGTGGAAACCAAAAAAAAAAAAAAAAAAGGACAAAGGGGGCGGTTTCTCCCGAGGTTATCACGGAGGCGAGAGACGTCAAAAAAGATATGAATCCGAGTAGTCAATTCCGTGAGAGCCTCTAGCTTCGATATGCAAATCGATGACCTATACAAAAACGAAGGGAAAAGAGGAGAAAAGAGGGGAAAAAAAAGCAGGAAAACACCGAACCGTCCATCACACGATGCAAATCCCAGGAATCCCATGAACGATAACTGTAAAAATTGTCCCGTGCAAACCATAGAGCTAGGAAAAGAAAATAGGCGACGACGGTTGAGGTCGCTCTTGCCTTGATTGGACGCGGACTATCTAGGCCAAGGTCACGAGGAAAGCCATTTACATAGCGATATCCTTGAGCAGGTCCTTGAGCTCGCCCTCAATATCATGAAGATTGTTCGAGAACTTCTTCACCTTCTCAACGAGGAAATCGAAGTCCTCCTCAGCAACGTGCTCGACATTCTGAAGAATGCTCATGAGACCGTCTTCCTCACCCTCATCCTCATTCTCACTCTGCGCCTTGTAGCTGCCAGCGTCAACGATGGACGTGTAGTTGCTGCAGCCGCCGCCGTTCCAGGCGAGCAGGTTGGGAGTCTCAGCGGGCATGTTGCGGATGGCATCGACCGTGGCAACCGACAGGAGGTCGGCCTTGAGCTTGGCGGGGCTGATGGGAGAGACAGAGTACTCAGAGTCGGTAGCAGGCTGGAGAGAGAGGTAGTAGGCAAGCAGGCCGGCAATGTGGGGGGAGGCCATCGAAGTGCCCGAGATGGTGTTGGTGGCGTACTTGGAGCCGATCCAGGTGGACAGGATGTTAGTGCCGGGGGCGAAGATGTCGGTGCACTTGCCGTAGTTGGAGAAATAAGACCGGGCATCGCCGAGCTCAGTTGCGCCAACGGTAACGGCCTTTTCGGCCGCAGCAGGAGAGTAGTTACAAGCGTCAGCGTTATCGTTACCCGCAGCCACGGCGAAGTGGATGCCGGCCTCAACGGCGGCGTTCACGACACGGTCGAGAGCTTCCGTCTTTCCGCCGCCGAGGGACATGTTGGCCACAGAGCCCTTGAAGCCCTTGCGCCCGCCGTCCTTGGCAGCCTTGACCTGCTCGAGATGGGACTGGGCAGCCCACTCGACACCCTTGACAACATCGGACATGGTGCCGGAGCCGTTGGAACGGAGGACCTTGACCGCGTAGACGTTCGCCTTCTTGGCAACGCCGTACTTTTTGCCAGCGACGGTACCGGAGCAGTGGGTTCCATGGCCATTACCATCGACGTCGTCATCGCCCTCGGGGATGGTCTTGCCCCATTTGGCTCGGCCCTCGAAGTCAACATGGTCAACGTTGGTGCCCGTGTCAATGATATAGGCATCGACGCCCTCGCCAGCGGTCTCGGTATAAAGATACTGGTTGTAGCTGCCGAAGTTGAGACGCTCGCGGTGCGAGACACGGGCAAGGCCCCAAGGAGCAGACTTCTCAGTCTCCGGCTTGCAATCCTCCTCGGTCACAATCTCCATGGTGTGAACGATGGAGTCCTTTTCAATGAATTCGACCTGTCGGATGATATTGTGGTTAGCAGGGGAAATCGCTTGGAAAGTGGGGGATAGGAAGTAGGGAAGACAAGTCTCATACATCCGGATGTCTCCGAACCTCCTCGATGGTGGCTTCATCGAAGTGGCCAGAGTAGCCGAGGAAACCACCAAGCTTGTAGACATGCTTCAGGCCGTTAAACACCGTCTCAGCGTGAGGCTCGCCACGCTTGCGCAGTTCGAGCCGCTCATCGCTGCTCTTGGTGTGGATGTGCTGAACCCAGCTCTGGTGCTCTACGGCACCCGACTCGCTGACGTGGTCCTTGAACTTGATGATGTACGAGTTGGGAATGGCCTCAGCGTTCGAGGAAGCGAGAATGGGTGCGGCACCGCGATGCACGGTGTCGATGGAGACAGTAGGGGCGGCGCTGGCAACAGCGGCCGCAACGACGGCGCCGGCGAAAAGTCTCATGTTGGGCAAGCCGAAAGAGAAGAAAAACGAGCTCGTCTACTCGAGACGCAGAAAACCCGCTAAAAAGGGAAAGGGAAAATGGGATTCCGAACGATGAAAGTGATGGGAATGATGGAAGTTGTTGATGGGAAAGGGAAGATGGAGGAAGGGGAGGAAGGGGAGGATGAGGGAGGAAGATGAAGCGGAATGAGGAGAGATGGAGCTCCTAGGTTGATAGATAAACACTAACCGGGGGGGCGGAGGCGGCAGCGGAGGCTGCGTGTTCCTACCCTGGTTGCCCTGTGGGGAAAGGGGGCCAAGTATGTGACGCATTCAGGCACAGGGTGGCCGGAACCTTAAGGAGAAAGGACCGTGCTATCGCAGTCATTGTACACTGTGTATATATAGCAAAGTTGCTATATAATATGGTATTGTCGGCGCATACGATAACACTGTACTCCGAGTGCCACCCCGGATCCCTAAGATAACAACATCGGCCCCAGCTGTGGCGATTGCCTGACCAGCCGAGATCGGCTTAGCGCTGGGGATGGGCGGGGCGCAGCCAATGGGCTGACTCGACAGCACTTGTCTCTGTCAGTGGAACTGGTCACGTTCCATGTTCCCCGTTCCCCGTTTCCTACCTAGGTAGGCTACGTTAGGTATGGGTATGATGGTGAGGCGATGAGAACCGACCTCCAGCATGGTTGGTGCCTGGTCCTGAGCGAAGCAGTGACTTTCAGGTTCATCGTTGTTTCATTCGGAGATAAAGCAGAATCAGGTACCGGTACGGATACAGATAACAGTGACTAAGACGCGTCAGGGGGCCTGAGCTCCGTGACGACATAGCACTCCCACGATATTACGGATAGCAAGGAAAAGAAGGCTGGGAAAAGAATTAACCACCCGTGCTCTGTATTGCTTACATTACTTGCAACGCATGTACATGGCTTTTCTTGACCCGCCGAGTTCGGTGCTGCTACCGCACATCATGTTTCGAGGACCAGAATCCGAGGCCAACGAGGCTGCACGTGCGGAGGTGGAACTACTAAGGTAGGTAGGTTTATGGGACTCGCCCCGAGCTTTATGTCCTTGTGTATGTACGTTTGTGTACGTCATTTGCATACATTAAAAAGCATAAGAAACAGTTTCTGTCTGGCTCATTCCTCCTGTTTTCGCAAAGCTCCCCCTTTTGAGAGAGCTGACAGGATCAGAGTCATCGAGCTACATAAGGTAGGTATGTCAGAGCTGTTCTGTGACAGCGATGAGATACCGTACCTACCTTATTACACGTACCTACCTTACGGATTACAGTGTACATACAGTACCTGGCAGGTAGATCCCCACTATTTGCGGGACTTCACCGCTACCACAGATCGCTTCCAAGTAGAGCTCCCGTGACACCTATCGTGGCAGAAAGTCACGAGTCATCTATGAGGTATAAAGCACGAAGTAATACCACTTTATGAGCGGGGATGCAAAGCTTTGGAGTTTTATGGCTGTAGGGAGTGCATAAATCCAGGAAACATGGCAGTGCTTGATGTTGCTAATGAACCGACTCCCTTCTCAGATTTCTGACCAAGGTCGTTTGAACTAGGTATATCGTAAAACAGGGACCTTGAGGCCCTTCCGAATTCGTCATGCAAGGTGGCTAGCTCCGTACCTTACCTATGATCTTGTGCACTCATCTGCTGTACACGTAGTGATTACAACAAAGTTAGTGATGCATGTCTCGGCTCAACACATCTCGGTTCTCGTAGGGAGTGCAGACAAAATTCGACCATTTATACTGATTATCGATCCATACGTAACAACGCGGTTGTCAGGTTTCTTGCCGGTTGCTGTGGTACTCCGTGAGGTAGGTAGGTACCTTATCAGGAAGGCGATGAAGTAACACTTATTAGGGGGTTTCGTGGCGTGCACGACTGATAATGAAGGCTGGTTACGTACCTAGGTACCTTACAATGTATGTCAGACGCGATGATGATGCACCGCCCTGGACCCACTGGATGAACCACAGCTGCGCCAGACGAGGGCAAGCCACAGACCCTCGAGGCTGAGAGCGACCCGCCGTCATCTAGACGCTCAACTTCTGATCGCGTCCTACAAAGAGTTCCTGGGCGTCAACACGGTCGCCCTGGCTGTAGTCGGACGATTTGGTTGTGGTATCAGCTTCGTATCCGACTCTGAGCTATCCCGAGGCCCCACAAACGACCGAACCGCACCATCCAAATTTTGAGATTCTATCACGATCAAGCGCGTCTGCTTTCCACCTTTCGATGCCGATGCTGCAGTGCTTTGACCGCTGCCTAGACCCTCGAAGGGTGCTGGGAACGAATACAAACCGCGTGGAATGAGACTGGCTGTGAAGCCGAACGAAGATGGCCACCCTTCTTCGACGATACCGGTCCTCGACTTCGACCTCGACACCTTCTACCTCCAAATCCGCCGACATTTTGCGAGCTCTCCTAGACAAGCTCACCGCCCATGCTGAAAACAAACAAGCCAATGGCTATCCCACGATCCTGACGTTGATCGAGGTGCTACAGAAAGTCCGTCAACATGTCGCCGCTCCCGAACCCCCCAGCGTTCACCAGGACGATTTCCGGTATCTCCGCGGGTTTTACAAAGTCCTTGATGTCCTGCGGTCCTTCTCGGGCTTCTACGATCCCCAGACTCGCACACAATCAGAAAAGGAGGAGATATTTGGCCTCTTAGAAGCTGCCCTGGACCTCCTTTCCGCTGCATTTCAAGACCACCCGGGGAATAAGCGCTACTTTCGCAATCGGGTCGAGAGTGGTGGATGGGAGGCTCTCGAACAAATCATCGCCAGCATTGGACTCGCGGGGAGCGATTCCGACACTTGGACCAACTCCCAAGTCTTTGGAAAGCTCTTGGCTTTCTCTCTCGGCGACAAGCGCGTTGGCGAGCTCTTCCACACTGTCTTCGAGGCCACCTCGATCGCAAAGAACACCCCCCCTCTGCAGAACACGAAGGACGGACGTGAAATCGACAACCGTGACCATGTCCATGGGAAAGAGGATGGGGATGTGGCTTCCCGGCCGATACTAGATGTTGCAGGGAAAGTCCGTAAAGCTATCCACAAAGACAGCGTATTCCGCATCCCCGAGATCCTGCGGACTGTTGTCGGCTTCTGGGAAACCATACCAAGGGCCCAAGACCGTCCGGCCGAACCTGTTTCCATGACGGTTCTAGATGCTGTGTCGAGCGCAGTCTCCGTGTCCATGTTCAACTTAGCCGCCCTTCATTCAACAGGCGTCCTTTCGCGCTTCTTGCGGGTTTGTTTCGACCCCGCTCAGCAACTCAATCCTGATGAAAAGCAGAAACTCCTGGTGCTTTGCAAGAAACTGATGTATTTGGGCACCAATCAGCCAGCTGATGCTCAGTTCTTGTTGGCGAATCAGTCCCCGGAGGCTTCGACCTTCTCCCTCGAGATGGCGTCTGCCTACAGCGGTCCTCCTTTCTTCCAGCTCGACCTATCTCTCCATGGCCACTCCTCCATTGAGCTCCCTACTCTGGGTCGAGTCTTCCCCCCAAGCAACGCGCCTGGCTATACCTTCACCGCTTGGGTGCGAATAGACCGTTCTGACCCTGCTTCTCACACCACGCTATTCGGGGCGTGTGATTCGACCCAGACTTGCTTCCTTCTCATCTACTTGGAGAAAGATACGCGAAACTTCATTCTTCAAACATCAGTCAAGACACAGCGCCCCAGTGTCAGGTTCAAGTCAGTCGTGTTTAAGGAACGCCAGTGGTACCATATCGCCCTGGTTCACAAGCGACCAAAGACCATTTCAGCGAGCAAGGCTTCGCTTTACATCAACGGGGAGTTTGCCGAGCAGCTGAAGTGCGCCTATCCTATGCCTCCACCGTCGGCTCATGGCAGTACGGACAGCCTCGCCTCGTTCACCTCAAGCAACTCCAAGCCCAATCCGGTCCAAGCCTTCATCGGCACACCGAAAGGGCTCGCTAGCCGCCTGGGCCCCGGGCAGGTCTTCTCGAAATGGTCTCTCGCATCCGCTCACCTTATTGAAGATGCGTTGAGCGATGACCTCATCGCCGTTCACCATGGGCTCGGAGCGCGCTATCAAGGGAACTACCAGGATAGCTTGGGTGGGTTCCAGACGTACGAGGCCTCGGCCAACTTAGGCTTGCGCAATGAGATCGTCCATCCTGGCAGAGACGAAGCCTCCGACTTACTTAGGGCTATTCGGGAGAAAGCGGGCACCCTGGTCCCCGAGAGCAAAAGTCTTCTCAGCATTTTCCCAACAGCAGTTTTCCGGGAGGACGGTCTTTTCCAGGATACCCAGCTTCATCGCGCTCTTCCCCGTGCCGCCTCGACGAACCTGATCCAAATGACCCAGCGCAGCGGCTCCGCCATCGCTGTAAACGCAGCCGTGCCGTCACTTCCGGAAGCCTTAGCTCGGTCTCATGGCGTTGCAGTTCTCATCGGAAATCCTGTCGTCGCCGCCCCGTCCCATTTCGACGACAACTTTTGGCGCTTGGCCGGCTTTACTCCCTTGGCCCTCAAGCTTGTTGACCGCGCCTCCGCAGTAGAGGAGGTAGTCCGGGCTGTAGAAATGCTGTTCCTGTGCATAAAGAGGAGCTGGAGGAACAGTGAAGCGATGGAACGTGACAATGGATATGCGATCCTCGGCATGCTCTTGAGGGCAAAGCTGGGATACAGCGGCAGCCCGGGAATCGAGAGCGCAAGCACTCGTCTTTCCGCCACAAATGAAGAGCGAGACCAAATGAGTTTCCAGCTTCTCAGCCTCCTCCTCGAGTTTGTCGGGTATAACCATGCTGAACCTCTGGACTCTTTCATCATCAACCCGCTGGCATACCGCGTTCTTCTTATCGACTTCGATACATGGAGACGGTCCGCTCCCATCACACAGGAGTTATACTACAAGCAGTTCGTCACGTTTTCCGTTAAGAGTAAATATCGGCAGTTCAACAGCCGACGTTTGATCCGCATGAGTAAGTTTGTCGAGGATCCGCTGGGGGACATTGTACTGAAAAGGTCTTCTACTACAGGAATCGTGAAGAGACTTCTCGATGCCATGAAGGCGGAGACGATCTCCGAAGACGTTCTACCGCATTTCATGGATGCGCTGGAACAACTGGTCAAGTGCAACTACACGGCCGAAGTGCACCGGGCCTTGGCCCTGTTCATCACCTATACTTTCCACTCGCCCGCATCTTCCTTGCCACGTACCCCGAAGCCTGTTTCCTCCAGCACTCGATCCAGCACTCCCGGCTTCATTCGGAGAGCCCCGTTAGACAGCAGCTCCTCCTCTACCCCTGCCACATCAAAGTTCCTCACCAAGAAGCAACTAGGGACCAAAATATTGGGCATGTACTCGGGGCTTCTTTGTGAAAAGGGGAACCTAGCGAACATCAAAAAGTTCGCTAGGACTGTTACCAACAAGGTGAGGGAGTCCGGCGACGCTCGATCAACTTTGCTGAGTATGGACCAGTGGTTATTATATCTCTTGGCCGAGGACGATGCCGAGACCGTCGTATATGGCGCGAAGATTCTTGCTCGTCTACTGGTAACCCACGGGAGTGCCTACACAACCAAGTTTGCGACCAAGACTGCCGGATTTACGATTATGGCGTACCACTTGAAGCGCTGGTGGGACGTACCAACGCTCTGGCCCATATGCTTGAGCATCTTGTTTGGCTACGATGTGGCTGAAATCGACTTCACTCGCGAATTCGACTTCTCCAACTTGATCGAGATGTTCGGCAGCTCTAAGATTGCTACTCCTGAATCCCTTCCGGTCATCACTTCTATGTTGCAGAGCGGTCTTAAAGATATCTTCAGGCACCAAGAGGACCCGAGCTCGCCTCCAGCTGACACTGTCTTCCGGGACGGACGTCCGCCCGCTGCCTCCCTGGAGGCGACTCGGCCTCGCGCTACGTCGATGGAGCTGTTCCAAGCTCTTCAGTCTCGACGTACGGAACAGATGCGAAAGCCGAGTGATTGGGTTGTTGACCATGTTTCGGTTCTCAACACTGTGGTCAGATTCTTTTCAGATCTTCATTCCCGTTCTTCGAGCTTCAGAGACTTGGCGCTATCTTCGGAATACGTCCGCCAGCTCCTGCGGGCGTTGTATCCCGTTGTGGTGAGTACGGATGAGCTGTCTCCTGAGACAGAACTCAACTCTCCAGATGCCACTCTTACCTTCGAGGGTGCGGACGTGATCATCCGCCCCCTGGCTGTGTCTGGCCCATCACCCATTATTCGGACTGCCAGCGTCCAAGCTGCCACCAATCCACGGACCATATCGCGGGGCAGGCCTCTCCGAAGAGCGTCCTCTTTTATTCTGGTGACCTCGCAAGCCGCCCCCGATGCAGCGGCCCCGCCTTTATGGCAGCCATCCGATCCGAAGAATGTCCTCTCCCGCCAGACAAGTAGTACGGTCCGTGAAGGCTTGCTGGAATTGGTTACCGACATTTTCACCGAACAGCTCCTGAACCGCAAGGAGTTCCCTGGATTTAGCCTTTTCGCCAAGATACCGCCAGGGTTTCAAGAACACCAGGCTTACTTCGAATCATACGTGCTTCGGAACACCATTGAGCATCTCAATAATTATATTCAGCGTACGCAAAAGATTCTTTGTGAACCAAAGGTGCTCATGAACATGGCGAGGTTCAGCAATCACGTTGTTGAGGCGATCTTTGAAGGTTGGTTTATGGACGGCGCCGAGGTCATGCTAGAATTCCTGGGCACCATCCTAGAGTACCTCCAACGACCGGAGGTGTCGTCTTTGAAGAGTGTCCGACTCTGCAGCCAAGCGTTGGCGACAATACGTCATTGTTTTCTCAGGATCAATCTCCTTCGGCTCTCGGAACTGGACGACGCTCAGACATCTGAGGGTCAAGCTCTGGCCTTCATGCACAAAATACTTTACTGGCAAACTGCAATCCTAGGTTGCCTTTCGAATGAACATGAGTTTGTGAGGCTCCTCTGGTATCAGCTGTACACCAAACTGGTTGACGACAGAGCCCCTATTCGCCTGGCTGCAGCGAACATACTACGGATTATGCTAGTCCAGAAGCCGGATGAGTCCACCGCTTTGTTCAGGCAAGGCCTTGCCTCAGATGAGCAACGATTGACGGCGCAATTCAGCACATTGACCGAAGTGGACAACGAGACCTTCGTTGTCTGGGTGGACCAACACCGTCCATCCTTGGATGCGTTCTTCTTCGGTGGCTTCTCTAAGACATGGGAGGAGTTCGTGGCGGCAGAAAATCAACGAACCGTCGACAGTGCTAAACTCCGTCTAGCCAGGCGCAAGGAATGCCTGAAAACCTGGCAAGCGGGAAATCATGCCACGGACAATGCGATAGTCAGCCATCAGATGGCTAACAGCTCTTGGATGAAGAGCATTTTCAATAGCGAACACTTCAAGCATCAACGGCTCATGCAAGATCAGCAAGACGATATGGCTTTTCTCTCTTCGGCGTTCGCGAAGATGGACCGCGATCTCCGGCGTCCAGGCGCGGTATTCAGCGAGCCCGCGCAACCTAAGTGGAAGCTGGACCGCACTGAAGGACGGAATCGCATGCGACTGAGACTCCTCCCAGTTTACTCGAAGGACCATGAAGTGTTTCAGCCAAAGCGACGAGCTGGAGAGCTGGCCGTGAGTTCAGCTTTGAAGGTGAACACTCTCGTCCCTCCAGTGACGCAAGCGTCAGCATCTATCTCGGCAACCCCAACGTCCTCCCAGGCGCCATCGGCACAAAGATGTGAAGGGGCCATAGGAGAACCCGAGACATCTTACCAGAAGAGTGAGTCTTCCGGCTCGGACTCGGTAGTGGCGCCCGAAGACGATTTCGAGATGGTCGACGACCCCAACGATGCATTGGACGGAGATGACGGGTTCGAAGACAAAAACCGGAAGGTGATGCGACGACTCCAGCAGGGGGACCAAGTACAGTCTGTATACAACATTTCTCGCATCATCGGTCTGGAAGCGTGCGAAGGCATTCTCATCGTTGGGAGAGAGGCCATGTACATCATGGACAACGTTTTCCAGTGCGCCTCAGGGGAGATAGTTAACGCCTGGCAAGCCCCGCCCGACGAACGAGATCCCTTTTCGGAGATTATCACGGATATCAAGACAACGGAGAGGCGACAGAACTCCGGTCGCAGCGAGCAGGAGTCAAGAAGTTGGCGGTGGCACGACGTCATTAGTGTATCGAAGAGGAGATTTTTATTCCGGGATGTCGCTATCGAGATCTTCTTCACCGATGGTCGAAGCTATTTACTGACTACTATGAACCCCGTCTCGAGAGACTCCTTATTTGGCAAGCTGATGAACAAAGCACCTCACACCAACGCTGCAAGCTCGCTACCAAATCCAGAAGATGGCTGGCGACTCGAGACTCTGAAAGTAATGGAGGAGCCTTCGCAAACGCTTGGGTTCGGCTCCAAGTTTGGAAACATCTTTAATACGTCCTCTTGGAATCCGTCTTTGAGGAGGTGGCAGAAGGGTGAGATCTCGAATTTCCATTATCTCATGCTTGTGAACACCATGGCAGGTCGGACTTTCAACGACTTGACCCAGTACCCTGTCTTTCCTTGGGTGTTGGCCGACTACACAAGCGAGGAGCTCAACTTGGATGATCCGGCAACATTCAGAGATCTCTCGAAACCCATGGGAGCCCAGACTTCCGGCCGAGTCACAGGCTTTCAGGAGTCGTACAAGGCTCTCGCCGAAATCGGGGAAACACCATTCCACTACGGAACCCATTACTCTTCAGCTATGATCGTCTCGTCGTATCTCATCCGACTCCCACCTTTTGTGCAGTCTTACATTCTCCTTCAAGGAGGGACGTTCGACCATGCGGATCGCCTCTTCCAGTCCATTCCTCAGGCGTGGAAATCTGCCTCCTGTGAGAACAAGGCCGATGTGAGAGAGCTAATACCGGAGTTTTTCTGCTTGCCGGAATTTCTCACAAACACGAACGGGTACAATTTCGGCCATCGGGAAAGCTCTGGGGCTAGGGTGGACAATGTTGTTTTACCTCCCTGGGCAAAGGGAGACCCCAAAATATTCATTGCGAAGCACCGAGAGGCGTTGGAGAGCCCTTTTGTGAGCCGGAACTTGCACCATTGGATCGATCTGATATTCGGATACAAGCAAAGAGGCGAGGCCGCGGTGGAAAGTCTGAATGTCTTCCACTACCTGTCTTACCGCGGTGCTGCCGACCTAGACAGTATCAGCGATCCGCAAGAACGGAGGATCGCGGCTGGCGTGATCCACAACTTTGGTCAAACACCGCATCAGGTCTTCGCCAAACCGCACCCGCAGCGCGAGGTTCTACAGGGCCCAGCACGGAAACTAGACACTTCGGTCTATGCCCTCACGAGACTTCCGCACCCGCTTCTTGGTGAGAATGCCTTACATATCAACCTGCACGAACAGACTTCGGAACTAACACTTGAATAGAATCTCAGGACAGGATTTCCTCTCTGCTTTATGCTCCGAAACTAGACCGCCTTCTGTGCGCTTCGGCCTTCCGGCTAAACGTGCCACCATATGATAAATGGCTGGAATGGGGATATGCCGACAACAGTGTTCGGTTCTTTTTCAGCGACAACAGAAAGGTAAGACCCAACGTGAACGCCTCCCCTTTTGTCGCGATAGCGAAAGATTTCTGACTTTAACCAGCCCGCCGGTTTGTTCGAGAACCTCCACATCGGCCAAATCTCGTGCGTCACTTTTGCGAACTCCAAGACGCTCATCACGGCAGGGGAGGACTGTGTCATCTCCGTATTCGCTATGCAGACAGCACCAGGCCGGCCAGTCGAACTTCTTCCTCGGTCCAGTTTGTTCGGGCACAAGGCACCCGTTACCACCATCGCCGTGTCCAAAACATTCAGCACGTTTGTGTCAATCTCGGCTGATGGACAGGCGTTCATGTGGGATATCAACCGGCTGGAGTTCATCCGGAAACTGCCGCTTGCGCGACAGGTCGAATGCGCCTCGATCAACGACGTGACTGGCGACCTCATGCTGTGCTGCGGACCGAACGTGGTGCTCTACAACATCAATGGCTCTCTCATGCTTGACCAGAACGTGTGCATGGAGTCGGATGACTTTGTCCATTCCTGCGCGTTCTACGAAGGTTCGGGTAACGAATGGCTCCAGAATCAGCTTATCATCACGGGCCACCGTCGAGGTAGGGTGAACATTTGGAGAAAGTGCGTGAAGAATGGGAAATGGACGCTGGAGCTCCTCCGGCGGCTGGATCACGTTGATCAGCGCTCCGAGGCTGGCCTGAATTACGATGCCGGCATTACCTGCATTACGCCCATGCCTCATTGTGTCTATACTGGGGATGAAGATGGACGAGTGGTGAGCACCCCTGCTACGATCTTTTATCTTTATGAATTCCTTCCAGGTGCTGACGATGGAATAGTTCGAATGGAGCCTGCTCCACAGGGACAGGTAGAGTCTGCCCCGTCGAAAGCCGTGTAGCTTCGTTAGGAGGGCGTCATCGTTATGATATATAAAGAGAGGGAAAATATTGGGCAGGTGTTCTCCCGTCGTATTCTGTCAAAAAGTCGTGATGGATGGCATGGTACCGGATCGTTTTCGCGCGGAGAGAGGAATCGAGAATTCGTGCTATAGGTAGATAAGGTGCATAGTTATGTACTTCGTACATGTAAATGAAATGCTTCGGCTAGAAGCTTGTCGCAAGTCTTGGAAGACCGGCATGCCTATTGCGGCGCACCTCTTCTGGCTCCGTGTCTCCTTTGCCTCGTCCGCATTTTGCGAAGAAAACCCCAACGCCAGCTTATGTACAATCCTATTCTTCCTCTTGTTTTTTTCCTTTATAAAGGTCTTATTCGTCGTCGTAGCCGGTCAATTGCTTCCTCGGGCCCTCGGGCACTGTGTGGCTCCATATAGATTAGCGACTGTATTGTCTTGATACAGCCTGGGTGAAGACATCAAGCCCAACATACCGGGATAGGTCACGGGAATCCGAGGCGCGTTCTCATCTCCAATCCACCTCCTGACGGGAGGAACGAGAGCTAGCTGAAGGGGGCCGGTGGCGCCGATGACGACGGACCAGAAGTAGGCGGGACGCTCGCGAGACGCCCAGCGTAGATACTTGATGGGGCCGGCCCAGAATCGGGGGGTTGTATACGTCATTTTCGGCGACTATATGAAAGGTTCGTTAATATGGATGTATGTCGGCGTGAAAGAGCGATGTTCGGTACCTCAATTGACTCGTTGCAATGGTTGAGAACGATCGTAATCGAGTAGAAGGGAGAGGACCGCAATGAAGTTGAGGCTCGCTCGGATCAATTGTGGAATTGACCGGGCTCGGCGGAAGCACCGGATAAACTCGAAGCGGTTGATCCGGAAGTGGGTGTTATGACAGAGCTCCAAGATATTCCGGCTTGGCGTCAGCTCTGGACTACGTATCCCCAAAAGGTCAATTCAACACAGCTAAAGTCGGTCGACCAGATTGGGGTGTCAGTTCAACATTGCGACGATTTGCGACAGCGAATACCAAGGGAGAGCTGTCGCAATTTTCCCAATTCGTTTCTTTTTTCCCTTGGTGACCTGCGAGAGAAAGCGACAGCACGACATACCGCAAATATGAAGTCATTCCTCTCGCTTTTTGTCTTCCTTTTCGCTGCAGCAGTGCACGCTGCTAGTGCCGGCGGCGACAGACTGCTTGTGCTTTTGGATGATGTCGCCGAGAAGGACGTTTATTCGACATTTCTGGGTGATCTAGAGGGTGCGTGTTTGCTGCTGGCCGTCCCTACTAAAAAGAGGGGATGTTGACGGTGTGTTTGACATGGAAATTGACCGAGTTTCAGGCCGGGGATTCAAGATCGACTACGAGACACCCAAGAGCGAGAACCTGCACCTATTCCACTTAGGCGAACGCGTCTACGATCATATCTTGTTTTTCCCTACCAAGACCAAGGGTACGGTTTGAGTTCTTTGGGCTGTGTGTACAGCATCTGGTTGCTGATTGTATTGATAGGTCTCGGACCCAACTTGACACCCAATATCCTCGTCAAGTTTATCAATGCCCACGGCAACATCCTTGTGACTAACAGCGCCTCCACGACCATCCCCACCTCTCTCGTCGGCCTTCTCAACGAACTCGATATCTCACTCCCCGCTGAGCGCACCGGCCTGGTGGTCGACCACTTCAACTATGATACCCTCAGCGCCGACGAGTCGCATGACGTTTTGGTTCTCCCTGCGCCTCACCCCCTGCGACCCGGCGTCAAGGACATTTTCGAAGCTGGGGCGGACGACGTCCTTGCCTTCCCCTCCGGAGTAGGCCATGTCCTGGGCTCGAGCGCACTGCTGAACCCGGTTGTCCGAGCGACCAAGACGGCGTACAGCTACAACCCCAAGGAGCAAGGCGACGTCGTTGATCCGGATGATTTGTTAGCAGCGGGCCAGCAGCTGGCGCTGGTCTCGACGTTCCAAGCACGTAACTCGGCACGTCTGTCGCTCATTGGTTCGGCGGAGATGCTGAGCAACAAGTGGTTCGACGCCAAGGTCAAGAAGTTGGGCGGAGATAAGGTCGGCACTTGGAACCGGGCCTTCGCGAAGAAGATCTCCGGGTGGACGTTCCAGGAGATTGGCGTGCTGCGGGTGAACACGATTGAGCATCATCTCGCCGAGCCGGGCGTCGAAAGCGAGCCGAATCCCAAAATTTATCGCGTCGGCAACAATGTGGTTCGTTGGCCCTCTTCCTTTTTTACCGTCAAACCCTTTTTTGAGAACGCACAAACTGACATGGTTTCATAGACGTACTCTATTTCTATGTCCGAGTATTCTTGGGACAGCTGGGCCCCATTCATTCTGCCCGAGGATGATGACCTCCAGCTCGAGGTCAGCATGTTGTCGCCCTTCTTGCGTATGAATTTGGAGCTCGTCGATAAGAGTACCGACGCCTCCACATACACACGCTCGTTCACGCTGCCGGACAAGCACGGCATCTTCAACTTCCTGGTCAACTACAAGCGGCCTTTCTTCACCAGCGTCGAGGAGAAGAACACCTTCACGCTCCGCCACATGGCGCACGATGAATGGCCCCGATCCTACGCCATCGTAGCCGGTTGGCCGTGGCTCCTGGGCATGTTCCTCACCTTCGGGGGGTTCCTGCTTTTCTGTGCAGTCTGGATGTACAGCGCACCTGCGAGGCCGACAACCACGAAGAAGACTCAGTAAAGAGGTTATCCCGGCAGACGAGGAAGAGAGAGTGTGTGTGACAGAACGTCCATGGGAGATTACGGCGGCCATAATAGACCGGTAGCAGGTATGTGTGATCTAGACTTGGGCTGGAGTGTATGAGTAGCGTGTACACATCAAGCATACGGTTCCCTCGGGCCAGGCGGATCAGGACAAAAGAAAAGAACAAAAGGTTATAGGGAAGCTAATGAGCCACCAATCTACGAAATGCATTTCGAGTTTGCAAAGCAACCGGCAGCGACGCTTGTGATCCGTGGACTGCTTCAGCTTGTACTCTATTACAGGTGACCTCGCAGGCCTACAATCCTTTCCTCGTCTTAGGACACTCCCCCTATCCGTGGCTAGGGTTAGGTATCTTGGGCAGGCAGGCAAGACACCTGACTGTGACGTAGGTAGCAGACAGGAGAAGTGGGTTTTATCATACCTTAAGGTAAGGTACCTTAGGAACATCAGGTAGGTACCAGTTGTTCCGGTGTCAGGGGGACGCAGTGATACTTCAGTTAAGACGGCCTGATCTGAGGAGGGTGCGAGGTACTCGAGGTCCTGTGACTTAGAGGAACCTTAGACGAAGTCAGGGGAGGTGGCCTTCCTTCCCTTCTGTCTAAAGCACTCTACTATGACGAGATATGGAAGGCACCCAATAGCCACGGACTAATCTAGTTGCTTCCTTCCCTTCCCTCGAAAGCTTCACGGAGTCATCCATCCTTATGACCCCTCAATGTTCAGAAACACTCTTCGTTTCTCTTCTTTTTCTTCTTACGTCGCGACAGCCAGTTAACCCAGACATTTATCATTTTCCCGCCGGTACACATATTGTTCTGGCGTCCACCAAGTTTCTCAGCCCCCTTTTCATCTACGCGTTGTCGACTCGGCGTACGAACATTTTTATACCTGAATCAGGGGTTGGAAAGGGAGCAGAATCCGCATCTCCTGGCGTCCCTTGGCTCGTTTCGAGCCTGGCCGCACGGCTGGGGAACCGCTTCAACTCGTTTTCTCCTTGCCTTTCTTCTCCTGAACTTCTCGAGACGACAAAGAAGTCATTATGTTCTACAGTCACGACAGTGAGCTAGCTCTTCAACCCAGAATTTCCTGCCTCCTCCAGACACACCTAACAAGTTGCCCTCCAGTTCTGACCGATCGCCAGCATGGTGTCGCAACCATCTGGTACGCAAAAGACCCCCATTTCGCGTTCCCGGTGGGTTGGACATTCGAGTTAATCGTCTTCTTCTAGGCTTGTGGCCACCGTTGGGCCTCGTGGAGGTGGTCGAAAGGTGACACGCAAGGCCATTCAGGAAGTCGACGTCCGAAGGGCGTGTGAAGCCATCATTAAGCCAGGAGCGCCTATAGCTTTACGCTTGCAGGGCAATCTACTCTACGGCGTGTCTCGGGTTTACTCACAGCAGTGCGCTTATGTCCTCAATGATGCCGAGAAGGTCCAGTCGAACATGAAATTGTTCTATCGCCTCATTGCCCACAATGAAACGGACCCCCAAGCAGGAAAGTCCAAGTAAGTGATACCTTGGGATTAGGTCTCTACTCAGTTGCTCCAAACATTATTCACGCTGTATTACCTATATCCCAATCATAACTGGAATCCGAATTCTAACTCGCAGTTTCTGCGATTTCTGGGAATTCTGCTTCCCTCCTTCCCATACATCCCATGGCTAACAGTTGCAAGGCCTGACCAAAACATTCTTGAAGACGACCCTGGCTTTATCGCAAACCCGAACCTTCCCCGTTTCGACTTCGGCGAGGACGTGAACCTATTCATGAAAAGCCAGAGTCAGATGTCGTCCGCAAAGGTGTACTCTCAACTTAGCCCTATAGACAAGTGGACTTCATCCAGTCGCCGCGCCAGTTCTCTCATAGGGTTGAATCTCCCACAATCCGAAGGAAGCAGCAGTCTGGGATTACCTTCCCCCTTTGGGCCTCTGTCATCCGCCCAGAAGACAGGCATGCCGCCTGTGGGGGTGGATCCCATGAACGAACAGGACGATTTAGACCTAATGGGGGTTCTTGAGCTTGACATTGACGCTGAGGGCAATGTTCTTGGTATAGTCGACCATATAGAAGAGCCGGGGTTGCCCCCTCACCCCTCGCGGCAAGCAGATGACAACGAGATTGCAGGAACGAGACAGGAGCGGCAACCAAAGGGACATCATAGTGCTGTCAATGAGGACGACTACTTGATGATGGAAGATCAGCTCCTTCCAGATGCAGAGGCCTTTCCTGGCCAGCAGCCGCAGCAGCAGGAACGCATTCCAGAAACCGGTTCGACTCTTCAGCGTACTGTCTCAACGAGGCAAAGACGGAGGCCCAGGATGCTTGCCCCAGATGACGTTAATTACATCCCAAGTGCTCTTATCACGGCATGGAGTAGAGACTATGTAGCAAGATCAGAAAGGGAACGTATCGACCAATGGAAAACAACTCCTGCACAGGCACGTGAGTTTGCCTACCATGTTACTCTCGGCCAAGGTATCGCAGGAATTGGCCGGCCGATCGGTATCCCGGGGTTTGAGCACCCTTTGGCGCGCCACTTTGCAGGCGATTCACTCCGAGATCAAGTATTCGGCGGTAGGTTACCGCCGCATCGAGACGGCTTACAGCGGTCCTTTTCACAGGCATTTGAAGATGATGAAGAGGAACACGGCCGCCATGTTCGGCCCAGGCTCGAGGAAGCCACCCCTCAGCCTTTTCAAGACCATGACATGGGATTTCTTTTGGGGGACGACTCTATGCTTCCCGAAATGGGCATGGAGGGTCAACCTGCCATGACTGACCGCATGTCGTCTTCTCTCATGCCCTGGAACCGAACTCCCTCTGCTCAGCCTCCCTCGTCCATTTTGGGCCGCGGCTCGAAAAAGCGTGCTGGGAGTCACCAAATTACTTCCAGTCCCAAGGGCAGCGCTATTTACCCCATCGAGCGTCACAGTGATCCTGCCACTGGAAGCCACCATGGCTCGGACCCCGACTTCGGCCCGGGGCTTGCGGACCTCGCTGACGCCGAAGTAACGCAAGACTCGCAGTGGATGCATGCCGGACTGGATACTGCTAGTGGCGTGTTCCTCACGTATCTGAAGGAGCAGGCGAATGAGCTTGGTGTTCCTCACGTCGGCGACCCGAAGCAGGACCGTCTCTGGATCGACTTTGAGGACCTCGCTATTCCGGGAAAACATCCGAAGAACGTTGCGGCACAGGCATTCCTTCATGTGCTTTCCCTAGCCACGAAGAACAGAATTGGCGTTGAGCAGCTAGTGGAAGACAACCGGCCGTTCGGAAATATTTCTGTTGGTGTCGATGTTGGAGGTATGAGACATATCTCACTAGACACGTAAGAGGACGTATTGAGCTCAAAGCCTCCATGGAATCCGCATCGGGCAGGGCAGATGACTGGCTGACGGCCCATAATCCATCCGAATTTCTTATGAGCCTTACAGGAACTGCAATGTCCGCACTCGCCACAAGATCGGGATGCAAGCAAGGCCGTCATCGGTTTCTTCTGTCTGTCTCTCTCTCTCTCTCCTTTTTTTCTTTTTTTTTTCTCGGCGGTTTTATTGGCAACGGGTTTTGGGAGTTGGTTTGTATGCGATGGTCAGAGAATGCATCTGATTTAGTGCTTGGTCCTTAGAAGGGACGAGGAAGGACACCGTGAGGAAACGGGTATAACTTGGGCGACGTGGTTAAAAAGGGACAAGGGAAACGAAGGACAAGCAGGGGCATTCTACTGGAGGACATCGGCGTTTGGGTCTGATTGCCTTCTTTCTACTCATTTGGGCTGCACTAGCTACAGGTTGATCTCTTGGGGGCTCTTCACGATTTCGGCCGGACGGAATGTTTGACAGATTTGCAATTCGGGAGAATAATCATCGTTGCTTGATCTTTCATTCTTCAAGGAGTTAGGGTGACATTCGGAAAACGGAAGTCAATTCATAAGTTCTCCAACAATACGAGGCTGAAGTCCTTAAAAATGAAGACAGGGCTTCGTCGTAAACTACATAAATCATACTGTAGCACCGTTCGCGGTGCAATTTACGAGCTATCTACTCCTGGTCGTGCTCATCATCGCCTACGTCCTCACGGTTCTCGAAATCCATGTACTTAGATTTTGCTTCGTCGGTGGCCGCAGGTCCCATGGCCTTTACCCAAGCCTCCTTGACAGGGTCCAACGCGGCGTCATCGAAGGCGAGGCCAAGGGGCAGTGATGGGAAGGTCAAGATGGCTTCCTCATCCGCCGAGCAAGGCTTGCTCCTGCCGCATGACTGGTCGTATCGTAACTGGTAGATACACCGAGGTGGTTCTCCGCGGTTGTCCTTGGAAACAGCGGAAAGCACCGATGCGACAGCATGGTCGAGAACGGAGGCCGAGCTTGGGGTGGCGAGGGTAGTGAAATAGAGTACGCCTGATGCGCTGACTGTTAGCCAACCGTTTCCTTCTTCCAATTCGGGGCAGATATTGGGAGAAACACAAAAGGATGTATCAGATATAGAAAACCGTTTACGTCAAAGCAAGAGCTCAGACAATGTGGATAAGATTGGATTATTGAATCATCATGTTGGGTAGGGGGGCCGGGATGTGAAATGAGAAGAAGTCGACTTACTTTGTCCGGAGGGGCATTCTCCCGTGTCGCTTGAATGAGCAAAGACAAACACAGGATATGGCGACGGTTCGGCCTTGTCGTCCTTCAAGGAGCCCGCAGGCATGACAATGACAGCAACAGCTGGTGTCGGTGCATCCTCTAGCGTAGGCGTAAAGAGCGAACGCAGAGGAGAATCCACGACGACCACTTGCCTGCTGATCTTTTCGTCGCTCTCTGTCGCGCTGTCACTGCCACGGACGAGTAACCGAGTCCGGACCCGGATGGCGGGTTCTCCCAGCTCGACCTCCACCTCCGCGCCGTCGGGACCCTCTTCCGAAAGACGCGTGGCTTTGACATCTGAACCGAGAATGTAAACGCCGCCGCCCACGGCACAGGCTCGGCAGCCCACCTGGGATATCTCGCTCCCGCCTCCCCACTTGGGATACACGGCGGCGAAGCCCGGCCCGAACATGCCCATGGAGGTGAGGTGACGCTCGATGACCTTCAGCCCGGCCCGGACGGTGATTCGTCCGTCGAGCGAGAGCGTCAGGGCAAGGATCAAAGTCCTCAGCTCGGCATCGAGCTTGAACTCGTCCTGGAGGAAGGTGTCGAGGGGCTGTTTGGCTCGGGCTTGCCACTTTTCGGCCTGAGCGGCGGTGTCGTGCTCGAGAACGAACTTGAGGAATTTGACCAGGGCACGTTTCAAGCGGGGTTGGATGGTGGTATCGGCGAAGATGGCTTCGCGCGTGGACGGGATAGGTGTCAGTGACGGGCCCCCCTGTTCCGTGTTTGGACGACCATCTTCTTGGTTTTCCGCGGCTGCGGAGGAAGCGGGTTGGAAGATGAAGAAGGAACCGACGGCTAGGAAGTCGACCTGACGGTAGGCGTGGGAAGAGACGAGTTGTGAAAGGAGGGCGGAGCGGGTGTGGACGATGAAGGGGGCCAAGGCAAGGGAGTAGGCTCGGGAGGAGGAGAGGGCAGAGGCTGAACCGGAAAGTTCGGCTGGTCTGGATATGGAAGCAGCAGAGAATATGGGGGTTGGCTCGTCTTGTGTTTGGTCTGGGTCTGGGTCTGGGTCTGACGCGTCCGACGACAACTGCGTCTGCCGGTTCTGCTGCCGTGCTACCCATTCCTCGGCATCTTGGAGGGTGAGGGCGGCCTCGTCACCGCCATAGTAGGCATTGGGATCGAGGTGCAGAATTTGCTTGCCCGAGCGCGAGAGAGCTCTTCACGGAGCACCAAGGCTGGGTCAGCCGGTCAGGTCAGAGTTCTCTGGAACAGAGGATGGATGGAAGAATCATAGGGCAAAGAAAGGGTCTTACAAGGCAAGAAGCGACTGCTGCAAGCCTGTGCCACAGATGACGACGTCCCAAGTCGTCTCAGCAAGTGACTCCATGGCGAGAAGAAAGAAGGGAAGAGACTCGAAGGTAGAGGGAGGAAGTGACAAGAGTTGAAAATAATTCCTTCAAGTGGGTGATGGGGAATTTGTTACACGAGTGGAGTGGAGCTTTGACCAGGTTTGCGGTCAGTGCTTATGTAGTGCTTATGTAACACAAACACAGTATGCTTTACGACTGTCCGTAAATCCGCACGGACCCCTACAAAATCTGCTTCTGATTTCCACTTCGCTTGGATTCTTCTTCTCTTCTACAACCATCCGCTCAACATCTACTGCGCGTCACTTATACAGACGTGTGGAATCGATGGGGGTCTTTCATTAGACATTCCCTGGTTGAGTGGTAGACAAAACTCTCGTTCCTCCAGTATCTACTGCCTTCGAATAACGTCTGAAAAGGTGGCTCGAAGTGAGGAATACATAATTTCATATTCAATGCTGTCTTGTGAAGCGAGTTGTCCTCCGTATAGGAAACTGGACGCATTGAGCAGCACGCACTACCTATGTAGCAAGCTACCTACCGTCCTCTACTGAGGTGTACCGCTACTGCTAGCTGTGCTTGGTAATTGTGTGAGCGGCGTATATGTGGTCGTCACGTCTGGCACCTCGGTCCCGTTCACGGGAGCAACGCTTAAGAAAATGAAGAAGAAAAGAGTCAGACGACTTTGAACGTTTCCCCGGTACACAACGCTCAGGCTTACCAGTATGATCGGCCGACGGCTAAGTTAGTACACTCGCTGTCGATGGTCGGGTTTATGTCTGCACGTGCCCTCGTGTTTAGCAGACTTTACTCTCTACGCTGCTCCTCGCGAGGGCACCACGCGGGAAGTTTGGCTTACTCCTGAGTTTATGAACGGTTACCCTGTACCGCAGGGATAGCTGGGCACACGTGTCGGTCTTAGTGATGATATAGAATAATCCGCAGTTACGAATAGTTTATAGACGCGGGCGAGCCGTGGGATCCGGGGTTCTTTTCAACGGAATTAAATACTTAATCAGATTATCTCTTGTTCCTGATAAAGTATTAAGGTATAAAGCTGAGCGAGAAGAAGAACGGAAATGAAAGACTCACGCGGTTGTGGTGAAAACGGTCAACGTGGCGACCCTAGTCATCGTCGGCGTGAACCTGCCCCTATACGGGCCGAGGCAGACCGTGTCGTGCTTCAGGAGTATACTAGACCGGTAAAGACACTTATTCCACTCGAGGAACTACTATATAGAGACGTTTTCGAGCTTCTTCTCTATAAAGTCCTGCACGTTCGTGATCCCGTTAACGATAGCGGCCTCGCAGGTCAGGGGTAGGCAGAGGCGTGCACCTCGAAGGGACTCCGGCCCGTAGTACTCGGTCGGGTTAAAGCTGCGGATACACGCTATCGGGAGTGATACCTTTTACGCGAACTCCTAGATTATATCCTCGCTATCACCGGGAATAGTAGCCGTACTAGGGCATAGGTCCTAGTCGATGCCCGGGCTATTATCTCTAGGGCTTTTTTTTTACGGAGGATATAAGATTAGCATAGATCCGTGGATCTCCGTGTCAACCCCGACCAAGGTAGGATATAATATATCGAGAAGCTCTCAACTGACTTAGAGCTCAATTTCGGTGAGGTTCTGGAACGGAATAATCACGGCATCCTCTCCGCGAAGGTCGTAATTACGGACCATATTGGCCCAAGTCTGTTCGGTCCAGGCGCTGTCAACACAACCAATATATATATAGAGAGAGAGAGAGAGAGAGAGAATGAATTCATGGCTTCGATATGAACCATATTGATCGGTTACCCCCTCCTAATACTATGCCGGCGGATCCAGCGTAACGTCTAGGATAAGGTCGGGGTCCTCCCGCCACCAAGTAAGGACCTCGTCTCTATCCCGACCGAACTTATATAAATTAAAAGACCTCTCGTAACGCTCCTCCACGTCGAAGGCAGCGCGGTAAATCTGCTCCGAGTCCCGAGCCCAATCTTCCTCGCGAAACGCGGCCGGCCAGCCGTACTTTCGCAGGGCTTAGCTAATCACCTAACCCTCGATGCCCTATTAGTGGTGGTGGGTGTTAAGTATAGTACGTATATATGGTATTAAGGGCCAGGGGGCGGGGGGGAGAAGCTGTGTTATGTAGGTAGGTTATTTGGTACTTACGGACGAAAAGCACCAGGAGGCCCTATGGACGGAGGCTAGGACTATCTCGAGACTCAGGAGGGCCTGAACCTATACTCTCAGGACGGTTGGCGCGTGGTACGTCGGCCAGTTTCTATAGTGATCCGGGTTATCAGGCCTCTGGACAGGGAAATCGAACGGGACACCGTCAAGGCCTCTCCCGGGTGCTTCAGTACAACCGCGGATAAATCGGAAGGCGTCTAGCGGGGACGGCTCGGTCAGGACAGGACAGGACAGGATCGAATGCCTTTAGAAGCAGCAGTATAGAATATATATAGCCACCAAAATGACAGAGAAAAAAAGAATCCGGGGGTGGGCCGCCTAGACGTACTATACTTGAGGTCCAGGATCCAAGCGATGCCATCGCTCTCATCAGGACGAGCAAGGGCGATATCCTGTGGCAGCAGGTAGCTACGGCCGTTCATGCTGCTAGCCTGGGTAGAGTATTATGCTATGTCGTGCGGGTCGCGATAGTCCTTGATGTCGAACTCGTCCAGGTAGTTTATGGTGTCGGCTTCGTAGTGGATGCGTATGCGTCGGTAGCTCCCGTTTCGGGGATAGGGTAGCCGCTCGACGAGGGAGACGGCTTCGGGGCTTATCTCTATCTCGACGAGGAGACGTTGACGATCCAGATTCGCGTGCCTCCCCGTATCTGCCGACGGAAACACCACGTCCTCGCGTCCCTAGAAGTTGAGCTTGAACACTAAAGCGTATATTTCGTACCAGAGCGAGACGAACTCGTCCTCTCGAAAGGCCGCCGGAGAACCTGGAGCAGGTTCCGTCCAAACCAGCGGCGCCCGTTGCTATGGCCACACCGTCATTTTTTTTTCTTTCTTTTTCTTTCCTTTGGACGCAATATTTCACTTTGGGCTTGTTAGTAGGCGCAAGTTCCGCACGATGCTGTCGACGGTATTGTATTTGTCGAGATTTGAATTGAAGTTCTCGGCGCGTGCTCACGTTGCAACCATGTCTGCTTGTATGAGTCAGCACAACCTGGTAATAACAACCTGGAAGACTGTAATTACTTATTGAAGGAGTTCGAAAGCTTGCGTTTTATAGGGAGGAATTAGAAACCGGCCTCTGTGGCACCAACACACGAATGCCGAGCCGGGGAGACGTCCCATGAGCCGTTCCTTTCCCATGCAGGCCACAGGGCTACTCTCTGGCCGCAAAACCAATACAAGCCTCGTATTTTTCCGTCTACGAGGATAGTTTGGGTAGAGATGAGCATCATATGACTTCTAGCCAAGGAGGTTTTTTTTTTTTTTTTTTTTTAACTTGTTTCATGGTTTGTCTTTATGGGTATCACATATTTCTCCTTTCAGGCAAGGACACGACGAAGCTCTTCCCACCTCTGCTCGGCCACCTTGACAAAGTTCTTGATAAGATCAGGCTGCAACGCCGTGCCGCCATGCTTGGATATCGACAACAGCTTGGTCGTGCCCGAAGTCTTGTCCACGACAACCGTGATGGTCTCATCGCATAGCGTCTCCTCCAGCCGATCGGGGTCGACGAGGACCCAGAACTCGTCATCCGCCGGGGTTTTCTCCGTGTCCTTGCCAGTGAACACCACGGCCGTGCAGGGAATGGGGAAGCCCGACAGGCTCAGCGGCTTCTGCTCGGCGCGTGTGCAGATGACCATTTCCCGGTCGGCATCCCACCGGGCAGCGGGTAGTTTGGTGTTCCCGAGAGCGGCGAGCATGGAGATCCAGGCGACATCGAAGGGGTTGCCGTCGAAGGAAAGGAAGAAGATGTCGATGTAGAGAACCCAGTATGCGATGACGACCTTTTCGCCCTGCCCTTTTTCTTCCTCCTCGTCCGTGGCCATCATGTTCGTATCCTCGCCGTCGTCGTCCCCCGTACCCGTAGCAACGATCGCATCCGCGTCTTCTGTAGGCCGAGTGTGCCATATCCTCAAGTCGTCTGCGGTGATGAGTTTGGATGAGTGGAGTAGCGAGAACACCCGCGCGCTGAGGGTTTGTGCGAGAGTGGTGGGCGGACCGCCGGGCAGGAATTCGGGGGCGGAACCGGTGGATAGCTCAATGTTCGGCACGAGGAGGTCGTAATCCAAGAGCTCCTCGGCAGAGTCGCCTTCCGAAGGGCGGTAGTTGGGTATGTTGCCGACGGGCAGGATTTCGCCGCGGACACCGCAGATGACGGTATTGTCGCCGACTCGGACTAGAGCGCTGCCATGAGCGTGCGTGAGGGACGAGGTGTTGGAACTGGCAGGTCGAGCCTCCCCAGGGGCACGACCGTTACTCCGGCTGGGTTTGACTGATGGCGATTCGGGTTTAAGATTTGCGAGGAGGTAGGGATGGGGGGTGAGCTTGGCGAAGGTCTCCCGAGGTAATCCTTTGGGAGTAGCCATGACTTTTGTCGGAGAAGGGAGACGATAAGCGGGTAACGCAGGAGGGAAGAGCTGTTGACAAGATTCCACTGCGTCAAGCCTGACGCATTGACAATCGTATTGGGAGTTCCGAACGGAATATAAGTATATTATTTCCGTGGTAGTTGCGGGGAGAGGACGAAGCTTGATGCCGATGGGATGGGTGTTTGATCCAACATGCTTATTTTGACTTAATTTTTGCACCTCTTTTTTTTCTCCCCCCCCGTCCGTTGCTGCATCTTCAGCCTCGTGGGGTACACTAATTATTCGGAATAGGTTTAGCCAATGAGAGACGAGCTCTTTTTCGCAGCCTCGTCCCTCTCACTTTCCTTCTTGCCCGTCTACCCTCACGGAAGGTGGGGAGATGCTGAGGAAAGTGCGAGGGTGGATCCTTCCTCTAGTCTATTATCACCCCCAGACACGGCTACTACAACGTAAGGTACCTTACTTCATAACTTACCGCGTCATCTCTTCATTGAACAGCCTATTTGCCCTTTTCCTATTTTTCTCGTTTCTCCATCTTCATTCATGGCTTATTTCACCGACGCTCAGCTTGCCCATGCCAGACAGACCCGTACACGGTACTCAAACCAGCATCCCACAATCTCATCTCCAAGTGCGGACGGAGTGCCCGTGTACCTAACCCATCTAACCCATGGCTGTACTGTTACCACACGGTCACATATCGGGCGGCCTGGATAAGGTAGACATATATGCCCGGAGACCCCCCAGTCATATCCCTATCGAGACGAGATCGACGCAATGAGGAAACTTCGAGATAGCATGCTCATTTCAGAACGTCGTATCCAATGATTCCAATCCTGGATGGCCCTTTGGTTCGTGTTCATTTCATTGCATCGACAGGTGATGGCAAGGTTTCCCCATATTCTCTTTTCTTTCCCAACATGAAATTCTACTGTACGTTGTAATGCGGCCAAGGCAGTATCTTCCGAGCATCCGCTCAGGCAGGTGTCTCTGCTCAAACGACCCGCCCCCAACGATCTTCAACGGATCTCCATGGATACATACATACATTCGCCGGTCGAGTGACGACCGGGGTTTCGTTATTTTGTATCTGTGCGTACTTCGTACATACAACGTACATACACAGAGGTGTGGAGATGAAGGAAAGCATCGACTTTGGGATAAACCTCCAGGCGTTCGAACCTCTTTGGCATCCAAGAGGTCACTGTCAAACACATCCAAATCTCCAGTACCAATACTTCGTACGGATAGGTAGAGTATGAGCCGTATCTGTTGAATGTTGAACCTCATCTTGCAGGTCGCTTGAAGACAAGGCACGTCCTCGTTATCGCTCCACCAGCAACCAAGAAGCGATGAGAGAAGAGAAAAGAACGAGAAATATGAAGAAGAAAAAAGAAAAGAAAAAGAAAAAGAAATGAAATTGCGGAATAAACCATCGACGGTAACACCCACGGCGCTTCGTCTTCGCCACTGGCTGGCTAACTGGTGCTTGGCTCGCGGCATTCAAGCAGGTACCGACCGAGGACAGACCATGCATGGGTAGAGGGCCAGTCGGCGAATCGCGAGCTTCGTTTTGCCGCCCGCACTTGTGCTCTCTTGATCTTCTGCATCAATCTTCCGGGGTCCCTTGTCCCGCTCACCTATCCACCTGTCATTTCTGCGAATCACAACCGCGATCATGACCATCCCCAACCATCTTCTTCGCCGCCTCACAATGCGCGTAAAGCCAATCATTTTCTCCAATCTCTTCTTCTCCCCAATACCGCTCAGCCATGGGTTGTTGATGTTCACCCAAGCTTTGATAGCTCTCCGGGGACGTAAGTCTTGTCTGTTAGTTGGTATCCCCGCAGCTGCAGTCTTGCGGGTCACGGGCTGACCACATTTGACCGGCCCGGTCCAGCATTGACTAGGGATACATAGAGAAGATGTCCAAGGAAGCTCGTCGTTTCTCTCGGCGACGGCACCCTCCTCTCTCTCTTCCCCCGTGTTTGTTCTCGTTGATCGTCAACACTGGAGAAAGGAGAGAAGAGCGCCACGAAGATTCCGTCTATCCCTACGCCCAAGACACTATTTTCGCTAAGCTATTCACCTCGTCACTCGCGTCAACCAGGCGACTGGGATCACTCCCCTACCCAGGTCCCCCCTCTTTCCCAATAATGTGAGCCATTTCGCCATCCGACATCAGTGGACAAGAATCTGCAAACGCAGGCTTTGAATCACCTTTCACACCTTTCGCTCTTGGCGGTAAACAACTCCCCATCCTTGACCGTGAGTGCTTGCTGTCTCTGCCGAGCCTTTACCGGGGAGAAGCTTGCATGCCTCGCCCTGCATGCATGGCCAGCCACCGCACACTTTCAGTCCCAAAAAATCCAAGTCCTGCCTCTCATTCTGCCTCGCTATTCGACCCGGCCACATCCCGGCCGGACGAGTATCTTGACAACCAGTCAGTATTAATGAAAAGCCCGACCAACCGCAGCACTCAGCGCCTCCCATATACTTTCCTTCACAGCTTCGGCCTTGAACAACTGCGCGGGGAAGGTGTTCTCTCCTATCTTCTGATTTGACTCGTCGATTTTCACGCCAGCAGCCCCCAACACCCACACCCACACCCACGCCCACGCCCACGCCCACGCACGCACACGCATCTTGCATATCACGCACCGTCCCACACCTCATCAACGATAGCCCAGCCCATTACCTAGACGAGGAGTCCATCTATTGTTCGACCCACTGCCTGTTACAAACTCACGTCTCTGCTCCCCAAGCTTCCTGTGGCCCCATATATCCAACCGCCCCCAATTTGAGGAGCACCACGCCTTGATCTGTCTCGCCTCATCCTGAGTTTATGATCGTATTACTCCCAATCATAGCCATCTCCACGTCGTACACTAAGGGGTAGTCAGCCCGGCGAGCGTCTTACCACAACCACTGCGTTTTCCCTCCGTCAATCAAAAGCTTCAACCCGGATACACGGCGGCCATACAACCCACCCCTATGAAAAGGTGTTGAGCAGGCGGTACGACTGAAACTCGGGCGGAAAACCGGCTTCGTCTCGCGCAGAGGCCCTGTATAACGGGCAGAACCCGGCGACGGAAACAGAGCATCACCTGCGTTTGCGGCATATTCGACGGACTTCATGGTACCATAGTTTCCCGTACCATCGCGCATCGTCGCCTTGAAAGAGCTCTCTCTCTCTCTCTCTCTCCAGAGCTCTGTCGCTTCAGCGAAAATGACCTTGCAACTCCGAGATGCGGCAGATGCGGCCGCGCAAACACATCCAGGCCTACATAAACGCATCCATATTCCACTAGATGTTGACAGCCCACCCGGCCTGATCGAGGCAAACACCGTTGACCCCTGGATCGAGTCCGGCAAGTATGCGAGAGGATGGACCTTCTTCGCTCTGGCGCTGATGGCGGCCGTCATCTTCGTACGGGTTTGGCATTTTTGGCAGGACAAGATTCGCCAGGCCATATACAAGCAAGAGATGGAAAAGCATTACGAGGAGCTGTATGCCAGGGACCCCGATCGAGCCACCGCCCTACGATCCGGTCGGATGGCACAACACTTCTTTCCAGAGGACGAGGGTCTTGGCGAGAAGCAGTTCCGCCCTAAAGCTCACTTCTCGTCTGTTGGCTGGTTCAATGACATCCTCGCGCTTTTCCGCTGGGTCTTCTACCGCCCCATTCCCGACATCACCTGGAGACGACATCGCTTCACCTTCTCCTCGCTCGCCGTCTTGACCGTCGTCTTCATCGCCACCCTTTTCGCCGTCCTATACTGCTTTTTGCTGCAACCCCTATACTGGCAGAGCATCCAGTATGGGTCGCCACCTGTCGCCATCAGAGCCGGCATGATCGCGGTCGCCCTGACGCCCTGGATCATTGCCACGAGCTCGAAGGCCAACATCTTGACTATTGTCATCGGCATCGGACCCGAACGCCTCAACGTTTTTCATCGATGGGCTGGCTACCTCTGCCTCTTTCTCTCCTTGGTCCATGCCATTCCGTTTTACGTCCAGCCGGTTTGGGATGATGGTGGCATGGACGTATTTCAGGCCCTGTTTGAGGGAGGAAGTGGCGTCATTTATGGAACCGGCATTGCCTGCCTCGTCCCGCTGGCATGGCTCTGCATCGCTTCGCTCCCATTCGTCAGGAGGATCGCATACGAGGCCTTCGTCCTCCTCCACATCCCCGTGGCCATGGCCTATCTGGGTCTCCTGTTCTGGCACAGCAAGAACTACCTCGCATCTTGGGATTATCTATGGGCCACGGTCGCTATTTGGGTCTTCTGTCTCATCCTCCGCGCCTTCAATCTCAACTGGCTGAAGCCATGGCGCCTGGCCTTCATGGTGGGCGACGAGGCCGCCATTACCCTCCTTCCGGAGAATGCCGTGAAGGTGACCATCCCGACACAGATGCGATGGAAGCCGGGCCAGTTTGTCTATCTGCGGATGCCGGGCATTTCTCTCTTTGAGAACCACCCCTTCACCATTTCCTCGCTGTGCAGCGAGGATTTCCCCTCGGAGTACGGCGACCAGTACAGAGACTGCGTCATCGTGTTCAGGCCGTATGGCGGCTTTACCCGCCGCGTGCTGGAGACGGCCATCGAGAAAGGGCCGTTCCACACCTACCGTGCCTTCCTCGACGGGCCTTACGGTGGCATGCGGAGAGATTTGGCGGCCTTTGACACGTGCATCCTCATCGCCGGCGGCACAGGGATCACGGCCTTGATGTCGCAGCTGCTTAACCTCATCAAGCGAATGCGAGATGGCAAGGCCATCACGAGGAAAGTGGTGGTCGTTTGGTCCATCAAGCACCTCGAGGCCATGGACTGGTTCCGCGAGGAGCTCCGCATCTGCAGAGAAGCGGCGCCTCCTGAGAGCGTAACGTGCAAGTTCTTCGTCACGTCCGCCGTGCGCAAGCGGCAGGAGATGATCGGCGGCGACCGCCAGGCTTCCAGGGCCCTCGGCCACATGTTCCACGACAGACTGGATGGTTTCGTCGCCGGCATCGCGTCAAAGCGAAACTCTGCGCTCATTCAGGCCGAGGCGCAAGGCGATCCAGAACGCGAGCGCGAGCTCCGCGCTGAGAACGAAGACAGGATTACGGCCCTTCCACACCCGAAGTATCTCCAACAATCGCAACAATCGCAACAACACCAGCAGCAGCAGCAGCACACCGGCTCTCAGTTCACCGACCGCTACGCCGCGCAGGAGGATGCCTTTCACCGAGGCGGCGACGGCCACCAGCACCACGTCGATGTGGAGCAAGGTGAGCAGCAGCAGCAGCAACAGAGGGAGTCAAAGAAGACGCGTGAATTTCACTTCCCGCCCCTTGATACCAGAGACGCACCGCATTTCAATTATGCGCCAGTCTCCCCTCGCAAGTTGCCGGGCGAGAATCCGGAATACGTCGACGACAACGATACACCGTACCGCGACTCCCCGACCGAACTTCCCGTACGGGCGCCCGAGCTCGCCCACCTCCGCAACCTCGACACGCGGCCGTCGAAAGACCAGACGCGGCCGACGAGCACGTTCGGCCCGCCATCGGGGTTCGATTTCGGCTTCCCGGAGACACCGACCGAGTTCCAAAAGAACCTCATGCGGTCGGCATTCCCCGTACCGCACGAGATTGACGGCGGCTGGAGCATCGAGTACGGCCGGCCGGACTTGGGATACATGCTTAAGCAGTGGGCCACGGGTGGCGCCGACGGGCGTGGCATCTTGGGTCGTCGGACGGCCGTGTTCGTGTGTGGACCGGCGGCGATGCGCGTCGGCGTCGCTAACACGGTTGCTCGGTTGCAGGCGGAGATCTGGGGGGATGACGAGCTGGAGGAGATCTACCTTCACACGGAAAATTATGCTCTATAGGCACGACCCGACAATAAGCCCTGGAGGCTAAAGGTTGGCCATCGTAAAGGAGAAAGAATTTCTCGAAAACGAGATGGGCAAAGGAAAGGGGACATGGGGGCGTGGACGGTGATTTTCTTTTTTCTTCTTTTTGTCTCCTCACTCTATTTATACGTTGATACCACGAGCAATCGCATTATTTGGGAGGAAAAGGACGGTGTATTGGTTGGCAGGTGTAGGGTATATATTGGGTTTTCGGGTTCTGTCCCTCTTGTGATACCTCGGTTACTCACCCACGAGTCTTTTTTCATCTACAGTTTCTTTTAAGGACTTTGAGGACTTCAAGGCAACGGTCAATTGCATGATTTTTAATCAAAGGCTGGGCGAAGGCTTGGTAACGACTGGGCAATAGCCGGTGAAGGATCGGTGCATCGACGATTATTATTTATGCAGTGCGTCTGCGCGCCCATTGCATGATGCGACAACGCGTTGCTGTTACCCCGACAAGTGCGGCGACTCGTCCGGCGTTGGTTCCTCCTAGCCTGATGGCGATGACGCTATTCCTCGGTCTGATTTTCCACCATTCGGGGTCCAGAGGTGACAGAGATGACGTGAAGTTAAACTCGGGTTGACAAGACAGACGCAATTCACGGTAATCATCGCGGAGGCAATGTTCCCCTGACCCTTGCTCGGCCCAGGTAAATCTGTCCACCACGTGGGGGAAAGGCAGTGAAGAAGGAAATTAGGGAAGTCGAGGCTCCGCCTGGGCCGGAGGGAAGGGCGCCCGGGAAGCATTGACGACGGGGGTATTAGGGCTCTTTTGGGATCTGTGCTTTACGTCGGCTTGGTCCCCTCCGTGGTATCAAAAGTGGGAGGAGATGCCGGACGGGGAGGGGAGTCGGCGGGGTCTTGGCGGACAAACGTGGACCTGGAGGCCATAGCTCGCAGGTATTTACGCATGCTTTAGACGTTTTTGCGCTTCCTCGCACGTATTTGCATGCATTTTTGGGCAATTCTTTTCTTTTTTTTTCTTTTTCTTTCATGAGACGGGAGACGGGAAGACAGGAGGCCGACAGGAGGGGGGTCCGGTCCGTGGGTCTCCGGGCTACCGAATTTGGTGAGAAGCAAGAGGATGCCAATATTCAAGCATCGATGGAAGATGATGAAGTCAACGGAGCATTGCCTACGTTCGAGCTTCATAAATAAGGCAGAGAAGCACCTTTCTCTGCTTTTCCCCATCCAGACGCACCTGGGCGATCATCATCCGGGTTCTTAGATTCCCTTTCCCCTCCAGAGCGCTGACACGATCGACGGGATCGGCAAAAGGAACAAATAGACGCCTTTGAGGTTAGTTCTGTTCGAAGAATGATCTCCAGATCCTTCTTCGCACTCGGCGTGGCCGCCCTGGCCGGCGTCGAGGTTGCGGCGCAGGCTCCTGCTGGGTTCGCGAGGGTTGTGAACGGTCAGTTCCAGATGGATGGCCAGCCTCTTGTCTACGCTGGCAGCAATGCCTACTATTGGCCCTTCAATGTGGTATGTCTCTCCTACGCAGCGCCTTGTTATAAATATTAAGGGGGGCTCCATCATCAAAAAAGGGACCCGACTTCCTTGCCCTCTTTGTCGTTGGACCGCAGCTAACATCGTCTTTCTTGCGACGTGATACAGTGGGGCACCGATCACTACCAGGATGTCGTGGTGGGCATGGAGGCGGCGCTCGATGCCGGCCTCAAGGTGGTGCGCACCTGGGCTTTCCACGACCAGAACCGGACCACCGTCTCCGGAGGGCTGCCCCAGTACGGCACCGGAGCGGAGGAGACGGTGATGCAGTTCTTCAACCCCGACGGAACCGTTACCATCGACTTCAGCGTCCTTGATGTGGTGGTTCGGGCGGCTGAGGACACTGGCCTCAAGCTGATCCTCGCCCTGACGAACAACTGGGCCGATTACGGCGGCATGGACGTTTACACTGTGAACCTCGGTGGTCGTTACCACGATGATGTAAGTCTCCTAACAAACGACAGCGAATTGTTGTGTTGCTCTTTGCTTTTCTCAAAAGCATTTGTGTGAAAAGAAAAAGAAAAAGAAAGAAAGAAAAAGAAAAAGAAAAGGGACTAACACAACGAACCCGGCCAGTTCTACCGCCTGCCGGCCATCAAGAACGCCTACAAGAACTACGTCAGCCGGGTGGTCAACCGCTACAAGGACTCCCCCGCCGTATTCGCATGGGAGCTGGCCAACGAGGCCCGCTGCGGCGCCGACGGAACGCGCAACCTCCCCCGCGGACCGAACTGCACGCCGGAGCTGCTGATCGACTGGATGGACGAGATGTCGACCTACATCAAGTCGATCGACGCGCACCACCTCGTGACGACGGGCAGCGAGGGCCACTTCAACCGGCAGTCGAGCGACTGGACGTACAACGGGTCGGACGGCAACGACTTCGACGCCGAGATCGCGCTGCCCAACATCGACTTCGGCACCTTCCACTCCTACCCGGACTGGTGGAGCAAGACGGCCGCGTGGACCGAGCAGTGGATCGTCGACCACGCTGCCGCCGGCCGCGCCGAGGGCAAGCCCGTCGTGCACGAGGAGTACGGCTGGCTCGATACCGCCACGCGCGTCCAGGTCCTCGGCCGCTGGCAGGCCATCTCCCGCCGAGAGCTCATGTCCGACATGTACTGGCAGTTCGGCTACTCCGACTACTCCACGGGCCGGAACCACGACGACGGGTTCACCATCTACCTCGACGACGCGGAGGCCCAGCCCCTCGTTTACGAGCACGCTGCCCTGGTTAACGCCCTGCTCGGTGGTGGCAGCCCCCCTCCGCCGCCGCCGCCGCCTCCGCCGCCTCCTCCTCCTCCTCCTCCTCCTCCTCCTCCTCCTCCTCCTCCTCCCTCTTCCGGAGGTCCCAAGGTGCCGCGCTGGGGCCAATGCGGCGGTCAGTTGTGGCAGGGCCCGGTGGAGTGCGAGACACCTTGGGTGTGCACCTACCAGAACCCGTGGTACTCGCAATGTCTGTAAGTGGGACACGTTCGTCCGCCGTGATGCGGCCACATGTTTTTGACCGGCCATGTTCTGAACACAAGGAAAAAGACTGTAACTAAAAAAGAGAAAGGGTGGTGGTAGTAGTGATCTTGGTAGAGGCATTTCAGCATTACATAATACTACCTCTCTTCTCATGTTATTACATAAGACAACCCACATCGGCGTGATTACTAATTTCTACGCACAGCCCAGTGTAAGGCGTAACTACAGCACGGAGTACTTATACAGTGTGCCCTCTCTACTTCTCTTCGGACTTGTCTCAACTCGTTCTCTCGGCTTCAATCTACTTCATATCCTCTATTCAAGACGGTCGGGCTCCTTTTTCTCTCCCATTTCAACACTCTCTACTCATGTACAGAATGTCTAGTCGGTCCTCGCAGATTTATGACCGCCTTTCATAATTCGCTAGCTCGTCCAGGCCGAGGGACGCACAAACGGGGCAAGATCTTGTAGCTGGTCAACATGGCAGCATGGTCGGACGTCCACTCGTTGTCCCGGTGGTAAGGGTACGGCCGAGGTTCGCCCACGACAACGTCTTTCGAATTGACAACGGTGAGGCTGCCTTTGTGGTAGATAAAGTCGATACGGTCCTGCGGCTCGGGCCGGCCAGTCGCGCCGTCGTGGAAGGGGAACAGCGGCGACCAGCTGATGCCGGGGACGGCCACGGGGTCCGGGTTGGCGGCGCGGAAGGAATCGACCAGACCGGCCTCGGCGGGCTTGACCGACGTGGGCCAGGGGACGTCGGCGAACCCGCAGTTCTTCTCCCGCAGGGCCTCGGTCCAGTCGAGGTGGGACGGGGCGTTGAAGTCGCCCAGGAGCAGGACGGGCACCTTGTGGGCCGCGTCCAGCTGGCTTTGCATGGCGGCGAGGGTGTTGGTGATTTGCGGCGTGCGGCCTGACACGGCCTCGCGCCCAAGCACCGTGTCGACGTCCATGCCGTCGAAGCAGAAATCGTACGGCCCGTAGGGCGTGTACCCGAGGTGGACGACCCAGACGTTGACCTGCTGCGAGGGTCCGTCGAGGGCGATCCGGACCCCGGCCGAGTTGCCCCCGACCACCTGGCCGTAAGCCTCGGCGACAGGGTACCGGCTCAGCACGCCGACACTACCGGGGCTGGACCAGCGGTGCCAGCCTAGGGCCTTGGCCAGCCGTTCGGCGTGACGACCGCCGTTCTGGTCCTCCTGAAGGCCGACGATATCGACGTTGCTTTCTAAGAGGAACCGTGTCTGCTTCTCGTGGTAGCCGTTGACGCGAGTGCCGCCCATCCGCATGTTGAACGACAGCACGCGGAGGGTCTCGACGAGGGGTGCGCCGGCAGGACGGACGGGAATGGTGAGACGGATGGAGGCCGTGGTCTCGTTGGAGCTAGTCGACTGCACTGACGCCACGACCGTCACGGTGGCGTCGGCGTCTTGGAGATCGGGCGTACCGGTGATGACGCCGTCGTGGCTAACCTCGACCCAGTCGGCGCCATCTACCTTGGAGAACGTGACCGAACCATCATCCGGGCCGCTGACGAAGCCTGCGATGTGAGCTTCGAAAGGATCTCCTTGGCGAGCGTTGTGCAGGGTTGCCTCGCTCACCCGGAAGGCAAGGGGCTTGGGAGGCGGTTTAGGCAGGGTCACGTTCAGTGGCTCCGCGAGCCACTTGTAGACATCCCGGGCGAGAAAGAAGGCTACGTAATCTCCAGGCTCCAATCCACCGGTGGACAAACGTACTGTGCCCTGGGTCTCTGGTGCGTATGACCACGCGAGCGACGGCGCAGTATACTCTTCGTTCACAGGGCCACCCCCTGAGGCACGATACAGGCCGATCCAGTTCGTGCCGTATGGCTCCGGGGTAGAATAGGCGAAAGTGAAGAGTTCCTCGCCCTCAACGAGGGCCAAGGAGCCTCCCAACTGGCGCTGTTCGATCGTTTCGGAAGGGGAACCGAAGGAACGAACCGCTTGTCCGGGGTGGGCGTCGGCTCCGAACGCAAGCAGCACGGCCGACACGGCCGGGAGGATGGTTCGGAAAACACGCATGTGTATAACTCTGGTGATGTGCAAAGACGCCGAACGAAACGAATAAACAGTACCTATAAAAGTGACAATACTGGCCGTACACTGAGGGTAATGATCGTATGAAGTGGTTAGTTGGGACTGTCCCTTGGTATTAATACTGGCCTCCATACCGAAGCGCCTCCTCCTCCATCACCCCCTTCTTACCGGTATTTCCCTTGAAGCTCGGCACAAACGCTAGTTTCTTACACAGAAACTATCTGGTGCTTAGCTGAGTTCTCCTGCCTGAAAAAGATTCGAGAACCCTCATCTAAGATAGCCCTAAACGCCCCTCGTGCCTTGACTTCAATGTTGTCCAGGACTCCCCACGTGCTGGTCCACCAGTGACGGACAAGACCAATGCCAACTCTTCTTTCCCTCACGATGTTCGCACAAAAGGCCCCTTTGTACCACTCCCCACCAGAGCTGCTGCACCGCACCACATGCTTCTTCTACTAAGCCGTAGCCTGTAGGTGTAGGGTCACTGGGTCTATCTATGGCTTACACCCAGGGAATGCCCTGTATTGTAGCGTTCGTATCACCAGGTTGTTGAAACACGAGTTTTTGAGAGGCATCATGGAAAAGCAAAGTCCGAATCTGCTTCAGGCGCCAGTGCAGGGCCTGGCACGACCGTCGATGCAGACGCGACAGCTTCAGGGACATCGTTAATTGACGGAGGCGACCCGCAGTAAGTCTATAGACATGCCATCCCTACCTCCCAACACCCGTGGAACCAACAAGTGTCGTCTCGATCCTCCACCCATCTTGATGACCCGTTCCTTTTGAACCCATTGAGAAAAAAAAGAAGAAAAAAAGAAGAAAAAGAGAGAGAGAGAGAAAAGGAAATTTGTCTGTAGCATTTGTACACCTGACCATACACATGTAGGCTAGTCTGGGGGTATAATAGAGCCCGCGTAAAACAGAGAGAAAAGTAAATACCATTACCCGTAACTAGTTGGGCCGCGTTTCGTGAAAATCGCTCGGCTCATGTCCAGGAGACGTTGTAAGTGTGACGAGAAAAGAGGAAATAAAAAATCAAAAGAGAGAGAGAGACGACCATGAGCTGTATAATAAGCTCATACCATGTTGGCGTCCGACCTCGGACCTTGCAAGTCCGACGCCGGCTTGACATCGCGTAGCTCTACGCCTTGCGAGTCCTTCGAGGGCTTCATATCCCTTCGCTCGCCAAGACGCTGGTCGCCTGGGCTGTACTTGCGCTTGAACTGGTAGTACGAAGGGGGCCGCGGCCGGCAGAGAACAACGAACCAGTTCTCGATTATGCTGCCTTGCGTGAAGGGCCGGTACCGCTCCTTCTTGACGAACTTGTGAGAGTTGATGTATTCCCTAGTCGTCTCGGCCCTCGCCATCAGGAAAATGTGGTAACCCGTGAGGGCAGCCGGGTAGAGGAACCCTACAAAGCCGTAGATGACCATGGCGAAGGGCACGCGAAGTTCGCCGATGGCATTCCCAAAGGACAAACCGGCCTGTTCCCCGTAAACGAGGATATGGCAGAGAGAAGCGCCGAGCAAGTAGAGCGCTAGGATTGTCATCGATGCCACAAAAGCGAAGAAGTAGCGGTAGTTGCGCTTGCCAATGCAGTTGTTGACCCAGACGCAGTGGTGGTCGTGTGTCTCGATACAGTTATCGCAGAGACGGCAGTGGTGGGCGCGGGGTGGCCGCCAGATGTTGCAGGTTCTGCAGTGCTTCACAGGCACCTCCATGGCGGCCGTGGACGATTCCGAAGATTTTATCAGCGTCCAATCGTTCGTCGGCGGCCCCAGCCTCAGAGGATCATCGTTCTCGTCTGCAGGAGGAAAGGTGTGAAGGTTGCGAGGGAGAATCTGTGTCCTAGGTTAGAGCCCGCTGGCAGACCGGAGAAGAGAAGTCGTTGGAAAAGCACTTACACCAGGATCAGACACCGAGGCGTGTACGAAGGACGACACGCTAATATAGTACAGATATGCAAATGTGATGGGTATGGCCGGGCTGATGTTGTGCCATAGCCACGGAGCGGAAAAGACGAAAAAGAGAACACCGGGCAAGACGAGGAACAGGCCAGTCGCAATATTGATCGGCCGGTGCTTCGTGTTCTGGAACCTCCCTCCAATGCAAAAGACCGTGTTCCCCTCAAAGTACTGGAATGCGTAGCCCAGATTGGTCCGTGACGAAGTGAGATTGGAAGCATCAGCCGGTCTCTGGGAATCTATCGGATTGAGTCGAGGAGAAGATGCAGTCGACGACAACTTCTCGGCGCCGGGAAGCGTCCTGTTCGGAGTGCTCTGCCCGTCTCCACTTCTCCCCGGAAGCAGAAAGCTGGAACGGAAGGACCGGGGTGACTTTACAGGAGTGGCCTGGCTCCCCAAGTTCCTGTAACTCCTGTCCACGTTGATGGTGAGATTCAGGTTCCGCGACTCATTCGGTCTCTGGAGAGGCCGGACGCTGTCCGTGAGGCTGCCGGCGGCGGTGTGGCCGTGGGTCGGGCTCGTGTTCGCCGTTATTCTATCCAGAGTCTCTTGCTCGGTGAACTCGGTGCCACGAGAAGGAGGCGAGCGCATCTCGCCGTCGTCGTCGTCGCTCGTCGGCTTTTGTATCCGTGCCATGGGGTCGGAGATGATGCTGTGTCTCGCCCCGCTAGCACTACCGCTGGATCCCGCTAGTTGTTCCTCCCCACTCCCCTGAGGGTTGCCGGTCTGCGGGCGTGACGGACCTCCTCGCTGAGCTTGTAGCTTTTGGGAGCTTAAGGGGTGAAAGAACGCATGGGAGGTGAGAGAAGGGACATGGCTCCTGCTTGTTGAACTCGGTGGCCGGGTGTTCCCAATGCTTCCGCCACCCGTGCTGACTCTCTTGAGAGCAAGGCCAGACATGTGACTCCTGCGCAAGGACTGAGGCCGCCGCCAGGTATCGCGGGAACTCGACAGGCCAGTTCTCGCAGTTCCCGGCCTTGACGATGCGTCGCCGGTGGCTTTGATGGGGCTTCCGGATCCATGCGGTGGCTGCTCGGTCTCATGGCCGTCGTCGGAGGCAATGTCGGTCATTCGAGAAGAAATGATGCTGGGCGGTCCTTGGGCGTTGGATCGCCCGGGGAACGAAGGGTCGTGCAAAGCGTCGTCATCTGGTGACACAGACCGCTCGGCGGTATCCCGCGACTCCATCACTCGGTACCAAGAAGCGGTCGGAATAGTCGTCGTTGGACGTGTTCGAAATCGCGTCTTTTCAGGCAAATATCTCGCTATGGTTTGTGTACTTTCCGCTATATTTGGCGTATTGTCGACTCGGTCATCGAATGATTAAAATTAACTCGCGTGGAATGTAGTTTTTGATGCTGCTCGCTCGCTTCTCGGAGTTCGTCAACAAGAGTATGGCGTTAGATTATAGAACGTATATATTGAAACAGTCTCGTGCGTGACAGGCTGAAAGCGATTTGCAAGTAGCGGTAGACGTTGTCTAAGAAAACGAGATGGAAGGTTGAGCTGTGTCGCTTGCGAATGCCGTGTGGCCCGGTGATGCCGCTAGTGAGAGCCGCGTGGTGGTTGGGTGTATTAGTAACGAAGTTCGAAGAAAGTCCTATTAGCAAGAGGTTACGTTAAATAAAAGATGGCACGGAAAACGAAGAGAAATGAGTGTAATAGTGGGAAGGAAGAGAAAGGAAGGGATGAGAGAGGGGAATCGGATCGTTGCGATATACGAAGCAGGTCGCCCTTGGGGGGGAAAGGGGAGGAGAACTGTGTCGTTTCTTTTCCTCAGCTCCCTATCCAGGGCGAAGAAAGCGCTACCCTGCACTCTGTCTGGCCGACCGGGTGGATGGTGACGGGACCAAAGCCACGGATACAGGAGCGACCCGAGCACCAACAGTCAACCCGGCAAGAACCTTATCAGACCCACTGTAAAAGGCAAAGAACCAATAAGACTCGGATTATGGGTTGTGCATAGTCTCGGCATGATCGCATAAAATTGCTTTTCACATCACTTTTCATCAATTTCCTTGCTTGCTTGCCTGCTCAGTTGCAGTTTGCTGGATATCGGACACGCAATTCTGGTGCATGCAGTATCCGTACATATTGAATACCTAGATGTTCCTCTCACCATACGTAGGTATCTACACGTGTAACTGGTTGAAACCCCTCTTAGCCCCTGAATGGAGCATAGTTCCAGGATCTCCAAAAAAAAGAAATAAAAAAAACCATGCCATCTCGGGATATGGAAATTCTTGCGTCTTTAATATTACGTGCTGCAAAGTCTTTTCGCATTCATGGTCTCTTATCGATCCACCGAGTGCTTGATCGGATATTGAGACCTGGTTTATTGATACAAGCAAAGGTCTTTGTAATACTGGAAAGCAAGGGGACTGTGCACATACCACTATGCCGTATCGTCCATCAATTAATTACCCGGTATAGTCAGTACACATGATCAATATTGCCTATAACCGAGATGTTAGAATGCCCAAATGCAATAAGAAGTAAAACGTTGTCTTGCGCTTTCTCGAACCCTCATCGCGTTTGATTGGCCAATCACGATCCTTCTCAAAGCCGACCAATCCATTTCTCCCGGTAAACGTCAACAGCAGCGCATTTATCTTGAATCATACGACATACGTCCCAACCGCCTTGCCAGCGACTCGACACTTCAACTCAGCCCCCATACGAATTGACCTGCCCGATTAACAGTCAAAATGGCCTCCTTCATCGCCCGCAGGTCGTTCAGCACCACCCTCCGTCGTCTGACCGAGGACCAGAGCAAGAAGGCTCTCCGTCAGGAGGAAAGGCGCAACCCCGAGATTTATGTGCGTGGTATCCATATGACCTGCTCCACCGCCTGCACGGGAGCTCCGGTGCCACCTCGTCCTAGACTGGAGCTGAGGTTAGAGCGGGGAAAGATAGCTGACAGTCTTTTGTCGCCGTAGATTATGGGTGGTGTTGTGGCCTGCGCTGTCGCCGGCGCTGCTTTCTACTTTGGTATGAATACCCTCTTCCCCCAAAACCCGCTAAACCTGGCCTTCGAAATCGAAATTCAAAGACTGACCATCCTTTTCTTTGCTCTCTATATAGGCAGCTCCCCTACCAAGTCCACCTCCGAGAGCCAGATCGCCAAGGCCGGAGCTCCCTGGGAGACCAACGGCTCGGGTGCCTACCGCTATTACCCCGGCGGAGACCGCAAGAACGAGCCCAAGGACGCGCCTAGCGCTGTCAATGTCGTCGTCGTTCCCGAAGTCACCGTTTCCAAGGTACGCTAGCTCCTTTCAACGACGTTTCTCCGCAGCTATTTTCTCCCCATACACCCAGTTGGGCCGGTCAGATTGAGAAGGAAACCAAAAGTACAAGTACAATTTGGACCCTCATCGGTTTTGATCAACCACTGCGCCCCGAGATGAGTTTCGGGCGCCATAGCTCCTCTCGTTCTCTCATGACCTGCGGGACGCGGGACCGTGCTAACTCGAGGACACAGGAGCTTCACGAGAGGTTCAACAAGTGGGGTAAGGAGGGCTACCCTTAGACTGCCTAGGCTGGAGCTGTAAAACAGGATGTTGGCTGTTGGTGAAGAGACTGGCGGTGCAAGCACCGCAAACAATCAAGTGTGAAATTCCATTTGTAGATAAAAGGTAGAAGGACGGATGGTTAGGAGCATCACCCACTCCCTTTTGGCTCTCGTTCCATTGCCGTAAACGTGACTGACACCGTCTCGGCGCCCCAATGGTAGCCAAATTACGTCCCAAGAAGAAGAAAAAAAGCTGGAGCGTCAAGAAACAGATATGATAAACAGAGAAAGGTATATATTCGTGAGAGAGGTATCCAATCAAGTCGGTGATATGAGAGGAGGTTGCAACTTCACAGAAATGCCCAGCTCGTCATGACACCTTTGCCTGCCCCGTCCCGTTTCCGAAAATGCCTCATGCAATAAGCTGATCTATTTCCTCCGCAGTGAAGCCAAACATGAACAGCAAGTCCAACATAGTCTCGCTGTTCAACCTCACATCGGCCTCCATTTGCACCCTCGGCTTCGCGTTCCAGGCTACGCCCAGGCCCGCGGCATCCATCATGAACAAGTCATTCGCGCCATCGCCCACGGCTACCACCTGCGACAGGTCCACCCTTTCCTTCCCGGCGATCTCGATGAGCAGCTCACGCTTGCGCTCCTTGCCGACGATGGTCCCCTTGACCTCGCCCGTAAGCCGACCGGTCGCCTCGTCGATGACCACCTCGTTGGCGTGGGCGTGGTCGATGCCGAGCTCGCCCGCGAGCCAGCTGGTGAGCGGCAGGAAACCACCCGACAGAACGGCCGTCTTCACGCCCAGGCGCTTGAGAGCCTTGATCACCTGGGGGACGCCCTTGGTGACGTCCAGCTCCTTGCGCAGGTCGGTGAAGATGGTGCCGGGCAGGCCCTTGAGGAGCCGCACGCGTTCGCGGAAGGCGGCGTCGAACTCGAGCTCGCCCAGCATGGCGCGGTGGGTGATGTCGGCCACACGGGCGGCCAGGTCGGGAGGGTCCGTGATGGTGGCGGCTAGGAGGTCGATGACCTCCTGGGTGATGAGGGTGCTGTCCATGTCGAAGACCACCAGTTTCGGATAGCGCCTCCACAGGGTATCCCACTGTAGCGCGACGTCAACGCTCCACTCCCTCTCGAACCGGTAGATGAGCTCGTGCATGCGCAGGTCCTTCAGACTGAGGAAGTCCGTGGACGGCGCAGGCGAGAGTGTCAGCTCCACCACCCTGGCGCCTTCCTGGTTGTCGAGGCAGCGATGGGACGATGTCATTTCGGTTTCGCCCTGGGGCAGGGGGAAGGTCGACATGAGGTGGAGGAACGATGTGATACACATTGGCGAGACGTATGAGCCATAGAGATGGTCTAGCTGTTCCGACTCCGCGGTGGGAGGTTCGAGAGGGAACGCTTCCGGGTTCTGCGTCGGGGCGAGATTCGCGGGGAGATCAGCTCCTGACCCCGAAGCATCGGACGTGGCGGCCGTTGGCGGCGTCCCAAGACCGGCTGGGGATGACCGTGACGCATTTGGATTGTAAAAGAGCGTGGCGATCAAGCGGCTCGTTTTCTGTCCAGGGAGGGGCGCACAGTTGGGGTGCGAGTAAGTGTGGGTTAAGCCATCCACCACGGTAGGGGGGTGCTCAGGAGAGGGAATGCCATTGAAAGTAGTCACGGGCTTTCTCGGCGAAGGAACTTTGTTCCCTAGGTCTTCGACCACGGTGTCGATGCCGAACCGCCCCTCCGGTTGCTGGGGAGGGCGGTACTGCTGATGCTCCAGCAGAAAGGAACTGCTCCTCTTAGACGCGGTCAACTGAGGGCGTGGCGAAGTGACCGACGACCCACGTCGTGGCACATTGGTCGTGTTTGTGCTTGCGTCCTCACCCATCGAGATCCAGAACACGAGTGTCGTCTCGGAATATTCTTGTTACGCTAACCGGGCGGACGAAGCTAAGGTGGCCGGCAAAGATGAGAGTTCAAGGCCGGCTGGATGATCTCGAGTGAAAGGGAAACCGTCCCAAAGTTCTATCCCAAGATCTATGAGATCCAAAAAAAAAAAAAAGTAACACCTCGTCAATCGCTCACGTTCAAATTTCGAAGCGGGGGTGAAAAAGGAGCGACAGGCGAAACACAAAAACTTGAGAATATAATCCAGTGTACGTACCTTGAATGGCGGGGGTTTGCGTTGTTGCCCCGCTGGCCGGTTCAAATCGCGCTGAGCGGCAATAGCGCTCAGGCCATCGGCTTGAAGGCGATTGGCCGGGTAACTTGTCACCTGCCAAACAGAAGGCACACCGGCTCCGCGGATATGACATCACTTTCGCATAAGGGGGTGCTAGTTTCGGAAGAAACGGCACGGAACTAGGCATAGCCGGGTCGCGATAACTTGATAAATCCCACTAATCAGCTGTACCCCCATAAGCCCGTTAGTCTTCACACGGATAATTGCACCGCACTGATAACGCGTTGGCTAAATGGAGCGCGTGCTGCGATCTGCAGATTTTCTAGATGGAGCTATCCGATCTGTGTATCCATACCTGCTCTTCGTCTTGTGAGCTCTCGCATCCATGGTGACTCCGATAATTTGAGACCCGTCGTCATGTTAACTACGTCTGTTCCGACTGTGTAGGTCTATCTCAACTTGAGAGGAGTACCCCGCAGATGACACAATTCCACAGCTTGCTTCGGTGATCAGCTGGCTTGATGAGGAATTCTTCGGCTGTCCTGCTGGGTTCCATGGGCATGCGCCTGGGCCTGGGACGAAGTCGTCTGGCTCGGTTGACATCCTTCTCACGGACGAACACTCGACCATGTGCGCCCCAAATATTACCGTTTCCCCAATTGGGAAATCCTTCAGTCTCCCCTCGCTTACAGGGCGTCTTTCCGAGCCTCGTCCGAGGATTTCATGTTAGTGGCTGTTCAGCGTATGCGGCCCCCAAAGGCCCAGGCGACTTTCCTCGTCCCGAGTTGGAGCGGCGCATTGCCGCCATTCCTATTGAACGATACCGGAACTTCTGCATCGTTGCCCATATCGATCATGGCAAGAGTACGCTTAGCGACCGCCTCCTGGAATTTACTGGCACCATCTCCGCCAATGGGTCCAACAAGCAGATATTGGTGAGCTTGGTCCCTATTACGTCTTGATTATTTCTCTTCTCTTTCTCTGTAAAACTCGAGAAAGCTAACTTCTTCCGGTTCGCAGGACAAATTGGACGTCGAGCGGGAGCGCGGTATTACCGTCAAGGCCCAAACTTGCACCATGATCTATAACCACAAGGGCGAGGACTACCTGCTTCACCTGGTCGATACTCCCGGCCATGTCGATTTCCGGGCCGAGGTGACTCGATCGTATGCCAGCTGCGGGGGTGCTCTCTTGCTCGTCGATGCGAGCCAGGGCATCCAGGCCCAGACCGTCTCCAACTTTCACCTAGCTTTCGCCCAAGACCTCGCCCTGATCCCTGTCGTCAACAAGATCGATATGCCCTCCGCCGACGTACCGAGGGTTCTGGAACAAATGGAGACGTCCTTTGAACTGAATCCGGCCGATGCCGTGCTTGTCTCTGCCAAAACTGGCAAGAATGTCCCCAGCATTCTGCCGGCGGTGATTGAGCAAATCCCTGCGCCCCAGGGCGACACGTCCAAGCCGCTGCGCATGATGCTCGTCGACTCGTGGTACGATAACTTCCGTGGCGTCATCTTACTCGTTCGGGTCTTTGATGGACAGGTTAAAGCAGGCGACAGTCTCGTCTCTCTGGGAACTGGGAACCGGTACACGGTGGGAGAAGTGGGCATCCAGTATCCTGGTCCTGTGCCCCAGAGCGTCCTTCGTGCGGGCCAGGTAGGCTATATGTTCTTCAATCCCGGCATGAAACGGATCCAGGATGCCAAGCTCGGGGATACCTTTACCACTGTTTCTGCCGAGAACCTCGTGGAGCCATACCCGGGCTTCGAGGAGCCGAAGCCGATGGTTTTTGTGGGCGCTTTTCCAGTGGATCAAAGCGACTATGGTCGCTTGGCTGACAGTATCAGCCAGCTCACGCTCAACGACCGCAGCGTGACTTTGCAGAAAGACTTCTCCGAGGCGCTCGGTTCTGGCTGGCGTCTGGGATTCTTGGGCAGCCTCCACTGCTCTGTCTTTCAAGATCGTCTACGGCAGGAACACGGGGGCAGCGTTATCATCACGGATCCAACCGTGCCTACCCGTGTCGTCTGGGCGGACGGAACTGAGACGATATACCAGAACCCAGCCGAGTTCCCAACCACGGATGACCATCGCATGCGAGGTGCCGCCGTTTACGAGCCGTATGTGCTTTTCTCGATTGCCATACTTGCTCCCTGATGAGAAATTTTTACTGATCCTGAAATTATCCAGATTCGTCAAAGCAACAATAACCATGCCTGAAGAATACCTTGGTCGCGTCATCGAGCTTTGCGAGAGCATTCGAGGCGAGCAGAAAAGCCTTGAATTCTTCCACACCACTCAAGTAATTCTGCAGTACGATATACCGGCGTCACAATTAGTCGACGACCTTTTCGGGAAACTGAAAGGCGCAACGTAAGTTGGGATTTGTGTCCTGTTATGCTTCGTCGGTGCTCTCTTTTTGCTGACGAACCCGAAGAAAGGGTTATGCTACTCTAGATTACGAGGATGCTGAGTGGCGGCGAAGCGACTTGACCAAACTGCAGCTGCTAGTCAACAAGGTCCCTGTTGACGCTATCTGCCGCGTGATACACACATCACAAGCCGAGAGATTAGGCCGGCAGTGGGTGACCAAGTTCAAGGAACATGTGGATCGTCAAATGTTTGGTATGCTATGCCCCTCTAGACGAGTGCCTCGTTTCCCTTATCCTCACTGGTTCTGTCTATCTATCGATTGGTAGAGTTCCTACTTGTACTGACTTGAGCCCACAGAGGTTGTGATCCAGGCTGCAGCAGGCAAAAAGATTGTCGCTCGCGAGACGTTGAAGCCATTCCGGAAAGACGTCCTCGCCAAACTGCACGCCAGCGACATCACCCGCCGTCGAAAACTCCTAGAGAAACAGAAAGCCGGCCGAAAACGACTGCGTGCCGTGGGCAACGTGACAATCGACCAATCGGCTTTCCAGAGCTTCTTGGCCAAGTAATGCAGACGAGCGACAATCGTCCCCCGGTTATCTATGCATTCTCGGGCGGCATCTCGATGTCCTCTTCGGGAAGTTCGAAACCGAGCGGTACAGGCACAGTCAATGATTTCCCAAGCCCGCCACTGGCCGTTGACTCCCACTGCTTCAGGCTACCATCGCTTTCCAGATCGAACACTCTGTAGTCGGCATTGAAGAACCAATAACCCGCCAGACCGAGGCGGAGGAATCCAGAATGAGAGACGACAAAGATGAACTTCTCGGGACGTTGGCGAAGACTCTCCAAGGCCGACTGCCCGCGGCTCAGGATAGCCTTGCGGTTGTATGCGTATTTGGCACCGGCAGGCGAAGTCTTGTCCGGATAGACCGGATCCAACGTGGAGTAGTCGATGACGGGAAACTCCCTAGCCAGCGCAGTCACCGGGGTACCAGTATCGCAAGGCTTGCCGGAGTTTTCTAGCAAAGCCATCAACATCAGGGGCGAAAGATCTCAGGAGCAAACAAAGGAGGAAAAAAAAACCCCCAGGAAAAAAAAAAACCTAGGCGAATACTGCTCTACAGTTGAGCGGGTGAGCGCGTACCTTGCCACCGTGCGTCGGCTTGGATAGGCGTTCCACGCTCGAGCAGCCAGTCTAGCGAAAGCAAGGCCGTCTGGATTGTGCGCCTCATGGGGCTCACGATAATGGCCGCATCACGGACGTCGGCGAAGTGTTCAACCAGGCTCTTGCGCAGTTCTTCACACTGCTCTACTCCCAAACTCGTCAAGTCGGGGTCTGGGAGGTCATAATTCTGTATAATACAGTTAGAGGCGTTATGTTACTCAAGGTCGGGCGCTGGAACTGAGGGTTAGACTTATTGTTGGCGTTGTGTAATGCCTGGGCATGGCGGATGAGGACCAGTGTTGGGGGCATTTTCTTGGATACGGCGTTGGCAAGAACACCGAGACCAGAAGTGAAGCGTTCCCAGGGATCTTAGACGATTGAAATACCCAGCCCGGCAGCCATGTATTATATAAACTTGGAAACAGTTTGAAATGACTACTTGGTGATAAAATGGAGGCTTTTCGAGGCAAATCGTCTCTATAAAACCGTGACTCCCTGCGGATGAAGTAGGTGCTCCCGACGTTGATCACTTGCAGCTCCCAAGGCGAGGACTTGAAGTCATGTACCTTTCAATTTAACGAGGCAGACCATGTGGGTCTCTGTTGGTATGCATATAGAATGGCACTATGCTGCTGCTGGTCACGACTCTCGGTGAAGTCGGTGGGTGTCTCGGTGGGACTCGGTAAGGTGGGAGCTTCCGAGCTTCTTTCCGGTGAGTGCTCGACTCGGATCTTTCCTCAACCTCGTAACACGTACGACTGGACCTCCAGAACTTCTGCCAAACACCCCAAATATCCCGCCCTGTCGCTCGCAAGTTTTCCTTTCTATTCTTTCTTTTCTCTTCTTTTCTTTTCTCTGTATTCTACTTCTTAGTATTCAATGCCTAGTGACCTATTCAATTCCATTCGAAATAGAGTGCGAAGCTCGACGCCCATCAACCCACCAGGATCTGTGACATCGCAGAGGACGACGGCGCATCAAACATGACGAGCGTAGATGAACTTTTCAAAGTGAGCCTTGCTTCCTTCCCTTATTTCTCACTCACATCATGGGTCGCTTTCGACACTGCGCAGAGTTCAGGTTATGGACTAACACGAGTCGGACTCTATAGAATGTTGGATCGTCCGGTAAGCGGAAGCTAGATCCAGTGCGCGATCCGAGTATGTCTCCTAATCTTTCGGATTATTTGACTTCAATTTTTATACTTTGTATTTGAGAGAAGCGGACGGCTGATTCCTATTCCTGCTGTAGATGAGATATACAAGTCGGCCAAGTTGAGCGCAAGCGATCGGAACAGTCGCCACGACCGCGTCGCAAACGAAAATGAGGACGTCGACATGGAAGCCGGCCCCGCGCCTCCTCCTACAGACGAAGGCGATACCGGCGACTACGGACCGGAACCTCCACCAGACGAAGACGACGAGGGCCGCTTCTTTGGAGGCGGGGTGTCTAGGGAACAAGTCCAAGCCCTGGATTTCGTCGAAGCCCGTGGCGATGACGCGGCCTTATCTGTGGAGATAGGCGCTACATGGCTGAGGAAGACGGCGCTCGTCTTCGAGAAGCTCATCAACAAGAACGCAGAGCTGCGAGCCAAGTACGAGCAGGAACCGCAAAAATTCATCGCCAGCGAGGCCGATCTGGACGCCGCCATCAAGGAATTTTCGATTCTGTCCGAACACACCGACCTGTGGCCCGAGCTGGTCAAACTCGGCACCGTCACCAGCCTGGTGGGGCTGCTGGCCCACGACAACACGGACATCGCCATCAGCACGGTGCAGATGATATCGGAACTGACGGCCGACGACGTCGAATCGACCGAGGACGACTGGAACAAGCTGGTCGATGCCATGCTCGAGGCGGACCTCATCGGCCTGCTCGTGTCGAACCTCAAGCGGCTCGACGAGTCGGACGAGACGGACGCCGGGGGCGTCTACCACGTGCTTTCCGTGGTCGAGAATACCATGTCGCGGCCGGCCGTCGCCCAGACGGTCGGCCTGGACGACGCCTTGCTCCGCTGGCTCCTCGACCGCGTGCAGCGCAAAGAGGAGGGCGTCAGCGCCGGCGTGACGCAGAACAGACAGTACTCCGCCGAGCTGCTCGCTATCATCTCGCAGGTCTCGGCCGCGACGCGGCGCAAGCTCGTCGAAATGGACGTGGTCGACGTGATGCTGCAGCTCGCCGCCCCCTACCGGAGGCGCGACCCGGAGAAGGGCGGCGAGGAGGAGGAATACGTGCAGAACCTATTCGAGACACTCGTCTCCCTCGTGGACGAGCCCGAGGGCAAGACCAAGTTCCTCGAGGCCGAGGGAATCGAGCTGTGCGTGCTGATGCTGCGCGACAGTGGGAGCAAGATGAACAAGCTGCCCACCGTGCGGCTCCTGAACCACGCCGTGAGTGGGTTCTCGGCTACGCAGGTCTGCCAGAAGCTGGTTGAAGCCGGCGGGCTCAAGCCCCTCTTCAGCCTATTCATGAAGAGGCACGACCACCGCATCTACGTGGATCTTTTGCTCGGCATCTTCGCCTGGATGCTCCAGCTACTCCCCGCCGAGTCGCCGGAACGCATACGGACACAAGCAAAATTCGTGGAGAAGAAGTATCAGAAGACAGTACAGCTGGCTGCCACCCGGCGGAGATTTGCAGAGGCCGTTGAGAAGGTCGAGGCCGAGTTTCGAAGGACAATGGAGCAGATGGATGAATCCGAGAGGGAAACACTGGCCGGGGAGGACTATTCACTTCTGGAGAGGATCGACGCGGGCCTCTACACACTGCAATATATCGACATCATCCTGGCCTGGTTGGCGGCCGAGGATAGCGGCGCCAGGGGGAAGATCCGGGAACTCTTGGCCGAACAGGGTAAGTCGCTAGACGATATCAAGATGACACTTCAGGCCCACCTGGACAAACTCGACCCCGAAGCGCCAGAGTCGAGGGACTGGCAAGAGATGCTCGGCGCGCTCATCCATGCTATCTAACACCAGTAACGAATCGGAGTGAACGAGTCGAAGTGGGTTTTGGGCAGAACGGGGTGTTCATCTCAGAGGATACTCTCAAGGTCTGGGTCAAGCCCGCTACTTTTGCACTGGGGCTGTAATAATGCATCAAAAAATACGAACTGTATCGGTCGACGGACAGCGGAAATCTGGTGTTTCCCATGTTCATTTGCAAGGCGCATAGGATCCCTGATGAGAAGCTCTAGCCCTTTTGTGTAGATCCTGATTAGAAATAATGAAGAGAACGAAAATACATCACCAAAGTCTAATGTAATGGGTGAGCTCCGCATAACCGCTGCAATCCCAAGCAATCTCTCACTGCCTTTTCTTTACCCCTCAGGCCTTACGCTGCCGACGGCGGCACGGGCTTGACATCGAAAACGGCCTTGAGGAGGTCATTGATGACCTTTTCCTGGCTCTTCTGACCGGCAGCCTTGATCTCCTTGATCCTGAGCTCGGCCTCCTTGTCGGCCTCCTCCTCGGCCTGCTTGTTTCCTGCGGAATGCTGGGGAGAGCGGGTTTCGTCAGTTTCGAAATGGAAAGTCCGAGTGATGGCGGCGATGTGTGGCTATGAGTAGGCTTTTTTTGGTCGTACCTGGGCCTCAAACTTCCTGAACTCGTCCTCTTTGTTCTTGCGGTAGTCTTCAATCTCCTTCTTGGCCTCGTCGCGAGCCTCCCTGACCCGCTTGGTGCGGACTAGAGATCACAACGTGTTAGAAGTGTCGGAGAGTCTCGCCGAAGCATGTTTAAATGGGTGTTGTCGAGAAGTGATCCGTTTGGGGACGGGATGGTTAGTGGATTGCGACCTACACTCTCGGGCTAGAAGGAGAGCAGTTTTGTTAGTGCGAAAGTCGCTGACAAGTCAGGAGGAGACGGTACCTTTCTGGACGATCTTGGAGGCTTCTCTCTCAGCCTATACATAGTATCCATCACGTTAGGGGACTCGGTCTAGAAGGGGGGACAATGTCCATTTTCGGGGATCGGAAGAATCGACGTACGTCCAGCAAAGTCTGGATACCTGCAGTATTTTGGGCGGACTATTAAGGCGAGAAGTAAGATTAGCTCTCTGTAACGCAGTCGAATCAGATGACAAGGGGATGAGGCTGACCATGATGATGGGAGTGGCGGGGGTGTAGATGTTCGTTCTTCGGGAGAGCTCTTATGACCCTGGGAAAAGGGAACGAGCTATTGCTCAACTGGTCTAGTCGTTTCTGTAACGATTCAAACGTGCCGGGGCGTCTAGAGTCGAAGCAGTATGTCGGATGTGGACGAGATGTGAGCTAGGTAGTATTAGACAACGACGCAGTCCAAAACAACTTGCTGAACATAAAGACGACGACGACGATATGCGAGTCTGAAGTCGCACTGGCGTATACGGGCTAATAGTGGAGCTTCCTGGAGACTTGGAACGAGAATGTCACATGGGGGTCACGCCAGCCTTGGTACTCCGGTACCTGGGTACTTGCGGCCGGAGCTAACACAGGATGTATGCAGGTAATGAGGCGCCTCTAATGCATGATGGTGGGGGTCCCGAAGATCGGGGTGACAAAAGACCGAGGTGCCTGGAGGGGGATCCAATGCTCCAGGTACTTCGTACAAGCTTAAAGTTCTTCGTGCTTCTTCCACAGCCATGGCTCAATGACAACAGACGCAAGCTTCCCCGTCGCCAATCGAAGATCCTTCAATTGTCTCCACGGAGAACCTGTATCCCAAGCCTAGACGTCGACGACCCTGCCGAAAGTCCATTGGAAGAAGTTCCGGGCTTCCTCGAATCAGCTCATACAATGTCCCGTACAGCCAAGCTCACCTTTGCGGCGACGTCCCTTTTCACCATCAGCACAGTCGCCATCGTCCATTGGCAACAGAAGATGGAGAATGATGCATGTCCCGTTCCTTTCTCCCTTGGCATACCTACCCCTTCTCTTGATTATCCAACCCCGTCTTCTATCTCCGAGGCATCCACCGCTGACCATAGGGGATTCCCACCTTCGCTTGCAGGCTATGCACCAAGGCGTCATTCGCGACATGGAGCAGCAGCGCATCAAGCGCGAACGCCAGCTTGACTTCGAAATGCAGCGCGCCCTCGAGGAGGAGTACAAGAAGGAGCAGACTGTTCGAGACACGACGGCGGCCGGGCCACAAAGGCCGGGCTTGGGGTCACAAGTAGGATCAGCGTCACCAACAGAAACATAACATTCGGCCGTCCGTCCACCTACCTACCGACTTCCATGATACCGAAAACACCACAGAGGGTCTTCCATGATGTGCTCATGATTCAAGAACCCCCGCTTTACTCCCTCGTCCCTTCAATTGGGACTTACGACTCAAGACTAGCCACCATGTGCAGCAAGTGGCTGGCTGGCGAGCACAGAATTCGCCAAGCGAGGTCGTCCCCCGACAAGTCCCGGGTCATCGCAACTCTTCTCCTAACGAATCGCTACCCTCAACTCCTCTCATAAAACTCAATAGCACCGAATCGAAGTGCAAACAAAACCCAATGGGTTTGTTAAAACAATATTGTTGCAAGTTGACTGGCTTGACCGAGTCTGCCTAACAGCTGTTAGAGTGGCAGAGCATTCCCAACAATCTTGCTTATTTTCCCCTTCGTCATATATAATGGATAGAACAAAATGCAAGACCAAAACCAAAACATAAAATCGTCGCCATGCTGGTTCCCACGTTTCTATCATTCTTTTGATTTGACGACAACAGCTGGTATACATGGTAAATTACGAGGGGAAAAAAGCCAGGCTGGAATTGCCCGTCTCCTGATCTGCCACTTTTCCCTTCTGAAAACCCTCTTGGCTTCGCACTGTCTCCTGATATCTTCCTGTCAACCGGACGCCGCTCTGAAATGCAAAGGTCCCCCTATCCATTCATTCCCAACCTCCAATGAAAATAAAAAGGTCGCCAGTCCCTTCGGCTCCGGCGTGTTGTCTGTTTTCTACAGCCATGTCGGGACCCAGTGAAGCCGGTGACCATGACAGGATTGCTATGCCAACAACAACTGAACTAGCGGATGCTCACACCGGATCGGTCGGTGAACATCCGAGCCGCGATGTTCATCGACTGAAGCTCCTGGAATAGAAGCTTGGCCGCGTACGGGATGTGGATCTGGGCAATCTTGGTCTTGTTTTTACAAGGCCGGCACTCGAATGACTGCTTCGACAAGTTTCTGCAAGATATATGTTAGCACGTTCCATTTTCAAAGAAAGAAACGAAAGAAACGAAAGAAAAAGGTATAATCAAGGAATGGCCACGTACGCGATGGGTGTCATCAACCCGCAAATCTCGCAAACGTGGACGCGGAACGCGTCCGAGACCTCGAAAAGTCTCTCCTTGAGGAAGGCAGCCGCACCATGCGCAATCATACAATCGCGCTCCATCTCTCCGAAACGGAGACCACCGTCACGCGCACGACCCTCGACCGGCTGTCTCGTCATGATCTGCACGGGACCGCGGGCACGAGCATGGATCTTGTCGTCGACCATGTGGCGCAGGCGCTGGTAGTACGTCGGCCCGAAGAAGACCTGCGCCCGCAGCTTCTTGCCCGTATAGCCGTTGTACATGATCTCGAACCCTCTCGACTGGTACCCCTGGTCGCGAAGCAGCTGGGATACCGAGTCGACCGTGACGTCCGTGAACGGCGTGGCATCGCCCTCCATGCCCTTCAGAGTCGAGACCTTGCTGAGAAGACACTCGATCAAGTGAGCAATGGTCATACGCGACGGAATGGCGTGCGGGTTGATGATGATGTCGGGCGTAATGCCCTCCGCAGTGAACGGCATGTCCTCCTGACGGTACGTCACGCCGATGGTACCTTTCTGACCGTGACGCGAAGCGAACTTGTCGCCAATCTGCGGGACCTTGGTGGTCCGAACACGTACCTTGACGTATCGCAGACCGTCCTGGTTCGTTGTCAGAATAACCGAGTCCACGATGCCGTTCTCCGTGCTTCGCAGTGGGGTCGACGCATCACGCTTGACGTGCTGCGTCGTGCGCTGGCCCAACTCCTGGTTATCGGGGTTGATCGGCGAAGTCTTGCCGATGATGATGTCCTCGCCGGAAACGCGCACACCAGGCGCGACGATGCCGTCATCGTCAAGTTTGTCGTACGTGCCGTGCTTGAGACGCAGCGTGTCATTTCTGAACGGCTTCTCAAACTGCTCGACAAGGTTGATGCCCACGCGCTTTTCGCAATCGGTATAGGATCGAAAGAATAAGCTGCGGAAAAGGCCACGATCGATACTGCTCTGGTTCATAATAACCGAGTCTTCCTGGTTGTAACCTGAGTAACACGCGATAGCGACGATAGCATTTTGACCAGCAGGAAGCTCTCGGAACTTGAGGAACTCCATGGATCTCGTCGTGGCCAAAGGCTTTTGCGGGTAGTACAGAATATTGGCCATCGTGTCCATTCTCCGGGAGTAGTTCGTGAGGAAAAAGCCCATGGCTTGCTTGCCCATTGCGGATTGGTACGTGTTACGAGGAGACTAGAAACACCTGGTTAACAGCTATGACTCCACGAGGCCCTTCGGAGGTTGTGGGATAACATACCTGATTATGATCCGGGAAAGGAATGATGCTGGCGCAAATACCCAGGATCATGCTGGGATGGATTTCGCAATGCGTATACATGTGCGTCGTCCTCGCAATCTTGGTCCGCAGACGGCTGTTGGGACCGTCGCCCGTATCCTCGTCGACGTCGTGGCCTGCCTTGCGCAGTCGGTAAAGCTCCAAGTCTTCCGGCGTCATACAAATCATAGCCGTCTCTTCTTCTTCGGCGTCGAGATACTCGATGACACCACTATGAGCCAGCGTCTGCCAGGTGATTTTCTGCGACGGGTCATCAGGCGGGTTCTCCTGCTGCTCTCGCATCTCATTGACCAAGGATTTCTGCAGAACAAGGGAGCCTTGGGGAACGGTGCCGTGGGGGGTTTGCTCGACGACGAAGACCGGCCGCATGACACGTCCGGCGTCCGAGAAGATCTTGAACTCGCGATCTCTTATATCGCGAACCAAAGAAACTTCGTGTGAAATGACATTGCGTCGACGAGTGCCCTGGACGTCGGGCACGAGCACCCTGGGGTCCTGATGGACACCGACCCAGACGCCGTTCAGGAACACCTTTGTCGCGTTCGGATACCTCAGTGGCTCGTATTCCTCCAATACCTCCATACCGCGCTGGATCATGTAGTCGATGATAGGTTCCGCTGGTGTGCCGACACTGACGTAGCACATAAGAGACAAGTTCTTGACGAGACCGCAGGCCTGTCCTTCTGGCGTCTCGGCAGGACATACCAGTCCCCAGTGGGTGTTATGCAGCTGCCGCGGTTTCGCGAGCTTGCCATCTCGCCCGATCGGCGTGTTGGTACGCCGCAAGTGGGAGAGTGTGGATGCAAATGTATACCTGTTGAGCACCTGGGACACGCCGGCCGTAGAGCTCATGGCCTTCTTCTGGTCTCCCCAATTGCCCGTGGCCAGCGAGTACTTGAGGCCGTTGGATAGAGTCTGTGGCTTGATGCCAAGAGTCAAGCTAAACTGTCTGTTGGACTCGACGCATCGCTTGAGATAGCCGGACAGCTCCTGGTTCATGCGACGGACAATGTTGCGGAAGAGCTTGGCCAAAAGGGGACCTGCTAGATCCAAACGCTTCTTGCCGAAGTGATCCCGGTCGTCCGTGTCGCGTCTCCCCAAGGCGCATTGAAGCAGCTTGTGTGTCATGTAACCTAGGAAGAAGGCCTTCCTGGTCTCACTTCCCTCGCTCTGCGAAATGTGCGGCAGCGTCTCCTTCTGCAAGATATCCTTCGCACTTCGCACACGCTTCTCCCTTGTCATGGTATGGTTGGCATTGCCTCGCTTTCCGATCCAATCAAGTGCAACGTTCCTATCTTGCACGATGAAGGCCTCCTCTATACAGGGTCGAAGCATTTCGAGCATCTGCGTGTCGTTTCTGTCGTAGCAGATGTGATTGAGAATATCCTCATCGGAAACGATGCCCAAGGCACGGAAGACGATGCCGATCGGAATGTCGACCTTGACGTAGGGTAGCGTACAGTGAATAGTCTGGCCGACGCTTCCTCGGGAGAATCCGCCCTTGCCGTGAAGCTTGAGCATCAGGCTCGAAATAAGACGAGAGCCCTTCTCGAGAGCGCTGCGGATCTCGGCGGTATACGAGTAGGGGCTGGGCTGGGCCTTCTTGAAGACCTGGACGATGTTGGCAGCCGACCGTTCCTGTGCGATGAGGACCTTCTCGCTACCGTTGATGATGAAGTACCCGCCCTGGTCGTAAGGGCACTCGTTGAGCATGAAGAGGTCGTTTTCGGATTCACGACTCAAGTGGCAGATCTTGGACTTGACCATGATGGGCAGCCGGCCGATGAAGATCATGTCCTTCATATCCTCCGGCTTCTCTTTATCGGCGGCCGGGTCATCGCCACTCTCCTCTTCCTCCCATTCCAAGCGAGTTGGATGTTCGCCAGTCCGTGCCATCTCCTCTTGTTGCTCCTCATCCAGTTCGTTGAGTGGAATCTGATTTTCGACGGCGACGGAGACTTTCTTGGTTATCCGAACGTAGAGAGGACTCGCATAGGTAAGATTTCGGTCGCGGCACTCGTAGGGAAGGAGCGTGGAGACCTTTCCGTCGGCTTCGGTGATGGAGGGTCGCGAGACCATGACGGTGCCGAACTTGACCTCATATCGTCGGAGGGCAATCACCCTATCGTCGTCGGACGCAGGATTCGGTTGGTCGAGTGTGATTTGCGAGTATTCATCGATGAGTTCTTGCACGGTCGAGGTGGTAAATTCGTCGAACGAATCGACTTGTTGCGACACCAGACCCTTGGACTCGAAGAAGGAGGAGATTACAGTCCAGCAATCTTCGGGGGTAATGGTATTGTCGTCCTCCTCGTAGGCATCGTAATCGTATTCATCGTACTCCATCGCCATGATGGACAGCAGCGCGCACTACTCAAGTAACGGGTGAGGTAAAAGGGTGGAAAGAACGGTAAGAATTGCTCGCCAGACGACGAAGTGGCGAAGGAATAGTAACCAGGGCGATTAGAAATCACCGGTTCCGAGGGAACGTGCCTCGTATCAGCTTTCAGATCGCATTCACAAAAGAAAGAAAAAATCAAAAAGGAAATGCGGCCGGGTATCGTAAGACGCAAAAAATGTGTGGGTGGCTAGGCGATATAATCGTTGTTGGGATGAGCCGCTGGAGAGTGGCTCGAGGGAGTTGGGAGTTGTGTTGGATTTTCAGCCTCGAGCAACGCGATCAGCTTGGGAGTTGGAAGCCAAAAGCTTGACACGAGACGATGAGTAAGCAAAATGGGTGGGTCTCTAACTAGGCTAATCCACTTATAGTTAGTGTAGATCATGTGTGACCCTTTCAGTGTTCGAAGGTCGCGGTATCACGTGAGTTTCATCATTCATAAGCGTCGAAGATCGCACAGCGTGGAAAACGAGTCACACGAGTAATTAATACTTATAGGATGCTTTTTTTTTCTAATTATCAGTCTACTAAAGAAATAAATAAAATAAGACGTTCTATGAAACTCAGGAACGTATGGAAACAAGGTATTCGTTCCTAGCTCGAAAAGAGCAGGGGGTATCAATAACGACAAATGCCACCAACATCTTCGTCCATGGTCCAGGAGCCAGCCAGGCCACCCACTTCAACCTCTTCAATAGGCGGGCCCTCGTCAGATTTGCCCAAAAAGAAGTCATTGCTACCCTCCGACCTGTTCGTGCGGCTCATGAACCGCCGCGTCCATTCCTCGACAGCCGGCTCTCCCGTCTCGTCTCGGGCCTGCTTCAGGAACGGGATGAGGGCGGTGCCTCCTGTGCCCTTCAACTTCTTTTGCCTATCCCCGGAGGCGGCGGCAAGTTTGCGCGACGACGACGCCAAGTCGAGACGCTGGCGCGTGGCCTCGGGGCTCCTGGACCGACTCCGCGCGCGCACCTCGCGCGAGGGGAGGATGATGTACCGGGTCACGATAGCGATGTGCTTGTCCCGGAACCCGCTCAGCATGGCGAGGCAGGCGTCGTAGGCCAGACAGAGCTGGCGGTCGTGTGGGCGCGCTTCGACGTAATCGCGGATGTTGGCGACGGCCGAGACGTCTCCCAGGAAACGGGCATGCGGGCCAGGCATGTACCGGCGCATGTCCATGATGAAGTTGTGCCGCGGGGCGCGAGCCCGGCCTTCGCGGTCCGACTCGGGCACCGGGTCCCGCTTCTCGCCGGTGGGCCGGTGTTCGATGCCGAGGACAACGTCGAAGAACTGAATCAAACTGCTCTGGGCGTTGCTGCCGCCGCTGTACAAGCGATAGTCTTCTTTTCCGGAGCCGTTGTCGTAGTTGACGCCGCGGGGTAAGCCGGCTTCGGTCATGTTCTTGCTTCCAGCCAGGAAGGGCCGGATACGGTTGTAGAATACAGTGGGGTCGCAGCTCTCGTGCATGCGCTGCAGAATGCTGGTCAAATCAGTCAGACGCTCGGCGAAGCCACACAGGCAGCGGGTGACGGTTGCAGAGTCCCCCTCGCGAGCGGCGGCAACGGCCGTCAGCATCAGAGGGATGATGGGGGCACCTCGAGCCTCGATGGCGACGGAAACAAGGTAAAACCACGACTCGTCTAAAGATCCGGTGAAGGTATTCAAGGTGGCGATGTTCTCCAGGTTGTCGATGTCTTCGTCGACAAAGAGGGGCTTGAAGTTCCAAAGGCATAGGGCCGCATAGGTAGCCACCGGGGGAACCTCGAGATGCGCCGAGATGGCGAGGAGCGGGACGGTGATGGGCGGGGGGAGCTGATCCGAAGGTTGATCGCCACCCCAGATGTAGCCGTGGGCCATGAAACACAGCAGCGAGTAGGCTCGACGCCATTCTGCCTCATGTTCCAAGCCCGTGGTGGACAGAATGGGCAGCCGGTCAACAACACCCCTGAGGCGTCTGGTCAAGATGAGAGCCTGTAGATTGGCAACCACAGCCTCCCATTTGTTGTAGTATGGGTCAGGGAGCCGGGTCAGGGGTAAGACATCCGGTAAAAAGCCATAGGTGGGCGAGATACCGTAGTCGGAGAGGATGGGGATAGGAGGCAACATGATCAAAGAGGGGCCTTTGAGATGGTGGGGGAGGGGAGGCTTAAGAGGCGAGAGACGTAGGGGGAAGATGATGAGATTTGGTTAAGACCTGACGCAAGGAGTATCCAGGAATCTAAGCTGGAATACTCCTCAGCCGTGCGAGAGTCCAAGTGAAGACAAGAGCATGCGATGAGTGAGATGGTATTGTTGTCGTCAAGCTGGCGGTTATCCGGGAGAGGAAAAGTCGAATAAAATATGATAACGAGACGGTGTGCAGTGAAGAATATTTGACCAGAGGAAGCTGAGACAAGAAGAGTAGCTGAGTGGCCTTATAATTACAGGCTTTGATATTTTATATCCCTCAAAAGTGTGCCTAGCAAGGTAGTAAAGACGATTTCCCCCCCTCCTTTGTTCTCCGTCTTGATGGATTGGGGGTGTGGCGTGTGGAAGAACCTGGAAGTTGTCTGAGCGAAAAGCTTTCGTAATCCGACTACGGAGTTGGTCGTGGGGGATGCTCTGTAGGTAATAAGGTAAGGTAGAGTAAGGTAAGGTAGGGAGGGCATAGGTATATTAAGAACGTATAGAATTCATCGATGACTCGGTTTTCATGGCGGGTGGCGCGTTCAGAAATTTCCGATCTGTCTGTCACGGGTATCTACATCCCATATGGGTCACGGGAGTCTTAGGAAGACTGTTGGTACGTTTCTCGCAGCAAACTTTTCGACAAGAAGTGTAACTCGTCTGCGTTACAAGGTGGGAAATACTCGTGGAAATCAAGGTACCTTATTAGTAGGTAGGTACCTATACAACTCCGATGGAAAGAGTAACGCGCTAAACTTATTAAGCCAGCCTGAGGCGTGTACCAATGGATTCAATGGAAAAGGTGGTTCGTGGACACGCACGCTACGCAACTACGGCGTATATTAGGGGGCGTCCATCAAAGTGTCCGTGTCCACACCAAAACAAACCGAACTAAAAATCCGACATTAACCTACGGATAGTTGTTCAATGCCACGACTTCATCGTAGCTAGCCTTACAATGCCCGCATGCAAAATAATTATGAATACAGATTGTCGAGAAGAGACACTTATTCCGGTACTTCTTCTTTTGCCCGGTCTGTCCCGTACCGGGCCTTCGTAAGATCGGAAGACCACGGCACCTGTCGAACCACTCTCGTAACCCCTCGGAGGGGGCGTCTCGGCGTTCAATATACGGGATAATACGGAGTAAGGTATTGTCCGCCCGGAAAGGACTGGCACCCTGTAGATGGTTGTATAGGCGGTTGTATAACTTATACTGATTTAACCGTGGTATACTGAACAATGCGAAACTTGCATCAATCGAGTTGGGGCCAATACGTACGCACCTAGCAGGGCATGACGTAATCGTACCAGTACTCCGACTCCATAACGTTAGGTTGCAGGGCCAAGGCTCTATGCGGCAACTTGTGTTGCGGTGCGCGGAGTCTCGACCGGCTCAGAGCTATTAATAACAGATCGACATCAGTGCTGAACCTGCGATTCAACTCAAATCTTGCTGCTAACAGGCGGATCTACGACCGAAAGGGGTGATATCGCTCAGGTTTAACGGGTTCTGCCCCGTATAGGCCGATACGCGCTGGTGTCCCAGGAATCGCAGAACCCCCTCCCTAGTTGACGATGCGGTCGTAGACACATGCACACGCACAACGCACACTCACACTCACACTCACTCACTACCAACTAACTATCCACGACCTCTTTTTTACCTTACTCCGGGGTGCAGTTCTCTGTCGACCATGCCTCCCGTCCAGCAGCATGTCCTCAACTGGCTTTACAGTGTTCTCACAAGCGTATGTTTCTGCTACCCACTTGTCCCCTAGTTCCCATCTCGCCAGTCGATTCGCAAGCTCACCTAGTCCCTGTGCTTCGTACAGGAATATCACGACGTGAACCGAACCTACAACGACGTCGCCCAAGCCTTGTCGCACTATCCTTCTCTATCTCCTCGTACTGACGTTCACAGTAAGGGGAACCATCCGTCTCTCCAGCCTGTTCTCCTCGCCAACTGACGTCTGCGCCGTATAGCATTCGATAATGGCACCTCGGCCCTCCTCCTCCACCTGTCTGGCACCTTGCCAGTGATCTTCAGGGGTGCGACGTATCGTTTTCCCATCTCCATATGCCTGCCCTACGCCTATCCCCGGGAGGCCCCATTGGTCTATGTGACTCCCTCTGAGAGCATGATGGTGAGACCTGGCCAGCATGTCGACCCTCAAGGCCAGGTCTATCATCCTTATCTGGCGGGGTGGTCTACGTTCTGGGATGTAAGCTTCCATTTCTACTATATACCTCCTCCTTCTCCTCCTCGCCAGGATGGATAATTAGGTTGTGACTTTGCTCACACACTCGTGATAGAAGTCTACTATCCTCGACTTTCTTGCCATTCTTCGAGACGTATTTGCCAAGGAACCTCCCGTCATCGCTCGACAACCCCCCCGCCAATCCGCTTCCCCGGCCCAGCATCCTTCTGCTCAGCCGACACCACCACCCGTACCTCCACCCCATCCTCCCGAGCTTTCGGGTCGTCCCGTGAGTCGGACTAGCCAAGTACACGCTCAGACTCCTCCCGTTCAGCCAGGTCCGCCGCCTCCGCCTCCGAAACAAACCGGGCATGAGCCACCCCGCCTTGCATCTCCTCCCAGCAGAAGCACACCTACCACCGGTCCGCCTCTGCCTCCTTTGCCACCAGGGATGGCGAGATCCGACAGTCGAGATGTATCCGGCTCTCCAAAGCCCACCAGACCTTCGGCTCAGACACCGTCCCGATACGATTCTGCTCCGCCCTTACCCCCACATCCTCAGCAGCCACCGCCGCCCCAGCTACCGCAGCAACAACAGCCTCCCATTTCGACCGCATTCCAATATCAGCATCCCCAACCCCCAGGTCAGCCGCCGGTTCATCTCGACAACCCTCCCTACCATCAACAAATTCCCTTTACACAACCCTCACCATTCCCGCACCCGGACCCCCGCCAGGTCCAAGGTGGCCCGCCGCCTGGCTGGCAACCTGCGGACTCCCGGTCACAGGCACAGTCAGCGGCACAGATCCCGCCGCCGCAGCAGCAGCCGAAACCAAAACTCCCGCCACCAGATCTGCTCGACGAACCGCTCTCCCTCAGCATCCCGACCCCGTCCGAGCTCCCCGGCCCTCCGATCCCGCCCAATCCCGAGAAAGATGCGCTGCTCCGGCAACTCGGACAGGCCCTCCACGCCTACCGCCAACGCGGTCTCCAGCAGAACGAGTCCAGCATGGCCGGCCTCCGGGCCCAGCACGCCGCCATGCTCGCCGCCAAGGAGAGGATGGAGGCCGAGCAGGTCTCCCTCGACCATCTCTCGGCCCTGCTCAGCTCCAACGCGAACATCCTCCACGATGCTCTCCGCAAGGCCGACGCCGTCATCGAGGCGTCGCGCAACCAGAGACCGCCCGACATTGACGAACTCCTCGTCGCCCCCACCGTCGTCGCTAACCAGCTCTACAACCTCGTCGCCGAGGAGCGGGCCATCGGCGACACCATTTTTGTCCTCGGCCGCGCCGTCGAGCGTGGGCGCGTGTCTCCTGCTGTTTTTGCGAAGACTACTCGCTCTCTCGCCCGCGAGTGGTATCTGAAGAAGGCACTGGCACGCAAGATTGCGCGAGGGATGGGGTTAACGGTGTAGGGAGGGTGATAATTGAAGCGAGGGGGGACAAATTTACTCAGAGAGGTATAGCACAAACAATACAGCACATTTCTGTGTGTCGACGATGCATCGCGGAGCAACTCTGGCATTGCTCTGTCGTAACTGTGCAGATGCAATATAGCATGCTCCTGCACAAGACACACTTGAAGCTGATGGCGTTTCGGCTGTGTGATTGTCTAATAACAGACGCCATTTCCCCTGACTTGGGCGGGACATTGTACTGGGATCCCCTTGGTTTATACCCCTGATACATTCCGACTTGCTCGTTGTGCTGCAGCCGTATACTCTCGTGGCTCCCATGGCGGCGTTTGTACCAGATAACAAGAAATGGGAAGTCCATCGTGATGGTAGTTCTCCTCGAGGCCATGTAAGCCATACATTAGAGGTGTGCCCATCGTCCTGTCCTCACCAGGGCCCCATTTTCTTCCATCCTTGGCGTGAAAGGGGTTCAATGACTGCTACGCGCGATTTGAATCTTCCCATTGCGAACATGGGCCGAACATCAGGGAGACGCGAGACTACGTCACATTGACCATACGAGAGAGCCAGACCTGTCAAGATATACAGAGCGAAGGGATGAAAGTTGCCGAGGCAGTTGGTAATTTCGCGATGGGGGGTGCTTTGAACAGTCCTATCTACCTAATTGCTAGGGTAGACAGCGATTCCTGAGTGAGGAGTAGAAGATTAACGGAGTTCCTTGACCGGTTCTCGACGTATCCCTCAATATATTCCCACCCCATTCAGTTGTATTCGGCCATCAAGGAGGTCGGCCTCCAAACCCAGGTGCCCGCGGAGTGTAATGATTAGTAGAAAAGAGCTATACTGCCGTCAAGATGCAAAGTTGCTCAGTTGACGACTGCCCAACAAACCTGGTTCGAAGCCAGGTGGCCAGTAAAAGAGAACAGAGAAGAAGCAAATAGAGAAAGAGAAGGAAAAAGAAGAAAAAAAATAGAGAAAAATAGAGAGAAAGAAAAGATGGAGACACAAGGGACGGAGGCCAATGCCAAGAAGATTGACCAAGTTCGCCGTTACCAGGAAAAGATCACCGTGCATAGAAGAACAAAGAATTGAGAAAACGAAACACGCCGTTGCTATGCTGAGACGACTTTTGGTCTCTGGTCAGTTTTGTTGTTCCTCCACACGAGCCTCGGATATCCCAAGCGAGACCGTCAGCAGGTGAGCTGGTCATCTACACCCACGAAGCAGGCTGGACATGCTGGGAGGGGAGCCCCTAGATCCTCTCCTCACGTCGGTCAAACTCGCGGTTGACCCGCACCCCTCCCTTCTCGGCCGGGTTGCTCCCTCCCTCGTCGATCTCACGTAGCTCCAAGTCGATGGGGTCGACAATGTCCCGCGAGCGAGTCGCTTCGATCCGTGAGGTCACGGTGCTTGGGACACATGTGCTGTCGGTAGGGTTGGTGCCGAAGTGCGAGCCGAATTTCAGGGGGGTGATGGAATTCCCCGTGCCGGTGTCGTTGCGAGCAAGTTCGTAAGTGCTGGAAGAAAAGGAGGCTCGTTGGGCGACGAGGCCGCCAAGGGGCAGGAAGATAACGACGGATGTGTACGTGACAGAGCCGGCTTGGAATATTGTCCAGTCGCCCCATTGAAGTCCGGCAAATACGACTAAGGTCACCAAGAAGAATTATTAGTCTAGATAGAAAAACGGTGGATAGGAACAAAAGGTGGCCACAACGAACCCGGGATGATCATGAGTAGCCCATTGGTGATGACGAGGATTTCCATCGGAGTCAGCCCTCGTCTCGATGGCAGGACCCTCCTACTGACGATGAGGTGGGTGACCAGTTTTACGTTGAAGAGCGCGCAGTAATAGAAGATAGAGGTGGTGGCGATGGTGGACGAGGTAATAACCACCCACATGAGCCGCTCCCAGAAGATGTTCAGCATGGCCACGATCTGGACAACGCTCACGACGAGGCGAAAGGCAATGGCGAGCAGGGACATGACCCCTGAAAGGGCGACGAAGAACCACTTCCAAAAGTCGGGCAGGAGATTAACCATGGCCCAGGCCTGCATGCCGAGAGCGACCTGGACTGAGACGAAGAAGAGAAAGGAGAAGACCTCGGCGGTAATGCTCGTGTGGACTTGACTGGGGGCGATGGTGGAGTAATCGAGGGCCCAGAACGAGTAGAACTCGGTCCAGTCGCTGGTGAAGTAGACGGTGAGGAAGGTCAGGCGTATGATGCAAAGAAGCAAGCCCACGATGTGCACCCACTGCGAAGCCTTGGCGAGCCTGGTGGTCGGACTCATGCAGATGAGGACGAGGAGCATGATGAAACTGGCACCGAGCTGGGAGGCATAATTGATGGAGGTGGCCAGATTCTCACGGATGACAGTATTGACATCTGGCACGGAAACGGGTATCTCTGTGACGCCGTCGGCTGCGAGCAGAACGAACGTCTGCGCTCTGGGGTCGAAGGGGGCCATGGTAAATCCTGTAAGGTAACTCTTGGTGACTAGAGAGAGCTTGATAGAGGAGTCGGCTGGTGTGCCGAGCAATATCGTTTTCGGCTCGTAAGAGGCGCCTAAAGAGAATGGCGTGACCTTGATATAACGACCTTGATATAAACTGGTTCTCTGTGCAACAGTCTTAAAGGGGGGAGACCTGGCTAGGCGTGAGCTTGAGAGCGACCGCTGTACGACGCTGGAACCGGGGAAAAGAAGGTCCCAAAATGAAGTTTCAGTGGAGGATGTGAAGAACGAGACGAGAAGGAGAAAAATGAGACGCCAGGTCAGATAGGAGACGTCGGCAAGTTCACGAGAGCCTCAGTGAAGTACGACGGGACGAAGAGTAGTTAGGTTGTGCAGCTCAGCTGGCAGATATAAGAGAAGAAAGGCGAAATAGATGAAACTTCCACGGGAGACATCGTGAGAATACGAAGAGGGCGACGGAGGACATGACTAGGGGCCATTGTGAGAAGATTAAGCAACGGGGTGAGGTGACAGATGAGCAGTCGCGAGTTTGAAAGAGAATAGGGCAGCAGAATAATAGGAACGTTTCCGTCAGTCTCAAGCTCAAGACCGAAGTAAAAAAAAAAAAAAAATTTGACATAGGGGGCGAGATGGGCTGTGATATTGTTGCGTGGCACAGCTTGGTATTGTTCTGTGTGCGAAGCTCAGACGGTCGTTAGTATTGTTCGACGAAAGCAGGCAAGCAAAGTCCCCCCATCAGGGGGCCGGGGGTTTGGGGGCGGATCAGGAGGCCGGGTGATTGGCGCTCCCGCGATTAGACGTGCCGATGCGGGAAAAGCTTAGAATTTAGAACCGCAGCCCTATAACCGGCCGGGAACCGGTCAACCTGTGCTTCTGCACTGCACTGATCAGTGTAGAAGGTAAGAGGGGAAACCGGTCCACACGGACTACAGTTGGCCCGGGATGCGCCCTGGGACGCGTTGTGAATTGTGACGCATCAAACGCCAAACTTCTATATTCTTCTGCAACGTTGGGCAATCCGTGACAGGGACGGTGTGACGAGCGGCTGGAGGATACCTTATCATAACAATCATATGGGAACCAGAGACACTACTGATTAGGCATGGCACCAAGCCGAATATCAATGTTCAAAACTCGCATCGTCGATGAGAACCGTACCGGGTGTCAAACCGTTCGCTACGTCGGGTATGTTGCGTAACGCTCCTTCTACTGAAATGTCGTTATGTCGTATGCCATGCCATATGCCGTCCGTCCGTGCTGACGCCGGTGCTACTCTCGCCTCGTGGCATAGAAACGCATTGCTGGGATGGGACGGGGGCGTCCTCGGCAGATGGTAAGCAAATAGGTAGAAGGATGCCAATGATAGATACCGAGCACATGGGCCACTTTCGCGAAGAAAGCTCGCGCCAATACCCGGCCTGGACCTAGAGCCGGGAGCACCTTAGGGTGGATGCTAGTGCCAGGTCAAGGGGCCCGCTGCCTGTACGTGTATGTTGTAATCTATGACAACGGTGGAGACGACGACGAAGACGAACTGAACCCAGGAAGAGTTTCGTACTCGCGAGTCCGAGGGGAATGCGTCTTAACTCGGACCCCGTTCGACGCCGTTGCTCGTCCTAGTTAATCAGCCATCTGGTTATCACTATCGCTAACAAGTCGTCGGGCGGATAAAATGCGACGGTCATTCAATCGGAACAATCGTAACGGATGCTTAGCATTGTTGTTGCGCATATTTCAAAACTCGACACTCGGGTGAATTGACGAGTCTTCAGGCGACGACCAGTGAGTGACTGGTAAGAACGAAAAGAAGAAAAAAAAATGTAGGAAACCCAACGAGGGAAAGCCATGTTAGGGGCAACGACAGCATCGCTGCGCATGCAGTGTGACTTGATTTTGCAGGCTCGCAACCTTTTACCGTTGGGGATGGCGAGTCTCAACGAGGGACGACGAGGGACGACGAGGGACGACGAGTGACAACAGACATGCTCGCAATCTACTGCAATCCATTATCAAATATCGGATTGCTATTGGTTCGTTGGTGCGAATCAAATTGAACCTCAGGAGGCATCACGTACGAAGGGGTATAGGCGGTGCCTTATGTCCCTGACCCGGGCCTGGATAAGGTAGGTACCTAAGGTACCCAAGGTAAGGTACGGAGTACATAAGGTAGGTAGCTACTGTACACGATGAACCTTTTCATCGAAAAGACGTAATACGCGGGCACCATAGCTGGAGGGAAGTCAGTTGAAGTAGTGCGCACTTAGTCCGAGGACCGACTCTCCTCTCCCCAAGGTAGCCTCTCCAGCTGACCACAGTCTAAGCTCTTGTCATTCGAGGATCATCTCTGTTCTGAAACCCATGCCCTCGACGGCGTCAGCTGTTGTGCCTGGGCCGCTGGAATTTGTAGACTTTCAAGTTGTGTTATATTCGCCATGACCTCGTTCAACCGCCTTTCAGTCCGTGAATGCTCGGTTCCTGCGTCTTCAGCTTCTCCGGGGGTCAGTTTTCGAGTTTCTGCATCTCCCACCTTCATCATCGACTATGACGCCCTCTGGAGCTTGATGTGTGGTTGGCAACTCCGAGCTGTTCATCGCTGATGATGCCACTGTTTGCGCTCCCGTCCTATGCTTCTGTGTTCCTCTGCCAAACCATGGCCTCAACGCCCGACGCACGCGAGCAAACATCACGTGTGGTGACTCTACAATGATGAGATTCCTGACTCTCTGATCCATAGCCACCTCACTATAGCACAGTCGAAGCAGGGCTTGTCTTTCGTCAATTTGATTGCTGCTCAGTTCCTTCACCTAGAACAGACGGAGGAACATCGCTGCAGCACGGACCCGACAGGCTCACACGCGCAGCGAGAGACTGGGGTACCTCAACTGAAACACCCCGTTCTCCAGGGACGAATCTGCCATGGTTCAAAGGGCTTTGGGCTGTGACAGTAGCATCCGAGTCATCCCATACCCGAGACGGGCTGCTGCTTTGAGTCGTGAGATAGCATGCGGGCCGGAGCTGCCTCGAATGCTGCCGAAAGGAGAAGTGCTGGGAGTTATGTGGTTAGCAATGCGCGCAGCGCTATTCTAAACCTGTCTGAGCCACCACAAGCTGTCCTGAGTGGTCAGGACGAGGCCTGCGACGAATGGGTCGCGTTATTCGAAATTCATGCCTGCCGACTGAAAAACGGAACACGTTCCTTTGAACATGATCAAAAGATGGGAATTCTAGTCATTATAGTCGGTATCTGCTGTGTGTACACAGTATCCCCGCCATCCCTGGATGCGACATCTTTTTCAAATCCGAAGAAGCTCCAAGGGCCCGAGGTCGTTGCCCGTCCCCCAATTTCTAATGTACAGGCGGCATAGCGCGGCGAAAGTCGTCGAGTTGTACAGGGTGTGAAAGATATTAAATTCGAGAAACCCGGATTATTGGCTATGAATTGGTCGTCACATGGTCAGTTCCCTCGGATGCAAAAGGACGGGTGCGCCTCTCACGGCGGGAGAAACACGTACGGAGGAAGCAGGAACTCTCCCCAAGAGCTGGCGAGGAAGGCGACGGAGGCCTTCAAGACAGGTCAGCAGGCACTACTAAGCTACCGCGGAAAGGAACAACGTACGCCGAAGATTGCGATGCTGCGAACGATAGAGGCGTTTTCCGGGGAGGTCAGGGCATCGTAGGTCGAGGCAATGGCACCCTTGGGTTGGCGGTTCCGAGAAGGCCCGGCCCTTTCGACGAGAATCCTCTTAGGAGCCATTGTGATGAATTCGCGGTGGAGTGGAGTGACTGGTGATTTAACGGAGATGTTTTGTCGTGGGTGAATACGGATATAGGGAGCTCGGCTGTGTGTGTTTCGATGGGGGAAGGCGACGACGTGAAGGATCTTGAGATGGGGAAATTTTTGGGCGGACGTTCACGCCCAAGCCACACGGGACGATTCACGCGCCACATACAATGGACAGCACCAGCACCGGCTTGTGCTGAGTAAGGTTATTAATCACACAGTAATAGGCAGGTACCTTACGTAATACTCTAGTGATTACTCAAATCACGTCACTTCAACCCCGCGGTCGCAAACGTCAAGCTGCTAACCACATCAGCACTGACAAGTAATTACGTGTAAGGTACAGCCAGTACCTTAACTTTGACAGCGACCTCGGCCGAAACTCTAAGCTCACTTTTGGAAACTTGTCAACTTGCCCCAGGGCTCATATAACATGCTTACTTGATACGACAAGCAAAGCGGCTCAGCCCGCGACTAATCCGTGAAAACCCCCAATTCATATCGACATTCAGATTCATCTACTCAATCCTTCGGACCAAAGACGGCTTAACGTTGTACAGAGCCCGGGGGGAGCTAAAGATGGCTGATGCTGGACAATCCCCGGGCCCAGGTGGTTTCTTCCCGCCAGAGTCGATGCCATCACCAGCTCCTAGCAATGCATCCAGTCGATCAACAGTTTTGCTTCCCCATCCCCGAAAGAAAGCTCTGCTCGGCGGTTCGAACAAAGAGGACCTTGTGCGCCGCTACGTCGAAGAGCAAATGGCTCTCATATCGCGTCGCTACGTGAAGAAGTACACCGAGGCCATGCCTGGGGATGATATCGTCGGTTACGAAAGCATGAGCGACGTCTGCAAGGACATTCACAAGATCATCGATGTTCTCTGGCTCTCGGGAACCCGTAAGACAGCCATTCACCTCGGCCCAATTACACGTCTTACACTCACAATTCTCTTCTTTTCTTGTGGACAACCACCTCTAACTATGACCCCTCAGCCAGCCTGCAGATCCCATTCCTGCTCAACATAGCGAGCGACCTCACCAAGTACGTCGTCTCCTTCCCGCCCGCGCCGCGCGCCACCTTCTCCGTGCTGCGCAAGCTAGACCACTGCTTCGCCAGCCTATTAGGCGGGGAGGACGTAGACACGAGGGAACCCCTCCCCGGGTTCGAGAACGGGCTGCGCGCCGGCATGACCACAACCGACATGGTGCGGTGCCGCAGCTCCGTCGAGCAGACCCGCGTGCTGATGGTCGAGGTGCTCAGTTCCGCCGAGGACGTGGAGGACGAGTCCGATGAGCCGCAGACCGAAACCGACACCGACGCCCCGGACGACCCGGCGGTGTGGACGGAGGACGATGACCGGCTACACATGGACGTGGCCCGCGTCTATGAGAAGACCCTGGTTCAGTTAGGCCAGCGGTTGGGGGATGTCTTTGGCGCCACGCCTGCCCAGACAGCACCAGCAGGGGGTTGTGGTTAGGCTATCGGCCGAGGCAGATAGATTTGGGGCCTAGCCTACGTTTTTGAGGAAGGCAGTATGCTTCCCTTTCATTTTCGAGAGTATCGTATCTCCGTCTGAGATGCTTCTCCCGACCATTTACAGGGTGGTCTTGCTTCGTACCTGCCCAGCAGATGGACAAGTGAGATCTAGTTGGTCGAGTAGTACGGAGACGTAGCGCATTGTAATATATTTTCATGAAATCTCGATAGGCTGAATTTGATCTAATGACAGGCTGATCGGCTTGTACACGATATCCCATTTACACTTGCACAGGCTCTCCGATGATGTCTGGAAAGCCTTAACTGCTGTTTCTATAGCGAACTGTTCCGGCCACGATATGCGACTCGCACCCTTGCGGGGCAAGAGTAAGTGTCAATAACATGCTTGTTTCAAGCAGGGATACGCCCGATCGCCCTTCCGAGTAGGCATACTCTGTATGAGGCAGTCCTCCTTATCTTCTCCTGCCGTCTGCATCACGACTATTTAGCCGCAGACCCGGCCACCAGTTTACCATGCCCGACCTGGTAACAAGAAGAAATACCTTATATCCCGTGCGGTGTCACTTCGGTCGCCAGTCAGGTGAAAAGCCTCGTGGGCGAGGATGGTAGATTTCATTCAGGTTGAGACAGGACGGAGGCACGATGGGGACTGGTGAAATAATGTGGACGGTCGGGTTTTTTTTTTGTTAGTACATGCTAGATAAGCGACAGCAGCAGAAACCGCAACTGAGAATCATGAGTATCATACTCGAAGCTGAAGGTCTCGATCTTCCATTAGACTCCAAGCTCAACACCACACAACGCCGTAAGAACCGACGATACCGTCGACCCATGGGAATACCAATATGAGAAGAAACGGGGAAAAGAAAGGGGGCAACTAAAAGGGGAAAACAGGAAAAGAAAAAAGGACCAAACTCTCTCCCACCTCCGGTGCGGCACTCTAACAAATATAAAAGCTGGTCTGCTACGAGCATCGATACCCTGCTCGTTTCTCTTTCTCCCCAACAACCGTTTTGGATCCTTTTTTAATGCCATTTTGTGATCAAGAAGCTCAAAGCAACTTCAGTTGGGGAAAACTCCTATGCCAACATAATCCCAAAGAATGTATCCTCTCATGCGCGGCGTACGTTTATAATCAACCATGTCGCCCCTAAAAGCCGACATCGTCAAGTGCCAAGACCAAGCAAAAAGAATGCAGGCCACGGAACTCCCCACAGCAACCAGATCGTGACAAGGGTCATATGCGCCGGCCCAAGTCCATGGAAACAGCTCACACCTTGCGCCTCCTGATAAGACCCGCAAGGCGATTAAGACGGTGTACCAGAGTCTGGTACTCAGAATGTGCTTCGTGAAGCAGCGGGAGAGGCAAAAATGCGTTTAGCCCCGATCAGAAAAAAAAGTGATTTGCGCCCTTTCCTTATGCTAAAGCAGCATCACCGGACTGGGCCGGTGTAAGCCCCTCGTGTGATGAGACGAGCAGAGTAGTATCACAGCCCACGTCGGTGTAAAGAGTCGTGGGTTTCAACATTGATGACGAAGTCCCGTAAGACTCTCGCAGACGTCCGGGTCGATGGTGAATCAGTCCGCGCTTATCTCGCCGGTTCCTTCCATCCCGAACGATCCGGCGTTGAAATCAAAGCCCTGGTTGTCCCCGTCCTCGTGAAGGAATGAATCAAAGTCGAAATCGTTCAAGACGTCATTAGAGACCAGCGGATTGGTGAAGTCCATCCCGCTGAAGCTCATCATGTCAGCCGAGCTGTCCATGCCGAAGGAGCCGTTTTGTGCGTCGGGTTGCGGCTGACTAGCGACGGAGGTCGCTGGCGCAGGTGCCTGCCCAGCAGCTCCTTGCCCGTTCGGCGCGGTGCCGTTACCGGCCGCCCCAGCGTTGCCACCAGCTCCGCCGCCAGGAGCACCGCCAGCAGCACCGCCAGGCCCGGAAGTGCCAGTTCCACCACCGCCAGCCGAGGCACCCTGATTTTGGCTCGACTTGTTGAAACCTGGAGCGTTCGCGTTGACTGGTGTCATAGGCGTGGCCGGGGCGGGTGCCTCGCCGTCTTGGTTATTCTCCCCTGCAGGCGTGGCTCCCGAATTCAAGTTCGGATTAGCCTTCTTCTGCGTTGCAGCCTGTTTAGATAATGTCAGTAAATCCCATCGCAATCTCATGGATGATACCAGTCCGGAACGCACCTTATTCTTGGCAGCCTTCGTGTCCTTCTTTTTTGGCGCTGGCTTGTTAGCCTGCGAAGGGGTCGGCGGCGCGGCAGGCTGCTGGGGCGAGGATGTACTGGTCCTGTTGGCGTTGGCAGGGCCAGGAGCCGACGGTGGCGGCATGGCACGTTGCTGAGGAGTGCCCTGAACACCAGGACCTTGAGGGCCTGTGGGAACCATTTGTCCGTTAGGGCCTTGTTGCCACTGCATAGGGGGGTTGCCGGCCTGCTGCTGCTGCTGCTGCTGTTGTTGCTGCTGTTGTTGCTGCTGCCTGGCAGCCATCATCTGCTGAGGGTTCATCTGACCGTTGAAGGGTTGTTGACCAGGGTGGGAGCTAGGCGGGCGCATGCCGTTCATGTGGGGATTCGGAACCATATTCCCGCCCACGTTCTGCATGTCCTTATTGAAAAAGCTGGGTGCCATGTTCGGATCCATGGTGTTGGGCATGAAGTTCATCGGATTCGGCGAGCCACGCGACTGGGCCCCCTCAGGCAGCGGCGACGGGATCCCGGCGTTGTTCATCTGCGGGGTACCCCGTTTCATTTGGTCGGCTGGGTTCGGGGAGGCGCCGGCTCTGGCACCTTGAGGCGACGTCTCCGGGAAGGCTTGACCGTTCGGACCGGGCGGGGCTCCGGGACCGCCGGGACCTGCCGGACCGTCTCCCCTAGGAATGCCACCCATGTTGTCTTGCTCTTGACGAGCCATGAGGAGTCGCTTCTTATTCTGTTGTTCAAGAAGCATTAGCTGCATTTGATAGTCTTGCAGAGCGTGGTTACTTCCACCGCCAGCTTGGGGTCCGCCCGGAACGGGTCGCATGCCACCCGGTCCCATTTCCCCCGGATTATAAAATGCCGTCAGTGCGGCGGCCTGTTCGGGGTTCTGTGGCACCATTGGTGAACACTGAGCTTGAGGACCAGGGACATTAGGCATGGGCTTGTTCGGCATTTGGTTGGCCTGCTGCTGATGCAGATTGGCAGCGTAGGTGGCAATGGACTTTGCCTGAACAGCAGGTGGTTGGTTGGAAAACGTGCTGAACTGTTGAGGGGTCAGCTGTGCTGGGTTAATACCGTTTGTGAGAAGCATCTGCGTGGCTTGGGCTGCATTGGGAGCATTCCCCACCTGCTGCTGGCCTGGCACGCCCTGCTGCGGTCGACCGTTCGGCATCATCCCAGGCTGGTTGGGATTGAAGGGAGCGCCGTCTAGACGAGGCCGCTTGGATGGGGAAGGGGCATTTTCAGAAGATCCAGGCGATGCCGGCCGCTGGCGGTTTCCGTCCATGTCCGAGGGGTCTCTCTGCATTTGGTTCTGCTTGGCCTGGTGGAGCATCTGCATGGCTTGGGGACTGTAGGCGCAGAGGGTGACCGGGTTAGTATACTGATGACGGACATATATCAAAAACCCGGGCATCAAATTAGGGGTTAAGGGACTTACTTATTCTGATTGTTGGCCATGGCTGTCCGTGCAAGATTACCTTGCTTCATGTTCATCCCCATGCCACCAGCTTGCATGCTCCTCATCATGTGGTTCTGATATTGCTGTGGAGTGAGGCCCTCGGGACGCATTTGTCGCAACATCTCCTGCTGATTTTGGCGGAGCCGTGATTGATGCTGACAACTAGGTTAGCAAATGGCAAGGGCTTACATGAAGAAAGGGCAATCCAAAACACAGCCAGAGAAAAAGGGGGAGAGGCCTGCAAGAAAGGGATGATTTGGCTTACCTGGGTGTGGCTAACATACTGGGCAACCGGACCATTACCACCTTTGGCGCGTTGTGCATGGAAGATGTCCCAGAACAAGCAGAACCATTCGTAGAGAAAGGAGGTCTCGGAAGCGGGCATCGGCAGCTTGGGGGCAGGCAGGTCATCAGGGAGTTTGGTGTCGACGTCGTCTTTATTGTCGGTGTCCATGGCGTCGTCGCCAAGGCCATTTCCCAGCAAGTTCCCATTCTCATCGCGGCGGCGATTGAGGCCTTCTTTAAGAACGTTGACCTGCTGGTCGCTATTGAGTAGCGACCGCGCACAGTCGAACATATTGTTGCGGATGAAATATTCGTAGATATAGGTGTTTAGGAGCGTGCGCTGGCTCTCCGTAGGCATTTGCGTTTGCCGAGGGCCAGGAACACCGCCCTGGGGAGCGACGGCCCCATTATTCATCATGGGCATGGGAGCGCCAACCGGGCCGCCCATGGCGTTCATGTTGGGCATGTTTGGATTATTCATAGCTGGCCGCGATGCAGACAGATCGTCTGCCCGGCTGAGCTTACGTGTCGATGGCGGGCGACAAGACGATGGGATGGAGAAAATAGAAGTCGAAGAAGCAAGCGTCGTCGAGGTTGAGTTGGTGAGAAATCGTGGCTTGGTCGCGATACCGGATGCGTTGAAAAATTGAAAGATGTAGAAAAGGAGAAAGAAAGATGGAATCGGGAGGTATTTGGGGTAGGAGAGGATAGATATGTGGTACGAGGTATGGTGGAACACGCGGAGCGCTAACAAGTCGACGAAGCGCGGGACGTGTTCTACTGATGCCGGTAGTGGTGCTCCAAGCGCACAGTGAAAAGAACAACGACGCTAACAGTAACTTGGAGAATGACACGGCGAAAGGGGCGAGATAAATATAGTTGTCAAGAGTAGTTTGACTCTGGGGGCGAAAGAGTCTATTCGTATTGCGTGGAGCGTCGTTGCCAAAGTAAATTGGCTGTGGCTGCCGCCTCGTGTGTCAGCGATCGCGACAGGCGTTCTGGAGTCGACGATCCGGCACAGGTCGGGGTACTTCGTCGAGCTCCTCTCCAGCAACGCTACCTTGGTCGCTGGGGCAAATGCAAATGGACAACAAGCCCTGCAATGGTGTCGAAAACGTCAAAAGACGACCATGAGTGAGATCAGGGCAGCTCGTATTGACGCGGGTTGAAGAGATCCCGGCTTTCGGAGGGGGTAAAGAGAAGGATGGAAGGGGAGAGAGAGGAAGGATGATGGAGAACAACGAGTGGGAAAGGATGGGGCTGGGATTTTCCTAATTTTCGCCAGTACCGGATAAGGACGCTTGGGCTCGTTGGGGGGGAAGGGCCCTGAGGGTGCTAGAGAAGCTGGGAAAAGACTCTGGAATTGGGTGACGGCCGCCTGTTCGTCCCTACATCGCGACGTAGCGTGCGTGTATTCGTGAGAACAAAAGAACTTTTGAGAACGGCTGTTGCCTCAGGCATAAATTCATAAACGCACCCGCCAATAAGATATCAGAATACAAGGTACGTACTTTAAGTATACTTACCTTCGTTACCTTTTCCAACGAAACATATCTCGAGACACAGATTGGCGGTACAACCCCTCTGTAATACTTCGCAACTTGTCGCACCCTGATATGGTTGAACTATTGCGAGAGAACTACAGCGAATTCCCATTAGTATTATGATCACGGACAGAGTTGGCAATATGTCTAACGAGATTTTTAGCACTCATATCTACTTTGTAGCTCCCGAATGTCTGCGATAGTTCTTACCGTCTTAATATCGTCCAGAGGGACATCGGACCATAACCCCTTTTCCGCCTCCGATCTCCAAACTCAAATCTAGGAGTAGCGAATTGGATGAGAGTGCCCTGAGTGTGCGGTCGTGTCTCATCGGCCCATCACACGAATAGGCGGGGTATCTGTTGGAGGATAATACGATATCGCTATGTCATTGTTGAAGTACCGTAAGGTAGCTCGACTCACAGCGAAAATGCGGGTGGTTGTCTACCTCCATTACAAACATTACAAGGCTCTACCTAAGGTAGCCTTGTACTCTGAATATCAGGCATAACCTACTCCGGACCTACTTAGCTCCTGAGCCTCGGTAAGGCATCTTGCCGAATCACCAAGACTCCTGCATTGATAGATGCAAGGCATCCTGTATATTATCTGCCTCGCCCATACTGCGCTGAATTGCATCATTCAAAGGGCTTAGTATTTCGGGGATAGCTGCGGCGTATTCACCATGCGTTCTGTCTATGAAGATCCATGGTCCAGCTGTATGGCGCATCCAAGACGGGCATCTTGCCTCCTCCCTTGCCCCTTTCTTATGTTCCCCGGATTCGAGGATGAGTTGACACATCATGACATGCCAGCTCGTTGAGATGTCCCTTGCCATGCAGCCGACTTGAGATGATGATGCCATCTCAGAAGCCCTTCATATCGTTCGTGCAGCTATGCTTCTACCGTGCGCAGGGTGAACCATTGCTTTACCGTGGATCCCCTTGTAGCAGGTGCACAGCAAAGTCATCCCACGATCGCCAAATACGCAGGTAGGCCATGCCTTGTTCAATGAACTTGATAACAAGGCCGCTCTCCGCGCGCACAAGTACCGGTTGGTTCCAAGCCGTCAGACCCGGAAGAGCGTAGGTAAGAAGGCAGGGTGGCTCATCCGCTCACAAATAACTACCATCCCAAACAAATTCGGCTGAACGCGAACAGGGGCGATGCCTCGAGCAATAACTGTCTCCTTAGTCGTCTTCCGGGGGTAGCTCGTCGTCGATATAGCGAATCAGGGATACCCGCATCTCCGTCGTATCGTTGCCCTTCAGGACGTCGCTGATGAAGTGAGCCTCCACCTGCATCTGAACCATCTCCAAGGCGCCCCGTAGCACGCCGCAGAAGATGTTCGAATACCACAACTCATCTTGTGCCCGTCCATCGTCGGGCAGCTCGACAAAATCCGCAAGCGGGTTCTCATCAAACACCAGCGAGAACTGCTTGTTGTCCGACGTCCAGTTGGTTACGTGCGGTGTGATGTTGAGAAAAATCTTGAACCCGACCTGTATACAGCTGCCCTGTCAGTAACCCGAACGCAGCTCGGCCGAGAGGGCTAGCTTTGGGACAGTGGCAAAGCAACAAACCCTCGCAATGGCATCAGCCGTCTCCCTGAAATTAGAGCATCGCTTCATCGTGTTGGACTTGGCGAGATAGTCTTCGATTAACCGCAAACCAATGTTGTATCCCATTCTATCGAGCTGCTTGTTCACTTCGACATAATCTCCGTCAAAATCCTTGCATAGCTGTGCCACGATCGTTCCGTAGGTGAGAGTCACGAGTTCCGCGTTGACTTTGTCGATCCGGGTCCTAGCCGATTACGATTAGACTTGTTTTGTCGAATGGATCTAGATAGCACACTCCAAGGGGATCAGGTCTTACTTCCATATCCTAGCCTTGCGTCAGTGATTCCAGATTTCCTAAGGATGGCGAGGGAGGCTGCTGGTTCAGGGGCACGTCTGGGGTACATACTCCTCGCCGAGGCGAGAGGCCTTATTTGCGGCCATGGTGGGAATGCAGCCGTGTCTGCGGAAGAGATTCCGCCGGCTGGTGTATAGGGTGCAGCCAGGTCAAGCTGCAAATAGCACACTGTAATCACAACCGTCTGATGGTGAAGTCCACCAAAAGGCCACAAGGACAAAGAGGTTCCTGGCTGTTGTACGAAGCAATTGGATAAGCAATCCAAGTTGGGTCAGAGAATCATGTGACATTCAAGGGAAAGCATGAAGTATGTACATACCCGTACTCACTAAGGTACGTACCTACCCTTACCTTAACCCCCAGCTGCCCCACAAGTAGAGATACTTTATGTCATTATCCACTAGGTATGCAAGTACTGATTTTTGATGATAGCTTCAAGGAAAACGGGAGCTTCCACAACTACCTACTCCGTATACACCACGAACCGATGCCAGCCGATCAACAGCACTTCCTCACTCCCGATATTCAACCAGCTCGCATATACAGAAACCGATTTAAATCGAACCGAACCGCTGCCTACAAAACTCACGTCATTCAAATCGCCCCAAATCGCAATCATGTCAGCCGAGAAGCGACCTGCGTCCGATGACCCCGGCGCGGGGCAGATGATCGTGAAGCGACAGAATGTCGGCTCATCCGCAGGAGCTCTAGCGAGGCTCAATGCTTCGGGGAACAGCAGTGCGTTGGTTCAAGCGGTAAGCGTCTGTTACTGCATGTCTACGGGGGTCAATCATTTGACGATGATGTGTTCTAGGCTCCCCGAACTAGCGGCCTCCAGGCTCCAGTAATGGAGCTGTCTGGCCACTCAGGCGAGATCTTCGCGGCCAAGTTTGACCCGACGGGCAACTTCATCGCGTCTGGTTCCATGGACAGGAGCATTTGTAAGTGGCGGAACGTATACCTTTCGAGCATCGCGCCTTGATAGCTGACTTCGTGGTACTTCCTAGTGCTCTGGAGAACGTACGGCGATTGCGAGAACTACGGCATACTCAATGGCCACCGAGGAGCAGTGCTTGACCTTCAATGGTCACGAGATTCGAAGATTCTGTTTTCCGCCTCGGCCGACACGCACCTGGCCAGTTGGGACCTCGACAACGGCACGAGAATACGTAGATACGTCGGGCACGAGGAGATCGTCAACTGCATGGACATCAGTCGCCGGGGCGAAGAGCTCCTCGTCAGTGGCAGTGATGACGGGTCCATAGGGCTCTGGGATCCAAGGACGAAGCACGCCGCGGACTACATTCAGACCGACTTCCCCGTCACGGCGGTGGCCATGTCGGAAGCGGGAAATGAGGCTTACTCGGGCGGTATCGACAACGACATCAAAGTGTGGGATTTGCGCAAGAAGGCTGTGGTATACTCCATGCTCGGACATCAGGACACCGTGACGTCTTTGCGGGTGTCGCCAGACGCACAGTCCCTGCTTTCATACTCCATGGATTCGACGGCTCGCACATGGGATATCCGTCCGTTTGCTCCAACGGAGCGGCAAATTCGGACATTCGACGGGGCGTCTATGGGACTAGAGAAGAACCTTATCCGTGCAAGCTGGGACGCGGCTGGCAAGAGCATCGCTGTAGGCTCAGGAGACGGCACAGTCACTGTGTGGTCGAGTGATACCGGCAAGCTCATGTATAAGCTTCCGGGCCACAAGGGCACTGTCAACTGTGCCGAGTTTGCCCCCGGTAATGAACCAATACGTGAGTTGAATTCCCGCGTTTCCCCTCCTTGCTTTCGTTGAACACTACTGACGATAGGGCCAGTTTTATCCGCCTCGTCTGATCGCAACATGTTGCTTGGAGAGCTACGGTGATTTGGCATGCTGCCTCTTACTTGGGGTTCTTCCATAGGATGACATGGGACCCATAATTCCGAGGTGAACCTTAGCATGTCGAGAGCAGGGGAACCCAGATCCATTTCGCCAATTCGCCGTATCTAAAAGCTTGTTTCTTGGCCATGACCCCATTGTGAGGTCAAAAATCCCCGCTGCAGTTCTCAAAATACAAGGGCGCCACCCATGGCAGGAGCACATGAAGGGCTCATATTGGTGGCATCTGGCTTGCTGCATGCAAGTGTGGTCACTTCATTTTTCAAAAGTGCCGCGAACGACTCCCAGCGACTCCCAGACATGAACGAGGAATATATGGACTCGTTATAGAAACTAATGGACGCGAATAAGAGCTGGAATTCATCACCGACTGGCTGAGATTGCCGACAGCACGCGAGGACGGCTAGGTGATCAAATCTTGATGGATTGGATGAGAGTCTCGTGGCTGCGAATGTTGTTGAATGATACCCTTTTTGAGGATGAAAAAGCCGTGGACTAGAGTGTATGTATTATGTGGTTTGATGCTGCAGGGGACGTGAAGGTAGTCTCTCCGCGGCATAATAAGTGGCCTATGTTAAACGGAAACTGGATGTAACATTCAAGGTTCTGTCTCTGGGTAGCCGTTGATGGAATGAACTGCAGTTCCACTTGCGCCTCGAATCGCACCACTATCCCAATCCGCATCAAGAGTCTCAGAGGACGGACGTATTGCTGTCCTCTTCTTCCGAGTTTCTCATCTTGGAATTCATTTTCTGGTTAATTAGTGGCGGGCTATTGTCAAATATGACGGAGTTGCGGTTTAATGCCTGCAAGTTCTTTCGACCTCCATTGGCGCTCGAAGTCGCGTGGTTCAGGAATGCGACAACCAATAGGGCCGTGCCGAAGTCCTTGTTAGTGAATGTTTTAGAGTTCTGGGTCTCGCTTATCCGTACTCCCAGCTACTTCCTTATACCTAGCCAACATATACGTTGTATCAGTATGTCCTCTATAAGGTAAGGGGGCCGACCAGATTACAAGCTCTCAATAAACACATCTCCTTTTCTGAAGCCGGTATTTTGTCAAGTGATATCACGAGAATTGGACTTTGAGAATCTAAGAAACAGTAATGAGTGAATGAAGCTTTGATGCTCATCGCTGTATTCGTACTGGTACGGAACAAGGTGCTGTCACGGGGGATACCTATCAGTACTTTCGTACCTGGGTAGGTACTTAAATATGACAAGGGACTGCCGGGACCTGGACCTGGAGCGGGGACCGCACCCCATCTGAAACATGGTCCTGACGTCCAGTTTTCCATCCCCGGGCCCCGTACTTTCACCCACGAACCATCATTGGCTTTCTGCCCTGTGTCGTGCAACAACTCAGGGCCTATGCTTTGTCGGAAACAGTCGTGCTCTGCTGGGGCGCGTCTCGTATCGCTCGGCCTCTCTCTCCTGATGAGAAGCTCAAAGTCATATTGAATTGGTAACTGGTGTGGAAGGTGATCTCAGGTATGGATAGGTGGGAGTCTCGAGTCCCTACGCCTACAAAGTAATTAATGACTTCACCTCGATGCTACTTTACGTTGTAGTCTTCCTAAAAACAGACCCGTCCATACGAAGTGTCCATCCGTCTTGTTCGAGCTTGTGGTATTACCCCCGGTCATCCAACTGGAACAAGGGCGCCGATAGCTCAATGCATTGGTAAACTCATTGCATACCTGTCTTGGTTGTTGTTCTATTGTCCTTCGTTAAAGTCCCATCCATCCTTTTCTCGTCTTTTTCGATAGCTTCCCCTGATCTCTGCCCGAATTATCATTTCGACTCCAGATCTCTCCCTCCTTAGTGCTCCCTTTGGGGTAAACACCAACACCAACAACCACGAGGATCGCGTTCCACATCCACTCCCTATACAAGGGTTTTGATGTGGCACCCCTCCTTCCCGTATTCTTCCACGAGGGCACTGTGCGTCGATAACGTTCTCTTCTTTTATTCCGACCTTTCCTTCACCGGGTTCTGGAAATCCAATCCGCTCCTTGCTTCTAGGCCTCTGGGTGGCTCTTCTCTGATGCAGGCATCCGACACCTAATTAGCAACATTCATTTTCGCCCTGTCGCTACCTCCCCCCTTCTTTACTCAGGCAGCAACTCTGTTCCCAATTCGGGTCACACCAAAGAACGCTCCACATCCTATCGATTACCAAGGGTAAGGACGTGGCGGGGACGCGGTTATATACACTCTATCTTGGGGTATAACCTCTCAGGTTCCGCATCAACAAGCTGCGTGGTGAACGCGCTACTCGTCTAACCAGACGGGCCAGCACCGTCTCTCGAGACGCCTGGGACTCCCACCCTAAGACTCAATCACCGACCGACTGCCTATTCTGCCTACCTGGCGCTTCTTATTCATAATGGATTCCTTTCTCCCTCGACGACGGCCGGAATGGCTAGCTAGACGGGCCGGTGAGCAACAGCCAAGTCCAGATTCACTCGATGCCACGGGACCCGGCGAGCTCCCACCACAGCCCGAAATGCAACAGTCCACCCGTCACCCGCGTCTCTTCTCCGTCGGCCTCCCGACACCGTTCACTAGACGACTGGCTCGCAGTAACCCCGCCGACGATGCGGATGTTGAGAGCGGTGGCGCTGACGAGAGCCCCAAAACACCGCGTTTCAACCTTAGACGACCGAACACCTACCTCCCCTTCTCGCAGTTTTTGAGATCGCGAGTACACGAATCCTCGACCGATAGCGCTACCGCTCCCGTCTACTCTGCGACAAGACCACCCAGAAACCATGACGCTCCGAACGCTACCGTGCCGGGCTCGGGGATTCTTCCAGTTCCCGAACCGGTAGCGGCATCCTCAGTTGGCCGAGTTGCCTCGCTGAGCTCGGAAGAGCCGCCAAATTCCACTCATGACCGGCGTCGAACACGAAGGAGGCTGGTCAGGGCTGCCGAACAAGGTCAAGGCGGGGCCACAAACCATCCCAAGCGCTTCCTTTTCTGCTTGCCCCGGGTTGCCTCGCGAAGAGTACAGTCCATGATACTTCAATGCTTCATTTCGGGCCTATTTATGACTCTTCTCCTGTCCGTCTGTAAGTTGTGACGCCGTTGCCCCGCTTCCCAAGCTCTCTCCCCTTCTCCCTGATCTCTTCTCCCCCCTTAATCTGACAAGGACTTTTCTAACGCGCTCCCCCTCCCCGATCCACAGACCTCGCCTTGCAATTCACTGGCCGAATCCGCACCAGCGAGTTTACAGTACTTCTCGTCATGACCATCATTTTCTCAGCTATCTTCTTCTGTTATGCCCTATTTCGCCTCTTCACGCTGGTTGCACGGCCGGAATCCCGCGACGGTAACCGCTCACGCTCACGGGGCGGGTTCGTCCCCGCGCAGCCGATCCGTGTCGTCCTAGCCCGTGATCATGAAGATCTCGAAGGGCAAACCGATAACCCTATGACCAGGGTAAAGCCGCCACCGTACGGTGCATGGCGGCAGAGCGTGGTACGTTCCCGATCCAGTTTGACTGTCTCGAGGACACCATTGTTGTATCTAGCTACAACAGATCTGGAAGTCATCTATTTTACTTGATTTTCGTTCGTACATTTTGGGACTAACTGAGACTCTTTTCACCTCGTATAGAGGATAGATCCGAACCGCTTCTTCTGGCAGCGCAACCCCGATATCCAGGGGGGCGACACGTCCCAATTGTCTCCCGAGAACAGGAACGGGTACCGGCCGCCTTCGTATGCGTCGGATGATGGCGTCAGCTACGTGGTGGACGCACGCCCTCGGTCCATGGCTCCTACTGCAGTCATGGATATACCACTGCCAGTTCACCAGCCGGAAGCGGGGAGAACAAACGGACGGCCAGCACCATGATGCGATGATAGGATGAAAAGGTTTTGTGGGGTTTTCAAGGCGGCCGCTTTAATATAACTGGGCATCGAAAACAGTCACCATCTCCTCGAGTTACAAGGCGGGGGCGGTCCTTCAGCGTTGAATCTGCGTCTACAGGCAGCTTATGCGAGAGAAACTCAGATTCCGTAATATTTAAGGGCATAAGAGCAACGCTATGCAACGCAGGGGTGCTATATATTATCCCGTCCGGACGGGATTTGTACCAGAGCTTCTCCCGGTAGACGGGGAGTGTGACAAGCAAATGTAGGATTAGATGGACGGGAAATTCAAATGAGACCTGTGAGCCTGCACGGTCGGGGAATACCACGGTAACAACTTGACGAGGCTGACGTCGACATTTAGTACTGGGAAAGGAGTTGAGAAGCGTTCGTATCCGAACGGGGCCGAAGTACGCAGTCGAAAGGTTGAGGATGTCTGCAGCAGATATAGAGTGAGCTTCAGTTTCAGAGACCGGAAAGAATAAGAAAAAGAAAAAAGTAAAAAGAAAAAAAACCTGCCAAAGGAGCAGCTCGAACATACCCACCAAGTCCAACAGACACTGCGACCTTGGGCTCTAGAGGCTTTCCGTCCACCCCGATAGCCTTTTTGATGTTGAAAGCCGCCATCAGAGTGGCCGTGAAGATGTAAACTGAGGCCAATGCGAGGAAGTTGCCTGGACATTTCCGCCTTCCGAAGCCAAAGTTGGCCGGTGGATAGGGTTCACCGCGAAGATACCGGTCCGGGTCGAAGACATGAGGATCTTGGTACACCGCTGGGTCGGTAAGTATGGCCGTGGCGTTGGCAAAGACGATGGAACCCTTGGGGATAAACATGCCGCGGTAAACGTCGTCCCGGAGGCTCTTGTGGGGGATGATAAGCGGGTTCAGGGGAAGACATCGCATCACCTCGTTGATGAAGCGTTCAAGGTAAGGGAGGTGTGGCCTGTCGTCAAAACCAGGAAGCCGACCTCTACCTACGACGAGGTCGAGCTCTTGTTGGATGCGGCGCTGTGTATCGGGATACTTCGTCAGGAAGAGGATGCAGCTCTGCACGGCGCTCCAGGTTGTGTTGCCGCCAGCAATGAAGATGGCACCGGTAGCGCCCTTGATATCCGCCAGTGTTAGCTCTTGTGCTATACCAGCTGACTGGTCTTTGACCAATCTTTCTATATGCGTCTTCATGAAGGAGGGAGCGGCCGTGCCCGCCTCTATGTCCTTCAAGTTGGCATTCCAAGGGTAGTCATGGACCGCTTGGATGACCGGCCTACTTCGACGTGCATGACGAAGTGACGGGGATATATTGATGCAGTCGGGCAGGTATCGTGCGAGGGGAAACAGATCGACAAGCGCTGAGCCAGGGGTGCCACCTCCTGTGGTGGCATCGTTGGCAGCGCGGGACAAGTCACAGTACGGAGAGTTCTTGTATTGGATCTCCTGGCCGAAAGCGATACGGAAGATGATACTGGTGCTCATGAGGAGGGTGATATCTTTCCAGTCGGCAGGATTCGAAAGCAAGGATCGAACGGCTTTGCGAGCCTCGAAGAGCTGGGCGGGGCGGAACACCTTGATGTTGGATGATGAAAATGTTTGGTGGAAGAGGCGGCGATGAAGTTTGCACCTCGAATCCCATCTAAGAAAGGTCAGAGTGAGACCCCATCCCATTCTAATTTTTTTTTTTTTTTGCAAGAGACGTCAGCATGGACGTTCCTTTGTCCTTTAGTCCAGAACGACATGGTCGTCGTCTAGGATATGAGCGTGAAGGCACATACACCTCGAAAAGTCTGAACCTCGGTCGGTCACAGTAGATGAATCCGCGGCGGTCAAGAAGATCAGTGGCGGCCTGAGCGCTGTTGAGGCAGATAATGTGCTGGCCAAGGACCTCGGTGTGGATGACATCGGAGCCTACCTTTGGGTGAGCGTTCTGCTCATGCAGAGACATTATGATTGTGATATACAACTGCACAAGGCCAACATACCGTACTCTTCCCCCCATCGCATATAGTCTATTTCTGGGCGTTCCGCGCTGACTTGTCCAAGATTGCCTACGAGGAGCTTCCCAGGCGGACCAGGAGGAAAGGGACACGAGGTCTTGCTTTTTGAACTGCGTCGAAAGGAGAGATACAGAACCCATAGCGCGAAGGCATAGGCCATTAAAGTCGGCGATAATCCTGCGACTAGTGACATAGTCGGTGACCAGTGAAGAAGTACGGGCACGGGACGAGAAGGATAGACTTCTAATCCGGATGAGGCTTTCAGGGGGGGCGGATGGGATGATCGCGAACGAAGGGCGATACGAGGTACCTCAATAAGACAAGGCCCTGAAGACGATATATGTATGACACTCCCTTTGCCATGGAGGAATCCGTGCTAGCAATACCTTTTCCACAGGTGAAGCCAAGGAAGTCACTGGGGGTCAGAAGACCTTCCTTGTGTCTGGAAACCAAGAGGATCCAGAGGTAAGACCGACCAGGCCTGAACCTTCCTGCACATTGTCAGCATGATGTGATTCGAATACTATGAGTGCAGGACGACGAGATAAAAGGGGTGGGGGTGCAATGAAAGGGGGTTGGATCTGGAAGGAGAGCCAAAGTACCGGACCGCACTGATGGGAAGGATGGTTAAGGAGGCTGAGTGACTTGGAGTAGGGGATGATTACGAAAAAGGTTAGATGAGGGGCACATGACAAGGCCGGCGGGTAGATGACATTTTGGCTACCTACGGAATTCTTGAGCCCAAGCGGGCCCATATCCATACGACTAGGCCTGGGTAGGCTTATTTACTATCCGTAGTCCGCCCAGGGCGAATACTTCAAGTACCTTGAGATGCGGTATTCACATTTATTAAGTGAGGTACTCGGTTAAAAACACCCGAGGTATTAACTACGGGGTAGGAGGAAGCACGAGGGTGGAGGAGGTGGAGGGATAAGAAGATAGAATCGTGGTAAACCATACCAGGACTGCTAGTGATAGGGAAGAAGCCAGCCTCAGCTTTCGATATCTAGCTTCCTCCACAACTCTTGATAGTGGAGCCGGACTGGTGTAGGATATATCTTGCAAGTCTGGGGCCCCGAAAGAATGGCCGCGAGGACATATCGTCTCGCGTCCGGCGGCACTGTAGCTGGCATGTACGAAAGGACAGGGCGAATGGGTCATGATATCTGCTGGGCTTATACATACTTGCATATTCACCTTGCATATACGACCTACACCACCTTGGGTTGTGTTTACAGTCATCCCTATAGGTGCGCAGATCGGACCCAAGGGTGAGGTTTGACGTCGTGGATGATGGGACCCGTGTCATGCATCTCACATTGAGATGCGGCGTCGATTCTCCTGGCCTATCCACCTCGGTATCTAGATTCTACCGTTGCCATGGCTTACATTTTGGTGGCGTTTCTGATCTAGCCTACCGTTACCCACATAGACGTTTGTCATACTTGGAGTCTATGGAATCTGGTTTTCCTTAAGTCTCCTTCAACGTTCAAATCGCAAGTCTCTTACATCACGAGTAAGCTTCTTGCCTAGTGGGGCCCTAATATATTTGCCATTCTCATGACGCCGTGTATAAACCGGGGATTCATGATCAGCCAACGATGGATCTTAAGCAGCTCTAGGGGAGATCCACTAGCCGAGGGCCGGTTGTATCGAATCCAAAATAACAAGAACTACAATAGAGGTGACGCGATTCCGAGTAACAGGGACGGTGTAACCCACCTAACCGAGGCGGGGACATGTAACCCTCATGACTCGAGGTTGGATGGCTACTACCCAGGAATGACTACCTTGGTCGTATGTAGGGCGAGGGAAGGCGATGCTTGCTAGGAAGGAAGGAAGCTAGGTACGGTAGGTAGGAAGGTAGGTGGGTTGGGTGTCCCTTCCTCGAACAGCACTGGAACAACATCCGGTAGGTATTTCATCGTGACCTCTTATCATTGCTATTTCCCACTCACTTTCGACCATTGCGAATACAACCCACGCATGACGTACGGCAATTGCAATTCCGAACGCTACAAGGTACCGACGTTCAACGAAGAAAGCACTGTTCCCTGCTTACCCCGTATGTGGAGCAAGTATCTCAAGGGCCCCCTCCCCCCTCTCACCTTCCTGTTGCAATCGCACCAACGAATAAGACCGTTGGTCGCTTTGGTCTTGCTGGTCTGGTGTGGGCAGAAACACTGATACGTCCACGTAGCAAATGTGTATGGTAAGGTAAGGTAAGGTAAGGTAAGGTAAGGTATTCGGCATTATCCATCGAGGACTCTTATCCATCCCCCATTCTCCCATCCATCACGGCCACCAGACCCCGTCCTGCTGCCCTCGCCCTGCCGCCCCCTCTCTGCATCTCATATGGCCCTCCCACCATCTTTTCCTCGCCCCTCTCCTCTGTTATCCATCTCCATCTTTCTCCCGGGCGGGACGGCTAGAGCGGAACGGCCAGGGCGGGAAGGTCGTTACCTTATAGCTCGGGGCGTATCATCGAGAATGCCCCGTGGCATGAGCCTGGCTTGACTCGGAGCCACGAGAATACCCCTCGCTACCGTCGGCTGACTCGACGAGGCATATAGGTACCCTTCGGATGACGACTTCAAGGCCATTCCCCATCCACCCTCCACAGACTCCAATATATCACAGACAGGCGAGGGGCATGCCGTACTTTTCAACGGTCCGCGTGCATGATCGATCATTGGCGCCAACCCAAGGCGTGTAGGAATATCTGAACGCCCGGCCGATTACGCGCCAACACCTTTTTTTTTTCTTTTTTCTTTTTTTTTTCTCCTTTTCCCCCCTTCCCCCCCTTTTCCCCCCACTCTTTCTTTGCTTTCTTTCGGTCCTGTTCAAGATCACGTCGCCCCTGGAGTCCCAAGGCTCTGGCACCCGGGGCCTCGCAAACGCAATGTTGGAGCCCAAACTTTTGGATCTGGGGGGTTGTTTTTGGCCATACTTCTGCAGCTGCATCGCTTCCACCATCGTGCGCACCATCACCGTCAACTGCAGAATCTGGCCCCCAATCCCTGCATCCCAATGGTCACGAGTTCCTCTTGCCATTGAAAGGAATTCGACGACCCTTGTCTCTGCCGACTGCGACAGTATATCTTCTTTCGTGCCGTTCCCACGTGGAGTATGATATCTGTGTTGCGCCCTTGCGCCTGGATGTCGCCCCATCATGTGTGTGACATGCATCCAATCCATGCATGTGGTACGGAGTACATTCGAAGGGGAACACGTCCTCCGCTTATCCACACAACCTACCTCGTACTGGCAGAACTCCGTCACGTGGGTTTGTGGGACTTGCGAATGGCAGTGGCCCACTACCTTAGGTATTGTGGATGGGTAGCACTCGGCACAAAGTTGGTTACCGACGACGTGTGTATTCCGTACGGAGTACATACATCGCATGAGGTCAGGCGGCGTCGTGATATCGACGTGGGGTTGGCTGAGCCTTGTCAGTTCCTCGCCTTTCGACGTCCCGTCCCGATATCTGATTTTCGGCCGCGACCTGCATGCCAATCTTGCATCGAAAGGAGCTCCAGGGGCCCGGAGTGTTTGAGTGTTATTGTCGGGCTCGACTGTGCCTCGGGTGTCTCAATCTTCCTTCGAGTCTCCGGGGTTGCAGGTATTGAGGCCTTTCGTCATCATCATCGGTTGGACGGCTAGGATCTGGCTGTGCTTTTCTGTCGAATGTCGAACTGTACTGACGCTGACACTGACAGCAGAGCTTCTACGCTCTTTACTGTGTTGCTCTCTGCAAAGTTTAATGCCCCGTATAGAGTAGCTAGCTGTCGATGCGTGGTTTGCTGCTTGCCATCTCGATGAAGACCGGAACTGACCCGCTTATCTTATTCCACCCACGCTGTCTCATCGGCTTCGAAACAAAAAGGAGACCACTACGAACATCTGTCCCCTGTCATTCCGCTTCCCCCCACATGCACCCCTGTTTCTGTCGTGGCGCAAAGCCAACGAGCTTCACTCGCTTCGAATCAACGGCGACGCGAGATGCAGCCAAAAAAGTGCGTGCATTAATTAATTCATGACGAATATCCGCACGAAGGACGGAGAACAAATGGCTTGTGTATCCGTACAAAAGTACGGATACGTACGCACCGCACTCAACCCTGCCTGCCTGTCAACCCCTGCCCCCATTCCATCTCGGCTCAAGCCGCCTTAAGCGAGCGAACTGAGTGTCCAAATGGTTCCCTAAGGTGTCTATTCAGCCAATTATGACCTTTCTGCCGCTTGCTGGGACACGTTCTTGGCCGCGCTTCTCTTCGTCGGGTGGGCTGTGTGTTGGGTTGCCCCGGGCTCAGTTTTGCTGCGTGTCCCCCCACTTCTCTCTATTCATACCAACTTCTTGACCCACGAGTTCTCCATTGAACGCAAGTCCGAGTCCGAGAAACCCACCGCCCACCGGCAAGGAGATGGACCTTGACGAGGACGTCGACCCAAAGCCGAATCCCGCAACGCTCGACTTCAACAGCACCCGGAGTGCCAGTTACGATGCTGGGCTGATTCACACCCCCGAAGCTGCCGAGCCGGGCGAAATCGGAGTGACGCCTGGAAGCCAGAACGACGGTGCTAAACCTCCCATCCGGCGCAGAGCTCCCATCGCTTGTCGGAGGTGTGTTTGTCCCTCCCTCCCTGCTCTTACTTTCGTAGTCTTTCTCTCTCTCTCTCTCTCTCTCTCTCTCTCTCTCTCTCTGTGTGTGTGTGTGTGTGTGCCCGACTGGACGGGAGACGAATCACTAGTATTGTATTCCGCTTAAGTGTGCTGAGACAAAAAATCGGCCAGATGCCGTCGCCTGAGGAGCAAATGCATTCATGAGAAGGCCAGCCCGCCGTGTAAAGCGTGTGAAGAAGCAGGGCTGGGTCCTGCCGATTGGTAACTTGCCTCCTCTACCACACTTTGCCCTCTCTCCTCGCCAGGCCCATGCTCAACTGCTCTGACTGGCACCCATCATCAGCGTTTTCCCAGCTCGCGGTCAGCCTGACCATGATCGTCAGTACCGCCATCCCCGAACGAGGGTGGAAAAGACAGCCAAGCGAGACCCGAATAAGGTCCGGCGTGACGTCTTGGATGCGCCCATCTCACGTCAACCCACAGCACCTCCTACATGGCCGCAGCCTGCCGACGACTGGGATCTTCTCCCACCATTACCGGAGGTCATCGATGCCGTCCGCCTCTTCACGCGGAAGTACTTCCAGCTGGGCTTTATTCCGAAGGACCTCTTCCCGCAGCGTCTTCACCGGGATCACCGCTCTGTCAGCGTGTTTCTTATCCTTAGCATCCTGAGCATCTCGGCCCGGTTCTCACCGTCGCTCGCCAAGCGATATGAGGGAGAGATCAAAGCTGCAGATTATTTCATGGAACAGGCCAGCGGCCTGGCCTTGAGGGAACTGTATCAGGAGCCGACGCTTGAGAGGTGCCAGGCCTTTTATCTCTTGAGCATTGCGCAGCAGGGTAGCGGCTACCGAAACAAGAGTTATGTGAGCATGTCCTGTCGTCCCGCCTCACCCGAAGATCCTATCACGACTGACTATGAAGTAAGATTAACTTGGGTATCGCGACGAGATTGGCCCTGTTGATGCATCTTCACAGGGAAGAGACTTACGTACTATCTAACAACGCAACCAAGGAGGAAATTATTAATGCGGAGTCTGCCCGTCGGACCTTGGTGAGTCTTGGGGAACTACTGCCAACTTGGTCTGGGCTGAGCTAACCAACCATATGGTGAAGTGGATGCTTCATAGTTAGTAGCCCGGGAACCGTGTCTGAGGCCATGTAAGATGCAGGAAACGCAACTGACGTGTTTCAAGGCCAGGACAATTTGCACTGCGGAACAAAGTCTCCTACATCGCTTGCTGCCAGCGACATCACTTGCCTGCTTCCGTGTGCCGAGGAAGAATTTGCGGATGGACGACAGCCTCGGTACCGCGCTGCCCTGGAGGATACCCCCCCAGCGCGTGACGACGAAAGACTTATCCACCAGCCGAATCGCTCTTTATTTGCGACCTTGATTCAGGCACATTACTACTGGGGGAAAGTGGCCAGGGAAGCCACCGTATCAGCTAAAAGTCCTGCTCCATGGGAAGATTCCAGCGACTTCGCCGTTATGGCCCGAAAGCTGGAAGTGTGGGAACAGAAGCTCCCAGCAGGCCATCGCTGGAATCACGATCTTCTGCTGGAATACAAGGAAGCTGGTGAAGACCTGGTAAGAAGACCCAACTCACTCAGTGTGCGAACACTTCCTTCTTACACATGTCAGTCCTAACAAAAGCTACCTTAGGCTTACATGAATGTCACTATGATGACCAAGCTATGCAACATCGTCTTGCGAAGACCATATCTCGACGAGTACGCCTCTTGCCCTTACCCCTCCCCCCTTAGCCTACGGAAATGGCCGAATAAGTTAACGAGCTCACCTCACCCCATAGAGTCATTCATCCTAACGTCGAGGACCCCCAACGTCGTTTCTTTTTTGCGCACATGTCTGACGATCTCTTTCGCAATGTCCGTGATCTATACCAGCAGATCAATGTCCACTTCTCGGCACATGGGAAGGACAAGAGCGTTGGGGCTCAAATTGCTGTTCGTCTTATACCCCAGCCCCCTTTTTGCTTCCCCCTCTCTCTTTTGAGCATAACATGCATGGTAGACGATCGCACTAACGAGTTGCAGTCGTTCTGCGTGTACAGCTGTGGGTTATTCTCGACGTATCTGTGCAAGTATAAGAAACAAAGTATGTTCGCATCCCACGTTCTGAGATGGAAAAGTCGGATGATTGACTCGGTCAAGTTTGCTCCGATATGTCTATTATCAGGGAAGGCCCCAACATGCTTCAGCGTTGCATGAGCATTCTCATAGATTCCAAAGAGGTCTGGCCCCTTGCGTCAAGGTGGCTTGAGTCACTGGAACAGTTCTCCAGAGACCCCAAAGCGGCTGTCATGAGCCTGGAGCGCGGAATGGCTGATGGCGTACGTGATAATTGCACCGCATGATCCCTTTGTCCATGATCCGGACTCTCCCTTTCTCCTCCCAGATCCCCCAGGGGGCCCTCTACCTTTGCACAGCTAACGTCGGACTCTTCAGAATGACCGTGCTCTGCGTTCGATCCGGACAATACAAACCTCGTCATTCTCTAGGGACTCCGTCATACCGCCTTTGGCCTCTGATTTAGCCACACTTGGATATCCTAGCCAACCCTCACTACGACGCAGCTCACACGTCGAATCCGACGCCTCTTCTAATCTGCGCTCTTCCTCACCATACCTGCACCCAACGCTGTCTGATTCAGCCGTCTCTATTAGCAAGTTGAATGGGCAACAACATACCTCCCCTTCCACTACCATGCCGGCGGAACATCAGAGACATTTATTACATTCGGGCCCAATGTCCCTTCCCCAACCTCGCCAGGATTTACATGGCATAACAAATCAACCATCAACGTCCCAACAACTCCCTGCACCGCGGCAGGAGCAGCTTTATTATTCCGTTCAAACGTCTCAACATTCCCAGCCGTCCTATCCTTCGCAAATGTATCCAACGCAGCATGCAACCTGCGCTCAACCTCAACCGTTTCCCATTAGTATGCTTGTTCAGCCTCCTTTTGACCAATCCAACCAACAACACCCTAGGCCCTCTCAGCAGACGGTACAGACTCTGCAAGCTTTCTCTCCTCACCCGAATGCGGTCCCTATGACCCATGCAGCGAACCCGAATTCACTCGCTATTTCCCAATTGCAACAACACGGTCATCAATATGACGCAACGCCGAGCTCCTGGGGTGTCCCAGCCACCTCCACTTTGACCACGCTCGGCCCAGGTACTGACGGCTTCGAAACCGAGCTGGTGAAATGGTCCGGCGAGGGCGCCGAAGCGGGAAATTGGGCAACCCATGGAGTCGGGATGATTTCGTACTGAAGGCCGTGTACTATAAAGTAGGGGCTATCCGAGCTATTTTCTATCCTGCGCAACTCTCGCGTCTAACAAGCCGGAGTTAGGGCGTTCGAACGTTCTTGCTGGAAATTCATAGGTCGACTATTTTTATATTGACTCCACGCATACTTAATGGGCGGGCCATCTGAGCGCAGTCGCGTAGGAGACCCATGCCTTTACTAGATACCCAAAATCCAGATCTCGAGGTTCTCGAGCCATTCTCGCCGTGTTCGTCACATTTAGCTGCTTGATGACGGCTCCGCATTTTCGTTTCCCTCTTCTGCTTAATGATTATCCGCCCTTACGCATGCATTTCAGGTTTCAAGCCGGGCAAAAGAAAGACACGAAGGTGCCCGTAATACTAATACGGGAAAAACATACGAGGGTGGCGCAAGTTGGGAGAAGGGGGATAATGCATTGGATTTCTCTTGGTTGCTGACTGCTACATTTCTCGGGCCACTTGGCTCCTGAGAATATCATATCGCCTTTGTGGCAGCAATGGTGTGTGTGGTTGTCGCTACGGTACTGCTTGGTCGTGCTGTCTCGGGGTTTCTCTTCCTCCTCTTCTTCCTCCTCCTCTCGGGCATGCAGAGCCCGTTTCGTTTGCTTCTGTTTCCCCAAGACTTCTCCCGGATGGGCCAATCCCCTGTAGGACTTGCGCCGTGGGAATTCATCAACATCAACTTCTTGTTCGTCATCAGCCCCATTCTCCTTCGCATGCCCCGATTGTGCGAGACGCACAACCTTCGAAGTACTCGGGTCTAGGGAGACCCGACGCCCTTGCTGCTTGCTCCTCCCTCTCCCCCACGCCCCTTGGAAGAAGTCGCTCACTTGAGCGGACCAAAGGAACTGTGACTGATAGGGCGGGGGACCAGGTCCGCACCCCAGTTTGACGGTCGGCGCGTCTCTCCCCTGTGTACTCCCACTGCACGCCATGGGCTGTTTCCCAATCCGTTCCGGTCATTTCGTCTTAGCCCCTGCCCCGGTGAAAACTCCCAACGAGTTGAAACTCGCCCACAGGAGATAACTCCGTCTACATGACTTTTGATTGCCTTAGCTGGAGAGACCAGTGCGGCGTACATGAAAAAAAAAATCCTCACTTCTCCTCTATGCCGTTCGTTCGTGGACAAAAAAGATATGAAGATACAACCAAAAGAGTTAAGAGTGACTGGGGTTATGCGTGGTGAAGTGTCATGTAAAAGGGGAAGTAAATGTGCTGGGGTATGGTGAAAGTAGGATTATCTGGGGCTGGTCTGCAAGAATCTATATACACTTGAGTGTATTCCTCGCTGTCCGATACTTGTGCTGTGTGATGTGGCGTCAAAGGTTGTGCTGCGTGAAGTGTCGTGGATTAGGGGGGGGGGAGGGGGCGCGTCGGGTTTGTTGTGCGTCAAGACACAGACTCGCTACTGCCGGAGAAGGCAGATTTAGGAAACCCCAACAGAATGGAGCTGGCTGCTTCCGGAAACCATGCTGTGACCGGGACCGCAATGTTATCGCACGGTCAGTAGCCGTAGGATAACACGGATTGATGAGTGACCCTTTAGGTCTATGCCATGACATTGGCAGAGCCGCCAAGTTGCCGCTTGACCTGTTCCCGCGCCCAGCGGGCCGTTTCGATGGTCCGCGGCTGGAATTCCCGGTTTGCCTTGGTCTCCTTAATCAAGGCGGTGAGCCAATCTTGACGGAAGACGTCCACAAGTTCGCCGTTCGGGTACGCATCGGCCAGATCGCTAGAACAAGAGGTGTCAGCACATGTCAAGACGGCAGCAATCATGTCCAAGAGAGACTTACCCAATAACGCCCATCGAAGCACGCAACAAGGCCTCGCTGCGGTTCGGATCGCCCGCAATTGTGTTAAGCAGCTGGAAAATAGAGGGGATGTATTGCTGCAGGACAGATGCTATCATCTAGTTAGCACCAATCTTACACAGGGATGCTAGTCGAAAAGTTAGGCAGGGGTGGAAGTCTTACTCTTGCCACTGGTCTTCATAGCGCCAATAATGCCTCCCCAGGCGTCCATAATGCCTTCCCTGAGGGAAACGACATAGTCAAACATCTCGAAAGGACCGTCTGCAGTGGTGGTAACCGTAGATGCTTGCTGTAGGACCTGGGCAATCACTGCGAGGTAGGCCTCGAAGTGGCCGCCGATGGCGCCGGCAATGTCACCGAAGCACTGCAGAATAGCCGGCTTGAACTGGTTGGAAAGAGCGGGGCTCTGTCATTGATGTTAGCACGAGCAAGACGTAAAGGGGGGGGAAACAAAAGAAAAGGACACGAGGACGGCTGCAAGGGTGAGCCAATAGGGGCGGAGCAGGACCAACCTTTAGGTTGTTCAGCAAGTGGTTCATGAAGTTGTCGCAATACGGTTGGCTCAACTCGCCTAGAGACCGGGTCAGGTCGCTGACAAGGCCGATAGCCATGGCACAAAGGGCCGGCTCCTCCTGGTTGGCCAGAGCATCGTACAGATAAGGCGTAAAGGCGCCCATGTACTTGTTGAAGTCCTCCTCCATGGCGTTGGCGAGAGCACTGATGGCAGCAAAGACAGCATCTGGAACGGTGGACTTGCCGCCCACGGAGCGCAAGATACCGAGAAGGGTCTCCATGATGCGGTCACCCTGCGGGATGATCTCCTTGTCTAGTCTTTGAATAGTGGCTTGAAGGACGGTGCACAGGCTGCTCTGCATCTCTTCGAGCATGATCTTATCCTCCACACTCACAACCTGGCTCTGCATGGGCACCGTATTCTGCAGGCGCTCGAGAATGACGTCGGAGAGAGAGGCAACAGGGCGCAGGCTCTCAGTAGCGGAATTCTGGACAAAGACGTTGAGGACCTCATAGGCGGCAGTACGGACATAAGAGTCGCAATCGGGACGGGCGGTGAGGGCGAGCAGGTTAGTCACACTCGTGTTGAAGTGGGGAGTCATAGCATTCTGCGGCGCATCCAGGTCTCCCGAGAAGCGTTCGGCCAAGTTCATCAGGGCCCAGCAGCACGAGGATGCTATCTTCGAGCTGCTCATGAGCCCGTTGAACAGGGACCGGACAAGCGGGTCAAGATGCGTAGCGGGGTCGATCGCATCCGAAATGCTCTCGGTAATGCGGCCGAGAGCATACGCGGTCGAGTCCTTCACCTGCAAGGAATTGTCCTCCATCATGCCGATAAGGATGGGCAGGGCCTGCTTGACGATGGGATCAAGCGTCTTCTCGTCCGGGCCATCCATTATGGCACCAAAGGCAGAGACGGCGGCGTCCCGATTGTGCCAGTCCTCGTTACGGAGGTTCGCCTCAACAAACTGCAGAACCGGCTGGATGATGGCACTACCCACAGCCTGGGCATACAGCGACAAGCACTGGTAGGCGGCACGGCTGAGGTTGTACTCGTCGTCGGTGGCGTCCTCGTCCTGTTTGGTCAGGAGCAGCAGCAACACGGGCACGACTTCGTTGGCTGCAACGCGGGCGAAGTTATAGAACGGGCGCATCTGGTCGGAGCTCTCAACCTACACGTGCAAGCGACTACATTAGTATAGGACCGGGGCAAGAAAGGGGAGCCGACGAGGGGGCTGAAAGCATACCTGTGCGTTGTCGTCCTCGATGCCAATCTCTTCCTCGCAGACGGTGCTCCAAAACTCAACAGCCAACTTGGCCACGTCCTCATCGTCGGACTTCATGCCGAGGATGGTCAAGCCGAAGAGGGCCTTCTCCATGTAAAACCGCATGTTATCATAGTACAGAGCCATGATACGATTCAAGCAGCCGAAAGCACCTTGTTGTATCCGAGAATCGTCCGCCTGGGTGGCTTCACAGACCACCTGCATGATGTAGTTCCGCTCGCCTTCATGCTTGAAGTTGTTTCCAACAAACTCGAGGGAGTCTCCCAACGCGGTGATAGCGGCCAGTCGAACCTCGACATTGGCCTCCTCCTTGCGAGCGCCCTGAACGACAGCGGTCAAGATGGCGTTGGACTGGGTGATGAGAGAGGCACGCAATTCCGGGTCCTGGCTCTCGCAGATGTAACCGATGGTTGTAAGCGAAGACTGCTTCTGGTGCTCTGCGCCGTCGCTGACGTTCTTGACCAGTATACCCATAAGCTCCGGCCATTCGTTCCGGGGTAGCTCGATGGCAGCGATGGACGAGATGACTTGGGCGGCGGCGTGGCCAGCCTGGGAGTTGGACGATGAAAGTGTTTGTAGAGTCAGGTTCTTGACTTGGGTCTTCGTCTCGGTATCGGTACCCTGAAGCCATTTTGCCTGGAGCTCCTGATGCCTGACAAAATCCCTTGCTGTGAATGCGTTTTTAAGTGCGAGACCGGCAGCGGCTCGAATCGAGCCTTGCGCGCTCTCATTGGCAAGCTCTTGTACTAGAGTGGCGAGATATAGAGGCTGTGAGGAGGCAGGAGGGAAGAGCCGGGTCGTTAGCAGGCCAGTTCGGCAAGAGAAGGAAAAAGGGAAGAGGGGGGAGAGAAATGAAGTATGGGGAGGGTAGCTTACAAAATTGTTTTCCGCAGCTTGTGTGAGTTGATGTTCGGCAGCCTGGCGCAGGTTCGCGTCTGGGAAGCAAAAATGTCAGCCATCTATCGTGACATATCGACAAGGAGTACCAGAGGAGAGGGCAGGAACAAGGGAAGATGGATCGTGAATTCATTTGAGCAAAGGAACACGACGCCACTCGAGAGCAGCCAAGGGGCCGGGATGGATGTGTTCTCAAACTTACCAGGTGACAGCGAATTGGCCAAGACTTGATTGATCTCTGAGCTGGCCATGATTGGGACGGGAATCGATGGTCCGGGGGAGGAGGGAAGGTGGGTGGTGTAGGAAGTCGAGGTGGGAGGTAATCGGCAGTGGTGATGAAAGGAAGAGGGAGGGTAAGGTAGATTGTAGACCCAGCTGCACGTGCAAGAAAAAAATAGGGGGGGGAATGGGAAATGTCAAAGGAAAAACGCGGGGGAGTTTTGCTGAAATGAAAATAAGGCGCTCCGCAGGGCAAAGGAGAGTTGAGAAAAATAGCCAGGACCCAGAAAAATCCGCCCCCTTGAGGTTCTGGTCTGTCTTAATTCTTTATTAGCTGCTCTCTTCCACTGCTCTACTTTGGTTTGTTTTTATGTGTGTGGGCGGTCACCAAATGCAAAAAAGGAGGAAGTTGCAGAGAGCGGTGAGGCACAGGCAGCCGAGACCGGGATAGAATACCTACAGTTGGCGGGGGAGAAGAGCAAATGCAATGTACGAAGTAAGAGGAATGACCGGTATTGCTTAAAAAGGAGAGGTTAAGGTTGTATGGATACGTACCGTACCTAGGTAGTTACGGTAGGAAGTGGGAGTGAGAAAAAGCGACTTGTTGATTGCCGTCTCAGAGTTTGATCGTACTGTGTCTGTACTTCGTACTAGAGCATCCTCGGGGAACCACCAGTTCAGCGATGTTGCTACAGGGAACACTGTAAATGCCGGCGGTCCCCTACGGAGTACGAAGTACTTGGTTATTACAAGTCGTAATAGTGGTTTGGTCCCGTACACAAGGTACTCATGCGTACACAAGGGTGCAGGTGCAGAGAGGTCTGGTTGTGGAGTACTATTGATTACGAAGTACACGTCGTTTAAGGGAAACTCCTTCCTCTTTCACCATTATTCAGTGGTTTCCAGTCCCTATAAGGGTATTGAGAGGGTATTGATTCATATCTCGGGACCCAATGCCATGAAGATACAGAAGATAATAGATATAACGCAGGAAGTACGGAGTAATACATGCCTCTCCTGTTTGCACTTCTTTTACTTCTTTCTGGGCGTTGCTGGGTCAGTTGCTAAGGTAGGCTACCTAAGGTGAGCTAAGGCTATTCTATTGGGAACCCCGCTGTGGGACGCATCCGCAATGATATGATGCTATTCGAACCAAAAACCCGACGAATACGTCTATGGACCCCACGAAATGCCACACTGTGTTTACTCACCAAAACTCGTTCCCACGAACTAGCAGTTTGCCTTTTGGAAGTGCGGATAGACGACGTCGATACTTCGTACCTATATACAAAGGCGATCCGAAGAATTGTTGTCGCCGAGTGGTTATCGGTTACGTCGGGGCTTTCTGATAACTGCTACGCCCTGTTGTTGGCCACCTCGGTAACCCAATGTCTGATCCTCTATTCGACCTTCTCCCCCAAGACGATAAGACTTCCACTGGTTCCCCTCCTACTTCTTCGTGCATCCGTACTCGAGAGAGCTGTCGAGTTTCCCGAGCTTCTGGTTCCCTTGGCTGGCTTTATACTGATGCTAGAGGTTGAACTTGATACAGCGCCGAGCCGCCCCGCTACATACCTACCCGGGTTTGGGGGGGTATAGGACAGAGCCCGATAACTGGTCAATCTGTCAACAGTATTAGAACATCATGTCGACAGAAATTTCTCTGTCCTGGCTCTGGTCAGAGCAAAAGTCTCTGTCCGAGCTCTGACCTAGAAACCCCCCCTCCCGGGTAGGTAGCCCTTACATCAGCGAACGCCCAGCTGTAGTCGCAATAAAGGCACCATAGTACTTCGTATAATAGTGGTTAGGTAATCACAGAAAGTCCAGTTGGCTTGTGTTACGTTTATGGGTTCGTTCGTCCACCCTTCTCGACTGGTTTGCAGGAAATTATACATTCATATGTCGTTCGTACAAGCAAGCGCACAATACTACTCCGCAGTGAGGTTCGAAAAGGCCACAACGCTACAAATTAGTTTCTTGCCTTGCCCAGCCCTTTCGAGTTCGAGTCTCCAGGTATGGCATCTGCATTCTACCCGTTGTCGAGATGGCCACATGCCTGCCTAAATTGTTCCAATGAACAAGCGGCGAGGAAACCATCCCCTTCTTTGATGCAATCCATACTTTTCTTTCCCACGATCCGGCCTTTGTAAATGGACAGTCCTTCGCGCATGTCTTTCTTTTCTTTGTCTCCTTTAATTCATCAAAACCGTTAGAGCTAGATTACATGCCGTTCGCCTTCTCCTCCAGCGTGGCGATCAAACCATTCGCTTCTTGAGGAGCAACTGCCGCCTCATTGACGCCGCTAGGGCGGGTATTGTTCGGATCCAGTTGCTTGCTGGAGGTACCGGCCGACAAGGGTCTAGATGGTATAGGGCTTCCTGGTCGGCTGGCGACGAACTGCGAGCAGGAAAACACAGTGTCAGCATACATTCTCATCCTCAGATTCTTTTTGTATAAGAGAGAGAGAGAGAGAGAGAGAGAGAGAGAGAGAGAGAGAGAGAGAGTGTGTGTGTGTGTGTGTGTGTGTGTGAAGAAGGAGGGCGGGAGAGACAGAAGAGGGACAGGTAAACAAAGGAAGAATGGTACTCACGTTGCTGGCAGCACTCAGCAGAGCGATCAGAGAGCTCTGCACAACGTCCTCATGGATGCCAATACCCCAGAATTTCTGCTTGGCCGGTCCGACAGTGCATTCTATGTACGTGGCGGCCTTGACGTTCCGTCCTTCGCCGATCGCATGTTCCTTGTAGTCGTTGACGTCGATATCTAGTCCGACGCCCTTCAGCGCGTCGGCCAGACTGGAGATCGGGCCATTGCCACGACCTTTCAGCTTGTACTCCCGCCCATCAATAGCAATCACACCCTCGAATACCCGCATGAGGTTCTTGGTGTCTTGCGTTTTGCCCGGCTCCGGCGGCGCAGGGGATCGCGACCGGTCAGGGTTGATGGCGTAGTCGACGAGGGTGAACCGGGGGTTGTCTCGCAGGAAATACGTCTTCTCGAAGAGGTCCGTGATCTCGGCCGAGAGAAGCTCTCTGCCCAGCTCGTCCGCCCGCCTCTGAACCACGTTGGAGAAGGCGACTTGCAAACCGCGTGGCAGGTCGAGCTGCAGCTTCCGCAGGATGATCCAGGCGGCACCGCCTTTGCCGCTCTGAGAGTTGACGCGGATGATGGCTTCGTATGTCCGGCCGATATCCTCGGGATCGAGCGGTAGATAAGGGATCTGCCAATGGTCCTCGAATCCCTTGCCCTCCTTCTCTCGCTTCTGAAAGCCCTTCTTGATGGCATCCTGGTGGGAGCCAGAGAAAGCACAAACCACCAGTGAGCCGCCGTAAGGCGCGCGTGGATGTACCGGGATTTTGTTGCAGACCTCGACCATATCGATGACCCCGTTCAGGTCGGAGAAGTCGACGTTGGGATGTATACCCTGGGTGTACAGGTTCAGGGCCAAAGTGACCAGATCTACATTACCCGTGCGCTCTCCGTTGCCAAAGAGGCATCCCTCAACGCGGTCCGCGCCGGCCATTTGGGCGAGCTCAGCCGCCGCCACCGCGCAGCCGCGATCGTTGTGGGGGTGGAGAGAGACGCAAATCTTCTCGCGCTCGGTGATGTTCCGGCAGAAGTACTCAATGTGGTCGGCGTAGACGTTGGGAGTCGACATTTCCACGGTGGCCGGAAGATTGAAGATGATGGGATTCTCCTCCGTCGGTCCCCATGCATTCTTCACGGCTTCACAAATCTGCACGGCGAACTGGGCATCGGTGTCGGAGAAGGTTTCGGGACTGAACTCGAATTGCCAGTTTGTGCCGGCCTGTTGGGGATCGTCCTTGGTCAGAGACCTGACGAGCTTGGTGCAGCGAACGGCAAGTTCCAGGCTCTCTTCTTCTGAAAAGTTGAAGACGATCCTCCGGAAGCACTCGCTGGTGGCGAGATAGATGTGGATGATGGCATTTTTCGCGCCTTTCACTGATTCGACGGTGCGGCGGATGAGGTCCTCTCGGCAGGGGGACAGGACCTGAAGATAGACGTCGTCGGGGACGGCGCCGGGGGTCTCAATAAGACGTCGCGTAAAGTCGAAGTCCGTTTGGGAGGCCGAGGGGAAGGACACTTCGATCTCCTTATAGCCCAGCTCGCAGAGCATTTTGAAGTAGCGCCATTTCTCGTCACCGTTCTAACGGATCCAAAAAGACTCATGTTAGTCCAAAGAGTCAAGAAACACCGTGGGAATGCCGCGCAGGATATACGTGCCATGGGGTCAACCAAACTCTGGTTGCCGTCCCGTAGGTCTGTGGACAGCCATCGTGGGGCCTTATCGATTGTCTTGGAGGGCCATTGGCGGTCGGGGAGGTGCAGAGTAGGGAACTTTCTGTATTTCTTCCAAGGTTCTTTGAGCCTAAAAAAAGCAGGGAGAAGACACTGGCGTCAGATCTCGGCCCAACACTCAATAATTTGGCGTGAAGGGAAGGGACTGGGAGTTAATCATGGCCATGGGCAGCCAACTTACATCGGCATCTTTGTGCGAGGCGGGGCAACACGAACTCCTTGTACCGAGGGCGTGTGGTATCGTGGGGGGATTCGAGGTGGACGGATATGGCCGTCACAAGTGAAACGGTAAACAAGGGAGGTCAGGTCGAGGGAGAAGAAAAATAAATTGCCAATTGGACAAACGACGAGGAGAGAACTGAACTTTTCAATGCCGTACTCAGTACGGTTAAGTATGATGGGTACCTTTTAGGTAGGTAGGGAAAAAAGTTGACTCACTTCTTCTACCTTACCCCAAGTCTCGGTAAAGTCAAAGAACCCCTCCACGTCTCTTGGCCGTTAATCGGACCTGGCGGGGCACCGCTGACCGACCATACAGACGTCGACTGCCAACCGTGGATTGCCGCTCACACCTCGCCATATCAGGTTGTCTTCTAATTTTTTTTTGGATTCCTTGGATTTTATTCGATAACTATTAGCTTCTACACGTATCCATACAGAGAATAGCACGATGCAAGCCGAGATGGGCCATGTACATAGGTGGGGCAGTGACTGTACTATACTTCCTATTGTATCAGCACCAAGGGCGTGGCGCGCCCTTGTAACGGCTTTGGGCAGAGTGGTGGTTTGGTGGCGGGAAAGACCCGAGTCATGGCAGCGTGGCAGCATTCTCAACTACCTTAGCCACTTACGATCCCCGCGTGTAAAGTAACGAGTTCTCATATCCAACACCATCAATTCTCGATATACAGGGCTCATGTCTATATCTCCCTTCTGAACTCAAACCAATGCAGGAGAAAAGAAAATCCCCGAAAAATCTAGACGACCACCCCGGGGGCCCAGAAGAAAAAAGGGGTTGAAAGAAGTATGTACAAAAGAAGGGAAGGAACGAAAAAGAAGTAGGGAAAAAAAAAACCCCCGGATGAAGAAGATTCAGGGGGGACTGCCTGTCCCGTCCCTGTTTTCAAGTCCCCATTGCTCCTCGCTCTGGAATATTGGATAGTTGGTTTCAGGATATGTACTGTCGTGAAAGGGTGTATATGCATACCACCCCTCAGCAGGAGAGCATCCTCTGCTTTACTGCTGTCCAAGTCGCAACGAATATTTACCACGTGAAGCTTTCCTCCACGAAATCCACCACGGTTCCTTCGTCTTGCACTGTCCGAACGGCAAGGCGAACGTCGTCGGCCAGTGCCCCCGGTCCGCAGACCGTGACGCACATGGCTCCCTTCTGGTCCTCCACCTCCTTTCGTAGCAGCGTTGCTATATTCGGCCGCCCAGGGAACATCTGCACCGTTGAGCTGGCGCTGACGATTTCCCGGGGGTTCTTGGGTCGAGTCACGAAGAGCTGGATTCGCAAAATGTCACGCCGACTAGGCATCCGGAGCACCGTATCCATCCATGGCCGCACCCACTCCAGAGCTTCGTAGTCCCGCACAATCCACACCAACGTAATACGCCGCGTCGCCACGGTTCCTGCGTTGTACCCCTCGATGATGGGCTTGAGGTATGAGAGCTGGTGCGTGATACCTGTGGCGCCCGCAAAAAGAACGGCATGACCGTACGAGTCGAGCGAGTGGTGACCCGCGTATGGACCTTCGATGGCGGCGCGAAGTGTGATGGCCGGTGCGCCTGAGGCTCGGGCCGTGTCAAAGAGTTTGCGAGTGAAGCCCGTCTGCGCCCCAATCACGAATGAAACCGACGTGGTCGTGTTTTTCGGGTCCAGCCGTGTCATCGGTTGCTTCTCCTCGTCTTCATCGCTGCGAAAGCCGAGTTTATCGTGGACGGGGACATGCTCAACCCAGGCGACCGAGAAAGGGTGGCATTCCCAGGGCCTGATTTTGGCGAAGCGGAGATAACAGTGAGTACCCGGCTTCACGTCGACATACCGGGGCAAGTGCATGGTGACGCGGGTGCAGTCACCAGGCATGGGCTCGCACACAGCGTCGGTGAAGCCCCGCTCAGACCAGTTAAGATACGCGGTGCGGAGAACGCGGGCGAGACGCTCCAGGAACCAAAGGACGAAGATGGCCATCATCCAGGGAAGCTGCGGGAGACCGCCCGGGTGTGCCGAGGTGGCACAGTGAATATAAGTGCAGACAACGGTGACAAGGGCCAGAATGATATGGACATTGAGGAATGTCTCGTAAAAGGCGTGACGGACGGGCGAGACGGAAAGAATAATGAGGATGGTCATGGCCAAAGTGCCGAGCATGCCGGAGGCCTCGAAGGCCTTGTGGAAGATGCGCTCTCTGACCGCCTCCCAGCCACCGTCGGCCACCCGGACGAAAAGCCAAGCGACAGTGTGAATGATGGCCTCGATGACGGAGATGCGGCCCATCCAGCGATGGAGCAGGTTATAGGTGTCGAAGCTAATGTGCAGCCAGCTGATGAGCGGGTTGTTGCGACCAGCAAAGATGACAAGGGGAACCATATTGACGACTGAGAGGGTGCCGGAGCGGCCACGGACTTCGGCGGCGAAGGCGTACACGTTCTCCTGGCGCCAGTTGAGGACGAACATGTAGACGAGGTTGCTGATGACCCAGATGAGGAGCATGATGCTGTGAAGACGCGAAGGCAGGACACCCATGTGGCCAGCCTTGGACAGGCGAAACTCGCGGTTATGCCGTTTCTTCCAAAACGGGGCGTAGATGATTTGCTTCTTCAACCAGGGCATCCAGTTCCACTGGGCGCGCTTCCAGTATTCCTGGTTTTCGGCGGGCAGGGACATGGCCGTAAGGCGTCTCAAGTGTGTCCAGGCGATTTGGCCTATGCGGATGATGAGAACGATAAGGGCCATACCGCCTAGCGTCCACCATAGGGCGTCGACGAAAGCCATGTTAAGGGGTTGGTTGACGCCCGCGAGGGCGGAGTGGTAAGGAGAGATGGTCGAGGTGCTGGAGGGCTCTTCAGTGGAAGTGTCATGAGCCCGCGCGGCCAGGGCCACGGTTGGGGTCATGTCTTCCAGGCCGGCGAGCCTGTGGCGGGGAAAGGGCATTTTGCGAATAAGGTGTTTCGTGTCGGTAGTCTTCTCGTGATGTTGAGGCGTCTCGACGGGGGAATGTTAGACGGCCGAAAGTGCGCAGGCCGACTTCTGGGAAGCTGTTGTACGATGTTTTGTTTTGTTTTCTTGTTTTGATTTCTTGTGCGTGTGAAGGTAACAGAGTGTGAGTGTCGTGTCGTTGAGATTCGTGACTCAACCTTCCCCAAGGGAGTGGGAGGCTGCTGCTCAAATGTGACTGACGTTCTATTGAACAGCCAGATATAATCGCATTGTCGCCTGGTGTGTCAAAGAGACTCGTAGGAAAGAACAATGATAACCAGAGGGGACAGCCTAGGTGAGACCGGATAAGCTGGCTGCTCAAAGAGAACAGCGCAGAATGTCTAGACTGTCTTCGGACAAAGGAATGTGTACAGGTCCGTGGATGAAGGTCGGAAGGGTCTGCGAGGTCGACGAGGAATGGAAGGGTTCGATATGATCAACTAATACAGGGACCCAGTGCTTCCCTCGAGTAGATCTTTTCCCCTGGTTCAAGGCGATCCCGTTTATTCGTATACGGACAATGACGAAAACCGAATGAGTGCGAGTTGGAAGAAGGTGGTATAATGTCTTCGGGCCTGCGAAGTGATGCAATCTGCTAGTTGCTCGTGAGGTTCGTCGTTGACGTCCTTTGCGTCTGCGACTGTGACTGGAGAGGGAATCCGGGTTTGCTGAGCCCCTTGAGAGAGTAAAAAACAGTTTCCGAGAATGCCAGCACAGCAGGCTACCGGGAAGTTGGATGTTGAAAGGAAGGATGAGCGTTGATGGCGATTCAGCTGCTCCTCGGTGTAACAAGGGAAGTAATGATCGAATGAAACCTCGAGGCGAAGTGTCCGTGGTATCCGTAGTACGGAGTGCGAATGAACTGCCTTGCGTGATTCTATCGACCGGAGGAAGAGGCGATAGATGACTTGTAATGGAATGCAGAAGCAAGAGCCAGATGTTTCAATACTTTCAATACCTTGGGTATATTCGCGTGAATGAACGGTCGGTCGAGAGGTATCAACAACAAAACAGGAAGCACGAAACCACAAAAACAACTCAACCTCTCGGTCAAGAAGAGAGGAGAGAAAAAAGAGAAATGAAAAGAACGAACCACTTGATGTGAGTGATCGACAGAAAAGAAGCCTAAGAAGGGTAAAAGGCAAAGGACGAATGCAGGGAGGGCAGGGAGGGCGGTCAAATGGGATCAACGAACATTTAAGATGGCCGGGCAAGGAGGTACGTGTACTTCGCCCAACGCCCATGGATTGTCAGGTACCAGCCAATCTGGACCTTCTTTCCCGATACTGTACCTGGAAGCTGGTGTGGTACCTCCCTCGTCCCCTGTCAGTCCCCCCTCCACTTCCACTCCACAACTCTGACCTACTCATGCGGAGGTACTCCGGAATTATGTTATGTTCGCAGTAATTATATAGTCCACGAAGTATTTACTTCGTGTGGAGTTCGGAGTTCGGACGAGCACTTAAAATTACCACAGGTATCTGCCAAGATACGGGGACTAGGGGCTTAGATACCAGTATTCCTTCGTTCGAAGTGCTTCGTACCAAGTCGGCCAGCCAGTCCTGCATATCCTGCCCAGGGTATTGAAAACACGGGCTACCTATCATGGAGGGAGGGAGGGCATAATACCGTGAAAAGTTCATGGTATATTACGCCCAACCTCCAAGTCTTTCCTCCCTACTTCGTACTGACAGCCCCTTGTAGCTGACTGAAGAAGAGCAGTGACATGCTCTAAATCGAAAGACGATAATCGATGAATGACTCAAGTCACTACCAACTTTCACCCTTCTACCTCCCAGGGCACCCCCGTGAGAAGGGGACGGTCCAGGCTCACATATCGTACACACAGCTGGATGTTCGGACAATGTCACTTTGTCATGTCCGGCGTTCAAACCCGCACTGGTGCGAGGGTTTGCAAGACACTAATTACAGGGTACCCACAGAAATCCAGTAAGTATTCAAAGCACGTGAAAACAGAAAGCTGTGACTGAGCTGGACGACCGACTCATTTGTACAGTAATTATCTACTTCAGCTCTGTCTCCCCTTTTCACATTTGGCAACAATGATATGAAAGGGGCATCAGTGCCGAAAGTCAACCAACTGGGGATGGACCGACAGGCTTCGGTATCTCCCTACCCGGGTGACCGTTGGTGGTAAGCTAAGCTTCCTCCCGCCACAGACCAAGGCCAATGCCGACGTGCGAGTGAGTACCTACGTTGTACGTCAAATGGTAAACGAGACATAAAGTCGGGGAACTTTGTGGTGTTAGGTTTTCGAAGACTCGTCCTTTCCCCATCCCCCCGATAGGTTTCGACTGAGACGAAGCGGTCGATTCCTAGCTTCCTCGACTCACTCGTCCTAACAATCCAACGATCCGACCAAGCTCCCAAAGGGACCGGACCAGCTGTCAGATCAACGAGAACCAGTCGTGCCAATTATCGGCAAGCCACTCAAACGGCGAGCCACGTAGCGGGGACCACTTAGCGTCGAGATCGCAGATCCTGCTCCACAGCCTTCAATCTTGGCCTTATTTTATTGGTTTAGATTGAGTACGTTATGAGAGAATATGTGGACCAAAGGAATGGCCAAGAAAATCCCTTGCAGTTTCCGGACCACCCGTCGCGTGAGCCGCGAGTTGCCAGCGGAGGGTTGGACGTAGCTGTACGAAGTACAACGTACGGAGCATGTAATTACTTCGTACCTAGGTACCTTTGGGCGTTCAGGTCAGGTTGTTCCTCCAATCGTCCCGTCCACAAGAAAAGCAGAACCAAAACCAAACATCTCCTTCATGTCTAAAGACCTACCTATCAAACCTGGAAATCCAGCGTCTTTGGGAGTAGGCCAGATGCCACGGACCCTGCGTGATCCTTCAGAGGGGTAGGTATGAACGAAGTGACCCCAAAAGCCGAAGAAAGAAACACGAATGACGTTTTGACAACTTACAAAGTGCTCTGCGGTCTTCAGTTGTCAGGCGTATACCTTAAGCCAATTACATACATCAAGCTTTGCCCGATCCCGCCTGCTCTAACGCGTACATCGTATCTGTCGTGGCACAGTCAGACACTTCTCCATAGAAAGGGCGGGAATATTCGTCTTTTTGTGACGTACGTACGAAAAACTTCTGATGAACGAATCTCACATTTGCATGTCCAAAAAGGCTCATGATTGAGCAAGATGACTCGGAAGCCATAGACCCCACGTCATCTTCTCGCGATGAGATCGGGCCTGCCGGCCCATGTTGCTGATCCACTCTGCTCCTATTATGAAACGCGAAAAAGGATCCCCCTAACAAGGGTCCAGTCAACCAATGATCGACATGTAGCAGAAGAATCAATCAGGCATGCTTTATTCCCGCTGGTGAATTATCTTGTATTAGGTAAGTCTCCCGACGTTCAACATTTCGGCAACAATTTGAACTGGACAAGTAGTCGAAGCAATGCGAAGTCCAGTTCAGATCAATTAATCATACGGAATCGAACGATTTAGTCCTGGTCCAATATCAGATGATTCTCGTTGATTGGAGGGGCAACAGAGTACAAGGTTTCCTGTTAGGTGTTGTCGCAGAATAATGAACCGCGTGGACGCCCAGAGTACCTAGGTTGAATTGGGCATCCTAACCAACAGCTGGACCTCGGAGTCACATTCCGAGAAGCAAATAATAAACGGGTAACTTATCTACGAATAAATTACAACGTACCTACCATATTCGTGAATAGAGCCCTTGTCGCCTTTCCGCTGGGCTGGAACCTGTAGCATACACGTATGGCAGCCTCCCGATGATGTCGATTTGACTGTGGCCGACGTGGGCGTGTGGCTCCTCGAGATAAGTTCACTTCGTAGGCTTGTATTAGGTGGTTGAAGCATTCTAATCTCTGCAGGAAGACTCCGCAATCATGCAGGATACCTTGATAATAAACTACACGTGTAGGACAGCTTCCAAAGCTAAGTTGTACAGCAATGAGACGAACGATTTACAGGTAGGTAGGTTATGGAGGTGAGCCTGGTTGACCACACAACATCTTTGTATCTACTAGCCGTCAGCGAGACGAGTTTTGCGAACTCTCCATACGAGCCTCATCCACATTGATGGGGTCCCTTTTTGATAGCCTTCTCTCCCCGTTTGTCTGCTCGAACGTATTCCATATCCTCACTGCATTTAGCGAGATACCTTTCTTCTGTTTATTCCCTCCAGTCATATTTTTGTGCCGGACATAGTAAACCTTTTCCAATTTTCCAGGAAAAATCCTTCTACAGAGTTCTTGGTCACTTCGCAGGCACTGTGATCGAACGTTGGTTGGTCCTGTCCCGCAACTCACAGTGTCTCGTCTCCGATCATCTAGGACGCGATCATATTGCGCCAGCTGGGTATCTGTCGTAAAGTGGCTTGGCATTACCATTATGTTTCTATGCCCAGAAGAAGGTGGATGGATGTACTGTCTGGTTAAGTGATGACCTTGAACACCTGATATGCTCCGTGTAATGTAAGCCTGTCCGTAAGAGGACACGGGTGAACTTGCCGGCTCTAACGTTCAAACTTTGTAGCATGGAATATGTAGATCCTGAGAAAGGAAAGGCATGCGAGATGGGCTCACGTCTGTATCTTGCAGAGTCGGCCAGGTTCATAGTCACGATTAAGTTATCACCAGGAAAGAATCACCTTGCCCGGGAAGACCTTGCATAGTTCTTAGTCCAGTTAACCTTCCGACATGACTGATCTCGGGGTTGGTCGGTTGAGGCGCGTCTTTGGTGGCGACAACTTCCCTATGATCTACCCTACTGCCCTGGGACGGAGACGACTTGGGTTAAGGGACGGAATCCAGGGATGAACTCTTCGACGAGTCGCGATCTTTGAAAAGCACTTGTTGTAACTATTGCATCCGGTAGGCGGCTGAAACGGCTGAAACTGGGTTTCGAAGCTGTAGGTTCCGAGTTCGCCAAAGAAGCTAGGTGCGAGCAACGTTGCCTTGGCATTTCCCAGGTAATTCTTGACGTCGGAATCTAGCAGTCGCGTTGCAATGAGAATAGGTTACTGGGGAAGAGGGCCCTCTGACGCAAGGAGATGCATGTACGGATACGGATAACAAAGGCTGCAATTGTTTTGTTTTCTTGGTTTCAGCATGTCTGAATATGACACCTGTTCTTGTTGCTTTTTCTTTGATTACCTAGGTATCCGTACAAATGAATGCAGCTCTGCCGTTATGGTTTACGTGTAATTAATTAGGTACTGAACGAGATGCGGCAAGGGAAAAGAAAATGGTTGACCGAGGATAAGAACGGCTGATGGGAGCTGCTGCCACTTGACATCATTTCTTGGCATTCCTGTCCCGATTTGATCCAGCTTAGTCAGCCAATAACGTTATGGCTTGCTCGGCAAGATCATAATCAATAATCCGGGAATGCCATCTTCACGTTCCCAATGGGTAGGTATTGATCACACTCGAGCTGCAATCAACTTCGCAACCCATTGAGGCCGCAACCATGGGAGCCAGCGAGTCTAAACCGTCGTCCGGTACATCCCCCTACTTGTGGAAGAGGTCAGTAACGTTAAAATTGTTCTTCACTTGCTCGTTCTGCCTCCTCACGCCGGCAATGCTGACCCAGTCACATCAACCACAGTTCCACACCCACAAGCGTCTCTCACGATCTAGCCGAATCCCTACAAAACAGCCATGAGGTACAACCGCTACCCTAACCGATAGCGTACCGCAGACACTCGAAACAGAAAAGCTGACCGAACGTCCCGTATCCCCCCCCCCCCGATACTACAGACCGATACCTCTCGTGCGCAGCTCACCGAGATCCAAATCCAGGCCCGCGTAGCCGATGCGTTAAAAGAGCTCGAAGGAAAGAGCACCGATGCGCTGAAGAAGAAGATTGCGACGGTGGGCGAGGAGGTACAGCCTCCCGCAGACGGCCCGAGCCGCCAGTCAGTCACCCGCGAGATCGAGTCGCTGCGCAGCAAGCTGGAGGAGCGGCGTAAGGTCCGCGACCTCCCCGAAGGCGTGGAGAACGCGAGGAATGAGGTTGTCCGGTGCCTGCGGGAGAACGACCGGCGGCCGCTTGACTGCTGGCAGGAGGTGGAGGCGTTCAAGCGGGAGGTGAAGAACTGGGAGAAGGGGTGGGTGGAGAAGGTCATCTCGTGATGCCTGCTGTGAACTCGCGAGATAACGTCTCCGCCGATGACGATGGGAAGGGGAGGGGGGGTGGTTGTGGCGTGACAGCCAGTAGACCTCCCTCGGTTTCTCCATCTCAGGAGGGAAATGACGCTTGGGGAAACGGCGAGTTGTTGTGTACGACAGATACATCAGCAACGGCATGGAGCGGCGTGGGTAGGATACAGCAGGATAAGGGGCACAAAACCCCGCATATAGACTTGTGTGGCAGGCGAGGCGAAAAGGATCCCTTTCTTATATGCCATGGAGTAAAATTTGGCTACCGAGTATGTCATTGTCCTCGTCCTCCGAATTCGTTCCTCTCCTATTATCGCCATGCTGTCCAGAGCCGGCGGCCGACAACTCCGCCCTCCGTCTTAGGCCCTCGGCCCTTTTTCTCTCCCTCCTTGCCGCGGCATCCTCCCACTTAATGCCATCCTCGCCTACTTTTACCGTCCCACGCAGGGCCGGTCCTGCTACAGCGTCCCGCAGCGCCGTGCGGAATCTGTCTATCCTCTTTGCATTTTCGGCGAAGCGCGTGTTTCCGATCTCTAAGAGTGTTCGTAGGTACGACGCCGAGACGGCGGCCCTGCGAGTCCCGTTTGCTGATTCGTATCCGACGAGGGACGAGAAGCCCAGTCCCATGGTGCGCACAGCGACCATAGGCGTGGTGGGGCCGCCGCGGCCTCCGTCGATGTTCAAGGCTCCGCTCTCACGAAAGCCGGAGGGCAAAGAGCAGCGGAGGAGGAGCTGAGCATGGAATGGGGAGGCTGCGAGGACGTGGAGAATCTGAGGCCGGTGCTTGTCAGTCTCATGGATGCGGTACCACTTTGAGAATAGGGCAGATGAGGGATGGAGAGACGAGCAACGGAGGAGGGGAAGGAAGTGCAGTGTTTCCACAGAAAAGGTTCAGAATAATTCTTCATACCATGGGCTCGAACTTGAAATGAATAAGGCGACATCCTTCCGTCATCATTTCATCCAGGTCCTCGCTCACCGAATCCAGTCCTAAAAGTCGTCGCAGGGCAGCGTCGTCGTCGTGGCTGACGCCCCGCGTATCGATGGGGTCATGGGAGACAAAAAGCCAAGTGCCCCCTCCCCCTTTACCTCCCACACCAGCCTGTGTCTGACGCTCTTGGGGGTCGTCGCCACCGAAGGGAACGGAATCCTGCTGAGAGAGCCCCTGGCCGGGCACGTCCCCCCTGCTCCCTTCGAGGAAGACACTGACCCGGCCCGCACAGCTGCTCGTAGTCACAAATCCTTCGTAGGCATTGAGTTCATCGATGAGATGGCGGATGCCCTCGTCTACGGAACCCTTCGGGGATAGATCTGTGTAGTCGGTGGCCGGGACAGCGAGTTGTTGGAGGATGCTGGCCTTCCTGGTGATGAAGCTTGCCGGAGGCTTGGGGGGGCCGTGAGGCATAATGAGAGGGTTGGGAGTCGTTACAGTTTGTTGATCTTCATGGCATCAACAGAAGTGATATACTTGAAGGAGGCGTCAGGAGGCGTCTTTTGAAAGTGACCTGGGGAGTGTTCAAGTGAAGTTGAAAGTACACTGTGTGCATTTCAGGACCACGATTGACATATACGGTACCTTATGTACTTGTCTACGATCTTAGTAATATAGTGTCAAAATATGAGAACGAACTCAGTTTGACAAGACACAGAGAACTAAAACCTCTTTCTACACCATACGGGTCATGAATGCCAGCACTGAATCCCACCTGCTACGTAACTCAACACAGAGTTGTTGTGCTATCATGCCTACCTTAGCCAGTTAGGACTCTGTCGAACAACGTTGAATTGCGCCTTGGAGGTACACAGTGTCGATACTTTTATGGCGATAATGGGGTCGATCCAAAAAGCCTCGGAAGACTACCAGGTACCTACTATTTGCAGGCTGCGGGGTTGGACCCGGTCGATGAAGCTTCCACGTCAACCATCGCAAGACACAGACCAAACATCAGTTGACCAAACTCACTTGGGACACACAAGACACGAAACTCAAGCTCATTTATCGGTTTATCGGTGCAAGCTCCCTTTCGACTAAAAGCAGTGTTATAGCATCGTCAATGCACATCTCCAATTCATCGCCTTTTTTCCCCTATTATTGTGACCCGGTAAGAAACGCCAACTCCCCCTCATCATACCTTTTATCATGGGATATATCGCCTCTAACGCCCCGTAGTTTGTGTGTGTGTGTGTGTGTGTGTGTGTGTGTGTGCAGTATCATCCAATCATCCATCCGCATCAGACCCTATGTACTCGCTAACCATGCCAACCGTCGCCCCATTGTCATGTGCAATGCTTTATATCTTTTCCGCCCTTCTCCCCTCGGAGGGGTTGAAACAACCAGGGGAATTGCGGCCATCATGCCGCAGATACGGTCTCTGACTGTTGAACCACGTTCAAAGCCTCCGCAGCCGCCGCCAACTTCTCCTTCTGGGCCAGCTCCTGGAGGTACTGCGCGTACCGGGACTTCTTGTTGTGGATACCGCACTCGGTCTTCTGCTGGCCCTTCCAGCGGCCGGCGCGCTCGTCCTCGCCCTCGGCCACGGGGCTGGTGGAGTGCCAGTCGCCGACGGACTTGTACCCGCGGTCCAGGAGCGCGTTGTACGGCACGTCGTGCTGGGCGACGTACTCGCGCACCTGCTGGAAGGTCCACCGGGCGAGCGGGTTGATCTTGATGACGCCCCGCTCGCCGTCCACCTCGACGATGGGCATCTTGTCGCGGGAGCCGCCCTGGGAGCGGCGCCGGCCCGTGAGCACGGCGGCCACTTTCAGCTCCTCGTAGGCGCGCTGCAGGGGCTCCACCTTGGCGGTCCAGTCGTACAGCTCCGACTCGGTCTCGTACAGCTTCTCGCCGTACCGCGCCGCGAACTCCTCGGTCGTGCTGACGCCGTACGGCTTGTAGATGTGCAGACGCACGTTGGGGTACCGGGCCTGCGTCCGCGCCACGAGGTCGTGCGTCTCCTGGAAGTGGTAGAGGGTGTCGAGGAAGATGAGGTCGACGGGGCTTGATGTCGGCGACTCGGTCTGCAGTTTGGAGAGCATGTCGAGGGTGACGAGGCCCGTGAGCCCGAAGGCTGTCGACTGGTAGAGGTTGGGGAACATGACCTTGCAGACGCGGAGGATGTCCATGGCCTCCATGTTCTCAAACTGGGCGTTGAGGTGGTCGAGATGTGCCTTTGTGAGGGTAATCCGCGGCAGCGATGCCACGGACGAACTCGGCGACGAGTCTGTGGCAGAAGCATACCCTGACTCGACATCTTGTTGGTCCATTTTGGTGTCAGAAATCGTCTCGACCTGAACAGGTGCAGACGAGGGCGTTGATTCTAGGATGGGCCCAGACATTTTCGGACGATAGGAGGCGGAAGTCGGTGTTTCTCCCCTCTTCCGGAGACACGAGAGAGTATTCAGGGAGAAGGAGGCAAAGAGGGGTAAGGGGGAGAGAGACTCCAGACAACAGGGAGGAGTTGGAGTAATATGTTTGCTTTTACCTCGTCTTCAGGAGGCCGGGATGGAAAGATGAGAAGCAAGGTACGTTGATTAACCAGGTTCTTCTGGATGGTCCAGGGGAATGACGCAGATGCAGGACTTTGAATCTCGAGGCAAGAATGGGATTCACAGGATATGGCAGGATAGAGGAGAAGAAGAAAGGAAAGAAGATGTGATTCAGGGGGAGGGAAATAATAACGCTCCCGCCCTCTCTACATTGTGCTAGGCAGGGCCCTCAATAGTGTATTATTACATACTCCGGACTCCGCCATTCCTAGGCCACCGTCCCTTCAGATACGGCCTTGGAGTCTTCCGGAACCCCATGGGCCCGTGGGTAAAGGGCCGCAGCACAATCAATTCCAACATTATTAATGGCACGGCAATGCTTGAACAGCCAGGTTATTCGCAGAGAATGGGTCTCTAGAGTCCCCATAAAGTGCCACTGGCCGATGGCGCAATCGTCTCCTTCGGGAGGAATTCGAACCCATTTGCACTCACAAAAACGTATGAAGTTGAGGCTGCGGGTCTTGGAACGACAGGGCTCTGATCACGACATCCACGCTAGACCTTTCAGGGTCTTAGCTCTATCCCCTCATTGGACCATCCACGGGGAATCTCAAAGGGGATGGAGATTTTAATATCACGTGATATTGCGCAATTGTCAAAAAGACGGGGAACTCCCAAGCTCTGATCCTCACCACCGTCATGAAATATCGGAATCGTCACAGTGGCGATGAGTAAGATATCTCGGAGTGCCCTTCGGTTGATGAAATTTGATCACGAAGCATATGGATTTTTGATTATGTGGTGCCTCACCTACTTTAATTACTCAGAGAGGGAATTGGAAGTGCGTCGAAATGGAGTCAACTGGTTTTCCACTTGCACGAGATACACGCAAGGAATCTTCCATCATCCACGAGACGGGCTGGACTCCTTGGGATATCTTTCTACTCGGTGAGAATAGACCGTAGACCGTAGCATTCGATACTATGGGAAAATATCATGTGAAGACAATATCGTGTTGTAACGTAGTAAGTAAGCAACGGATCGCATGGCACAGCCCATCATCTCTCCCAGCCCGCTTCCCCTATGCTCGCTGTGAAGGTATCGTAAATCCAACGCCACTCCTGAGTACCTTATATACATGAAAGAAAATAAAATACAGCAAGTCGTATACGTGGTATATGGTATGTGGTGTGATATGGTTGGAGATGTCAATATATATGCTGTATATGTTCTGTCTCGGCCAGCTCGAGACTTTTATCCCACCACCCACTCTGTCCCACGTTTGACGTACTTGTCAAGCAGGGTGCTGATGTCCGCTAGGACGAATCGGCAGATGTAAAAGCCGAAAAATTCCGCTGCGTGTCGGGTGCACAGCTCCAGACCGACTTGTGTCTTGTCCGCGTGGCGGAGCCCCGGATCTTCCACCTGTCGCGCAATTTGATCTGCGAGGGAATGCCGGGTCAGTTTTCAGGAAGAAAAAAACCCCAAAGAAAAATAAGGGAAGGAAATTACCTATCGCCTGCGCCGCATCAAAAAGCCGAGCGAGCGACCCCATGTAGTTAGCATTGGGCCCCGTAAACTGCGCACTGGTCACATCCCTCTTTGGCGGACGGCTCGTAGGATGCGGTGTCATGGGCAGCGTTTCAAGCCCAAGTGATTCCTTGCCACCGCTCTCGGGCACCCCGCCATTCTTACTGCTGCTGCCGCTGCCGCTGCCGCTGCCGCCGCTGTTGCTGTTGCTGCTGCTGTTGTTGTTGTTGTTATTGTTGTTATTGTTGTTATTGTTGTAGACGGCGCCCAGTCCCGCATTCGAGTTCTTGGACCGTAGCCGCCGCCAGGAGAACGACGACTTGTTGGAAACGCTCGCGGACCGCGGCACGCTGATGGCCGCCTCCATCTCCGCCGAGCTGGACGCGTCCTTGAACAACGTCCCCGAGCCCTGCACCCCCACGTCCATGCCGAGTTTCCTGCTGAGGTTGGCTTGCACCTGCTCCAGCACGCCTTCGAGCCCTTGCATCTCCTCGAGCACCGCGTCGGCGTCGCACGTGTCGACTTGGGCCAGCTTTTGGAGCGCGGCCGTCAGATAATCGCACGTTGCCATCTTGTCTTCTACGTTGCGTAGCTTCACGCCCTTCACCTTCCACGCGTCCCTCGGCACGAAGAGCTTGTTGCTGAGGTAGCCTCCCCGGGGGTGCACGAGCGTCTGGTACAAGCAGCGCATGAGCCAGAACGGCCGCAGCAGGTAGTCTGTCGGACAGGGCTCCAGCGGCATGGGCGCATCCTGAAGGAGAATGTTAAGAGAGCCCGGGCTGTTGGGAGCATGAAACGCGTCGTCGAATAAGTGAGCGCCTCCAGCAGAGTAGACCTTCTCCTTGAACGAGCCCTGGAGTGGCGTGGCAACAACGGGTACGTTCGGTAGCCTGCCACTGGAAGACGCACCGAAGCTGGTGCTCAGCGGTGTGCTGGGTGACATGTCGGAAGCATCGTCGGCATTCGACTGGGACAAAGCCCGGCTTCTCAAGCTCCGCAGGCTGGAAGACGAGTAGTTCTTCCGAAGAGCGGGCGGGTACGCCACCGGTGAACTGGACCGGCTGTTCGAAAAGCCGTCCTCCTCGGCTTGGGGAGCCGACTCTGGCAACGTGGGTGACGGAGGGAACTGTTGTGATGGGCTGATCTGGCTCTCTCCCGAATGTCTTTTACTACCAACAAGGGTATCCTCATCTTCGTTCCGGACTTCCAGTAGCGGGCCCGCAATACCAAGGCCGGCCGTGGTTGACTTAACCAGCTTGTCCGCCTTGCCTGTCTCGATCTTGAGCTGCTTCGGGTTCAGCCCTGACAGGCGACGGCTTCGTACTGTCTGGCTAGACACGGAAGAAGGCCCCTCGGGCCCAGGAGCTGGTGCGTGAGGCGGTGGTTGTGGTTGTGGTGGCGCCTGACCTGGCGTTGGAAGTGGATCTGCGATGGTTGCCGCAGTGGCGGGGGGTGCCGAGGGAGGTGCACTCAATCCATGAGAGCTGTGCCACGGGGTCGCCGTCAACTGGCTCGTGTCTGACTGCCCGGGGATGACCGATTCCCCGCCAAGAGCACGCGTGAGCCCGTCATCATCACCCAGCGTCCGGCTCATTTCTTGGAGGATAAACTCCTCATCCTCGTCTTCGGAAGAGCCGTCATCGTAAAAGTCTTCCCGCAGCACTGTATCCGAGTCCTTCCGTTGTTGACGTTGGCGTAGTCTTTGCGTCTCCTCCGCCAGTTCCACGGCCTCCCGTTCTGTCTGCCTCACCCGCTCCTTGGCCAGCTCAACTTTTCGTAGCGCCCGTGCCACAACATCATCGTCGGATACGCTGGGTCCCGGTTGTTCCTGTTGTCCCGCTTCCGAAGGTACGATGGGCTCGTAACCATCGTCATATGCCGCCTCCACCGCTGCATCCAACGCTGCATCAAACTCGGCTTCCGTGGCGTTGCTAGACGGGCGGATATTCCTTCTCCGGTAGCCCCGTGAGGATGTTCGTGAATGAACCGAGGATGTGGTGGAGCCGCCAGACTCGTCTATGGGATCCAGCCACGAATTCGATTCTATGCTCATTGCTCGTTCATGTCCGTACATGGGCTCGATTTGCGTCCCGGGAGCGAAGAAGTCGGTCTGCGAAATCGTCTCCGGGTTCGTGTGTTGATTGGGTTGTCGCGGAGAAGGGGCCCACCGAGGGGATTGAGGTGACACGTTTGTGTCTCCCGCGGGTCTCTGGAGGATAAAGTGATCATCAAACACTGGATCCCGTGCAGGCGATCTGGAGAAGGATGATTGGAGAGGGTATTGTCCGGGACTTCGTCTCGGCAGTCCGTATTTCAAGTCGTCAGTCCCAGCCATTCGAGTAAGACCCGTGCCGGGGTAGCCTGAGCTCCGGTCCCAGTCCCGTGCCCCAATATGTGGAAGCTGGCCAACATCGTCGCTCCGTGCAATCCGAGTAAGGGTCGCTGTCTGAACCACAGCCATCTCCTCCGTGTCCTCGTCATTTATCCGTAGGAGAGGGCCGGGCTGCAGCCCGTAGCTCTCGGGCCGAGCGGGCAGCTCCTTGTCGTCTGGAGGATACATCAAATCCATCTGATCCAGCTCCTCAATCCTACTGGTGTACGTTTGTCTCTGCGCACGCGAGAGAGAGAGAGAGAGAGACAACTGTCAGCTGCATATATCTTGACTCACCCCGTGACCGTATGTACGAAGGTCAAACTTACGATAGCTTCTAGCTTCTGTTTATCCTCGTCTGTGGAGGTCCTGGCGAGGACCTGCGCAAGCAATTCGCATGCCTCGGCATATGACTCCCGTGCCCCCTCGAAGTTCTGGGCGTTGTCCAACTGTACAGCGGTCTTGGCGCGCTGAAGCGCTCTCGACAGCATTGCCTTCTGGGACGGAGGCTTGACCTTATCCTTGGTTTTGGCGGGTGCTGTCGCATCTCCACTCCCCTTAGGGGTGTGGGTATGGTAGTATGGATGTCCCGTGCCCGGCAGGCGTTCCGCGAAGGGGTTGTGAGGCATGTTGGGCGAGCGCGTCGTTAATCGGATCGGGCGGAAACTAGAGTCGGGTATTTCTCGACGTCTCTCTTCGGGTTGCGCGAGGTGATAGTACAGGTCGCTGGCATTACCCGCCGAATTGGTCGTATTTTCGGGGTTGGGCGTGGCAGAAGGAGCAGAAGGAGTTCTGTTCCAAGCGCTGCGTAGCAGGGGCGCGTCTTCTTGCAGAGACTGTTGAAGAGAGGGGAGCGTCACGATGGGGGGTAAGCCAATCGAGAGTGGCGCCTGTCGGGTCGGCGAGTGGGATGTTTGTCGGCTATGGGGAGCAGCCCGAGCCGCCGGTGACCCCCCCGAACTGGAGCCGCGGCGATTCTTCTGTAGCTTGCGAGGTGAGTTCTCCTGGACGCCAATGGCAACGGTCGCATGCGAGAGCCAGGTGGCAGCATCAAAACTCGAGCGGTGACCAGAGCGGGGAGACTTGCGACTATTGGCAGTCGATGCCTTGCTGGACGACGTCGAAACAGACCAGCGATTCAAATTGCCCCCAGCGCTGCTCGACCTCGAATGCGAGAGAGAGCGGTGTGGGACGTGATTCTCAGGGGAACCGGTCTGGGTGGGGAAGTATGGTCGAGGCGTAGAGGCATTCGATGGTATCAAGGCTCTGGGGGTCTCAACCAGATGTGGCGGCGGTAAAAGGCTCGACGTTCTAGGCAGTGGCACCGGCGGCGTCCTGGCCGTGGAGTGGGACTGCGTGTAGGTGTGTACACGTAGTTGAGGGTTTGTGGAGGAGACCGGCACTCGAAGCCGCCGAGGGCTTGGGGGAATGTTGGGATCGTAGACTTCGGTGGCGGTGGAGGTGGTGGTGATGCCGGCGATACTTGGCGCGAAAACTGACCCTAGGTCCGATGAGGAAGCCGCGTGAGGAGTGTTGAGATAAGGAGAGGGCATTCTGTATGCCCGTCACAAAGAGCGAGAGTCGTCGAATTGAGGCACCGGAATGCTTCCGGCCCACATCAGACAGGAAGAAGACGGTCGAGCTGTGGCTACGGTGTACGGAGTACGAATCCTATCCAGTAGGTTGACCGTTGCGCGTGGGGGTGAATGTTGTTCTCTCTCAATGGATTTGTCTCAATGCGCATGCCCGATCTGGGTCAGGGGGTGTGAAACCTCGATAGCGAACGGGCCAGTGCTACCGGATAGTGCTCGCATAAACGGACGTTTTACCTTGTGGTGTTTTGCCCGGTTTGGTGGTTCCCCGGAGTCTGGGACACTACCACAGAAGCAAAAAATAGGGGGTAACCTACCTACCTTACCTATGCTGTGCTGTCCCATGATAAGGGCCCCGCCGTGGCGTGATGGTATCTATCGGCGCTAAACCAGCCACATCACAGCGCCACAGTCCATAGATAGGTGGGCTTAGCTAATTAATACCGTGATTACAACAGGCAGTCAGCAATAGGGTCAATGGCCGACACTGTGTCGAGCTTCTGGAACTGGTTTCAAGCGTTTTCCCATGAACACCGTGTATTCTCAACAGAAAGACCGAGGCGCGTCCTACGCGAATTAAGAATGGGGTGATTCTTCGATTACCTATTGATGAGAGAGATGTTTGCATGTTTATGGGTGAAGGGATTTCCCGTGAACCCCATGTCAGGTTATTGTGCTGACTACCTTAGCTTTGTACGGATGCGGATACCGAGGAGGCTTTTTCCGTTAGTCTACCCCTAGAGGTATAACGAAGCTTGTAATACCAGTTACAACCAATGTTCATTGAGTTCCACACGTTTTCCCCCAGAAATTCCTCTCCAATCCACCCGAGCGAGGCGCGAGCGGGACGAGTTCAGGGGCAATTCTTACATACTTACTCTGTAAAACACGTGCCTAAGAATAAACGAAGCTGACTGAAGCGCCAGGACAAGACCCTTGACCCCTTTTCCCACGCCTGCTGGATTCAAACCCCTAAAACCAACGGGTTTCGACCGTAAATATTTCGTCCGTTGTACTGGTCAAGAATTGAAAGAACAAAAATAAAGGAAGAAAAATAGTTGATGGCAGATGTCCCAACGGCGGCCAAGTGGTTGACGTCATGCCTTCTGATTACCCCGTATACCTTAGTCTGCCTGTAGGAGAATTGCTTGACAACCCTAAGGTACCTAGGTAGTTACCAAAGACCCCTAAATCACAGCACTCGACGTTGAACTGCTAGAGGACTATTTGGTGCCATCACTCCTCGTACGAAGACCCTGCAATACGCATCAGTTCCCCGTTAATCAGGACGTGGAGACAGCTTCATGCTCCGTATTGTTTGTGGTTATCGAATCACCATTCGCATTTTATAATTACATACAGCATACTAAGTCGTACACTTATTGTACGATGCTCAGCCCGGTTCGGATATCTTTATGTCTTTCCCCTTGGCATTGGTATACGGTCTTCAGCCCAATCCTCCAGGCCGGCCCTGCCAAGCCCCCCCTAAAAAGAACATTCCGCTGCTTACGCGTAACTTGTAAGGCATTCCTTCCATAAGTGGCCCCTGCAGTCTCCGCCTCCGTCCCTAGATGAGGCCATGATCGACGTCACTTCCTCCCCCGACATCGCCTAGCACTGGGCTGACGCGTTTTTGGTACAGCAGTCCAGGAACTAGGTAGGTAATCACAGCCCCAGGGGGTGTGCACTCAAAACTGGAGCCCACCCCTTGAAATTCCTTGCTGTAATCCCCCGTTTACCTCCCTTCCCCTTCCATTTTCCTTCGTGATGAGGTCCATTGTGCTCCTCGTAAAATTGTAATAATTATTCTCGTCACCCTTGGACATCAACGACAAGCGACTTGTTCTTTCGTTCTTTATTTTAATTCCTCTCTCTCTCTCTCTCTCTCCTCGCTTGCTTCTTGTTCCTCTTGCTCTGTTGCAGCACGCCCCTGCGTCCCAGAACGCGGCCTTCCGTACTACCTGTCCGCATCGTGCCTTCGTCATACCCACCCCTTTGCGCATCCCTTATTCGATCTCGATGTACCGTTGGACAATGCGCTGGAGTTCGCCTCGGATTCTGGTCCTCGCCGTCGTCGCCCTCACTTCTTTCACCTCCTTCATCGGTCTGTACTATGCCTACTCCCGACAGATGAGCCTCCCCTGGGAGACAGGTAGCCACCTGCCCAGGCCGCCCCAGATCAGCGACAGGGTTTCGAAAGTGGCCAAGGTGAGCGTGGCCGCGAATCGCCTCGACAACGACATGATCCATCGCGCCCTGCGATCACACTACTCCCAGAACACCCTGCACGGCTATCAACATTTCACCGCAGGGTACGAGGCCGTCGGCGGCCTGATCGAGAACCCCGAGGACAGGCGGCCGCGAGGTGCCTGGACCAAGCCGGCCTTCCTGCTTTCCTTGGTGGTTGCAGAGCTGGAAAAGCCGGAGGAGGAGAGGCTAGAATGGCTGTTGTAAGTCGAAATACTGCTTCGAAACTATTTTGTGGGATGGTGCTATTCCCAGGCGCCCGCTTTCATGATTTTTCTATTTTTTTTTTCCTTCTTTTCTTTCTTCTTTTCCTCATACGCATCATCAGCTCAAGCTTCGACCGTTCTAATGGGTTGTTCCGCAGCTGGTTTGACGCCGATACGATCGTCACCAATCCTTCAACACCTCTAGAGGTCTTCCTGCCTCCAGACTCGAATCATGACCTGTCCCATGTACACGTTTTGATTGCGTCCAACTGGGACGGCATCAATTCCGGCGCCTTCGCTCTTCGCGTCCATCCTTGGACTGTCGCTCTTCTCTCCGCCGTCCTGGCATACCCGATCTACAAAGCGGACCGGATCGGGAAGGACCGGTTCCGTGACCAGTCCGCCTTCCAGTTTTTACTAGAGGACGAGAACTCGCCGCTCGCGACATCGCCCACGAAGGGCAAGGAGCACTGGTCGGTCGTTCCGATGCGCTGGTTTAACGCGCTGCCCGTCAACAACGCCTTCGACAAGAAGAACGGGGGCTGGGTTTTCGGCAAGAAGATGGAGGGCACCCTCTTCGACAACGGCACAACCGAGGTCCACGACGACGGCCTAGGCGGCGAAATACGTCCCTGGAAGGTTATGCAGGGCGATATGATTGTCCACTTTGCGGGATCGACGGCTGGAGGCACGCGCGACAGTTGGATGGGTCCTTGGTTGGACCGGGTCGAGGCGTCCCTTCCCGAGTGGAACAACACGACCACAACGCTGGTCTTGCAGGAAGAAACCCGCGAATTCTGGGCAAAGGAAGCCGTTCGGGTCGGCGAGGTACTGGCAGAAGGTGCCAAGACCGAGGCAGCTCGGGCAATGGAGAAGAAATTGAAGGAAGAAACGGAAAAGAAGAAAGCCGAAGCAGAAGAAGCAAAGAAGAAAGCAGAGGAAGATAAGAAGAAGGAAGAGGAAGAAAAGCAAAAGGCTGAAAACGCAAAGAAAGAAGAAGAAAAACACGAAGCGGGAAGATGAGGAGAAGTCGGTGATATCTCCGACTTGACAACGGTCCTCGCATTGAGTTGACGCGACGTTTTTATACAAGCTACCTACCTAACGTACCTTACCCTCGTACCCGTTGGGTGCATATTACGGGATCCAGCCATCGAAGGAAGGTTTCCCTGGCGCCCACTTCGCCCCACGCCCGTGGATGGCAAGGTTACCTTATTAGCTCCCGACGTTATCCAACATGCGCGTGTGATGGAACCACGCGTATCAGGTATATGGCGGCAAGGCATCTCTGGTGGCACAGCCTTTTGGATGGGTCAGAAACATTGGATGACTTTTTTAGGGTCATTAGACGCTCTGGATGTATGAGTACCATTATAGATACCCACCATGGCCAACTCGGCCCCCGCCGCCTGGCGGCCGAGTTAAACGACCACGGGAACTTTGGCGCGCAATAGAGAGGCGCGAGCACTCGATGTAAGGAGTTATATAAGTTGCCTCGGTACTCTTGTGCTCCTCTCCAGGTGTAGGGCGCTCGTTATGGGCGAGGCTATATTATAGTATTGAGCACATCTATCTTTGCTTGATATTGGCACAGCAAGGAGATAATCCGGGTACGACCAACCAGCGACCGAACGCAATTTTGATCATCTTGGATTTTAATAATTTTGCTGTTGTTTAATCAGATGATACCTCAACACCTTGTTGAGTGTTTGCACCAGCCCCTTGAACGTTCGTGCCCATTTCCTAGCATTCCTACAATACCTACCTACCTTAGGTAAGTACCTTATGCAAGCAAGACGTACATTTTAACATGGGCCATTGAGTGCAACCTTTGGCACAGAGCAGAGCCATATTACCACAAACTGATTCATTATGCTGAGTAGCCTTTATTTTTTGTAACTCCGGTGAATAATAATGGCAAAGTAATTGATTGCATTCATTAGCAAATCCCTGCCGTTGTCAGTGTGCGAAAGGACTTTCTTCAACTTCGTGTCGAGCAAGGTGTTTTAGCGCACGGGCCACCAATGACATACATGTCGTCAATTGAGAATTGCTGAAACTGAAGCGAATGAGTATCACAGCCTTGAGAACTCGACTTCGCATTCTCATACCAGTTACCGGAACCTTTGAAAAATCCCGACCCATCAAACGCATCGTCACACTTTCCTGCCTCTAGACTATAACGCCATGGCATCCTGCCGCTTTGTCAGACCCTTCCTTGGTCGGAGGATACCGAACATGCCCGTCCTGGCAAACACTTTCTCAAAATGTCGCCCTATGAGCACCGACACAGCTCTCCCCTTGGCCTACGAACTACATGAACCATCCGGCTCAAAGACAACACAACCGGCCGGTCCACCTATCCTCTTTCTTCACGGTCTATTCGGCTCTAAAAAGAACAACCGCAGCATTAGCAAGTGAGCTTGACCTCCTTTCAACAAGCCCACCGACCTGCGATGTTTGAACGACGGGGATCGATCAGGTACCTCATGCTTACACATCTCGGAACTTCACAGAGCGCTCGCCCGTGATCTCAGTCGGCCTGTTTATGCCTTGGTATTGTTCTGGCCTTTTCTCTTGCTTTTCCAAAAGGTAAACAGCATACTGACCAGGTGATTCATCACACAAGGATTTGAGAAACCACGGAGAGTCTCCACATCACAAACAGCATGACTATCTCTCCATGGCCGAGGACGTTGCTCGCTTCCTATCCCAGCATAATGTGAAGGAGCCAACCGTTATCGGTCACTCCATGTAAGTTAGGCATTCGCAGGGATATTCTCATCTTGGTTCGATCGTATCAACTCATTGCCTCTCCTTCGCTCTCTCTGGCCAGGGGCGCTAAGACAGCCATGACCCTCGCGCTCAAGTCTCCCGACCTGGTCCGAGATATCATTTCAGTCGACAATGCCCCCGTCGACGCCATTCTCAGCACAGACTTTGCAAAGTACGTGAGGGGGATGAAACAGATTGACAACGCCGGTGTCACCCGCCAAGCCGATGCCGATGCCATCCTTAAGGACTATGAACCGGTAAGTGACTTTTATATCCCGTCTTCTTATTCTGCTTCACCACCTTGCAAAGACTACCCCTTCGCGGTTGACCCAAGCCGTACCCCTAATGGTCAACCTCGTGGCTGAACCTCTTCCCCCAACAGTCCCTCCCCATCCGCCAATTCCTCCTTGGGAACCTCCACCGGCCGGATCGGAATAGCCCACAGCAGAAGTTCCGCGTTCCTCTCGACATCCTCGGCCGCTCCCTCACGAACATGGGCGACTTCCCCTGCAAGGACCCCAACGCCGTCCGCTTCGAGAAGCCCGCCCTCTTCATCCGCGGCACCGAGAGCAAGTACGTCGCCGACGACGTCTTGCCTCTCATCGGCCAGTTCTTCCCCAAGTTCCGCCTAGTCGACGTCAAGGCTGGGCACTGGCTCATATCCGAGAACCCCGAGGCTTTCCGGGAAGGTGCGTGAAGACATCTGTTCCCATCTCTCGCAGTAGTGACTTTTTCCGCTGTAAAGGCGTCTGTCTGACCTGTTCTCGCCTCATCGGTAGCCGTGCTCGAATTCTTAAGGAACCCGTATTAGAGACACAATATTCGCCATCTTGCCATTACCTATTACCTTCCCCGCTTCTCAAGGACTGGATGTTGTCTTCGCATTGTCATTTATTACTTGTTCAATTAGACTTAGAATATAGACCGGGGGCTCTGTGTCATAGTGCTCAATATCACGGCTTCTCTTGTCTGGATAGACATGTTCGGCTAGATGGTTGCAATTGTTACTTTATGGGAGCTGAACATTAGGGGCACTTGTGTTTCGTGATACTTGACCCTTACTCAACGAGAGTGCGCTCGTCGACTTGATCACGGATTGAAGGCAGGATATCTTAAGAAGACGAGGAATGGCGATGTCTTTGGAGACACTAACGAACTGCTCCATGCCACCTTAACTATTACCCTCCTAGATGCGCCAACGGGGAAAAGCCCCGAGACTAGGCATCAGGTACCTTGACGTCCAAGTCACGTCCGTTGAGGTGTGTAAAAAGGCGTATCATACCGGCGTACCAGCCTTCAATGCGCATGGAGCTCTCAATCCATCACACCATCACACGGTATGGGGCCAGACGTAGTTTTTAACCTTTACCATTTTGAGGTAACCTAGACCCGCAGCCGCCTGTATGGTACGCCATGTGCAACGACTGAAAAAGCGATGCCGAAGCCTGAATGCCGGCCTAAAAGAGCCAAAATGTTGTCTCCCAGCTGCCGATCCCTCGTTCCCTCCATCCGTGTCATGATCAATCTCTTCGCCCAATTCTTTTACACCTCCTCAAGGACGCGCTCCTTGAATTCCCGCTCAATCTTTTGACCCTGCTCATCAGTGACGGACTCGCCGTGGAGAGCCATGAGGGCGCCGAGGTCGAACTTGGGCTGCTTGAGAAGCTTGACCTTGCGGATGTGAACCTGTGGGACGCGAACGCGTTAGCATGAAAACGCCGGGTGGTCATGTCCATTCTGCTACCAATGCAGCTAGCCTGGGAAGAACTACTGACATTCTGGAGCGGGTAGATGCCCTGAGTCGACTTCTCGATCTCACGGCCAATGACCTCGGGGATGAGCTTGTTGGTGAGCTGGGTCAAGCTGCACGAGGCGGCCTCCCGCTGGATGATCTCGACCATCTTGCGGCGGATGGCGCGAATCTGAGAAGAAGCGGCGTAGGTGGTCTTCTTGACCTGGTTCGGCCTGCGGCGGGTGAAGCCGATGGCGAAGAGTCTGAGGAGGTAGTCGTCGGTGGTCTTGACGGTGACGTTGGCCTCAATGAGGGTCTGCCACTTGCGGACGAGGGAGCGGAGCTTGTCGGAGGTGAAGTCGAGACCGTGGAAGTTGGTCAGGCAGTTCTTGCCCTGGATCTCGTCCACCCTGAGCTTGACCTTGCGGAAAGCGTGGTCCTCATCCTTCTGGAGGTCGGCGAGAGAGACCTCCAGAATCCGGCCCTTCAGCGCATCGTTGGCGTTCTTCAGACCAGTGGTCCGGTTGACGAGGGTCTTGCCGACACTAAGAGTTTGATACAATTGTCAGCCAATCCGCTTTCGATGAATGCAACGCTCTCGACTTTTGTTTCTTTTCTGGTTATATTCTTGATGTTTTCGTGTGCTGAGAACTTGGCGTCGGAATTTCGCATTGGAATCGACTCACTCTCGGATGGCGAAGGGGGCAGGAGCCTGCAGAAAGAAGATTGCAAGTCAGACGGTTGTCCAAAGTTAGAGCGCAGCACGTAACGCGATGAAATACCTTGATCTGGTACCAGTCCTTGCGGGAGAAGGGGTCGACCGTCTTCTTCTTGAGGCCCTTCTTGCCCTTGGACAATCTCTTGTTCCTGCGTAGAAGCACTAATGTCAGCGCTCTGTCAATTGTATCTCAAGAGAACGTTATATTCCTTACTTTCCAACAGCCATCTTGACGAGTTGTCGACTAAGAGACGAACGTTGGGTGTGATGAAGAAGGGTGGAGGGGTGCAGTGATTTTTTGGGCAAATTCCTGCGCAGGTTTGTGGCCGAAAATCTTAGCGAGTGCGGACAATATTACATAAGCGGGCTGGGTCCGAGTTAATGTTAAGAAAGGCTGCTTTCCCACCATAAGGTACCTTAATTAACACTGTATATGGACACAAGAATGCCTGGGGTTACAGTGTCCAGAAACTTGTGTGCAAGGCCAGCACATCTCAAGAAACTTTACACCTTGTACACTACAGCCTCCAAGCTGGTTAGGATTATGAGTCACGTGAGCCTCTCACGAAAAGTCGGGGAGAAGCTGGCAAGAGCTTGAATTGCCACCCTGTAACGGCGCCGCCAGAATGGTACAGCCTCGTAATGCATCCTGATGCTCTGTGTCTTGTCTAAAATCCGCAGTTCAGAGTCCAACTCTCCCAACAGAAGCGGAAAGCAAAGGAGGGCAACCAATCCTGGCGGTTAGGCGATGCTCGTGCAAATATTCCCAATAATAAGAAGCATCATCGGTACACAGTATTTCTTGCTAAAGATGATTATCATGCAACTCAATGCTTCCTGGATATGTATGTAAATTGTACAAATGAACTGCAACCAGCTCTTCGTTTGAAGGCGTTGTTAAAACGACTGTCATGCCGGTCCTCCATCTGTCGTTGTTTCTCCCTGTTGATACATGCCCTTCCGACGGGGCGCGACCCTATAGCACTGGGCGCCCAAATTACCCTAGAACGCCGTAGTAGTTTAGTCCTCCCCATAACCAATGTCCCCGGCTTGTATAAGAATTTGTGCCGCCCAGTTTTCAGGCCCCCTGGACGCCGTCAAACGAACAAGAAACCAAACCAGAAAAGAGAAATGAAGAAAAATCAAGTCCTATCCGCCATGCGCCTTATCGTAACTCATATACTCATTACATAACAGGTAGTCTCAGCTCATTAGGAGAAACCTGCGTTCTCCTCGTCTACTTTGTCACCTTCCCATTCATCAAGACTGGGAAAGCTGAAGTAGCTTCCGGAGTCGACTGTGGAGTGGGAGGCAGGACGTCAGCCAATGCACGTCAATCGTGGGGGAATAAAACAATGTTGTCGACTAACCAGAGGCAGGACTGCCATCCAGTGCGCCCTCATGTCTTGGAGGTGTTGAAGGCATGTCGACGGCCCTGGAACGGACAAAGGATTCGGCTGAGCCGCGGCTGGACACGGAAGAAGGTGATGGGACGTCCCGGGAAGGCAGGTCTGCGATGCCGCCGGGTGATGTGAAGATAGCGACCCGAGTAAGCAGGTCGGCAGCTCGGTGCGCCGAGTGAGGGAAGGCGAGAGCGCCCCGGCTGACGTTGGACGCGGTAATTGAGGGCTCGGTGGCACAGGAGCGAAGGTTTGGCCGGCGGCCACGCTCCTCGGTGGTCCGCGGTGATGAGTTTCTTCGGCCCATGTCGTTCTGCTGAAGGAAGTTGGCTGAGGAGTTGGTAGCAGACGACGCGCTGATCGAGGCACGTAGTGGTGATTGCTCTAAATATGTGTTGAACGGCTAATCACCGTTCACTGTTGCAGGTTGGACTTCTTGCGAAATGGCCGTTTGTTGCCTTGTGCTAGCAGAAACTTCATTGCTCGGTTGAGGCGAGTGGGAGATATCTGACACTCTTCAATCATGCTTTTCTCCCTTTTTTTATTTTCCTTTTTTTACTTTCTATGACGGGGTGTCGCAGCAAGTTATTATCAAACATCCTGGCCAGGTCCGGTCCCCATCGATCCACCACTTGCATGGCGTGTTGAGTCTCGGGCCTGGTCTAGATGGAGGAGACACCCGGCCAGTTGTAGCACCCCTGGGGCCCAGGTCGACTTGGCCACGCATGTGGTGCCTGATGACTTCGTTGGGTTTACCGGGATATGTGGCTGACGTTGTATGGGTTCAGACTCTCAACTTTTAGGCATTCACACACGAGGATTCTGCAGCCCCAGCGTCGCGCCTGATGCAACTGTGTGGGGTGGCAGTTTCACCGGCCAATCTCACCGCCGCTTTGCCACACCCAATCATCCTGATGGAATCCGGGCCGTAAGGTGGTCAAGTCCTACCTACCTAAAAGGTACATTGTAGTACCGCACAAGGCAATACGGAGCACGCACGAATGAATACGTAACTCCGCCTTGAGCTGAAGTACCTAGAAATGTACCTTACCTTACCTTAGGTACCTAGGTACTATACGGAGTACGGATACGAGTCCATCGTTACATCCGCTTTGTCTACCTTAAGGTACGGAGTAAGCTTTCCTTCCCCTATTGCACTACCGACCGTCCTTCCTGTCCTTTCTTTCCCGTCCTCCCCTTCCCGTCCTCCCCCTTCCGTGGAATTACGTTGTAGAAGTCATCTCATCAGATCTATCGGATCTATGCATGTCACGGCACCTGACCTTGACGGACGGACGAGATTCGGCAACCCGGTGAACCCTGAGATGCCTACTACTATGTAGGTAATTAATCAGGGGTTTTATCGACTCGGAGGCGAGCCACGATTCAGTCCAGGATTGGCCATATTCGTAACGGTCGATGAGGTACCGGGTACAAAGTACGGAATACATGTGCAGGTACTTGTCTACCGGTAGTTAAGGTACCTTACCTTAAGGTACCTAAGGTTGGTAAGGTAGGTAATTTACGTTGTAGCTCCTCTGTTCCAGACGGTTATCGCACGGGCCTTGTCGAATAAGTGTATGTATGTACCTAAGGTACACGTAATGCCTCTCCAACACGGACCGTCCGTACCCCACGGTGCTATCTCGCTACTCACCCCGCACAGTAGACGCCTTGGAAATGTCGATGGCGTTGGCCCAGGAGAAAATCCTTGCCAATTGCAACAAGTTACCCGTTTCCGACCACCGTCTAGACCTTCGCGTGCATGGATGGTGTGTCTAGTGGTCGATACTACACCAAGGTTCCTGTTAGCTCTGCCACGTCCTGGGACGTACATCAATCCAGGGAAGCGGGAATTTTGGGGATCGACATACTCCTCCCAGAGTCTGCCCTGCACGGCCTTCAGTTCCTCCTCTGTCATTCTCTTTCCAGCGGTGAAATATCCTGGAAGCCAGAGGTTAGCTCTCCTGACTACGTGAGGGAGGGGGTTAGATCTCTACGAATACCAACCTGCGGTGATCTTAGCGTCGATCTCGACTCTCGAGTCTTCTGGGATCAGCTCCTCTGGAAGTTCAACCCGCTCGTGGATGGGGATTCTGCCGCTCTCATGTCAGTGCCTTGTCGACATGCCTGATCGATCTTCAGGGAACACGGGTTGCGTATGGAGTATACCCTTGACCAACGATAGCGTCGTGCTTCATGCTACGAGAGTAAGATGATTAGTTGGGATTGCACATGACGGAATGTCGTTAGTGAGTAGCAAAGTCGAGACTCACTTGCTCATGCTCAGCATCCTGTCGATCTTTTTAATCCCCAGCCAGTGAAGAATGTCTGGCATGAGGGCCTGGAATCGCATGTCCTTTACACCGGCAATATTTTCTGTCCTTCGAAAGTAGTCGGACGCGCGGTCCTCGCCTCTTTTGCGGGCATTGTAGACAACTAATCACTTGTCAGCCAAAACTCGATGCCATCCTGGTGTTACCCTGCGATTTCTCGAAGGTATACTGGGCAAAAGTCCCAGTTCGACTGCATCGAACGGACGTACGGTACTATTGACGTTCATTAGCGCCCTGATGTCAGCAAATCAACCGTCACTCTCAATCCTTCTCACCTTGGTGACCTCCCCGAGCGCCCTCCCCTCCTTTCGGAAGTAAATGACAACACCGCTGCCGCCGTTTTGGGCTTCTTTAACGGCCTCCTCGATGCCGAAAATGAGGTACGGGCGACAGGTACAGATGTCGGAACCAAAGACATCACTGCCGTTGCACTGTTACGCGGTGTAAGAGACATGAACCGAATGGAAGGCCAAGCTTAAGGGGCGAAGCGAACCTCGTCATGAACACGCAATGCTAGTCTGACCGATTCATCCGACATCTTCGCGGGGTCACCGAAGCAGTACACGGTGAGACCACCTATAGGCGAGGTAAGCAGTCTCTCCCACAGAAAAGGCAGCGTGTGTGGTAAACCACGTACCGATGGGAGGAAGAAAAACTTTAATATCCCCGCGGGTAATCAGCTGCTCATCGTTAGCAACACTGTTAAGGGGAAGAAAAAGTATTTCGCCGAAGGCCTCTGGCCTCTACCAACCTCGGGATAGCTTCCTCCCGTATGCTCGAACAATGACCGTCGCAGCATTCCTTCGTCTGTCTTGTATCAGCAGCGACTCGTGGTGAGATGCAATAGCACAATTGCTAAACTAACCGATGCCGAATCGTTCCGCCACGCCAGGCAGATACCAGACCTTCCAAGCGGTTAGTAGCCTTGACAGCCAGGAAAGGTTGGAGGACACGCACAGGCTCAACAGCGAACTTGGTGACGGCCAGTTCGCCCGACTCGTTAAGACACACTTTGCCGTCTGGCACTCTTCGCGGTTTGTCAGAAGCCGGCTATGGATCCCATATCATGGATAGATAAGTTCACTTACAGTCGACCACTCCTTACGCTGTCTGCGAGTTCCGGGAGCTGTTGTGAATGTCAGCCGAGTCATCTATAACTTGTACCTCGTCCCAGTCACGGACCTTCATATGCGCCTTGGTGATGGCAATAGTTGGTCGAATATCGACTACAGCTCCTGTAAGCATATGGTGTTGACTGTCACGGCCTGGAGAAAGACAGAACATGGCGTACCATTCTCCTTCTCGACAGTGTCCTTGAAGAGCCAGGGCGCAAGATGACCCCATGGGTCCATGGCTACAATCTTCTTTGCATCTCCCCACTGAGGAAAGGGCCCAATACGCGCAGCGGGCTCCGTGTTGGTAAAGTCAGGCCTGATAGTCACGTGTATAAGCAGGGAAACTGCAGTGTATACGAGGTGGTCATATCCTACCTATGCTCCAAGCTGAGTTGCTTGCTCGCTACCGCCAGGGCATAATAGATGGAATACGATCCACCACTGCCAATCATCAGTATGCCGCTTGCCAGTAAGGGAACCTGATGATGGTGGTTGGAATATGTCTTACTGGGCTGCAGAGTTGGGATGATCAGCACACGTTCTAGGAGGGTATTTTCAGAAAGGGGGTAAGAGTGTCTGGAACTTACCTCCGACAGCTGGTTGTGACGCGACTACATTAGCACACACAAATCACAACCGGAACTTAGGGTTCATCTCACCGTTACGTCTCCTGACGGTCGATGACGATCGAGAGACAACGACAGGCCCTCGGGTCTGGGCATCAGGATGGCCCCAGTTCATGGGGAGGGGATTGATCCCGAGTTGTTTGGGATACGTGCTGCCAACAGAAATGTCAGCTAGGCCGACGTGGGGAATTAGACTGAGGGCCGGCAGCGTTCCGCGAGGCCGTGGGAGGGAGAACGGGAGACACACGTAAGAATGATGCGGGAAGTAAAGGCCGATTTCTGGCTAGGGGACGACGGTGTGGCTGGGGCTTGCAAAGACAGCTCTTCCGATGAGCTCTGCTGCTCCGAGAGCCCGGTCGGGACACTCGACTGGCCTCCATTATCCTTGTCTGCCAGACTGGGCTCGAGGATACTAGGCGTTGAGGCCTCTGCGGAGCCGGAGAGACTTCCTTGACGCTGGTGAGAGAGGGACTCGATGGCAGCTGCCATGGTCGTCTGAGTTTGCTGAATCGATTTCAGGGCCTCCAGCACTTCAGACATCGTGCCGAGGTTTGACACCGGATGGTTTGAATCAGACATGGCGTCAGCAATTTCACTCTTGGGAGAACGAGTAAGGTTCAGGAGGTTTCGCAGCGAAGGATAGATATATTGCACGAGTTCAGGTCACTTGGTTACGAGTAACCAAAATAATCTCGAGATCAGGTGGAGAGTCGGAGTGGGTGGTCGAGGAACACGAATATGAGAGCAGACGAGCACAGGGACACAGGAACTCAATCCAACAATTCAGTAATTGTCACAGAGAGCTAATGCAGCGCCGTCCATGTAATGTAGGGGATCGCGATCTGGACGAAGATAGGAAGTGTGGAAGGGAAAGAAATGACAACAATATCCACTGAATGTCCAACGAAGACGAAGTATTATTTGACGCTCTGGAGGCCGGAACTTGCATGTAAACACGAGGCCAGCCGGCCCAACCTGACACCCAACGGGGATGGAGAATGGCTGGTACGGAGTACAGATAAGGTAGCTGGACCAGATGGACCGACCAGATAAGAAAGGCCGTGCCTGGCAAACGATACTTCGTATCACTTGCCCCGGTACCTTGAATTGTGTGGACGCATACCTTACGAAGCAGTAACATATGTAGGAAGGGAATGTCGCTGATAGCATCAGCGAAACCCCGCCCTCAGGTCATGTGTCTGCCTGGTTCCCGATAGTGTCTGAGTAAGATGGCAACATTCCTAGGTACCGAGATATAGGTAGCTTTTAATAACCTCCATTAAACTGTATTGCCATCTTCGGACCTAGAAGTCGATACTTCTGCTTAAATTTTCGAATATTGATACTAAGGGATTCGTGGTAATATTATTCTTCACAGCATTACATAGTGAGAAATGCTCCTTTGCTGTTGTTGGCTTTAGCTTGATGCAGAGGCGGTTGGGGCAGTGCTGTATTCGTATTATGAAGCACTCTGTCCTATCTGGCCCCAATACTGACGGGAGGTGGGCTGCCTCTATTAGGTAGGTAGTGGTTAGGGGAAATTATACGAACTTCATACGGCCACCCAATCCCAAGCTCAGGTACCCCCAGTAGGAGTTATGGTGTGTATGGTATCAAGCGGTGAAGTCCAAGGTAGACGCCCTGGTCAGGCCATTCATTGCCGTGTACTCCGTAGAGGCTCGGACATAGCCCAAAAGAGCCTTACGTCATTACACACCCATGGCATATAAGGTAATTAAGTGGCCAGGGGTAGACATACTTCCATCCGGGACCTTAAAGGATATTCTAGGTAAGACATTCTAATAATGGAGATATTCGAATGGGACCTCAAAGAGACGTTTTAAAGGAGGCGCTATAAATATAAGGTACTCTAATACAAAGAAGTATGTTAATAAGATTATATACTCCTGCCTTCTTGTTAATTATAAGCATCTTTGATTATGTAAGTACTACCTTATGGACAGGCCAGTACAGGTACCCCGCGTTCCATTTTTGGAATGGCACGTGCACCTACCAGACGGAAGTAAAGCCCACCATTGACTGAATGCAGCATCTAATTAATTACCTACTGTGTTGAAAGTCGCAAGCGCGACCCTGAGAAAGAAAGCCTGCGGCTGCACCTACCAGATATTTCTGTACCAGCAACTTTTAACAGAATCAAAAGGTTTCGCGGAACATCAGATCTCTACTGCTCCAATATACCATATTACTGTGTCGCGACTCTTTCATACATTAAGGCCTCAAGACCACAAACCTTTGCAGCACTTCCACGTGCCCGGGGGCTTGTCATTACCTGCATAAGCTGTTCCTGCTACCGAAGACCGATCGAGTGAGCGCAGTTCAGTCAATTAATCACGAACGCAATGGGTAAGCGCAAGAGCTCCAGGAAGCCCCAGGGCCCCAAAAAGGTTTGTTGCATCCTTTCCTACGATTCACATTTGCTTTTGCGCAAACTCTGACTGATGTATATCCGTGCTGCAGAAAGATCCTCTTCCCGACTCGTTCCCCTGCCTGTTCTGCAACCACGAAGACGCCGTCAAGCCGAAGGTCGACAAGAAATCCGGCGTTGGAACGCTGTCATGCAAGGTCTGCGGCCAGTCATTCCAGTGTAGTATCAACTATTTATCGGCACCTGTTGATGTCTACTCGGAATGGGTCGATGCTGCCGGTATGGCCGTCACACACTCTTTCTGGGGATCCATGGCCCAGGCGCTAATATGCTACAGATCATGTATCGAACCAGCAGAAGGAAGCGTCTGCAAGCGGATACGGTCGCAGCACGGGAACACGACGAGTCGGACGGACAGTAGAGGAACAGGACGAGGATGGAATCGTGGGCGACGACGACGAGTTTTAACCATGCCATGTTATGCCACGCGATACGTGGCTTTGCCGTTTTCTTTCTGGGTTTCTACTGAGCGAAAAGTGCCCATTGTACATAAGAGGGTTACGGACGGAGCTCTAGGCAGGCTTAGGGCGATTACGAATCAATAAGTGTTCTTGATGTGCCATCGCGACCCAACGCGACCCAATGTCAAGGAGCACACAGCTGCTTACCTAGTGAGGGCGGCCATTTTACATGGTGTAGAACCGATCTCCGAAGTCGCCAAGGCCTGGGACGATATAGCTGAGAAGTAGAGTTAGCAAGGACGACCTTGACTGGGCGGGCTGAAGATAACGAACTTCTTCTCATCCAAACCCTAGATCATAGTCAGCATGGGACTTCTCGTCGATGCGCACCGCATGGCACTTACCGCATCCACAAACGCAGTCACTACTCTTAGTTTGGGAAAGCTATTCGAAAAGTTCCTGATGCCCTCGGGGCTGGCTATGAGGTTTAGGAACAAGATGCGTTCCTCAGGAACACCGCGGCTCTTGAGAACCTCGACAGCCATGATAGCGGAGCCTCCTAGAACTAGAGTATTAGCAATAGTCCGAACGTCCAACCCGGGGACAACGTAGACTTGCCAGTCGCGAACATAGGATCAAGGAGCAGGACCCAGCGCTGGGCAATGTCCTCGGGGAGCTTGTCGTAGAAAAGCTTGGGCTTCGCGGTCTCTTCATCGCGCTGAATAAGGATTTTGCCAATTCTAACAGATCTACAGCAGTCCCGTAGGCCTTGTTCCATGGCCTCGCCGGCGCGCATAATAGACACACCGCAGATCTTGCCTTGGAATAGGAGACCAGAATAGGTGCGTCCGACCGGAGTGGTCACGTCATGTTCTATGGTGGGCAGGTGATTCAGGCCCTCCTCGACCAGGAGACGGATGATCCTGTTTGAATAGAAGATGAAGTCGCCACGCTCGGTGTTCTTATCGCGGATGATACTGGAAAAAAGGCCGGTAAGTAACAAACGGGTATAAGGGGATAGGGCAGCTAAACTGGCTAGCAGCGTCTCTTGTAATCGAGTCATTCGGAAGACGTACGTGAGAAGGGCAATCAGCTGTGGTGTCTGGGGGAGGATAGTGACATTGTCGAGGTTGATCTCGGTAGACACAGTTGCGGTAGGCTTTTGGCTTTCCGTGCGATATAATGGGCCGACACACTGTACCGGTCTGGACGGTTGCTGAGGCTTCGCTTCCGTTGAAGCCATTTGTGTCTCTATGTTGGCGAGGGGTATTTCGAGGAGGTAGGTAAGCTAGGCAAGTCCAAAGGTGCAGTCTTAGAATAGCGGAAGAAGTCGAGGGAAGTACAACGTAGCCCGGGGGAACTAAGTTCAACGGTAAGCTTAGGACCAAGTATGGCAGCAAACGGAATTATGCGTGCCCTTATTCCTTTTGAATGGGAGTCTTGAGGAGGAGGTTCCCAATAGAATCGCCTCCTCGCTTTGGTATTCTGGACGACAGTGGAGAAATACCGATAACACTGAAGCTGTAAGGAAAGGACTTCTATGGATTTACGGCTAGATGTGGGGTATCCATACTGAGTAAGGCAAAATTATAACACGGAGCCGCCCGCCAGAATTATTCCTAAGTGTAAGGTATGTACCTCCTTGGACTTGGGGACAGACAGATACTTGATAATAATGCTCGTATCTTTCTATGCATAAGTACTCTGTACACCACACTGTACGAACTAAGGTAGCTACCATTTTATCTCGTGATGGGTCTATTTGGTCCGGATATGGTACGAAGTACCTAGGTACAGTCCAACGTACCTACCTAGGTAGTCTAACGGAACCTTGTGGCCGTGCCTGGTTGTCGCAAGAACGCGCCATGGGAAGGATGACCTCCACTGCCAGCCAACCTACCTGATTCTTTGTCACAAACAATTACCTTAAAAGTCGTCTATTTCCATTCCGAGCGAAGGAGCCTATTTCAGCGCGAAAAATGCCCGTTAGGGTTCGATGAAGACTTTTCGTGGCTTATCGCCAACCTCTAGAACAACTACGAGAGGCACCTTCGCATTCTTGATGCGGCTCATTTTGCTCATCCCTTTCCTTCCGATGGACAACGTGCCTCTGCCATTGTCCTGAATCTCTGGTTTCAGTTCCTACCCCACGCCGACTGTTTATCTACTGCCATCCTCCACGCCTGCTGAACTATCATGGCGAGCACCCGGGAGGGCCTCGAGACCACGAGGAGAAAGCTCACGACCTATGGCAAGACGTCGAGTAAACGACCTCGAAGCACCTTTTTGCTTAACGACGCTCGCCTTAACGGCGATCTCAGCATTCGTTCATCACAATCGGCATCTCGCACCGCGAAACCTCAAATTTCAAGCAACGCTTCGCCGTCCGTCCAGAATCCTGGAGAGGTTGTTGATGGAGACGATGGTAGAGTAGCGAAAAAGAGGAAAACGCCTCCCGCAAGGGAATCAGTACCTGCAAGCTCTAGGAGGAACCCGTCTCTCGAATCTTCCAATACCATGCGAAATATACATACAGATGCGATAACGTCAATCCCGAGCCGGCAAACTTCCGACTTGAATCGTAAAGGCGGCCCCTCAATGGTCGCAGTACGCAAGCCACCACAGGAAGACTCATCGGGCGGCGCCACTCCCATACCCGCCAAGGCCACAACTCCACGCCGTCCGCAACTCACCGAGTATGATACGAAACGGCCTCCGATTTTGACTAGAAAAAGCATATTGCCGTCTCGCTCGATTCCGCCGGACTCCAGGCAAGAGAAGCCAGAGACGGTGGCCCCCAAGTCAACGAAAGTCCGTCTGATTGATCAGTTGGCGGCGCAAGAGGCTGAAAGTTCGGAATCGGAAATGGAGCCTGAAGCCGATAGCCAGTCGTCCGTCGATAAGAAACCTCGATCCCAACCCGAATTACTGACATTAAACGACACCCCATCGACGCCCCGGAAGAGTGGGGATCAAACGTCCAAGTCCGGCTCGCAGTCCGCACAAAGCTTGAAGAGACGGAAGCTGAGGGCTACCTATGGACAGCAACGGACGATTCGAGAGGATATTGATGAAAATGCCGGGGGCATCGGAGAACGCGATCTTGCCGATTCAGGACCCAGTCAGCACGGGCTGACACCCCCGGCTAAGCTGGCCAAATTCGATTCTTTCGCATTCGATGAAGAAGAATTCGACGAGGAAACTCGACCGAAGGGTGGCATTCTCGGCCTTCATGCGCTACGTCAAGCAGGCGCGAACCATCGCTTCGCAGATGAATTGAGCGACTTGTTTGAACGCATTGGCAGCCCCCAGCCCGGCCAGAACCAGCTCGGCCGTGCCAGGCGTTCGGCTCTCCTCGAACTAGGACGCAAGCTCCACGATAAGAAGTTTGTTATTCGTTTCTCCAGTTACGGATCCAAGGAGACGCTATTTCGAGGCATAGGGGCCGAAAACGATGTGATTAATGGTTTCATATTGCAGTCGGCGCTCCTAGTCTTGCTGGCTAATTCTTCAGCACCACATCTCCTTGACCAGTTGCACGACGACGGCATTCCGGAACTCTTTGCTAGCCAGCTCAAACTTGACGACGATATCAGCAGTATTTCTCGCGAGAAGTCGAGTAACCTTTCCAGGAACGGGAGGACATCGTTAAGTGTTCTGCGGTCTGCCTTGATGCAACTCGAAGTCTGGGATGCAAAGCCGCCCACCCAGCTGTCGCCAAAGACCATTGCCCTGAAAGTGCTTGCTTTATCATGCAGAAACGTCTCAATGGCCAGCCGGAAAATCATTGAGCGCTTGGAGCCCCAGTTGTTCACAGTAGTGGCGGAAGGTCACGACCGGCCTCAATCTGAGAATGACCATGACGAGGACATTTCGAAGAACGTTGCAATGGTCCTCTCCCTGCTTCAGGACCACTCCATTGCGGCTATGGAGTCAGAATCACGCACTCGGTGGAATACCGAATACTTACCTCTTGTTGCTCCCATCTTATCAACGATACTGGACCTCCCTCTGGCACAATTCGGGGATATTGGGTCGTCAGCACTCCATCTCGCGCTCAACACAACAAACAACAATGCGGCATCAGCGGTTGTGTTTGGTACCGGCGCATTAGTGCGAAAACTTGCGAATGCAAGTTTGGCCTGCTTCAAGGAATTACAAGCATCAGTCGAGCGGGGAAGGTTCTCGACAGAGGTACACGGGACTCTAGTGCTGCTTCTAGGAGTTCTGATCAACGTCTCGGAGCACTGCCCCTTGACGCCGGAATCCTTGGGCGACGAGTTCAACCGCGAAACCTCGCCGCTAGACACGTTAATTTCGGTCTACCTAGAGAACCACGAGTTGAGCGGAAGCGTATGTATTGTTGACGGCCGTGTTTTTTCTTCTTCTTTATAGAGGTCTAGGATGGAACAGTACTAACAGTGTAGCAGGCCGACTCGGTTGAACAGACATCCCTGGCTGTGACTTATGGATACCTCGCTATCCTCCTGGGGTACCTCTGCTTGAATTCCGCTTTCCGACAAAGGATGGAAGCGAAGAGCCAAGGCGAAGGGATCAAATATCTCCTGACGTCGATTCGGGAGTTTCTGGCTCTACACGAGAAAGCCGCAATGGATGATATGACGACCAGCTTGCAGGGTCTCATCAACGATCTCCAGCTTATGGCCAAGACATCTGGATAGACAAGGAGGTATCCGTTACGTTGCTTGTATTCGTATTGTTTTTCATCAGAGGAGGCTGTTTGTCTGCACATGGTAGTGACGCACATTGGATTGGGAAACAGGAACGGATGTATGGATATGAACATGACGATATGGGAGGACTCGACTTTGATACCCTTTACGCTGGCTCATTATGCAGCAATGGCAGGCCAAACACGGCCCATGATAACCAGGGTACCTACCCGGGGTTGGGGGTTGTCGGTCAGAGCCCGATAACTAGTCAGTCTGTCGACAGTCTTAGAACATCATGTAGACAGATATTTCTCTGTCCTGGCTCTAGAGCAAAAGTTTCTGTTCGAGCTCTGACCTACAACCCCCCCTCCCGGGTATGCATCAGATAGACGGCTAGGTAGCTTCGACCCTTGGTGGACATGACGATATCAGGGCTATTAGAGATATCAGGCGAGATGGCAAGGCGCACCATAGTTTGGCTCCAGGCTTAGTATATGAACAATGGTCTGCAAATATTCGAACGCGGTTCTGAATCAGGTTACACCTTTTCGGGGAAACATGTCATGGGAATCACGACATCCAAGGCCCAAATAATGCACATGACACAGGGACACGGGTTGATGTCTGTTAATAGAAGTCATTTGCTTGTTGACGAGATATAAGCCTTGCCCCTCCCCCATTTTGTTCATTGATTACTGCCCTGCATCCATATACGAAGTAGATATTGGCTGAGTAGAATCACTTAAACCCTTTACCCCTATTCCCTGCCCATTTTATTCCTCGTCGAACTATATAGGGCCTCTTCCTCTCGATTCATCCCAGTATCTCGCAGAAATCGAAACCAGCTTTACGCAAGTAGAAAGAGAGCCCAATGGGAGTGAGACGGACTTTAACTTATCTTTACATGTGTAGGGTACCGAATTAGCATGAATGCATGTTGAAACATGGATTCTGCTGAACCAGTGTCTCAGCTTGGTTTAAAGCAGCCAAAGATTCTTGACAAGGAACGAATGGTTATTCTCAGGCCAAGTCTCCTTGGGTTCTCTTTTCCTTTTTTTCTTTTTCTGGTATGATCATAATGTTTGCATCACGGCAATTCATGATCAACTTGTCCAGCCATACATGTACATAAGATCTCTGGGATGCATTCTACTTCAGGGCAGGAGTTGAATGCATGTGTCGGGCTGCAGAGCATTACGTAGTCATATGGTCATGCTTACTCCGTACCTACCTAGGTACCTTAGATACTCCAATTACGTACCTGAGTAATGGAAACGAACCACTCTTAACTTAGATTAGGCAGGTGGGGTGAATCGGACCACGATACACGCCAACCTGCTCGAAGTACGTATAGTAACCCACGTACCTCCCTAAACGCTTGCGGCAGTTGGTCGCAGTTTCCTACTCTGCAATTAATTACGATCCAAACCTGGACTCCCTTCGCATGTGGCTTCTTTTGGGCATCTCGCTCCCATTCCATTCCTTTACGATTTCTTTATTGTATCCGAATAACCTGGCGCAGTTTGGGATTCCATTCTAGATTGCCAACACTCATTTACTACCTTACATTTGAGTCACGACAACATCCAGTATTATTTCCAGATCAGTAGTGTAAATGCCGACCCCAAAGAACAGGAAAATTGCCATTGTCGGCAGCCGCTCGGTTGGTATGTCTTTGCAACACCCTGCGATTGCTTTTGAACTTGCGGCTGGGGCCTTGTCGCAGATGCACTTCCCTGTGCTGGGTCTCCCCCTTCTCCCTTCTCCCTTCTCCCTTCTCCCTTCTCCCTTCTCCCTTCTCCCTACGCCCATCTCTATCTTTCTTTCTCTTGGGTTTCTAAAATACGCATAACTCGGCTAACCTATGCGATTTAGGCAAGTCCTCCCTTGCGGTTCAGTTTGTCGACGGACACTTCGTGGACAGCTACTACCCAACCATCGAGAACACGTTTAGCAAAACCATCAGGTATAAGGGCCAGGATTTTGCAACGGAAATTGTCGACACTGCTGGACAAGTATGTCATCTCGCTCCTTTGCGCCTATATAAGAGAGCACGAGGAAAAAGAGACAAAGATTTGCGAGCATCTTTGTTCTTAAGACGGTTGATGCTGACAGCGGCTTTCTAGGATGAATACAGTATACTGAACTCGAAGCATTTTATTGGTATCCATGGCTATATGCTGGTGTACTCTGTTTCGTCCCTGTCATCTTTTGAGATGGTCCAGGTTATCCGGGACAAGATCTTGAACCACCTGGTAGGTATACTCTGCATGCTACTCTTAATAGTCTCCTGGTTATCCGGTACAATCATAGTATCAGGATATCATATCAATGCGCTCACAGTTGCTAACCTCAGCGATTACTAGGGAACCGACTCGGTGCCTATTGTCATTGTTGGCAACAAAAGCGACTTGCGACCCGACCAACGACAAGTCAGTGCCGAAGAGGCCAAGAAAGTGGCAGACAAGTTCCAATGTGGCTGGACTGAGGCGAGCGCGCGTTATAACGAGAACGTCAGTAAGGCTTTTGAGCTCCTAATCGCCCAGATCGAAAAGGCGCAGAACCCCAACGAGGCCGCCGAGGCGGGCAAGTGCTCTCTTATGTAATGGGCAACCGCGAGGAGATCAGGCCATGAGGTCACAAGGGTCACAGCAGACCTCCCATACCTTTTTTCTTCTTTTTTTCTGCTTCTCTTTTTGCTTATTCCTTGTGCCCACCTACATGTTTCGGGGGGCGTTGCTTTTCCTCTCCAGCAACAAGGCATAAACGCGCGGAAGGTATTTGCCAGGTTGCGCAGCAAGCGACCAACAGCACCCTGCATTACTAGGTACAGCCGCATGATTACGACTAGCGTTGAATATCAGGAACAGCACAACTGTCCCCAAATGCCAGGGGCGGGATGACGGCGACGGTTTTTGGCGGATACATACATATTGATGCAGGCCACTTTAAACTGGCCCGTCAGTGGTAGCCTGTTTGTACAATACACGGCTTGTACGATGGATGGCTTTAGCAAGAGGTTGGATGTTAGACGAACGGCCGCAGGATCGGCTAGATGATTACGGGTCTGTCCGCATGACTTCTTTGGGAGGCTCACGGTTCATGGCATAGATGCGGATCATGACGTTTGGCCCAATATTTCTCGGGGGTAGGACCTAGGTAATAATTCATACCTTGCGTTGTTAAGTTGGACGACGACCAGGTGGTTTTTCTGAAGATCAGCATACGTGTCTACGGCTTGGTTCTCGACATCGTGGCGGTGGTGTTGGACAAATGAGGTCGGCCTTTAAAAATTTGGAAACTGGTCATTTAAAGTACAGTCAGGGTCACATACCTACCTTAGGTAGGTAGGTAGCAAAGGAACCTTGATACAATTTCATATCTGCCAACATGTTGAAAGCCATGGACTGTACGGAGTAGTACGACTACCGTATGTTCTTTGACTTGTGACCTAGGATACCGTTATAATAATGTTATAATAATTATGTTGCTGCGGACAAAGGAGGGCATCTTATTACCTCAGGTAGGTACAGCAACATACCGACCCCACTCTTTCTGTAACGTATCTCAACTTCGCATCAGACCTACCCACGTACCTATCGACAAAGGCAGCACTCCGATCTCTGTCGACGATTACCCTTTGTTCTTCGTCTCCCTTCGAGCTCTTCGTGTTCTTTGTGACATTGATTGTTTATTATCTGATTTCCGCGTGTTATTGAAATGTATTGGAGTGTCTAGTGTATTTCTCGTCTGTAGAAAACCAGCGACAACAGAAACGACGACAGAAACGACGGGAAACACCAGGATCGTCATTAGCATCACATGTGCCCAACCTCATCTCTTGAGCGAGACCCTGACCTCAACAATGGAATATAGCTTTACCTGTCCGTTTTGCCCCTCTGTACGGGGAGGCGAGAATGACATGTCCGTGGTACGCGCCAACTATGCCCTCTCAGCTCACGATGCCCCGGATGCCCCGGATGCCTCACGTGTGTTAGTAAATACCAGGACACGCTGACAAAGGAATAGCACATGGAAGAATTCCATTCAGAGACGGAATCTCCTTCGCCGTTACGTCAGTTAAGGGCAGAGGAGATTCGCTCGCCTGGGCTGAAATTTGGCGAGTGTCCAGTCGATGGCTGCGACCGGCGTGCTGCACCGGTTGGACCAAACTCTCATACCCAGCTTCACACCGGGACACCTAGCGGTGTGCGGAAAAGTGGCGACAGCGAATCCTCGAGCGTATATAGGCCTGCCAGGGACGACAGAACCCAGTCGACACAAACTCATGACGACCAGCCCATTTCCGCGATGTCTCCCGACAGGAGGCGCCAGAAGAATGGCGTCGGCGCCTGGGGAAAATTGCTCGCCATGCCAAGTTCTACAAAGGATCCCACCCGCCACAGAGAACGTGGCCATAAAGTACAGAAACGGCTAGGTGTATGTCTTTATCCATCTGGATTCGAGTTCGCCCCCCTATCATTATACCCGAAGAAACACTCCCTCACAAAAGTTCACCTTGTCTTTTCCAGACCTCTGAGCTAGGAAAACACGCCAATGAGAAGCGCATGCCCGGATGGCTTGAATCGCTTCTACGGACGGGAAGCGAAATCAGGGCAGAGAGTGAGTGTCCGGCTTTCCGGAAGACCCGACCTAGCCAACATCTTCGAGGCTCGGGGTATATACTCACTCGGATCCCTAGGCATCATTCCGGTCCTCCGCCAGCTCCTTGAACAAAACAAAGGCACGAAGTACGCATACCTATGTCACCCGAGCGTACAACACATCTCAAAAATGAGACTGGAAGGTATTTTTGTGGCCTGCAGCTCGCCTCTCCTCTCCATTATCGTCGACTCCGAATTGACAAGCGACTCTCCGCAGGTGGTTTTTGCGGCTACAGGAATATCCAGATGCTTGTCTCGTACATTATTGGGGCCAGAGCCGAGGGTCGAAAGCACTTCCGAAAGAAACTGCCCACCATATTTGAGATCCAGGACTTGATCGAGGAGGCATGGGACCGTGGCATCAATGCCCAGTCCCGGTCCGAGACGGGTGGCATCAGGGGAACGCGCAAGTATATCGGGACTTCTGAAGTAAAGATAACCCCTATCCTCACCATTCCCCTGTCCACTTCAAAACTGAGATGGTGTGAAGAGAAGAGACTGACTGATGATATATTGCCCATATAGGCTCAGGCCCTCTTCCGCGTAGTCGATATCCCGTGAGTAGTAGCCATAGCCCCATTGAGGTCCTGCCCCCCATCCTGGCTCCTTTACTGACAGCTCTACAAGGTGCACCGCCCAAGCTTTTGCCGACCCGGACCCCGTCAAGGTACATCAAAAATTGATTGAATCCGTGGAAAGCTACTTCGCTGGAGGGTGCTCTTCAGAGGAGCTCTCTAAAGTGAGGTGCACGACTCTTCCTCCTATCTACTTCCAACACGCCGGCAAGTTATCCCCTGCGCATACAAATCTTGTCATTAAAACTAATGCAGGTCAGCAGGACACTCACTGACAATCGTTGGTTTCGAGAAACAAAAGCATGGCCCTTCTAATCTCCTTGTATTTGATCCTTCGCGGCGCGACTCGCCTTCTATCTCGCGGCTAGCGGGTCACGAGTTTCGGCATAAATCTCCCGACGAACCCCTTAAGGCGTATCGACGGGGTCCCAGATATCTCTGGCGTTACCGAGAGTTCGAGACCCTGATGTGAGTAAAAATCTATCGAACACCCATTTTTGGATGCATAACAGCTAACACACACAATACAGGCTAGGACATGACACCGGATGAAGCGTGCTAGGGTTGGGGCCTCCGGAAACGCGAATGATGCCCCGAGCCCCATGTCTGTCTAAGGTACCTTGGAGTAGGGCTTTCCCCTTTTGTTCTCTTTCAATTAGGCTAGGCTACTGCTCTGCAAACCAATCCTGCAGTTTCTTGAGAGCCAGGCCGCGATGCGAGATGTTGTTCTTCTCAGCCTTGTCCATCTCGGCATACCTACCATCTGGTCAGTACCGATCGGAAAGGTGAGAAGGATGTGTGGGAAAATGGGGAAAGCAACGCACGTCCGCCCTTCGTATTCGAAGATGGGGTCCCATCCTGAACAAAGGGGTTAGCTACATCTGTGTTCATCCCCGGGGGGTTTTCTATTTTTATTTTTTATTTTATTTTTGGCGCCACTCAAAGATCAGGACGACCAACCGAAATCTCCTGGTCCGCGAGGCGGCACGATCTTGCCCTACAGAAGAAGGTGAGGGTTAGCACCCACAAAACTCATCCCGCAGAGCACAAGAAGACGCAGCGGTACGCGAAGAGAAGAAGCTGGCATACCCTTGTGCGGCCCTGAAACAGAATGGGTTCGTGGCCCGGGCCAGGGGAGTACCCGAAGGTGCAGACGGCATCGGCGGACTTGTCGTCGTAAGCTGCGAGGAGGTTGTTCAGGCCCTGGTGGCCTATGGATTGCATGAACCACTTGCTTTTCCGATTACCATGCAGCCGAGCCCTGCGTTAGCTAGTCTGGTCGGTCTTCCACAGAGTTCGGCACCCACGGGGAAGGGATGCGCTCCTGGCTGAGAAACATTATGGATGGGGTGCCATTAGCGTCCAGACATACATGTATGGACCCGGGAGGTCGTTAAGGGCCTTAAAGCAGAGACATGTGTCTTCTACAAGGACGGGACCATTGACCTGGGAGGTTGTTTTCAGCTATCAGGAGTATTGGGAGTAGATAAGAGCAAGTAAGGGGGAATGCGAACCGTCTCTGCTGCTTTGCGGCACTTTGCTTTGGTCACTTCCTCGACAGTTCCCTGGACCTCCTCGATATCAATGGATTGGCTCTGGACAGTGATGCCAGGTTCGAGGATCGCCTTGACCTCACGTAGTTTGTTGGCGTTGCCAGTTATGAAGTTTACTACAGGAGGGGTCGACATGATGCTGTTGCTTTTGCGATCAAGGAGAGGATGGGTTTTCAACCGAGCGAAGGTACGATAGGGGAGCTATAATCGTAAGTCGTCCTTGTGTGAATCGTATCCCTTTTTGTTGTAGACCTCGGGAGAAAGTGAAGAGTGGAAATAGACCATGAGGATGAGATCAAGGGATTGATAAGAATTGACTCATTCGGTCACAATCCTCGTGGCGTAGTTGGTGAAATTTTGGTTAAGTGAATATGCAGGTTCCACTTCTTCCATTTTGACCGAGAGGAATATGAAGGGCCAGCCAAAGGTAAAAGGTCGTCATTTATCACTTCCCTCTTCTCCTGGTTATGGCTTGTCGGAGAGTAGAGCCAGTGCCTTCCATTCTCCGCACGACCTGATCCTTCTGGGCTGTGTGATAATTACGGCTGAAACATCAACTCACGCGCGGTTGAATAGCACAAGTAGCAGAAGAGACAATACTTTTAGACTCCATGGCTGTAGAATTTACCTTGCTTTTTCCTAAACGATCCCTTTTAATACCTCTCCATCCCCGTAGAAATTCATTCCAGTGTTTTCCCGTTGTCATGAAACATGTCCTTCGGCGTGAATGAGACTATAGAAAAGAAAAGGGAAAATGGAAGCCGCCGGTTCTCGACCATCTCACATCTCATGACCACTAGCCTGTCCGGTCCTTCTTCCACTGCTCCAGCCAGCTTTCTATCCTGGCGACGTTGCTTTCCACCTCGTCCGCCGTATTGCTCGTCAGCTCTACCACAATCTCCTCCGCGTACGCTTCCCTGGCTTCCGAGAGCAGGACCTCCATGATCTCCGAGTCCAGGTTCTCCTGCAGCTTTTTCTCGGAATATTTCCTGGAGTGAAAACGATAAAGTTAGTTATAAAGGGAGAGGTAATCACTGCTGGCTATAGGGGCCAAGAACGGAACGAGGCGGGAGGAGGGGTGAGAGTGTGTCGAGCGGTAAGGGGGAAAGGAAGTCAGTGAGCGAATAGTGACAACCGGGGGACGAGGCGGTAGTAGGCACTACCACGAGATCACGTCCCCACGACACTACGTCCCGCCACATCCTGAAAGCAAAGGCATCTATCTCACCTCTCAGTAAGTCGGTCATACAGCGTGCTCGAGTCCACCCGTAGCACGATGACGAGGTCGATCCAGCTCTCTGGAAATAAGTCGCACGCATGCCAGTCAATCAAATAACCGCCTTCCGGAATAGTATCATCCTCCAGGGCATCGAGAAGCTAGACGAGACCCAATCAGTACATGCCTGTGATAAGAGATGGGGGCATGGCAATGCCGGTGGCAGAAACCAACCTTGTCCTCATTCACAATCCAACTCGAATACTCTTCATCCCAGCCATCATGGCACTCCCGGTCCTTGACAATCTGATTGATGGCCAGGTGCTTGAGCCCCGTGCGCCTGGCAATCTCCTCGCAGTGTGTCGTCTTGCCTACCCCGGGTGTGCCCGTGACAATGATATTCGGTGATGTCCTCATTTTTATTTTCTCTTCTTTTTTGCACCTTCCTGTCTCGAGTGTGTATCTCCTTCCGACTTTGCAAATGTTCACAATTTTTTTTCCTGGCTGGACAATATTTAAAAGATCCGATAAAAAAAAAGTCGACGAAAAGTCAGGAGAAAATATCAAGTGAAAATGGACCTCCTCTCACACTTTCGACTCGCTGGTGTAATTTTTGACATGAATTCTCCAAAGTCTATGCGGCCAGGAGCGAAACTGAGAACACCCCCCGTTTATTGCATATTCATCAACCCACCAACGTCCCCTCCACGCAACAACCCTCAAACCTGTCAACAACACAAATGAGAAGAATCACCTCTGACGAACAGAAATCAGCCAAGAGAATTCCAAACAAGCGCACAATATGAAGCAAGATCTACACAGCCGTCTTACATGCAAAGGAAAACAAGGAAACCCTCATGTCATCATAGCTTCGTTCTTGAACAGAGTGAACCGCGAGTCTGGCAGCTTCGTCTCGCTCTCCTCTTCCCTTGTGGCATAAAAACACGAGAGGCTCACTACATATACATGTTGACCCCAACCGCAAAGCCAACCCCTTTTGGGCGCCAGCCTTGAATGAATACGGGTGGTATCCTAACCACACAAGACGTCTCTAAATCTTGTCTCTTCTCTCTTCTCCCTTTCTCGTCCTGTTTTCTCGTCTTTCCTGTACATTACCAACGCAAGCGGATGTCGTAGATATCCAAATGGAAAACAAACCTGTGGTCTGACACAAGCGTGGGAAAAAGGTTCGTCGTCTCCCCCTCACACTGGCTACCGAACCAACAGGATGGTCGAGAAAGCAGCGGGCTCAAAATGGGTATCTAGTCTGATAAACGCGACCGTTGGGCTCGTCATAGTCTACGGAACTGGATTCGTCGTCCGAAAAAGGGGGGAGGTGACGATGATCGTTTCAAGCCGAAAGCCGCTTAGCAGGAACCTGAACCTCGTCATCAACCCCGTCCTCTTTCAGGTCGCCGTTGCCCTCGAAATCTTCGTCAACCTCGTAGTCGTCCATCTTCTCTTGTTGCGCGATGGCCTGTGCCGACACAATCTCCGCGAGCCGCTTCAGCCTTGGCGTTTGTAGCCCTGTAAACACACAAAAGTTAGTGACCTGATCTGAGCAATAAGACAGGACGCCGGGGGCCTCGTACATGACGGCGTGTAAGTTTCTAGCGCTGTGATAGACCTAGGCTCCGCAATCTCGTACGGTCCGCTGTCGTCCATATCGACAGCCTGGAGAAGCAGAACGTCGCCCTTCTCAGATACTCGCGAGGCAACCGCCTTCATGATTTCCCCATTAATCGGCTGCTCGTAATCGGCGACGAGATACTGATTCAGGAGCTTCTGGATTTGGTTGGGAGAGAGCCTGATTGGAAGCAACACGTGTTAGCCAAATCAGTTTCCCTTCACTCCGCTGACACCAGAGAAACAGAAACGACTTACATCCAGCAGATATCCTGAATAATCTCAATGTCATTCAGGGTTGCCTTCTTCAACTGGAGAAGCTTGGTTGCTTGCTATAATGCGTGTCAGTACGATTCAAATCCAGCCTCGACGAGATGAGCCGGTGTTAAGCACTTACCATGAGATGCTCCAACTGAAGAGTGCCCTCGGGCATATCGTGACTCTTGCACCACTCTTCTATCCGTGTGATGTTGTAGTTAATTTGCAGGCCCCGCTTCCACGACAGGAAGTTGCGTCTCATCAGCAAGTCGTTGAACGCAGTGACGCCGACAAGTCGGAGCAGCTCCGTGACCGTTTGCGTGATGATGGAATCTTCCAAATAGTACGCCTTCATGGCCCTGAACACATTGTTCAAGAGGCTAAGCAGGTTGTCCATGCTGTACGCGGGCGTCGAGTTGGACTGCAACAGCTTGCCCAAGAACCGGCTGCTCTCGTTGGTGACGAAGCCGGGCAAGGATTGAGACTCGATGATGGCAGGAATGATCATCTTGTGCAGCTTCTTCTTTAGGACCTTCATCCAAGTATGATAGATGTTGAACTCCAGGCTCTCCAGGTCGTGCTTGACGATCTCCAATAGGCGGTCGTACTCGTAATTGTCCGACTTTTGGGCCTCGTACCAGTCCTCGGCCAGGAACACAAACGAGAGCATCTCGTGCACGTTGGATAGCCAGAAGGCCCCGGGGTTGATCGCCTCGTCCCCGTCGTGCTGCATCACCTCTTGCTGGATGGACTGCATGACGTTCGCCAGGAACCGCTCCGATTCCTTCACGAACCCGTTGTTCCACATCTCGGACGTAACCAGGTTGATGAGATACGACGGGAAAAGAACCTCCTTATCGGATGGTGGCGGGTTGGTGTTCGGAGACGGGATCCTGAGGTTGCGAATCAGGCCCATGGTAACCTCCTCGTTGAGACCGTCCTCATCGGCCAGAAGATTCTCAAGCTCAATCTCGATGCTGTCGACACCGGGGACAAATGCAGGGCCGCCGACGTTGGGTCTATGCATGGCGCTCGCCACGGCCATGGACACGGGCCGAGGATTGTAGGCCGCGCTGAAACGGTCGACCTCGCGGGGCTCGGCACCTGCGCTCCGTCTCTTCGGCTTCTTGGAATTCGAGGAGACGAGATTGATCAGGCCGCTTGCCGGCGGTGCAGCGGGGGGCACACTGTTGGCGGCAGCGTCTCCATTGACAGGAGCCATGCGCCGGGCCAGCTCCAACTGATCCTGGAGTTCGGCCAGCTGTTGCCGCAGCGACATCTTCTCCTCCTCGATCTGCATACTCTGTTGCCGCACGCTCTCCAATTCCGAGTTGGTGCTGCGCAGCGACTCCCTCAGCGCCCTCTCCTCCTCTTGCATTCTCTTGATGTTGGCCGTCGACTCTTCGAAGCTCTGCTGGAGCTTCTTCATCTCGTCTTCCATGGCCTGGAGTCTCGCGACAGCAATGCCGGCCTGGTTGGCCTCGGTCTGCAGCTCCTTGGTGCGCGTTTCGAGCGCATTGTGACGGTTCTTCCAGGCCTTGATCTGGCTTTCGTAGTTCTCCACCTGAGAAACCAGAGTCTTGTTCTGCGCCTTCATCGAGCCGAGAGACTGGGTGAGCTCCACCACCTTGTTCTCCAGCTTGTATGAGATTTGCTTGAGGTCGCGCGCCTCCTCCCGCATCTTCTTGTACTCGCGCCGGGCCACCCTGCCTCGCCAGAGTTTCTGCACGATGATGACATTCTTGCGGTATTGCCTCCAGGACCTGAGCTGCCGCCTGGCGCGCCAGACCCTCTGGATCAGAACTGCCGCATTGCCCACCCGCGTCTCCATGATCTGCCTCCTGCGCAGGTAGCCCTTGGCAGCGGCCTGCGCGAGAATGACATCGTGTCTGATTTGCAAAAATTGCTTCCTCTGCTTCTGGCCGCGCCAGACGCGTTGGATCGTGGTGGCAGCTTTGATGGTCCGGAGCTCCTGCGCAGCTTTACGAGCAAGATAGGCCCTAGTGGCCGACTGGAAGATGATGACTGCGTTGCGAGCATCCAGGTAGCGATGGCGATAATACTTGGCACGGAGATTCTTCTGGATCATGATGGCGCAGTCATTCAGACGGTTAGTGCGAAGGTTCTCCAGGAAAGCGAGCATGCCGGCTCGGAAAAAGATTTTGGTGAGACCGAGCTGGTACTTGTCCATGCCCTTGGCGGAGCTCGTGCCCAACGCCTTGGTGAGGATTGCGTCTGCCATTTCCCGGATCTCCGACGTCCACTGGTCGGAAGGAACGAGCATGTAGTAGCGCAAGGCGAACTCCTCGTATGTCCACCGCGTCGGGTATCCCGCGCAGCTAATCCGGACGGTCTCCAGGACGCCGCAGGCACGGAGCTGGCTGAGTACCATAGGCCCCTCGAATTTCCATGGCTCCTTCGCCTCGTTGGGCTTGATACATCGGATGTAGTGGACATCCGTGTTATTGATCGTATGCATTAGTTCGATGAGAGAGGAGCGGAAAATACCACCGAGCGTCGGTTTCCTATTCACCGCGACGCCGATCTTCCTTCCGGCAGCGGGCTTCACAGCATTCGATGACGCCGAGGCCACGTCCTTTTCCCGCACTGCCAACGCGGCGTCCAGAACCTGCCGCAAGAATGGGTTTGTTGTAGCGCGCATAACCGCCATGTGTTCGTCGGGGACAGTGTCGCGGTTCTTCTCAATGAAGCCCTCGGACTCGTACGTAACATCTATGGCGTAGTGGCAGACGGTGAAGGACGACTTGCCAAACCTTGGCTTCTTGTAGAACCGATTCTTGTCGCCGGCATAGTGATGATGGAGCTTCGTCACGAACTGCTCATCCGAGCCCATGGGGAGGCGAGATTCTTCGTCAAGTAGGCCAAGAATTCCCATCTTGCTTTCAATGAGGTCGATACACGGTTGATTATCGGAGAAGTCGATGAAAGTCCAGTCGATCTCCTCCCTGAGATATTCCTCTTGCTCGAGCTTGAAGACATGCTGGTTGAACTCTTGCTGCAGCTTCTCGTTGGCGTAGTTGATGCAGAACTGCTCGAACGAGTTCTTGGCAAAGTGCTCGAAACCGTAGATATCAAGCACGCCGATGAAGGACTGAACGCGGTTGAGTACTTCCTCGGCAGCCAAGCCTCTATTGACAATCTCCACGAGCCAGTCGAAGAGGCTCGAGTAGATGTATTTCGCAACAGAGTCGCGGACGACGATGGCCTGGGCTTGGGTCAGGTTCGACGTAATCTTCTCGCCTCTTGTGACGAGCTGCTTCTTGACGATCCACCTTGCAAACTGCTCCCCATTCACGCCCAGAATACGGCAAGCCAACTCCAGCGACGGCTCCGTCGGTGCAAGGACGCTATCGTTGCGGGATGCGCCAATCTTGACATTACCAAGGTGGAGGAGACCGGCCAGAAGCTTGAAGATTTCGGCTTGCTGAGACTCCGTGACGCCGATCGTCTTGAGTGAGCTCTTAGTGGCCTCGAATTCCGCCTTGTCATCGACTCCGTCAATGGCGGGGCAGTTGCCCTGGTTGAGATACTCGAACTGCTCGATCGGGAGGATATTGAGCTCTTCACGCTCCTTGTCCGATGCGCCGGCAACGAGCTGATAGAAGATGTGGTAGTTGCGCTCCTTCAGAGGCTGGAAGACAAGTCTTGACCGTTCCAGAAGATATGTCCGGATCCTAGCACCAATAATATTGGTCTTGTCATCGAACATGATCTCGATGTACTTGCCGAAACGCGAGGAGTTATCGTTTCGTGTTGTTTTAGCGTTACCGAAAGCTTCCATAATAGGGTTGGTGGCTAGAATCTGTTCCTCGGTCTCGCTCATAGAATCGCTACCCTTCTTGGATCGAGCTCCGGGGTTGTCGGGAGCTTCTCTCGTAGCGAAATACCGCATGATGTATTTGGCACTGACAGTTTTACCGGCACCAGACTCACCCGAGACGACGATAGTCTGGTTTTTCCCGCTCCGGATCATGTCTCTGCATTTCGTTAGCGTTGGCTCGTGGATTAGGCCCAGGGAGTAGATGGGGTATAAAAACTACATGAAAGCTTCTTCGGCAATGGCAAACAGATGGGGAGCTTGTGTCGCCCTCTGCCTGCCGGCATAGACTTGCACCATGCCCGGAACATAGAGGGAATCTACTTTGGCGAACGGATTTGTTGCAATTAGAACAATGCCGCTGTATGTGTATATCTCTTTCTGTAGGTATCGGAGGCGGATCGCTTGTAGCACTGGATATTGAAGGTCAGCGTATATTCATCACGGCAGAGCCCGACATGCCATCGAAGGTCGGGTAGATGTACCGGCAGGCTCGTTGAGATGGGAAAGATTGGTCAAATCATCGCTCGCTTCAAGCATTGTCGGATTCATTAACGGTGGGAGGGAGGAGTCGCCATTCTGAACGGCCTCGACAGAGACCTCGAGGGTCTTGGTCTATATCAAGAAGCACGATTAGCGGTGTCTTGGGGTTTTCGCATTTGGCACACAGTAGGGGATGGACCCTGACGTACCTCGTCATTTTCGAGCTGGAAAACGAGCGTAACCTTGGAGCCATCGACAGTTTTGCTGATGACCTCCGAGGCAACCCAGCCCTCCGTGGCATCGGGCTGCCACGCCCTGGTGCCGACATCGTAGTTCTGAACCATCGGAGGAAAAGAGGAGGGGGAGGAGGAGGAGTGAGGTCGTAGGATGCGAGGGAGCGTGTGGCTAGACTGCGTAAGGACGGGAAGAGAGTACGAAGACGGTCAACACGTTGGACGAGCAAAGCTAAGGCGAACAGCTCGTCATAAGAGACATGCCTAGGCAAGCCGCTAAAACTGAGAGAAAGGATGAAAGATCGAACGCCAACTAAGAACGAAGAACCAGCTCTCGAAGGGCTGGAGTGCCACTCGGAAAGAGCAACAAAGATGGCAGTTGTTGCTACCGGTCCTGCTATTTGGAAGACATGCAGCGAACCTGGAAAATGGTGTACGGTGTCTAGTTGTCCCAACAAGTTAGAATGATAGATAGGTAGTAAAGGTCGGCAACTTTTTTGAATCCGCTGTCTGATGGAGAGACAGGGGGTGCAGGGGGGAGTTCTCCCAAGCCACCTCTCTGTACGTACGTCGCAGCGAAAGAAAGGTACAGAAGGATCCCCACAAGCCTTGCATCTGCCCCTGTGCAAGGGGCTAAGGAACTGGAAGTGTGGTACAGTGTATTAGACACTATGTACGGTGACCGTTGTCCGCTGTTTCATAGGCCCCCCCCAGGAAGCCCACCATACAAACATAATTCCGCGTACCTTATTTATATTCTGACAAGTGCACTGACATCGCGTTATGCGGTGGTTAGCATGCTATTAGTAAGACCGACAAGAAAAAACACGTAGTCTAGCACGGTATGTATAACTAAGGTACATAGACACAGTTCTAAGTACATACCCGACCCTTAGCACTAGGTCACTCCGTAGCGCATTCTAAAGGCCCCTACTGAAATGGCGGGTATTCGTAGGCCGCCCCATCTCTCCAGCCCCGTTTTTTTTTCCTGCATATAATTACAAGGCAACAAGATTTATTATTATCAGCAATCTTCTAGATGAAAATTCCTACTGCGACGACACGTTTTCTCGCGCCTTTATGCTGGGGTGATCCGTGCCGTAAATGTCATTAAATAACAAAGGCCCATTTCTGGAGCACGAAATCGAAGTGCGGATTTCAACTTCGTCCTGTATTGGAGGTCCGGCGAGCTTGTTCCTTGACTTAACCCCAGAATACGGTCTTATTTTCCCTACCTCACGCGTGGATTTTCTTAAACCGGCACATGCCTTAATTAGGTCCATTAATACATCGGCACCTGCCTTGCGCAAAACGATTTGCGTTGTGGTAGACCGCGAGTTCGAGTCATGGCTCCTGTACTCGATACGGGTCTTGCTACCCCATATATCACTTGGCTACCTGACCTATCTTACCGGGCATGTGGTACTTCCCAGAGCTTGTTCCAGTGACAAGTGGCTTGGCCAAGTGTGCCCAGGAATGATGGTGTCAAAAGTACTGACTCGGGATGTCTCGTTCCCAAGCATGTTATCAATCAACTCCGCCAACAAGAGTAAAAATAAGATAAGAATGAATACTTCATACGCTGTCCCGCCCTTTGTTCCACGGGCCTTTTTGACTTCCTTTTGGCTATCCAAGATATATATATATATATATATTTATAAGACCACGCCCTCCCCGAGACGTGAAGTGACGAAGAGAAGATTGCCCCATTCCATACCGACATGTTGAAATGTTCCCAGTTTGTAGCCGAGAAGTTGAGTCCTGTGAACCATTCTACGCCCGTGTACCCCACATGGAATGCCTTGAATCATTGCATCGTCCATCTATCGTAAAACGCCCCCGTCGTTGCAGGAAACAAAGGAGCGGTTAATACAGCACTCGGGTTAGGATACGCGCTAGTGATGAGACGTCAGTCTTCGAATCCCGCGAACTTGAAAGGCAGGGGAACATGAGTTTGCATGTAGCGGAAACTCACAGCTGAGAGCATCCAGAGCATCTGAGATCTCCTTGATGTCGCTGGTCTTGACGTTGCTGACGTCCGCCATCAGGTACGCAATCTGAAAATCCCACTAGTTAGCACTGGCTACATGTAAAATGACGCAGGAGACGAGTCTGGGAAGCGTACATCGCCCTTGCTATCTGTGGTCTGCTTGTCTACGTTGTGATCGCCCAAGATCTCGTTCACTGTTGGGAAATGTTAGCATCGCCTTGTCATCTGACGGATGAGATGAGGTATGTTATAAAATCTCACCCTTCCTTAGTACACCCGGTACGTTCCGGTGGATGTAGATGAACTGTTCATGTGCGTCAGTACTTTGTAGCAGCTTGGTGATAAAAACTGAACACAGATCATGTCCAGGTCCCATGACCACATGAGGGAGGAGTTGCGTACCCGGGCGTGCTCCCGCTCATCACGAGTCAGAGAGCGAAGATTCACCTCAGGCAGGTTCACACTGCCAATGGTGCTTCCCTGGTTGATATATCGAACAAGAGCGTCGCCAACTAATCCCGAAAATGGTAAGCAGCCCCTCTACTACCAAAGACGGGCTTGTCAGGGCAACCCTCGCACGGAAACTTACCTTCCACGCCGATGGCCCTCTGTGCCTCCTCGGTGCTGCCGCCGATATGCGGGGTGAGGATGATGTTCTTCAGACTGCGAATGTCGTCGCCGAAGCTGTTCAAGCTGGCATTGAAATACTCGCCGTTGGCGGCCGGTTCGTTGGGGTATACGTCGAGCGCCGCGCCAGCGATCTTGCCGACGCGCATGGCATCTACCAGGGCGGGGATATCAACGACGCTTCCGCGGCTGGCATTGATCAGGTATGATCCCGCCTTCATCTTGTCTAGTTGAGGCTTGGCGATCATATTCTTTGTCTCCGGCAGCTCAGGCACGTGTAGCGTGACGAAATCGGCCTCCTGGAGAAGGTCGTCCAGCGTTGGCACCTGCGTGGCAGTACCTAGAGCCATCAGGTTGACGACGTCGTAGTAGATGACATTCATTCCCATGGCCTCCGCCAGAACGGAAAGCTGAGAGCCAATGTGGCCATAGCCCACGATGCCTAATACACGGGACCCCTTCCAGTAAGAAAGTAGAACAGCTTTTTGGGAGACAGTTTAAGAATGGGGAGGGTAACTACAACATACCGAGGGTCTTGCCACGGATTTCCCAGCATCCAGCGCTGACCTTGTTCCAGAAGCCGCGGTGCATTTCATTGGAGCGGTCGCCTAGCTGGCGGGCCAGGACGATGATCTCGCCGATGACAAGCTCAGCTACACTGCGGGAATTGGCAAAGGGTGAGTTGAAGACGGCGATGCCGTGCTTAGCGGCGTATTCCAAATCGACCTGGTTCGTGCCGATACAGAAGCAGCCGATGACCAGCAGGTTCTTGGCTTGGCGGAGGACCTTCTCGGTCAGCTTGGTCTTAGAACGAATGCCGATTACATGGACGTCCCTGGATCGAGGTCAGAACGTACGACGTAAACGAAATCAAAGGAAGAAGAGACTCGTCCCAACTCTATGAAGGGCCACCAAGGGAAGAATGAGGCTCATGGTCGAGATGGTACAAAAAAGAAAGAAACAAAGGGAGCAGGGGTGTTCTCACTGGATCTTCTCGATGAGCTGGTCTTCAGGCAGGGAGGTCTTGAGAGCCTCTACCTGGTAGCCCTGCTGCCTCAAGATGTCCTGGCCAGTCTTATTAACATTCTCGAGAAGGAGAATCTTAATATCCTGGGTGTCGAATGGTTTCAAAGGCTTAGGCGAGGCCAAGCGTGTTACTGGTTGAATGCCAAAGCTGGAAGTGGGAGAGTGGAAAGTTAAGGGTGAAACTGAGAGCCCCTGGCTGTGAGACACACGTCTGGAGGCGGACGCCGCGCTGTCGATATCGAGAGCCAAACTCATGCTTGCGACGTTGAGGGGGACGGGGGG